GATAACTGCGGAGTTTTTGAAAAGCATACTTGAAAAAGAAAGTGGTAGTGAGAAAAAACATGAGATTATCAGTAACGTGATGGAACTGCTTGGCTATTTTGGATCCGCTGATGATGCTAAGGATGTCGTTCCAGTGGTATTGGCGGTACTAAATGGAACTATGGATGAGGATCTATCTATAAAAGTAATAATAGAAGCATTGGTGCCACTTATGGAGAAAGAAAAAAATAAGTTGCTAGTGTATGTGCTGAATGCGATTATTAATAAGGAAATGGCACGTGTTGTAGTGCAATTATGTGTAATGTGTATGGAAGAAGAAGTATTGGCAGAAACAGTGAATAATATTAAGGACAAGGAGATTGTATACTATATGATGGAAGTGCTTAAGCAGAAAGGAATGCTGATGAATGAAGAGATTCTCTCTCGCCTTAAGCATGATACAACTAGTGTTGTGCTCTGCGGAGTGCCTAGTGCATCAGACAAGCCAGGGCTGGTAGAAAGTCATGAAGCAGCAGAAATACTGAGCTATTTTATGCAACATGATCCAGCCTCAACCGAGATGCTGAAATGCATGAGAGGGCAGGATAAAGATGCAATAGATAATATGATGAAAGATATAAAGCTTGCAGAAGAATTAAATAAGATAAAGGCTGATGATATAAATGAGCTGAATATGAGGTTTAATAATAATGGGCGTAGTATGACTGTGATGCTGTTTAAGCATCTTAATGATGAAGTAATGCAAAGGATAGTGCATGTAATCATGGATGCTAATGAAAAGAAATCGTTTTTGATTGATCTAAGCAATTCGGAGGCTATGCGTAAGTCTAGGTCTACTGATAAAAATACAGCAGATCTCGATGTGCAACAGAGAATAAACAAAGTATGGCAAGTGTATGGAGTTGACAGTGTGTCTAACTTGCTGCTGCCTATGAGTGACGACGAAAGAAATAAGGTGCTGAAGCAGCTGGGTCATAAACACGAAATTGATGCCTTGATCTATGTTGGCACTAAGAATAATTATAGAATTAAGGTTAAAGAAGGAAGGATGAAGGATGTGCGAATGATATTTGATGCAATTGAGGATGAACGCAGGAAAGAATTGCTGAATGATATTATTAATGAAAAAGAAGGTTTGCCATATTATAATACAGATACATTTAATAAGCTAATGGATGTACTGAAAGAAGCATCGGTTGAGTATAAGGAAGTAGCATATATGTTGCTTGGTATTAAATACAAGAACTGGGTAACAGATATGATTACCCGGATATCAACAGAGCATGGGGATAAGTATGTAGCGGATATATTGCTGAGCATTCATAATTATAATGACTTGAAAAGCGTGATTTCTGATATTAAACATAAGCCAACATTAATTGCAAGGATATTGGGTAAAGCTGATGATATTGATAAGCTCAGTAGATTGTTCAATATTATTGTTTCAGATGATATTATCAATCGTAAGATGCAAATTGTGTTAGATAAGCTTGTGATCAATAAGAATATTGTTAATGAGTTGATACATAAACCGAAGGATGAGCAGAACAATATACTGGGGGCAATTAGTAATACACAACTAGTTAATAAAATTAATTGTGCGATCAAAAAAGCACAAGAACAGAAGAGAAGGAGGCTAGGGATAGCGACAATAGTAATAGTAATAGCGGTAGCGGTGATAGTGATTGAGACAGTGTTTACAGGAATGAGCATAAAGGATGCATTGAATAATGGGAATGCAATGAGTGATGAAGCAGTGATTAGTAGGATTTTGATGGCAGCAGTGACGATAGTAATGATGCTGAGTGTGATTGCATATGTGAATTGTGCAAATAAGCCTGTGTGGTATGATAGATTAATGATAGGAGGAAGTGTAGTGATGGCGCTGATGAGAGTATTGATGGATGTGTATGGGGGAGTGAATGTGAATGAGTGTGTGGAAGTGAGAGTGATTAATGCGTTGATAGTGGTGATGAGTGCGGCGATGGCAATAAGGAGTGTAGTAGCAGTTATTAACAGTAAGATTAAAAATGCTAAGAGTGATGGAACAGATGAGAGTAATGATGCAAGTGGAATAACGAGGAGTGTGATTGTTGTGCTGAGCACGTGTGTAATGACAATGACAGGATGGGTGATTCAGAGGATGAGTAGTCAGGTGAATAATGAAATGCTGCACTAGTAATAAAAGATAGCAGTGATGGGATAGAATTAAAATAACGATGAGATGTTGTAGTAATCACAATGTGAAGTAATAAAGTAGATGTCACAAGGCAGGTATTGATTTAATAATAAACGAGTAATTGAAATACTTAGTATTATTTTATTAGTTGTTTACGCCTTTGCACGTAGATGAATAAGAAGAAGAAAAGCAAAAATAAAAATAAAAAAGCAAATAAAAACGAGCCGAATGTTCATGTATATTAGAAGGCTATGAAGGTCTTCTTCACTAACCGATTTGATAGTACACATACATGTATACTAAGATGATACAAAAGGATCAGAATGATGTAAACAACCTAAGATTGAAGCTAGCAATAGATACAATAGCTATTTTTTGAGCTATTCTGCTAACTGATCCATTTAGAGATGGATACGAACATTTGAATTAAACAGCAGCATAATAAAATTTAAGAATGAAATTGAAGATTTACTTTATAAAGTGTATGGAAACAACAAATCGTAAAGTTTTTACTTTAATTTTGCAGTGCCTACTTTTAGTATACTCATTGTTAATATGCATCAAAGTCAAAGCATTTACAATTGCAGATGGATTATATGATGCTAAAGGTCTAAGTTTTATGAAGCTGATTGACGAATTAGTTGAGCGTTCATTCAGAGGAAAATAACATTTTCAAATAGTACTGGAAGCTCACTATATGATTTAAGAGTCGTGCATATCCCTTTTATTATTGATGCTTGATCCATTTTACATTTTGAAGATGTTTTTGAAAGAGATGGTGGAAATTAGAATGAAAGATGGAGAAGTGTATTCTGGTGTACTGGAAGGATTTGATGAGCATATAAGCATTGTTGTTTCGTTGCCATATAGTGAGAATTCTGAAGAGTCCATCATGCTTTTGAGAGGAGAAGATATTCTTTCTATAGGGAAATGCCGATCAGAAGTTAATGAGCTAGTTCCAGAAATAAAATGCTATGATTAGTGAGTAGTCTTAGTCTGCAATTGCTTTGGGGATGCTTTTATATGTCGTGTGTAATAAATGCTATGCGTAGGAATTGAAATTTTTTCGTATTTGTGAACCCCAATGAAGCTTGAGATTGAGAATCTGAGGCAGTTGAGTGTCTCAAGCCTTGAGGAGATGGTTTCTGAAATAAAAGGGAAGCTGGCTCTTCTTAGGCAGAAAAAGGTTACTGAAGAGATCAGTGATGATAGTATTAGAATGACCAAGAAGAATTTAGCTCTGGTTTTGACCGTGAGGACCGAGAAGATTCTAACGGAAATGGTTGAGAAGTACAAGGGAACACCTATTAACAAACTTCCGAAGCAGCTTCGACCAAAGCTCAACAGAGCTAAGCGACGACTTCTGACAAAACAACAAGCTAAGAGGATAACTAGAAGGGAAAGATGCAAGGTAAGAAAGTTCCCGAAAGTTATATATAGCTACAGCGAATAAAATTGTTGTCTAAGTTTGTATTATATTTAATATGCTGTTCTAATTCAGCTTGGCCCATACAAGTCCTGCAAAAGTCCATTTGAAGCCTGTGTCCTTACTCGCTGGGATAAAATTTGCCTGAGCAAGGAGAATGTGTTTTGTTAATTGATTGTTTAGCTTATTTACTGTTTCAAATTCAACTTCAAATTGTGAACTGAATGAGTTTGAAGATATCTGAGTAGTCTCTGTTCTTCTAATGTCTGTGGTTTTGATTGACATAAGCTCAGGATGGTCTTTGGTAATTTCTTTTACGATATTTTCTAGATCAATGCATCCATTTTCTGTACAAAGCTCGGATAAAAGACTTCTGGATGATATAGATGTGAATACCTTAGGTATTATACATTCCTCGATTTCAAAAATGTTCGGGTCTATACTAAATATTCGCTTTATGAAAGATACAGATCTTGAAATAAGATTGGAGAATGATTTTCCGATACTTGCAATATAAACAATCGGAAGTTTCTGCTTGTAACAATCATTTATGCTGTATTTGCTTATTGTGTACTTGTGATGCCGAAGCCCTCCGTAATATTGTGGAATTGTAAATAGCTCGTCTAGCTTTTTCTGAAGGTCTGTCTGGCTATTGGGGAGTCTAATAATATTATACCTGAGAGGATTGCAAATATCAAAGCCGATCAGGATGCAAGCATCAGAAATATTCATTAGGCCGTTCATGGCTTTTCCAAGCTTTAATGCTGGGTTTAATATGCTACTATTACACATGCGCACCTTACTTTCTACAATAGATTGCTGTATTGCTTGAAATGCATTTGCAAGTTGCTTATTGGATTGGTATTCAAATAGCAGGTTTTTCTTGAATAATGATATGCATTCGATAGCAATTTTGTTGAATTGCTCCATTTTCAGGGCAAGTAAATGGCAAATAAACGCATATAGATGGTAAGTATCTACTGGGTAGACCAATCAGCATTTATAAAATCTATACCATATACAAAATGAATTTAGAGCAAAGGAGTGTCATGGAACCCGGTATACCATCAAAGATGCTTGAATTTATAAAACACCTCCATACACTCTTGATAGCTCTTCTTGTGGTTGTAATAGTGATTGCAATTGTTAGGACACTTCCAAAAATGTTCGGTAAAACAAATAAGAACGACAACCAGACAATAAAAAGAAGAGAGCGAAAAGCGTTCGACAAGCCCGAGTCCAGGCTACGAAGCAAAAATAAGTAAACCGCATATCAATAAATATCTTCTAGAGTTCATTGTATTTGTTTGTATATATTCACAAAGCCCATGGAATTGGTCAGCAACGATGAACTAGCGTTTACTAGGATGGTAGTTGCATCAGGTACTAGAATTGATGGCAGAAGTAGAAACGAGCATCGAGCTGTTGAGATAATACCATCGGAAATATCACAAAGCGACGGAAGCATTAGGCTCAAGCGCGGATCTACTGAAATTGAGGTTTCTATCCAATTCAAAGAAACAGTAGAGACACTGCTGGCATTGGGGATTCGTCCGTGTACAAAAGCATCTGACTTATCTGAATCTCGGGTTGAATCGTTTGGAATGGAAATTCCAAGCATTATTAGCACACGCATTGAGGAATTTCTTTCATCATACAAACTTGGAATAAGAATAGAGCTAAGGGTGGTAAGGAATAATGGGAACGTGTATGACCTTTTTTTCATTGGATTGAATAGTATACTAAGAAATATTTGTGTTCCTGTTATAGAAGATCTCAAGAAAGGTGAGAAAGAGACAATCGATATTGCATTACCAACAACTGTTGCCCTATTTGAAAACGGTGTTTTTGTAAAAGATCCAACAATTATCGAAGAAAAGGCATCGCTTGGGCTACTTCATGTTATTATTGACAGCAGTGGAAGACTCATGGGATGTATTTCTGAACGAAATTGCCATTTAATGCACGATGAGCTGGCAAAAATCATCAAAGCATTGGTTGTGGAACATACGCACACCAAATCTATTCAATAAATTCATATAATTATTTGTATTTTTTGAAGTCTTAAATAGGTTACACAGTCTGTCTGCTGATCTGCTTTTTATCACCAAAGAAAATAATGCATTAAACAATGTATTTATTCACGATCTACACAAACCATCAAAAAAACGTTTAAATCAACTAAACTAAACTGCCGTAACAAATTTAAGTGTTTCCATTTCATCAACTACTTGTGCAGCCTTGTTTGCCAGCTCTTTTAGATCATCACACTGTTGTTTAACTTTTGAAGATATCTCATTCGATAATAGCCTACACTTTTCTATAACATCCATCACATTCACTTGAGATGTAGTTGACAGCTCTATCATATATGCAAGCCATTCAACAATCGCTTTTAAACTCTTTGCTCTAAGTACATTTTCGTCTCTAGCATCCTCTGTTTCTACCCAATCGTCATATGAACCATCACTGTTAATGCTATCGTAAAAGCTCAACATTTCTCTACACATCGGAGCCAGCCGTTTCAGCGTACTATCAGTATCAACAGCGGAATTCAAAATAAACTCGGCATTTTTGAACTTTGAATCGATCGGGTTCTGAAATGCGTGTACTTTCACATTGTGCATTGAGATTAACAAAAACAACATATGCAAGATCATATCCTCCGTCTTTGGAATTTTCAATATTAATCATCCCCCTCATTTGCAGAACTTTTATTGGTCAACAGATAGATAAGGTGAAAGGAGTGCTGATGCTCAACTAGGCCTTGCATATGCCAATTTCCATAACAGGCGTGCACAAGATTCATATGCCAGGGGTGTATATAGTAGCTATAGCATCTTTCTTTATAGTATGACTGAAAATCATTAGCAGTTAAGTAATTGTAGATGTAGATGTAAGCAAGCCAGACAGACAGACAGAAAATACAAAATACATTTACATGTAGATGTACATGATATGAAACACAGTAAATAATCGTTTGTTTTGCGGGTAGAATATAAAAACAAAGCAGTACATAAATAAATAAAGATGAATGCCCAGAGCGATAAAGAATTGTTTGATTTTCTAGCAAATGCCCCAAAGGAGTTTCGTGATGGGGAAAGAATCAAGAAATTTCAGTTGAAAAACGGAGACTACATACACTGTGTGTTGTGGAATATGCACTTTTTTGTCACAGGAACAGATATAGTCAAGATACTTGTTTGGAGATTCCAGAATGCTGGGAGAGGCCTGGCCAGCCTCAAGAAGTTTGAGGAGGGCGTGTTCTCAGACCTGAGGAACTTGAAGCCAGGAATCGACGCCACGCTTGAAGGGCCCAGGAGTGAATTTCTTGAATTTCTTTACAAAAACGGATGCATCAGGACTCAGAAGAAGCAAAAGGTGTTCTATTGGTATAGTGTTCCACACGATGCATTGTTCTGCGATGCTCTTGAAAGGGATCTCAGGAGGGAGACAAATTTATTTACATATAACAAATATATCAACAATCTCAAAAGGAATAGCATGCTTCCTCACGGAGTAAATGGATTTGGAAGCCACACAAGGCAGAACAGCAAAAGAGTTGGAATAGACATAGACTCTGCATATTTAAGAAACATGGAAAGTAGAGTAATGCCTATGAGCATGGGATATGGCAAAACAGAGTCATCAGACCTGCTTTTTGAGCAGCAGACATACAAGGCACCAAATCATTCAATCAATCCAAAAGCCCCGTCCAGTATGTACGAAAAACAATTTGAAGATATCCAAAGAAACGGATTTTTAAATCAATATGCATACAACGACTTCAGCATTAAGGACAAGCTGTTTTTACCAAACGATCAGAAACTTGACTATGGCTCGCATAGATTAGAAAGCCTGTTTTGTAATGATTTATTCAACAATCCAGCCATTGAAAATCCAAAGGCAGTTTCTATAAACAACCTGCATCCACAGAGCATAAACGCCGGATCCTCGCTGTTCTCAAATAGGATGATTGATGAGTTTCCTTCTCTTGAAGATTTTGATTTCATCAATGATAGAGCAAATGATAGTGAGCATTCCAGCAGCTTGAAAAATGATAGTGCTAGCCAGAGAATTTCCCATGACGGTGTTTTGTTAATTCCAAATGCAAAGGGGACACCGCAGAAGTAGAATAACTTAAACATACATTTTCATAACTGTCTCAGCTATGATGCATCAACACCATCTGTTAGTATTGCTTGCAAACATGTGCTGTTGAGTAGCTCCCCATAGTCATCTGTTTGATATAGAAAGCAGAATAGAATCAACAACCTTTGTACTAAACAAAAGCTTTAGATCAGCAACTGTCTCAAAGAGATTTCCTTCGTTCACAAAATCAACGATAGCTTGCGCTCGTTTGTCTCCGACCTTCGGCAACTTCTTTATATCAAAGAAATTTCCTTTGTTGAGAATCGCTAATACATCTTCTTTCGTCAATTCAATCTTTCTCTTAGGCTTCTTAAACAATGTGCCAATGCTTTCTATTTTTTGCCTAACAAACTCATTGTCGCTAAACTTCTGTATTGTTCTGTAGTCTTCCAAAGCCAATCTATACTTATGTGCAGATTCAAAATCGCTCGCTCTTTTCAAAAACGCCTTGTAGCTCTTTTCCTTTGTTCTTGGCGACAATAGAATCCCTGGCTTATCAATAAACGACCTTAAAATCAACGATCCGCTGTCGTTTCCCCTTGTTCTTTTGCTAGAGCATCTAACATTACGGACCTTATCTTCGATTACGGTTATATTGCCACTGTAATCTTGCTTTTTCAAAGAAAATAGAGCTTTTTCAGCCGTCATAATCTTCTCCTTGCCAGCATCCAATAATATGCATTTTTTTGGATGCACAGCCTTGCATTCGCTTGCCATTCCTCCATTCTTCTTGCATCCATCGACTCTGCTCATGTTAAACCTTGTATTTGTCTTTACAGACAGCGGCTTTCTTAAGCAATTCTCTCTGCCCACTACATCGGCAAAATTATCTTCGTGCGCTCCATTGTTGCAAACAATTCCACCGTTAACAATTTTCCTTGACTTCGATGCAAAGCACAGCGTATTGATAGAATCGCTTATATTCAACTGATCGTCAATCACATTTGCAATGATGTAGCATAGGCTTCTTCCTCCAAGAGAATCCTGTAATAGTCTTGTAAGCTTGCTGTCTCTATAGGGCACTCTGCTTTCCTTTTTCAGAATGGCATTCACTACATTTCCAAGAACAAAAAGACTTCTATTGATGCTGTTCGATTCGGTAAGTCTGATTCCCTCATTGCCTGTCTTTCTATTGTTTTCAGATCCTGCAAGGTCAATAAGATTCAGCTTGCTATCCCCAACACATATCCTTAATATCCCATGACTTCTACTGCTGCTCTTATTCAATTTCGTCTCTGCAGTTGTCCTGTTTTTTATCCCTTGCTTCAGAACACTCTCAAACTCACTCATGCTTTCAATTCTTTTGAGAAAAAGATTGGGCACAACTATGAGCTTATTGCACTCCCTCAAAACTAGCTCCTTTGGCTCTAGCAAATCATATATCTTTTCATTGTATATTTCCATGTAAGAGGCAAAAAAAAAGCCGTGCTCCAGAATCTCCTGCGCCAAATTAAACATTAATCCACGACACTCCTTATTGCCAACCATTGTGTGCGTCTTTCCTGCCCCAGTGCTGCCATAGCAAAATATTGTTTGGTTATATCCCTCCATAAGCCTAGGAACAACAGACCTGAACGTCTCAAACACCTGCAACTGTGTGGCCTCAGGCCCAATAACCCCATCAAACTCATACTCAACCGCATCCCCGCCTTCCCTATCAGCAACCACAGATGTTTTGGTGTATCTTAGCTCTCTTCCTCCAGGTTTTATCCTTATATATGCCTCAATAGGTGCCTTATCCATTTCTTAAGTTTTGAGGGTGCTGAAAAACAAATATCATACGCTCAGGCTCTTGACAATGCCATATTACAGTAAGCATGCAATCCCTTAATGGCCAATGAGGATGCACAGAGCAGCAATAAGGGCATGATCATGGAACTTATCGCTATAAAGAAAAACATACTTTCGAAAATGTCGAATAAGCTTGAAGAGGTGTTTAGCCAGGTGCCTTCAGATGTCAGAAAACTGCCTCTGCTCTTGTTGATGCAAGCACTAGAAAAGAATTACATAGGCGACTCAATAATAATCAAGAAAAACGTAAAAGACAAAAAACATTCCACATCCAGAAACATAACAAAGCGGCCTTCAGTAATGCTACAAGTCGAGGATCAATCGTTTGTGTTTGACGGGTGCGCCTTGAGAATGGTTGGCATGGGAAACGGCGAAGAAGAATATAAAGGCATGGTTGATGAAATCAATAACATACTCAAAAAACACATGAGCAAAACAGCATGAGCTCACATATAAATAAATAACACCACAAAACCAATTCATTGACATAAAATACATCTCACATGGCATTACAGCTATGCAAGCATCTTTAACTTATACTTTACAAAATCGCTTTGCTCAATATTTCCATTGAATGAGTACAGAATAATAACTTTCATGCTCTTGCAATACTTAAGACCTGGAACTATCTTTGGTGTTATCATAAAAAACTGGCTGATCTTCTGTTGCTCGCTAAGATTAACAAGAATGTCATGAATCAACCTCTCGTTGTCTGCATCCATGCCCTGGTTTATTTCATCAACAAGACGAAAAGGAGATGCACTATGGCTTTGCATTGCCAATAGAAATAAAATGATCGAAACAGAACGCTCTCCTCCGCTTTGCCTATGCGAGCTTAAGACCTCTAAACTGTCTCCTGCATTAAACCTAACCATAATGTTCAGTTTCCATTTGCAAACTTCCAAATCATCAGAAACAAACTTGATCTTTCCCTCTCCTCCTGCCATCTTAAAAAGATCTGCAAACGGTTTGTCTATTTCATCCGCCAACTCACTAATTCTATCGATTACTTCGCTTTTGATTTTTGATATATTTTCTTCAATGCACTTCAAATTATCTCGGCTCTCCAGAATTTTGCGGTCTATCTGCCCTAAATCACGCATGCTTGCTTCAAGCTCATTGCTTGCTCTTTCATCTGCATTATAAAACTTCAATCGTACCATTTCTTTTGATATTTCCTCATCAAGCTCTTGTATGCTATTCGGAAGCTCTGCTAATATTAGCTCATACTCTTCCGTCTTCTTAATGCTACTAAGGACATTCTTCTTCTCATCAATAAGCTTCTTGATCTCGCGACACTCTTTCTTCTTATCAAGCACTTCACTCTCAATATCCATCAATACTTTATCAATTGACATTTTGCATTCTAACAAGGCCGATCTCTTCTTCTTTATTCCTTCTGCATCTCTAGATACCTTTTGTGCTTCACAAAACACCTCAAAGTATCTCTCATTATATAAATGCTTTTTGATCTCTTCATGCTTATCGTCTTGCATTACATCCAATTCCTCTGCTAATCTGTTTATCCTATCATTTTCTTTGGCTAGGTCGTATCTTGCTTCAAGCGTTTTCATTTCTTGCTTCTTCCTCTCAATAGTTCCATTCAACAATTTAATCTGTGTTTCCTTCTTTTTTACTTCCATGCACAATGCATCATAGCGACTCTTCTCTTCATAAGCATCCTTTAGTCGCTTATCTATCCCCTCATACTCCTCAAGAACACTCTTCAACTCTTCCTCATTCTGCCTTCGTCTTGCATTCTTTATTTCAAGCAAGCCTTCTACCTCTTTCAACTCTTGCAAAGACAGCCCCGTGGAAAACAAATTCCTGGCTTTCAAAGGATTGTCAATTATCACATAATCCTCTCCATATCTGCTTCTTTTAACCTCTATGTATCTTCCTCCTACTGCCATTCTTCTCACATTCGTCGTCTTGAACACAAAGGTCTCATCAATGCTCCGCTTACACACCGGAATCTGATCAAAATGGCCAACCACATTCAAATAATCTAAGACCTCATCCCTGCACTCTAGAAAATCGCTCAAAACACCGTCAAATCCCAACTTCATCAGCACTTCCTTTGGCACAATTGTATCGCTTGGCCTCTCATCACTACAAACAGCCTCAATCGCATTAATCCTCCATTTCTTTTCATCCTTCATGATCTCTACAAGCTTTTCAAAATCTTCAGGTAGTTTGCATATAAAAGACGATAGCGACTGGAATCCTAAAAAGTTCTCTACTTCAATTGTATAATCTGCATCTTTTATTCGTAAATGAAGAAACGGCGGTTCTATTATCTCCTCTTTGAATTGATGTCTATTTTCCCTAAGCCAGCAAACAGCTCTGTATGTATCAATGTGATACTTCTTAAGAATTTGCATTCTCATCTCTTCCATTTCCTCAGCCCCTCTTTTCTTTTTATTGAGCTCATCAATCCCACGCTTCAGTTCTCCAGACTCATGCTGTATTCTTCCTCTCTTCCTCATCAAATTAGATGCCTTTTCTTCAAGATCATAAACTACACTTGCATTAATTTCATTTGGGCATGCAGGCACCTTAATCCTACACATCTCTTCTTCAAGCCCCTCAATTTCTTTTTTTACACTTACTATCTCTGCTTCTCTCTTATCTTCCTTGTTTCTTAGACACTCTTTGTCTACCTCTAGCATTTCAAAATCGTGCTGAATTCCTTTCAGATCAATAGCAAGCTTTGCTAACACGCTATCATCTTCATACAGCATACCAATTAGTAAATCAACCCTTCTCTGCGACTCCTCACTTTTCAACTCTTCTATCTCATGCACAATCCTTGCTGCATCAGATGCTTTCTCCTCTATTTGCCTCTTCAGTGTGCATAAAACACGTTTGCTTTCCAAAAATTGCTCAAGATACTTCGCATAAATCATCCAGTTCTTCTTCTCACACATCATCTTTATTCTACTCTCTTTCTCCTCCTTCTCTTTCATCTTTCTGACATCATTTCCTAACGAACTTACCATTCTATCCACACATTCTCTCCTTTTGACCTCCATTTCAAGCTCCTCAAACACTTTCTTCTTCTCACATTCAAGATCTCCAAGCTCCTTCATCATTCCCAGTGCCTCCTTCTCTTCAGCCGCCTCAAGCACCTCAATCAGCAAGTCCTCACACGATAGCCTTGTGAACTCTGCAACCTTCTCTTGGGGCAAAATCTGACATAAGTTTCCAACATTTCCTCTCAGCCTTCGTACAACACCCTCATACTCTACCTTCTTGCACATCACTCCATCAACAAAATACTTGCTTTGGCCATCTTTTCTTATATGCCTGCCTAATCTCAGCTCATTTCCTCCATCATACACACATGCCTCAATCTCCCCAGCATCCTCTCCAAGCCTTACATACTCACCAATCGTCTTTCCTCTACCTATGCATCTAGGCGTCCCTCCAAACAGAAGCACAATCGCATTCGCTATGCTGCTCTTTCCAGATCCATTCGCTCCAACTATAAAATTGAAAGATCCACAGAAGTTCAGCACCGTCTTCTTGAATGTTTGGAAATTCTCCAACCTCAATGACATAATGCTTCCATCACTAAACCCTACCATTGGGGATTCACCTTTGCAATCCATAAACCGCAACAGGCACAACACTCCATAATCAATCAAAACTGTTTATTTCTTGCTCTCTATAATCTTCAAAGAAGACTCCTGTTTCTTGCTCTCTATAGCTTTCTGAGCAGACTCCTGCTTATTGCTCTCCACAGCCTTCCGAGCAGACTCCTGGCATCTTAGTATATATTCCTCTTTGTTTGTTTTGTACATATCTGCAATCTCAGGAGCTAAGGGATCATCTGCATTTGGATCATCAAGAAGCGTAAGAAGAGACAAAAGAATACTATTCAGCGTAAACGCAGGCGACCATTCTTTCCCAAGAATGTCTATACAAATCACTCCTGCTGAGTTAACATTCGGGTGATATATAGCCGGTTTAAATATTACCTTCGGCGGTTTGAAAGGATACTCGCTTGAAACTGATATAAGCAACTTAAAAACACCGCCTTTGTACACACTATCCTCCGGCGCCGTCAGATACGCCTCCCACGTAAAATAATCTCCAGACTTAGGCTGAACAATCTCAATGTACCTCAAGGTAGAATCCTTCCAATTGCTTTCACTATTTTCTTTTTTAAACTGCTCATACTCCTTCTTTTCTTTTTTAAACTGCTCATACTCTCTCGTTATCCTCCTTATCGCCGACATATCAAAGCCGATATGGGTTGTATTTTAATCAAAACAAATACATCCGCAATCAAGTTTCACGCATGCACAAATGCAATTGGTCACCCAAACACACCTCGCTCTAAATGAATCCACATAGGCCACGTCTGCCACATCAATTAAAACAACCCGCTCATTCGCAGATAAAACAACTGAATAGTCTGCATCACCCAGCCATATTCCATTAAACTAACTTCAAATGCACAATCCTCAATACAAGATTGTTTTTAACTCCTCAACATGGACTACACACTCACCACTGTGATGAAAATTCACCAAGGCTGGATAAAGTCGATCGATATAGATCCTTACGATGCATTTGTTGCTTCGTCATCGATGGATAGGTCAATAAAGCTGGTTGACATAAAAACCAAGCAACTACTTGCTTCTATCTCGCAGAAGTCGGTATGCGAAGACGTCAGGTTCAGCACAAAACATCCTTACCTCTTCTGTGCCTCGCTCGATGGACTCATAAGATGCTACGACCTTATTGACAGAGAGTTCATAAAAGAATATTACGGCCACATGTCATCTGTATTGTGCCTGGATACTTGTGAGGACATGCTTTTCAGTGGATCTGCTGACTGCACAGTCAGAGGCTGGGATATAAGGAGCAGGTCTTGTACTTCTATCATGAAAGGGCATACACTTCCAATCAACCGCGTTATATACAGGCACAGCAACGTGTACAGCTGCTCAATGGACGGATGCATAAATGTCTGGGATGAAAGAAACACCAGGTCTTGTGTTGCAATGCTAAGCTCAAGCGCATCAGACATGTGCTTCTGCGGAGACACATTGTTTATATCAAACAGCAAAGCAGTATTCGAATGCAATCAGCCTTCAGATGCTGTATTGCAGATAGATACACTTTGCCTACAGCATTACGATAATCAGCACTACATCATCGGTTCTGAAGAGTTCATACTCATCAAGTCAAAAAACACAGGCATACCAGACCACAGAATCAATATCTTCGGAATGGCAAATACTCTGAAGGCAACAAGCGACAGAACAAAAATAATCGTGGGTGGCACAAGCAAAAATATGGAGTTCTTGGAAAAAAACGAACATGGCATTTAATCACTTCAACATCGAAATAACCTCATGGATCCTTCCTCTCCACCTACTAAACTTCCCTCGGATCTCCATTATTTCCTTGACTTGCAATGTTCTTGGCGCTAGACTATCAAAATAAAGAGCATCTTCCTCTCCATTAATCCATCCACAGATCAGCTTCAGCCCAAGCGATTTCATAACTATGTAAATCACCACCTTCCTGGGTATCTTCAGCGCCTCTTCAATTTTTCTTATAGATATCTTCTTCTCTCTCTCTGCAAAGCAAAGATTCGTCAACGCTATCATATACATCTTTTCTTTTACCAGCTCAGAATTCGCCCCAAACTTCTCCACAAGCTTCTTGCTCATCCTTTCAAGCTCATCAATGTTGCCCTCCCTAAACAGCACAAACATCTCCTTTAGGTCATTGCTTTTGATGTTGCTAAAGCATGGCAACGATGTTATTGCTGTGAAGTTAAAAAACTCCTTGCTCAGCATTCCATACTCTACAAGAACATCCGTCATATCGCTCGCATTAGTCAGCTTTATATACTTAAGCAAATGCAAAAAAGACGCCTCAATATTCCCGATTCCCTGATAAAGCTTAAATCCAACAAAGTTGTGCATCGCCTGCATTTCCTTTCCCATCTTCATTCTTCTCCACTCAAATAGTCTTGTTTCTATGCCCTTGAGCTCATTCATTTCAATCAGAAGTAAGCATTTCCTCATCTCCATCATTGTCTTTTCTGCTTCAAAGTCCTCAGAGTATAAAACACAATCTGATATTATCTCTTGCCCTTTAGCTAGTAGATCTACTCCGTCCTTCGGCGGTAGTTTCGCCGCTAGAACCAGGAAAACCTCACACGATGTCCTTGGATGAATCAGGCTTACATTTTCAAGAAAAATACTCAAAAGCACGTCTGTAGAAACGGCATCAACTGAATCCACAATCAGTCTGCAGAACTGCATCCACTTCCTCTGCCTCTGAAGCTCCTGTATCTCCTCAATTCCCATTTGAGGGCGCACATAAACAAACTTTTATCTTGCTCGTTTCTGCATTGTGCATCGTGCATCTCATCTATAAGCTGCTCAATGTGCCACTGCCGTATCAATTGCAATCATAGTGCTCAGGAAACACACATCAATCAACAGCAGCATCTTTCATAAATAAATTCGCATAATGCCTGTTCATTTGTGAAAGATGTATACCTCATTGGCTTGCGCCATAAATACACACCACAACAAATAAACAATGAAAGCAGTGCCAACAATTGTGAGAAACCTCGGAACAATCAACTCCGCTACAGGTATAGGCTTTTCTTCTGTGCCAGATCAGGTAAGGGAGCGATCAATTGCCAATGGATTTAAGTTGAACGTGCTAGTTGTCGGAAGGCGTGCGCTAGGAACCTCTACGCTGATCAATTCTATATTTGCTGCTCCGTTGGTTGATAAAAACAGGCCCAACTCAATCACCATCACAAAGAATGAAATCATAGAAAACAACATTTCGCTCGACGTGTCCATAGTTACATATCATGAGCTCGACATGACGCCCGTCATTGAATACATAGATGCAATGAACAAGGATTATTTTGAGAACGAGCAGGGTCCATACAAGACATTCAAGGACAACAGAATACACGCGTGCTTATATGTTCTTCCATCAGATTCGCTAACTGTGCATGAAATAAACAACATGCATGCTCTCTCCCAAAAATGCAATCTTGTGCCTATAATACCAAAAGCAGACATGTACACGTCCGAGGAGCTCATGCAAGTCAAGCAAAACGTAAAACACCTTCTGTTTGAAGCCAACATTCATTTGTTTGTTCCGTACGTAAGCGAAAACGACGGAGATTTAGCCGCCGAGCTCATGGATATAATCGATAATATGCCATTCGCCGTGATTGCCAGCGAAACCTTGTATGAGCAAGATGGCGACATTATCCGAGGAAGAAAGTATCCATGGGGATTCATCAACATAGACTCAGAAGACTGCAACGACTTCAAAAGACTCCAAAGGCTGCTTATCTACACAAACCTTGATGAGCTAGTCACACGAACAAACCACACATTCTACAACAACTACAGAGCAAAAGTATTCGATTTAGAAAACGGGTGTGGTGCAATGAAGGAGGCAAGATATCTGAAGCTACGTAAGGAAATGATAAAAATTCTTAATGAAAAGTACGAAGCCAAGATAAATGCACTCAAGAAAGAAGAGGCAGAAATGGACAGGCTCTTTAGCAGCCAAGCAAACGAATCAAACGGAGCCTTACATGAAATACGAGACCAAATTGAAAAGTCGCTTCGAGTAGAGTAGGCTTTATGATTGTATCTGGTTTATTGAAATCATGAGTATTCCGGCATCCTTACAATACGCATGCATTTTTGATAAACTTTTTGAAATTCATCACCTTTCGTTCACCTTCTTCGTACTCTACCAGCTTCCACAGTCTCAGTGTCAAGTGTGGCCCCACATTTTCCATTATCGGGCCTTTTTCTCCAAAACAGTATTTGTACAGCCTAAAGTACAGAAAGTCTCCTTCTACTGTAAAGTTTGCAACTTGCCTCGACTCCTGTGCAAATGGAAAAAGCTCCGTAAGAAACTCCGCAACCTTCATTCCAACATCGGTTTTAAAGTTATTTACTACCAGCTGCGGCGGATCGGTCTTTGAAATCGGCCTGCACACACCCATGTATGCTCTCGACTTGTAGTGAATGATTTTGAACACTAACTCCATCCCTGCATTCTTTAGCAATATCCACTGCGGCTTGATATCTTGAACTATGCGTATTCTTAAGTCAATACCATCCAAATCATCCGTAGTACTACTGCATGCACTTGGAAATATACACATGAGCTCCTCTACCAAAGCTTCAGTTTCCTTGTGCATAGCTTCGGGAATTTGTATCACTATCTTCATCAGCTAGGGATTTCTTTTCTTCACAAATATCACTGTAAAGTACATAAAGTCGTTTAGCCAGCTATTGATGTGTCTCTAGGCACCAGTTATTTGCAAAACAGTCTAGTACAATACTGCCATGACCATTCGATATTCGATGCACAGGCCTGCAGCATGCTTCAGTTATTCGTCTCTGAAACGGTAAATCGGAAGCATCCTTTTAACGGAGGCTTGACTTTCGACCTATACACTTTTGTATATGCAATCATGTCAATGACGGCATTTGCAACAGAAACCTCGTGCTCATAGAATTTTTCAAGTAGCTTTGCTGCTCTGCCTGCACTTGACCGAGGTATTTCTTTTGCCATGAAAATCGCATCATCGATTCGTCTTTCCTCCAGTGCTCTGCTCAGAGCATTCAGATTGGCGTTCATGGGGTAGTGCTGCTCTATGTTAATCAATTCTGAAGAATAGCCCCACACATGGCAAAAAGGCCTTTGAGTAAGTACGTGAGTGTGGAAGCGTCTGAGGACGACTCTGAGCAGAGCAGCGAGGATATAGATGACATCCAGGAGGCTGCTATTCCCACAAGGAATTGGAAGAACATTGCAAGGGAATTGGAGGAAAAGTATGCAGACGTTCCTGACGAGGAAGACAGTGATGAGGAAGATACTGTGGAGCATGGAATAAGACAAGCAAGTTTAGTGCCAAGAAGTACGTCTCCTAGGCTGTTTATTGTGCGAGTAAAGCGAGGTGCTGAGAAGGATGTGCTGATGAAGATTGTGGAGAATGAGCCAAAGAATGTGTTTGGTGTAGTGTGCAAGGACGGGCTCAAGGGATATATTTATATTGAAGCTTTTCAGAAGCAGCACGTGATTGATGCGTTAGGATCGATCCGAGGAGTCAGTCGTACAAAAATATCCGTCGTTCCTCAGAAGGAGATGATTGAAGCAATGACGTATTGTAAGCCCGAGGCATACGGAGAGTGGGGCAGGATAACAAAGGGTAGGTATAAGGGCGATTTGGTGAAAGTAATTGGTGTAGATGGCGACATGGTAAGAATCAGGGCGCTTCCGAGGATTGAAGGAGAGAGGAAGCTTTTCAAGCCTGAAGATTTCAAAAGCCAAGAAGTTATTAGGTCGAACGGATACTACATCTACAAAAGAGACACATACTCGGATGGGTTTTTGGAAAAGGATGTGCTGAGAAGCACAATTGATTTTGGAGCGGAGCCAACACTTGAAGAGCTTGAGATGTTCCTAGTGCCTTGCACTGTTTCTGTAGGAGACAGAGTTAGGGTTTGCAGGGGAGAGCTACTTGGCATGAAAGGTGTTATCAAGAGCATCAACGGCAGGATTGCAACTATTGAAGGGGATAAAGGAAGATTTGAAATGGAAAGCTCTGATGTTTGCAAGCACTTTGAGGTTGGAGAAACTGTTTCATACAAAGGAGAGAATGGAATCGTTGTAAATATAAATGATAAACAGTGTGTAGTTGCCATGCACGACTTTACTGATGAAGTCAATGTAAGCATCGACGACTTGAAGATGGCAGTGGCAGAAGGAAGTAGAGCAGCTGGAAAGGTCGGACCAATAGAACGAAAAAGAGTAAAGAGAGATCCTCTGATTAATAAGGAAGTGCAGGTGCAGGTTGGGGAATACAAGGGGCATGTGGGATTGGTTAAGGATATAGATAGAAACATATGCAGGATACAGCTAAATTCCAACATGAGGTTTGTAAATGTCGAAAGATGCCATGTGATTGTTTTGGACTACCAAGCATCTGCAAAGCCATCAAAATATAACGAGCCAAGTGCCTTTGCAACACCAGGATACAAAACACCCGGATATAGAACGCCAGGGTATAAGACGCCAAGCATAACCGCCGATGATGTCGGAATCGAGTGGTTAAATGAAGATGATAAGCCATACAAAGGAGCACTGATAAATGTTCTTGGAAAGGAAGTTGTTATTGAGGACTATCAAAACGATTTATTCATTACCAAGGACGGAATGTTTGCGAACGAAGATGTTGCATTCGTTCAGCCTCAGAAAAATGATCTTGTCTGTATACTTGATGGTGAGAGAAAAGGCATCACCGGAATTCTCATAGCTGTAAATGGAGACTCGGCAATCATAAGATCAGCTGGCGGGCCTGTAATACACATTCCGATGAGTTGCATATCAAGAAAGATGTACTAGTAATCGATATGGAAAATAGCTAATGTGCAATACGCAAAAATCGAATTAATATTAATCTCCTGAATTAAAGAGTATTTGCAATGCATAGTGTTTCTGCATACATTTGATAATTAAAGACTTCATATCTAATCACAGCTAGTGTGCACTGTTTTATTTATCCATTCTGACGGCATAGACATCACTCAAAACTCCGCACAAAGTATTCATTGCAATGCTACTTGCTGCTTTCCTCATTGCTTTCCATTCCCCACTTGTCATCCCAGCCATCCTCAGACTCTTCTTTGGAGTTTGACGGCTCATTTAAAGCAGGCTTGCTTCCGTTTGGATCTATGTCCAAAGCCGCTTCTGTGGATGCTACCAATCCATCCTCTTCACTATCTACAGTTTTTATTAATGGTGTTGAAGCTATAGATTCAACCGCATCACTCTGAACTCCTTGCGTAATTGCTGTTTCAGCATTTATAATGCCGGCCGTTTTGTCTAGCACTATGTTGTTGGCTGTGGTCTCTTCATGCGATATACTTACCGCCTTTATACCATTTGCATCGTCTATAGGCTTACCTTTCAATTCACTCGTACTATTCTTCATTTTTTCTGCTCTTATCCGTCCTTCTTTTATAGTGGTCCCCCTCCTGGATTTACAGCACTCCTTTGGATGCTCATCAAAAAGCCTCTTTATAAAGCACGGAGTCCGGAGCACATCCTTACCCCATCTAGGATACACATCCTTAAAATAATAGAACAGGTGCCCAACAAATATTCCAAGAACATCGTCTATCGAGACAGACTTTCTGGAGATTAATGTAAACCCAGGCAGAATAAACGGCAAGTAGAATGCTGGGAAAGAAATAAACCCAAATATCTGCACCATTGCCCGTGGATTCCTCTTGGTCCAGATATATGTTATTGTTGCCGAAAAAGAAGCTCCAAGCATCGGAATCCTGTAGATGTTTGAAATAGCAAACAACGCACCAGATATTACAGCTATCAGCCAGAAATACTCGGAAATTCCTCGGCATCCACTCTCAAGCATACAAGAGTAGCGGTACAGAAAGATTATGTGCATAAACACATCAAGTGTTGGCCTTCCAAAATACATAAATGGCGTGACCACCCTCCAAACCTCAAACTTCTTTAGAAACAATGGAGAGTAGTAAAGGCTGTATGGTGAAATCACCTCCAGGCAAACTAGCAGGTTTACTATTCCTATTGCAAGTATCATGCATCTGGTGATCGGAGGAATCATAAACATCTGTCCAAAAATGAATCCATTGCTCATATGGGGATATATTTTGACAACAAACAAAAATCCTTTATTGATCTCAAGACTTTAATATCATTCCTCTATCGAGCATCCAATTTCTTCTTTGGTTCTTCTTGAATTCATAAATGGCTTGTAAACCCATTCAATCTCACCCTCTTGCTCAAATGTTCCTTTCCGTATTTCATATATTTTTAGATCCATGCCAAAGCTCTTGCTCAGAGACACCTTCAGTCCTTTCTCTATCATGTAATGCCTGAATGCAATACTCTCATTCCTGTTAACCAGGCTCACCACCCGTTTTGCATCTTCGCATTTCGGGAACAGCAACGACATCTTCTCCTTTACCTTCTTTCCAATAGTGCCTTCCATGTTGTCACATACAAAGTATGCCTTAGGCCCTACAGAAAACGACCTTTGTGTCACAAAATAATCCACAATCGTAAACCGCATTGTAAATCCATAAGGAAAATATGAAATCACCAGACCCACTGGGCGGCCTCGGTTTTCATGTGCAATTATCACACAGGTGTATCCATGGTTATGCGCCTCATCGCTTATGTCAGATTCACATTTTTGCCCCCTCAGAAAATGCTCTGCATTTAGAATCAACGACAGATTCTTTGAAAAGTACAAAAGCTGGGAGCTTGGGTTTCTAGATGTTGTTACCATCGCCTTCGGAAGTCTATACTCTTCCTCCACCTTCCCATCATAAATAATCTCATTCAGCAAACTCGCTGCATCTTTCTTCAATCCATGCGGAATCTTCGAGTTCGACTCAATCTTCTCCTTTATAACATTTTTCTTCTCTTCCATCTCTGCATCCTTCATTTCTCTCTCTCTTCTCATCATGTATTCTTTCCTCTCTCTCTTGCGCTTGTTCATCAAGGGCTCAAAACGCACCATGCAAAACTACGCCATCTGCTCATGCATATTCGTAGTGCAGCATACTCACACTCTGTCATAAAGCATCCTTGATGTCCTCTGCTTCACTACGGCGCATCATCTCATTACTACGTAGCAAACCATCAGCGAACACTTTTGCCAAACCTCTTAGCCCAAATCCATAAACATCCTCCTTGTAAAACCTCACAATCTCCTTCAGATGCAGCTGCAAAATCTTCAATGCTACTCCATCCTCAGAAACAGCACTGCTATAATTACTATCATAAAACTTCATCAATGCATACAGTACCCTGCGAATCTCGTCTTTATCATCCATCTTCAGTGTTTTAGAATGCCTCCAGATAAGTTTCAGCAATATTTCTTCCTTAGAGCACTCTAACATCTCTAAATAAACCTCAAGAATCTGGCTTGGCTTCGAGTTCAGGCACAGATTAATCAGTATCTCTCCAACAAGCATACTGTCCTGTGCAGAAATACTTGGTAAGCCCTTCCGCATCTCTTCACTCCTTCCATTCATTCCATGCTTCTTCATTATCTTAATAAGATCAGAATTTGCCCCAGAAAGTGTTTCCTTTCTCAGATGCCTGCAAAAAACTTGGCTTTGGCTAAGCTTGAAAAAAACCTGTAGAATCAGTGAGGAAAACAAACCATCGTGAAGGACATCAAATAACTGGATCGAAATCGAACTCACTATCGAATTCGAAAACGCCAGTAGCTGCTCCAAATCCGTATCAATAATGCTCATAAGCCTTTTGAACGCAACTTTGCTTACATTCGGGTTCGAGTCAATAAGATAGTCAAGTACAACACCCAGTCCTCCCTCCTCCTTCCTAGATTCATTGGTAAACTCGATGCTTCTCCTAATCTTCTTGCTATTCGGTGTTCCAAGCCCAGATGCCGAGTGGATGCTCAATGCATCAAAAGACGCTTCAATATCTACTTCGTCAACCACAAACGATTCATTCTGTACAAACGGTGCATTCATGTATTCTTCAGCATTGCCGCAAACCCCTCTGCTTACATACTCAGGTAGCTCAACCACCTCTTCTCTTCCTTCACTTGGAGTCTGCATCTTTTCATCAGCATCAGCTTCCTTCGTAGACATAAAACTACCTTCAAGCTCATCCACAAAACTCAGGAAGTCAGGACATCCCTTTATCACATCATCAACAATTACTCCTCCATCCCTTCTAACTCCATCAATAAACATCTTCTTATTCCCTCTAAACATCTTGTATTTCTTGACTAGCTTCAATATTTCATCATTCGATTGCTTGCTTCCTATTTTCTGATATACAAGAAACAGCTTGGTCACAGGATACACCCTATCCATCATCTTCAACTCCTCAAACATACCCTCCTCAAGCAGATACTCAACAAGCTGCTTGCATTCACACTCCTTCAAAATATACTTGCTCGAAATAAATGAAAGCAGCATCGAATTAATCGGTGCTTCTGGTGCTTTCGATTTCACCATATAGTCTATAAAAAAATCACTCACTGCCACCTTGTCAATCCCATCAAACATCTCAACTACCTTATGAAATAGATCCCTATCCATCTTTTCAATAAAATGCTTCGTAAATACATCCTCTCGCGCTCCACTTCCCTTAACTCTTTGCTTATTGAAACTCTTTACAAAAACTTCAGAATTTCCTTGTGCACATTTTCTCTTGCTGCTGCTTGAGCTATCCCCTGCTGCCTTTTCTTTTGCTTTGTCTGCAACTTTCACCTCCTTCATACTATTAGCATCATCCAGCACTGCATTCTCCTTGGGCTTTTCCTGCATCAGATTCATCTTAATATCGCTCGGCCTCGCTTTTATTTTCTCACTCGTACCAATTGCTTCTCTATCTCCTGCTCTCTCAGCAATCGTCTGCTTCTCGCTCTTATAACTTACAACTACACTCTCCGCTTTGCTCTGCTGCTTGTTTGCTTCGCTTATCACCTTTCGAATCTTCTGCAATATTCCCTGGTCAGTTATTACCTCAAAGACATCTCCATACTTTCCATAAACACTGCTCACAACCTCAATCGCTTTCCCACGAACTTCTCCAACAGGATCCATCATGCAATCTCCGACCTTCTTCAGAAACATTCTATCCTTGCATCCCTTCCTCATCGAATAGTCTAGCAGGTTATACCGCACACAGGGATTCCTATGGCTAAGATACTCGGCATTCCCTGCATCAAGCCTAAATCCAAGGCACTCAAGAACATCCTTGATTTTCTCGGGCCCTCCTCCTTTCTTCTCCTTGAGCCTTTCAACAAGCCCCCGGATAATATCTGCATTCCTTGGCTTAGCATCTTTAATCACTTCAAGAGCCATCAAAAACACTTGATTGTTCACATCTCCAATTCTTCTACTCAAGAGCCTGCTGATCTCTCCCGTACATTCCATATTCTTCGAAATCCTCTTTAGACTCTTCATTGCCTCCAGCCTAACCTTCCAGTTCTCATCCTCGCAATCCTTTAACACTTCCAAACATACATTCTCAGGTTCACAGCATACCTCTTCACTGCACACAACCTCGCATTTCGCAAACTCCTCCATCAGCTCCTTCTTTTGAATAGGCTTCAGCCCATCTAAATACGCCAAAACAGACTCTCCGTTTCTCTTGTACAGCTCCACACAAAGCTTAGCTCCCTCATTCCGCACTCCTTTGTCCGTATTGCCCATCACCTCCGCTAGCTTCTTGCCAACTCTTCCCAGATCACATCCTCTCTTCCTAACAAGCTCGCTAGTAGCCTGTACAGCTGCCGATACACTCTTTGGCGACTTTCCGCTCATTAGCTCACAAAAAACTTCAGCCAGCCCCTCTGTATCCTCAATATTATCAATAAGCGCATCCATCCGTGCCTTGACACTCGTCTTGGCATTCCCAATGTTCAGAAATATCTTCTTAATGTCGCCAACACAAAGGTCCCGTACATTCAGAAGCGCATCTATCGCCATCTCAAGTGCCGGAATGTTACTTTCATTCTGCATCACCCTAACAACCTCCCTATCCACCTCTCCTCCGTCTCGCCAAATCCCACGAAGCTCCTCATACACATCCAGCCTATCCTTCCAGCTCTTCGATTTCATCCTTGCCAATATCCCTGAACCATGACTCTCGATCTCATTCATTCCCCTCCACACACCTTTTTTATTTATGTCCAGACATTTATTTACACATCGGCATTTCCAGCCTTCCTCTATGCACTGAGCATTCGCATCCGTCCATAATCCCCAGAAAACCAACACTCCGCTAATATATTTATTTTTTGTTCTCCTCCTTGATGTAAATGCACTTAATGTCCCTCCAGGTGCACTCTACATCCATAACATCCAGCCTAGACATAAATTTGTATCCTCCTTCTGTGTTTGGCATAATAAGACATCCATACATCACAGGCGCATTATTAAATTTTTCAATCTTGTCCTTCAGTGTATCCATCAGAAACTTACGCACTCCATACCTCAAAATCCTCAGAAACGGAACATAGCCCCCCATATCGTTCAAATATTTCAGGTATGCCTCTCGCTCATACTGCTTGAAACTAGAGTCGCTCAGGTCAAATATCTTGACATGGTCGTTGTCAGACGTCATTAGGATGGCCTTTGTCTTTACAACATCATAGTCCTTCCACATCCCATTGACCAATTTGCTGCTGTCAATCGTCATTTTAGACTCGTTGGTATTCTGGTCATATATATATTTTTTTATCTCGTCGTTGTTGTTCCTTTGGATCAGCCCGAAATCATTAGTCGGTGCTCTAATAAAGCCGAGATCAAACGCCAGCCATGCAATCAATCCCAAAAGCGCAACCTGTATTACAAACAAGTACTTGTTAGTAGTACTCGCACTGATCTTCTTCGCCATATACACGTATGGGTATCCTTTTCATTTCCCTAAATCATTTGCAGTATCCTCCAATCAAGCTCATAAAGGAGACTCGCTTTCATCACTCAAAAATCATGCTTTCACCGCCCTTATATTTGCAATGAGCCTCCTCATAAAGCTAAATAGGAAATACATGCTGGTTCCTAAAATCCTCTACCTATCAGCCAGCATGCAACACTATATGCTACATAAGTTCAGATATCTTTTTGCCAAGGAAAAGTTCGGTATCGCCGAGAACCAAATATGGTACATAGGAGTCATATTCTTCATCGCATTCTTTGTAAACATATTGTTCGCAACGATTAACGATAAGTTCAGGAAGCCAAAGATACTCATGGCATGCATGGTGCCTCTGTCTGGAGTATTCTTCCAGCTATTTTACATAGATGCATACATAAGAGCAGCCGGCATGTTTTGGATAAATCTGTTTATGTACATTACGGTTAACACCGCGATTCCTGTTCTGCTCGACAAGGTTGTGCTTGACTATCTCAACAAATTTCCAGACACGACGTCCAAGATGTATGGAAGACAAAGGATTTGGGCAACCATTGGATATATGGCTTCAACATTCACAGTTGAGGGCATCCTTCGGAAAAACAAAGAAGGTGCAGATGTTGACTTTTCTGGCCTACCGTATTACTCGGCAGCAATAACGCTCGTCAATCTTCTTCTTGTTGTGGTTTTTGTAGAAAATCCTAAAGATTCCATAGATCCTTCCAAAGTCAATATGATGTCTGAGTGGAGGGAGCTCATACGCAACAAGGAGTATCTGTTTTTTATTCTGATCATTCTGATGAATGGAATCACACGCTCTGGAATGACCATCTATCTTCCTGTGTACATAACAGAGGTTCTGAATGTCAAGCCATATGTATTGCCTGAGGCTTGGGAGAATGATGCACTGCCAACAGATTGGGCCTTGTACTTTTGCCTCAGCACCTGGATGCTACTGATTAAGAAAGCCATAAGCGCGCTTAATAGATTTCCGCTGAGCACCATTGCTGTGTTTGAGATATTGCTGGAAATGGTTTCCTTGTTCTATTCGCAGGCAGTTATTCGCAGAATGGGATTGATATGGCCACTTCTGCTAGCACAAACGTCTCAGATAATTAGGTTTTCTCTGTATCTGGTCCTTCCGTATTCTCATCCTCATGTTTTTATATTCTGTTGCATCTTTGAGATATTCAAAGGAATCAACTTTGGGTTAACGCACGGGTCTGGGGTACAGCTTGCCGAGAAGCTGTGCTCTCCACACTTGAAAGCCACGTCTCAAGCAATTTATCACGGAGTCTTTGGAGCAGTGGGATCTGTATCTGCAGGACTACTATTTGGACATGTATTCAGACACAGCAAGCCGGACGGAATAGAAAGAGTTTCTGACGAACGTATTCAGTCTTTTAGAACGTTTTTCATGTTGAACACTGCGATTGCATGTGTTTCTATTGTTTTAGTTACTATGAGATACGGGTCTGGCAGTAAGAAATTTTATAATAAACTTTTTTGAATTGTTGTTGGAGTATGAAATATATGGTGTATTCTGCAGATGCATATCTGACAAATTTGTAGAGCATACGCACAAAGAATACAAAAATGAATATGGGGTGGCATTGAATCAGCATAGTGTGTCTTTGCCAGCTATCATGATAAATTTGAAAACCTATGAGATTGATGCCTGAGATTATTGTGATTTAATCTATCTTTGAATATAAATATTGAGGTATTGTGTTGAATATATGATAGGGTCTGCCAGGAAGATAAACAGAAAGTATCTTCTGACACCAAAGGTGCTATATTTCCTTGTGAATCTTCAGTACTACACTCTTCATCAATTCAGGGGAGTGTTTGCAAAGAAGAAGTTTGGTGCCTCAGATGGCGACCTTGCATATTTCATAGGGCCAATGCTTGGAACGGTTTTCTTCACGAACATATTGATTGGAGCAATGAACGATAAGTATGGAAGGTCTCATCTGTTTATAATAAGTGCTCTTCTGCTTACATTTCTGTTCTTGCAGTTGTTTTTTGTCGAAGCATATATGACGATGGTTCCCGGAATGTCTATATTTTGGTTTAATCTTTTTCTGTACATGGCCTTCAACAATGGAATTCCTCCTCTGCTTGACAAGGCTGTTCTTGACTACCTGAACGAAATTCCTGAGGCAGGAGCAAGGGAGTTTGCAAAGCAAAAGCTATGGGGAACTGCAGGCTATGGGGTATCCTGCAAAGTAATAGAAATGTGTATTAAGTTTGGAGAAGAGTTCAAGTTTGGGAACCTAAGGTATTATTCATTGGTAACAACGATTTTGTCTGCATCTGCTGTGTTTCTGTTGCTCAGATCTCCAGCCAGAGAAGGCACAAGCACTAGAAGCGACATCCTTGCAAACTGCAAAGAGCTGCTGCGCAACGGATCGTATCTTTTCTTCATATTCATTATCCTGCTGAATGGAATAACAAGGCAAGCACTGTCAATCTACCACGTTGTGTATCTTACAGAGATTTTACAGATCAAGGGATATGAGCTGCCGGCAAGCTGGCCGTCTTGGCTTCAATACTTGGTTGGGTTTTTTAACGAGTCGCCTGTTGCAACAGCAACGTTCTGCGGAATGGCTTTTGAGGTTGTGATGCTCTACCACTTCCCCAAGATAAGCCAGAAGATTGGTCTTGTATGGCCATTTTTCATCGCACAGCTTTTCCAGATACTCAGGGTGATCTGCTACTTCATGCTAGACTACAACAATCCTCATGTGTTTATGTATTGCTGCTTGATTGAGCTAACAAGAGGAGTGTACTTTGGATTACTGACGCCGTCTGCAGTTCAGTTGGCAATGAATCTGTGCCCTCCGCATCTGAAGGCCACGTCGCAGATGATCTACCACGGAACATTTACTGCGCTTGGATCTCTTGCAGCATCAGCAGTGTTTGGAAGCCTGTTTTCTGAGGCAAAGATGAAAGGCGCAGATATTTCACTGGAAGAGAAAGCTTCGAACTACAAGGTGTTTTTCTTGGTCAACATTGCATTTGCATGCGCAACAGTGGCGCTATTTTCGTATAAATACTTCTTCCTCGATAGGATTTCAAGAAGGAATGCAGAGGTCGAAAAGAAGGAGCTGAATGGGAGGCAATCAATAGCAGAGTCTCAGCAGAAAAATACAATTGTAAGTAAATAGTGTTTGTTTGTTATTGTCTGGTTGTATTGTATGCTTACACATGTAGTTGCATCTCGCCAATGCCCTGGAGATGGATGATCACATAAACAAAGAGCTTTCAAGATCCGACTTTTCGTCACTGGAAGATCTGAAAGAGCACATCCGTTCTGTCCAGGTAATGGTGAGTAAATACGAGAAGCAAATGTATGAGTCAGACAGCTACAATGACTCATGTAGAAACAAGATAAGAGAATGGAGAAACAGGCTTTATCAGATTGCACAGGAAAATAAAAATGCACATGAAAGCCTAGATAATGTAGATGAGCTTGAAAAGACAGCAAGGCTAGTTCATAGGCAAATCAGTAAAGCCGATACTAATCAAAATGTACTTGATAAGAGCACATTGAAGCTCATGGGCCTGAATTACACCAGTAAAGATATTGAAAATGCACTTGCAGAAACAAAGAAAAAAATGAAAAAGAACAAGCAGCAGGAAAGAGTAGAGGTGCTCCTACTAACGGGTGCATTTGTTCTATTTGTCTGTGTGTGCATTCTAATACTTTTTGACAAGCTTGTTTCGAAAACCTGAAGTTTGTTTCATTCGTTGTATTTAACCAGCACGATTGATCGCTGCATCATGGGACTTATTAATCTTATCTTGCACATTTCTAATCTGGCTGTTTCGCTAGCCATTCTTTATATCAGTCTGAACAACCAAAGCAAATCTGTAGAGCTGGTCAATAGCAAGCCTGGTACATATACACCAGATACTGCTTACTCCGCGCACGCCCAATCGATGAATGCAAAGGACGAGATTTCGGTTACTGCAGACATCAAGGAGGATGTTACTACAGCCAGCGCTATTGAAGACAAGAAAGGAGGAGACAGTGATGTGCTGACTGATTCTTCGCAGGCACCTGATAGTGCGTCCTTGGTCAATAACAAGCTGGGGTCATCGGGAATGATGTCCAAAAGCCGCCTGATGGCAAATCCATCTGCATTACTAATGTCGATGAAGCACAACATTAATTAAAGTGTTTTCTTTCAAAGGTCTCGAATATGAAGCGATGCTGGAAAGAGAAGTGAAACACACATCACATCAATACAGTGTTTCAATATTGCATGATATAATAATGCAGAAACAACAATTGTGAATAAATGCTACTTTCTTTTCTTGCAATGCACTATTCGGTAGCTGCGATTGCAGAGTATTACAATCAGCATTCCATTCCGTACGAAGTCAGCAATGCAGAGGATAATAAGTATAATCAATATAGCATTGAGTCTTCAACAACATATAGCGACGCACTTGATACAGAATACAGCAATCAGTCTTCGATCGCATCAGAAAGCAGCTACAACAGCCACTCCACAGACAATGCATATCTGCCCACCCCTATCAAATCGTTGAAAATCGGAAAGTTCAAAACCAATCCCGAAAACATCGGCATGCTGCTTGACAGAGAAATGGCAGACATGAGCCCCGGCCTCCATGAAAAGCTTGTGAGCACACTGGCACATAATGGAGTCGACAGAAAAAAATATAGAGATCTGGTTATGATCAGGAAAAGAGTCACCGACGACGGAAAGCGAAAGGTGGTCAACCTCAATGTTAAAGAGAAAATAATACCAAAGGTATTCCAGGATGATGATTTTGTGCCCAACAACGATTTCATAACAAGAGCACTCATCGGAGGAGCCATGTTCTTCTTGACAGGCCTTGCATTCACCACAACTTTGAAAATGTATCGCAGCATAATCAAGAAAAAATATCTTGGTATTGACAGCAAAGCCGAAATCTTTTCAGAGCCAAAGTAGAAGCACCTGTCTTTGGCATTTCACAGCAAAAATTACCTGAAATAACAGTATTACACAAATTAAACCTTGAAATTTTATTAATCGTCATTGTTATGATTAGACTCGTCACCATTGTTATCTGCTCCCTCGTCTTTCATGTCATCTTTATTTCCCCCGTTGCAGCACTCATTGCCCTCGCAACACTCCTCCTTTTCACAGCATTCCTCTTCATTCTTCTTCAAATCAGCTTTCTTCTCTGCAACTTCCTCTTTGGCCTTGCCAATATAGAAGTGTATGTCCTTCAAAATATTTACTGCAATCCCCTCATCAAAACAGCCTGCATTGAAAACATTCAGATCAAACGTTTTCAAACATTCTTCGGTTTTGTAAAGAAGGCCTTGCAGCTTGTAGAAGCTCGGCGTAAACATCTTCGGATTCTCGCTCTTAAACTCATTCACCATGTCTCTTCCGTTCTCAAGGGCACTCACCACATTCTGCTTGCACTCACTAAGTTTTGCCGACACAAACCCAAGCTTAGATAGCAAATCATCCCTTATCTTCTCCTCTTGCTTAACCGTATCAGGAAGTGGAATATCAAACAAATCCATTGTAATCTCTTTAACACAATTAATCTCCTCCTCATTGAAAACATTGCTGAACCTTGTCGAAAGAGCATCCCCAAGGCCAACAGCCATCGTTTCTAACTCATTTCTCATTGCCCCAACCTTCTCCCTCCCAAGCTCGCAATCTCTATATTCCTCCTCCAATGCCTTTATTTCGTTCATCTCCTCATCAGAAAGCGCAAAGCACTCATACCTGTAGTCAACTGCCTCAGCCCCATTGCCTGTCTTCGTAACATTCACTGCAGCCACACACACCGTTCCAAGCTTGCTGATCGCCAGAGACACATTCACCGCCTCTACCTCTTCACTATCCCCCTTCTCTACTCTCAGGACAGATATCACCTCTCCGTCCTCAATCACTTCCAAATCAAATCGTCCCTTTCTGTAGTAAGTAACCATCTTCGCGTTCCCTCCAATAACTTCGTCTGCTTTAAACACCACCGTTGGCTTCACATCTTCACCCTGCATCTTCACACATATCTCCCTTCCAACTATCTCGTTCAACGAAAATTTTGTCCTCAGCGACCTGCATGCCATCCCAAGCGCTGATCCTATTGCCGAAGACTCTGACACATCCAATGTGGCCTTATACTCCACCAATCCATCAAGCATCTCCTTAATCACAAACGAGTTTGCATTTCCTCCCGTCACCTCCACTACTCCTTCATGCATCGTATCCTCAATCACCTTTGTAACAAATTTCTTGAGCTCATTCGCTTCCTCATTCATCGCTTGTCTGTACTCTTCCTGCGTAACTACCACATTAATCGCATTGTCTGTAATAAACATATGTAGGCTGCAGCTTTCTGTTGAGTTCAATGTCGTCTTGATTTTGTCAAGATTCCTTCTTACCTTCTCCCTTGTCAGTGCATTCCTTTCGAGCGCATTCTTCCTTATCACCATCTCAATCAGTTTCTCATCAAACTGCATCGATCCCGTCTTCACTACATTCATATACACCGGCTTAAGAACATTCTTTTCAAACTTAAACATCCCTGCCGTCGTCTTCGAATATCCAAAATCAAGCACCAGAAAACTCTCAGGCATATTCTCACGCCTAACACAAGCAAACATTCCAATCGCAGACACATCAGTAACTATCTCCTCAAGCTTAAACTCAACTGCATTCGCTATGCCGCTCAGAATTCGCCTCTCCCTCTCCTTGAAATACACCGGCACCGTCATGCATATCGGCGGGTGCGTCGGAGTACTGCTATTTACTATCCTGTCAAGATACTTCATAAATATCCCCATGTCTGCCCTTCCTTTGCTGTCATTCAGCTCATCTCGGAAGCTTCGCCTTCTCCGTTCAATCATCTCATTCACATCGCTCGTTACTGCATTTCCAAACCTACGAATCGGCTTGCTCAACTCCATGATCGTCCTTATCCCACGCTTCCCCTGCTCGTCGCTGTACACCTTCCCATTGTCCCTCGATGAGGCAATCAAAGTTTTGTAGTTCCCAACATCAATCCCCACAAACTCCATTAGGGCATTCCTCTCCATTCCACTTTTATGCTTCAAAATATCTAGAAAAATCTTCGCAAACAACGGCTTCCACTGAAGCATAAAAACAATCAAACTCAACATCGCTTTATTAGTACCTCTCAAGAACATCCAACTTCTCATCAATGACATTAATCAGGTTGTAGTTCTCATTCACCAAGCACATCACCTCATCATCCTCGTCCCTAAGCATCTCAATCGTCTTGTTGTACTTGTCGCAGATCCTCTCAAACTCCTTAATGCATTCAAGAAGCTCGTCTCCTGGGCCATCGGCAACCTCCTCCTGGAACTCAGAAAGCCATTTCTCAAAAAACTCAACATTCTCCTCAGTCTCTGCGATCGCCCTTTCCTCCTCATCAATATTGCTTCCTATTAGTCTATAGTTATTCAGCGCCTTGATAATCCTCTCATCCTGGTCAAACACCTCTTTGGCTTTTTCCTTAAACATTTTTATGTTTTCTTCAAGCTTTCGTGTTTGCTGCTGTATTATTTCCCCCAGTGTCATCTGTATAAAACTCATTCCCTTCTCTCCAGATACTTGGCCAAACGACAGTGTATGCTTACCTTTTATGTCTCCCATCACTGCCTCCTTGCCCTCTTCTTTGCTCGAGTGCATTGCTGCTGCTCCACTTCCTCCATGCAAGCTCGTTGTCTTGTCGTTCATCACTCCAGAATACCCCTCTTTGCACAGCCCCATCGGTGCGGATGATCCTTGAGATTCACCTGCCTGCATTTGCTTCTGCATATCAGAGTTCCACGCCCCCAATCCACTTACTCCACTTTGCTGATTCCCAAATCCAAATACACTGCTGTTTGCAGTCATTAGAGGCTCGGCTACTGCGCCACTGCTTGGCAAAACTCCCATCGTTACACCGGACCCCTGTCCTTGCACAGATCCAACCCCAGTATTTAGCTGTGCTGATCCAAATCCTGCCGATGCAGAAAACCCGCTTGGCTGAGAAAATTGCCCTTGGCCACTTGCAAATGTATTACCAATCGGCATCGACTGCTGCGTCTGAAACCCATTCACTTGCTGCCCTCCAAATATATTTACATTGGGTGCCGTGGCTTGCTGTGCTCTGAAAGGATCCGTGCTCCCCTGCATTCCTCCTTGCGATCCATACACACCAGGTGTATATGTGGGCACACTTAACGATGGATTCAACGGTACATTACTGCTTCCGAATGGCGCAGTTGCTGGCTTTTCAAACGGAGACACACTAGCCATGCCAAATGGTGATGCATCTCCTTGTGCTCCAATTCCTGTAGGCGTTCCAAATGCCCCTCCAAACCCAGTGGGTGCAGCCTGATTCATTTGCGAGCCTGCACCACTTTGCTGCCCGAACACTCCTGGCTGCTGCTGACTTCCGAACACTCCTGGCTTTTCTCCTTGCATTCCAAATGGATTGCTTGCAAACGGATTCTTCTGCTTGCCGTCACCTTCACTCTGCCGATTGAAAAAGTTCGAATTCATACTGAGGGGTCAGAAGAGTACAGATAAATCAAGGTATAGCAGAAGGCATGGCTGATGCATGCAACTTGCTGCATATATTTTACTACAGTACTCTGCCATCATCCATTATTGGATATATGCATGAGCTGCTGTGTTGATTTGTTGATTATTATTGATATTAGTTGTTTACATAGAACACCCATGGGATTGCATGCGTTGAACATTCATACACTTCTGGTGCACACTGGATTTGTCTTCTCGCCGGCTATTGCGTATGTCCCGCAGATTCTTTCGAGAGACATTCTCATTTCACCACTTATCTCGATGCTATTCATAATGTCGAACATACTAAAGCTGTTCCACTACTGCTTCAGAAAGTACGACGATCTTGTGCTGGCACAGCATGCATTTGCAATTTTGCTGCACCTGTGTCTGATAATGATGAGCAGAAGGCCTCTTGGAGGCTTTGAGACAAAGATGCTTGGAAGCGGAGCAACAAGGATGCTTTTCAGAAGCTATGGAACCAAGGGCAGTGTCATTGGAATACTGATTATGTTTGCATTGAGTGTGAATTTGCTAGGAATGACATACAGATCCTACGAGCATTGCGGAATGCTTTCGTCAGTTTTTGAAATAGGAATAAATTTGCTGCAGCTAGTATTGGAAAGAAGAGAAGCAAAAGCTGGAAGCATGAAAGGCGAAGTAAAGAGATCGCCAAAGGAAGTGTATGTATGCTGGATTCTTGGAGACATAGTCAAGATATGGTTTTTTTGGGGCCTTGATGTGCCTTTGACGTTTATTGTGACGATAATGGTTCAAATTCTGATCGATATATTCCTGGTGCTTGCATGATGAATTTGCTAATACAAATCAACTCGTAGAGCCGATTGCTTTTGTAAGGTGGGCAGAGGACAACCTTATGATAATTAAATTCGATTGTGTGATCCGTGAATGTTGTGAGCAGTGCTGCGCAAAGTTGGCGCCAGCTTGGCTGAGTGTAATGTAGCTTAGCATGTATATGTATTGGAGTATGACGAGCAAAGCAAGAATGTGATAAATAATTTTTGTAGTACCCTTTAAGGATGACCAAGGATATAGGACCTGAGGAGTATCTTTGTAGTGACTTTGATTACTTGAAGCTAACAAAAACTCAGCTGAGAAAGATAATGTATGAAAATGGAGTTGAAGATTCGTTTCCAATAACATGCAAGAAGCAAAGGCTGCTAGAAGCCTACAAACGCAATATCCATGAAAAGATTGAGGAGCTGAAGGCGAAGAAGGGGAGGATATCGATGGACAATCCATTCCAGAAGACAGCATCTTCGAAAGCAGAGGTTGAGATGTTTGAAAGTGTTTCGCAAGCGCCAGATGTGAAAAACACAGAGAATGCACCAAAAACACCGAAGATAAGCATTAAGATGTCGCCAAAAGCAGTAAGCATGTCTGAGAAGCATTCTCCAAAGAAGCAGCATGATAAAAAGAGCAAGCACGACAAGCATGTGGATAAAAGCACGGCAGCTGAGCCTTTGATAGCGAGTGCATCGGATCTTGACTTTTGCAACTCGTCTATTTCATCATCTCTGATGATGAGTGGGTCATCAGAAAATGGGAATGGAATGTCAAGGAAAAGCGAGGATGTGAGTAGCTCGGATGTTCGTAGAAGGGCATACACGTCTGATCCAACGCTTGACAAGCTTGAATCAAAGGCAAAACGATCCAGTACGGTTTCTAAGCAGAGTAGTGAAGTAGTGAAGAGTAACGATTCGAGGAGTGGATGGAGAGTGGCTTATGTGTTAGTGGCTATTGCTCTGATTTGTGGACTAGCATATGTAAGGATTGCATGCCCGTACTGCATAGGTGATGCATTTTTGTGTACTAAACAGCCTGAGCATTCTAGAATTGTTGACGGAAAGCTAATATGCGATGAAGGATTTGTATTTAAGCACGGATTGATGCGAGACTATTGCGTGAAGGATGACAGGCACGAGAGGATGATAGCGTGGAAGATACGTGAAATCAAGAAGCATTTGGAAAGGAGGAGTGGAGAGTACTTGTATGGGGTGGCAAGCAGCCGGATGGTTCCGATTGATACACTAACAAAGGAGCCTGAGCTAGTCGAGAAAATCAAGAATGAAGCAGGGATTGCAGTGCTCGGTAGCATGGTGTATTCAGTGAAGGCGAAGGTGCCTATAAGAACGTTTGTAAGATACTACATGCGAATGATAATAGCAATTACAGTACCACTGGGGCTGATGATTGTTGTAGTAAAGATGATTAGATCTATCAAGAGAAAGAGGGAGCAGAGGCAACACATGGCTCGCAAGATTGTCAGGGATGTTTCGGATGTGCTTGTAAGGCAAATATATGTTTCTACCAAGAACACGAACTTCCCCAGTTATGTATATATAGAACAGCTCAGGGACTGCTTTGGAATAAACAAGAAAGTTTGGGCCGATGTTGAGAAGATGGTGGCAAGCAACTCAAACATAAGAAAAATGTCTGTTGAGAATAAGAATGCATGGGAATGGGTTGGGCCGATTCTCTACAAGCCAGAATTCAACGGAAGCTTGTTCTAGTTGGTAATGCTTGAATGCGTTGTGAGTCAATAAAACGTCTATTTTACACTTGCATTACAAATTGAAGCAAGCATGATACATGGTATATGATACACCAAGCCATAGCCTTTCAAAAATGCATTGTATAATTCATAGGTAACAAATCTGAGGCTTGCTTGCAGGAAAGGGTTTATTATGAGGATGCCTCAAATCTATGATTCTCAACTGCAAATGTGCATGTCATTGGGTTGTCAGAGACAGACCCTTGTCCATTCTTCAATGGAGAAAATTCCTTTTCTCTAGGAACATTCATCACTCCGTTTTTGTCCGTATATTCAAAGCAGTCAAAAATGAATGTCTCCTTCTTGTATCCGTTTGGGCTCGATGGCTTGACCAGCTTGTCCCCAACACTGTACGGAATTGCCTTGAATGCCTTATGCTCTTTGAGATCCACATTTCTCATGCTCTTGACAAACGACGTTTTGAAAATGTGGTTGCAAATGTTTCCTTGTATTCCACTTTCGCCATTCGAACCTGCCACACTCTCACTGTACTCTCTGATCACGAGCCTGCCATTGCTCATCAGAAACGCTCCCACACTCTCGTTCTCACCCTTCGTTACAGACTTGCTCAGCACATCATACTCCCTCGAGTAAAATGCACCGACAAACACCGGATCCAGGATCTTTGCAAGCACATTGTCTATGGATATCACATTCAGCGCATCTATCTCCTCAAGACTGACCTGCTGAATGGCCTTGAACATGTCTCCATTTCCATACGGAGATTCGACATCCTTTCCAAAGCATTGAAGGGGCTTTCCATTCACATCCACGCTTACAGAATTGCTCTGCATGAAGAACTGGATCTTCAGGCCAAAGTCCCTTTTCGAAAAGTACTCCTTAACCTCCTTGTCGGTGAATGAAGAAGTCATCACAAACACAGACATCTTTGCGCCATAGCTCTTGACAAGCTCCTGAATCCTTTCCATATGCCACTCAAATAGAGTCTTGCCTTTGATTGCAAACAACCCCTTTGGCTGTGTGATTCCAAGTCGAGTACCTTGCCCTCCACTCAGAATCACCACTCCAAGACTCTTCGACCTAAGAATATCCTCACCCATCTTCTTGTATTTCTTCCCATCATTGTTGAGCTCAAAGCCATCGTATGGCTTGATGAGGTTCACACTGTTCATGCTAACATATCCCATAGCCAGGCGTATACCGGCCGTTATATATTTTTTCTGTTGCAAACTGAACCAATTGCTCTCGCTATCATTCAGTCCATTGGCTACTTCTTGCCTGTCTAAAATTAGCTAAGCTGCACCCGCTAATGCCATGCGCCTGTCAAGCATAAGCGCCATCTCTCCAAGGCGTCAAAATCAAAATATCCATTTAATCATCATGAGCTCCAATCAATCTTCGAAAGATCAATCCCCTCCTTGACCATCTCATAGAGAGGAGACATTGCCCTTAAGCCATTCACCGCTTCAATTGTTTTCTTCCCAACTGCTTCAACCTCATCGGGCATGGTGAATCTTCCAATCCCAAACCTTATTGACGAGTGTGCCAAATCATCCTCTCTTCCAAGTGCTCTCAGAACATATGATGGCTCCAAAGACGCAGATGTGCAAGCGCTTCCACTGCTAAGCGAAATGCCTTTCAAGTACATCAAAAGGCTTTCTCCCTCAACATACGGAAACGATACGTTTATGCATCCAGGAAACCCTTCCTTCGATCCATTCACCAGTACTCCATCAATGCTCTTTCTAAACATACACTTGAGCTTATCAGAAAGCTCTTTGATATTCCTATAATCCCTCTTCATCTCGTTCAGGCAGATCTCTGCTGCTTTTCCAAGACCCGCAACCAGTGGGGGTGCCACTGTCCCGCTTCTGAGCCCTCGTTCCTGCCCTCCTCCATTCATAAGAGCAACCATTCTAATGCGAGGCTTCCTCCTGGCATATAGCGCCCCAACACCCTTTGGCCCATACATCTTGTGCCCACACATACTCAACAGGTCTATGCTCATTTCATCAACATCTATATGTATCTTCCCCACGCCTTGTGCCGCATCTGTGTGAAACAGAACACCCCTTTCCTTGCACATCTTTCCTATCTTCTTCAGTGGCTGTACAACTCCAATTTCACTGTTAACTGCGTTTATGGAAACCAAGACCGTGTTTTCCTTAATGCTCGCCCTAAGCTGTTCAAGATCAATCATGCCATCGCCTCCCACAGGCAGATATGTAACCTCCACGCCCTCCTCCTCAAGATTCCTGCATGTATCAAGAATGCTCTTGTGCTCGGTCACCTGTGTTATTATATGGATTGGCTTTCCATCCTTCATCTTGAACCCGGCAACTCCTTTGAGCGCCATGTTGTTGCTTTCAGTTGCACCGCTTGTGAAGATAAGCTCCTTTGGATCGCAGTTTATAAGCGATGCCACCTGTGCCCTTGCCTTCTCCACTGCCTTTTCTGCTTGCCACCCATGCATGTGTGTTCTTGAGTGCGGGTTTCCAAACACAGTGGTGTAAAGCGGTATCATGGCATCGAGAACCCTTGGATCAAGAGGCGTTGTTGCTTGTATGTCAAAGTACATTCGTTTTTCAGGAACAGTGTCCAGTGCCGGATCATGCTGCACACTAAATGGATTAGGTGCCAGGCCCTTTTCCATACGATTCCCCAAGGCACTCATAACTAGCAGGGCTGTGCGTATCAAAAATTTATTTGTGCATATGGGCCAGCCTGACGATGCTGCAATGGACCACAGATTGTACGGGCTGAAGAGCAAGGAGACAGCTGCGCCAAATGCGTCAGAGCGATAATTCATGTGCTAAAATTTGACCCATCGAAATGGCAAGATCATATATGTTCGATGATAAAACCACAGAAAACAGAAGGAAGATGAGAGAGGAAAAGCAGGTTGAAATACGGCAACAGAAGAAAGAGGACTTCCTAAGCAAGAAGCGCAATCTTTCGGTAACGATGTCAACAATCTCCAATTTTATTCCCATGCGAGAAAAACTGTTCAGCAGGGATTTGGAGCAGGTGCATCAGGGCATATACGAGTTCAGATCGCTGTTGAGTGTTGAGGATTCGCCACCGATTCAGCCTGTTGTTGACTCTGGATGTGTTCCTAGGTTTGTTGAGCTGATGGACATGGGTTTTTTGCTGTCATCTGAAATGGTTATGAATGAGGTTGCTGTTTCTGCACTTGCACGCGATTCTCCTGAGTTTGGGATGGCAGCTGAGCTTGCGAATAAAATCCGGGTGGAAGCAGCATGGGCCATAACGAACATTTCTTCTGGCACAACACAGCAGACAAAGACAGTGATCGATTGCGGAGCTGTGCCGCTGTTAGTGCAGATGCTGCTGGATGGAAATGATGCGGTTGTTGACCAGAGTGTTTGGGCACTTGGAAACATAGCTGGGGACTCTGAAGGAATGAGGAATATTATTTTGGATACTGGGGCATTGGATATTATTTTAAGGTTGCTTGTGAAGCTGTATGAAAGTTCAACACACATAAAGATAGTCAGGAATCTTACATGGCTTCTGTCGAATCTGAACAGAGGAAGGAATCCGCCGCCCCAGGATGAGAATATGAAGAAATCGCTTGATGTTCTTTTCAAGCTGATTACGATTCGAGACCCGGAGGTTGCGAGCGATGCGTTCTGGGCACTTAGCTACATTGTGGATGTAAGCATGGAGTGCAGCGATATTGTTCTTAGCAGCGGTACGATGAACAAGACGTATTCTCTCCTTGATGCACTTACAAACAGGCTCGATGGAATGCCGTACTCGACTGAGGAGGCGAAGATATGCCTGTGTGCGATTTCTCCCATAATAAGGATGATAGGAAATATTGCAACCGGATCTGACGATCAAACAGACGTGCTTATCAGGATGGGGTTTCTTAGGTTTTTTAAGCCGATTTTCTATAGGCTGGAGAATAAGAAGCAGCCAAGACTGCGGAAGGAGATATGCTGGACACTGTCAAACATTACTGCTGGGACTGCTGGGCATGCAAAGGCGGTTGTTGATGCAGACCTGATCCTGCTTCTAATTGATTCGATGTCATCGTATGAGCTGTTTATAAGGAAGGAGGCGTGCTGGGCGATTCTGAACCTGCTGTACCATTGCAACAACCTTCCGAACAACTCTGATACAAAGTTTGACTGGATCCGCTTATTGATGGACAGCAATCTGATTGATGCATTACAAAGCTATCTGGAGGTTATTCCGAATGTTCCGGAGATGCAGTGCCAGATCCTGGATTGCTTCAGATATGCACTGAATGGAGGAAAGCAATGGAGCCTTAAGTACGAAAGGAATCCGGTGTATGAGAGGATGGTTGAGATCGACACAGTTGATGCGATTGAGGGGCTACAGGACAGCCACGATAGGGCGGTCTCTGACAAGGCGTATTCGATTATTGTTGATTTCTTTGATGGTGTGGATAATTAAAGATGTTTTGAGGTTTAGCTTATTCTACACTTAGCTGATGAGCATAACGGGGTCATGACTGGGAAGTGGCATGCGATGTATTGGAGGTGATAGGGGTGAAAGCTTTGTGTTTGATTGTGGTGCGAACGAATGCAATTTTTTAGACATGCCCTGAATGATGTCTGGCAATGGAAAAGAAGGAATGCCTGGAAAGATGCCGGTAAAGAGTCAAATGGAGGCGTCATATGTGAGTCTGAAGACGTGGATAGAGGATTCGTTGGATCTTTTCAAGAATGATCTTCTGCCGTTGCTCTACCCGTTGTTTATCCACATATACTTTGATCTGATACAGCAGGGCAGGACTGAGGAGGCCAAGGAGTTTTTTGAAAGGTACAGGAAGGATCATCACAACAAGAACGAGGAGATGAAACAATTTGAAAGCATATATACCATACAGCACATCCATGAGAACAACTTTGCATACACTTTTAAGAACTCGAAGTACCATTTGTCGATGGGAAGATATGCATTTGACTTGCTGATAAATTTTCTAGAAGAGAGGAATCTGACATACATATTGAAGATACTGAACCAGCATTTGGACATCAAAGTGTATGTTGGGCCTAAGAGTGATGAGAAGCCGCAGGGAATAGAAACGGGAGTGGTGGATGCCGAGATTGACCTTACGACGTTTCTGGTATCAAGAGAGTGCGAGGATGCGATTTTGGGCGATGAGCAGTACAGATACGATCATCTGGAGACGTATGTGCTACAGCTGCGCAAGCAGAGAGAAATGAAGCCGAAGGACTCGGTGTACAAGCCGAATGCATCTCAGATTCATGCGGAGATTGAAAAGCTAAAGGATCTCTGCAAAAGAGTTGCAGTGAATAGGAACAATCTGCCCAGCATCTGTTGTTACACGATCCACAATACGTACGAAGGACTTACTGCAGCAGAAATAAGCAATGATCTGAAGTTGATGGCGTGTGGGTTTAAGGATAGCTATATTGAGATATATTCGTTGACGAATGAACCTCTCAGGAAGTTGAAGAGCAGCTCGGAGCTTGCGAAGTCTGACATAAAGACACTGAATGAGGAGAAGTTTGAGGAGATTGGGGGAAGTTGTAGGCTGGTGGGCCACTCTGGGCCAGTGTATGGGCTGAGCTTTTTCCAGTCGAACAAGTTTCTTGTTTCGAGCTCTGAAGACTGCACGGTGTGCTTGTGGAGCCTTGACTTGTTTTCTTTGATAGCTGTTTACAAAGCACATGCATTTCCGGTATGGTGTGTTGATGTAGCACCGAATGATCATTTTTTTGCAAGTGGGTCTGGCGATAGGCAAGCGATAATATGGTCTGTGATGGCGTCGAAGCCAGAAAGACTGATAGTATCGTCTCTGAGTGATGTGACGGCCCTGAAGTTCCATCCGAACTCGAACTACCTGTTTACTGGGTCATCTGACCATAGAGTCAGGATGCACGACGTTGAGACAGCAGCAGTTGTAAGGATCTTCTGTGGGCATACAGACACTGTAACATGTATAGATGTTTCGCATTGTGGAAAGTTCTTGGCGAGTGGGGGACGAGACAAGGTGGTGATGCTGTGGGATATACAGACCTCAAAGCTCATCAGCAAGTATGTGGGCCATGAAAATGTTGTGTTTTGTGTGTCTTTCTGCTTCTATGGAAGTGTGATTGTGTCATGTGGAGCAGACAATAGCGTAAGGCTTTGGGACAAGACAGACAGCAAGGGTGGGTGCCTGGGTGTGTATCACACAAAGAACACGCCATTGCTGTGCTCAAAGTTTGGATACAGAAACATAATATCGTGTGCAGGACCATACATAAGCTAGCCGATTGATAATTGCACGATCAAATATTGACCGAAATGGCATCGCTCGATACATTCCGACATGTATTGAATTGATGCGCCGAAATTAGATGATGCTCAACACACCACATAGCGATTGTGCTCTATGCTTACTATAAAGCAGCCAGATTGTGCAAATGATATTAAACAAAGAATGAACACTAATAATTGTTTATTAATGATTTGATTACTTTTCCAATCCATTTCTCAGGAAGTTGACAATTGTAAATAAGCTCACAGATGCACTGATAGCTATCATAGAAAGGCACATCATGGTTGCAGGCAATGATCGCTTCTTGTTTATACAGAGATAGTAAATAAAAGGATATACAAATGCAACCGAGTTCGAGAATGTTGCGCCGAGGAATCTTTTGATGATTTTTGTCTTCAGCTCCTTCAGAAGGTTCAGCAGTATGCAGACAATAAACAAAAAGATAACAATCGCCTTTCTGTTCATCTCGGTTCGTTTGTTCTCAGGAAAGGCCTTGAAGAGCATCTCCACAACAGGAACAAGCTGCACAGGATATCCTCCAAAAAGCGTCAGTGTCATTCCAAATATCGCCATTTTTGGCATAATGTTGCTCTTGTCCCATCCTTTCCTAATCAGCTTGTTCACAGCACTGTCCATCTTCGAAAGCTCAGACATTATTTCTCCATCAATAGACTCACCAAACACAAAGTATCCAAACAGTCCCGTCAGCCCGTTGATTAGAATCGCCCCAATAACCGCTCCGGATGACACAATCAGCACATTCGCGCTGCTCCTGTTCTTCATCTCCAGGTATATCTTCACCATGTTTCCCTGGCATACCATCGACGAAATAAATACAGGCACCGCTGATCTCAGCGATTGGTTTGTTGCCTTCACTCCTCCTGTTGCACACTCCGTCCCCACAGCAAAAAACAAGTAGATCATCAGAAACGCAAGATACGAAACAGAAGCCACGCTCATGTACGATGTAAGTGCAAGCCCAGACAGCGTCTTCTTCATCGACAGATATATGAACGGTATCGCCATCGCAAGAACAACTATCTTCCTGGAACTCTCCACACTATCAGTCAGTCCCCGTATAAAGCTTGAGTTGTTAACTATCATGTCCGACAGATACCTGTAGAAGTTGACTGCTGCAAGATATCCATTGAAAAATATCGACACATTCACCAAATACCCCAGATACTTCGAAATGTCATGTGCCAGGCTTGAATACGTCGGCGATCTCTCCTTCGAATGCTTCACCGCATACGATATGCAATAGCACGATGCAATCGTGCCCAGTCCAAAAAACAGCATCAGTGATATCGCATTCAGATATCCCGCTGACATAAATGCATACGGCATAAATGTCACCCCAGTGCCCATCATTGATAATATCATTGTTACTATCGCATCTTTGTTCCTTAGATAGCTTGCCATCTCCACGGATATATAGCCCTGCAGACATTATATATTATTTTATTGATTGCAATTACCACAATATGCTATTCAATAAAACATCATCCTCTCCAAAAACTCTCAATATCAAAAGTCTTTATTCTCAATATTTTACATCGAGCATACATCATGAGCTGATTTTGAACAGAATATGCCTTGCAAAGGGCGACTTCTTCAAGTCCTTGATAAATGGCCGAAGGCTGTTCTTGATCTCATTCTTCACATCGTCTCCAGACGAATCGTACAGCCTCTGCACAACATAATTTCCATACATGTCCACGCTCATCAGGTATATCTTTGGCTTTGCTCCCAGAGGCTCAAGAAACTTCTTCAAAAACTTCCTCCGCTGGCTGCTGCTCGATGCACGCACACACTGCTCCACAACATTGCTTGAGAACTTACACTTGCTTAGCTCATAGCTCCTCTCAACAATCTTATCAATAACTACACTCCTCTCTTCCTCCCTTCCAACAGTCAGAATGTGCTGTATCACGTAGTTTCCATACTGATCATCAACAAGTATATCGATACTCCTCATCAGAATCTCCACCACCTCTTTCACCTCTTCATCCTTGCAGAACTCAAGCATCCTCTGTATCACCCTGCAGCCATACTTGTGCGTTGCAAGAAAAAGCGAGTTCTTCTCAAACTGCCTCAATATGCTTCTTCTGTCGCTACACTTCTCAATACACTTCTGTACAACATGATTCCCATTCTGATCCTCAATCAACTCAAGCAGCCCTCCATTCACCTCCTCAAGAATAAAGTCCACATTCGATGACACATCAACCAGCCTTTGCACCACCCTACATCCATAAGGATGCACAGAAAGCAAATGCACCTGCCCCGCAAGCTTCATTATAAGCATGTCCCTTTCTTCATTGCTGAGCAGTGGTATAATCTTCTGTATCACATAATTCCCAAATAGATTTGCAGACAGCTCCGGCGATGCATCAACTATATTGCCAAAAAACCATGACACATCCTCCTTCGACACATCCTCCATCTTCTTCTGGATGCATCTGCTGCCCTCCTGATCTTTGCTAACACTCACACATATCTCCTTCACCGAAAAGTCTCCGCATTTGTTCCCTCCTTCCTGCCCCTCATATATCTCCAGCAACTCCCTCAAAAATTCATTCTCACTCATTGTGCCCTCTGCATCCTTAATATACACATCAGCGCTCCTGTATCCTCCAGAGCTAGCATCTGCCACATCCTTGTTGCGTATGTTCAGCATCGCATTGAATGTCTCTGTGTCAAGCACATTTGCATCTCCAATAGGCGTTGTTGCCCTCGACGATCCTTTGTATTCAATACTCTTCTCAGACTCGGGATAGTCCTCATCTATCCTTTCCGCAAGCGACCTGCTGCTTTTGCATTCAGGCTGCAGCCCTCCATCCATCTTTACGTCAAGAAACCCCGTGTTTGAAAACGCCTTAGCAATCAAATCATCATATTGGCTGGTCCAATGCCCACTTTGCCCTCGCATAAAGAAATGCGGTGGCTGCAGCCTTGGCTCGTTCTTACAGTTCCTCCTGTAAAACATCGAATAGCTTAGATCGATCTGGATATCTCCAAGCTCAACCTCATCCTCAATAAAAAGCTTGTCCACGGGCGGTGCAGAAATAGGCCTGTGCCTATTCCCTTCCAGCAAACTGGAACATCTAACTCGGCAATCATTACTATCGTTCGTCTCCTTCTTCATTCCTCACCTAGATCGTTGAACTTCAAGGGTATTCATAAATCTGTGAAAAGGATTCTCTCCTTTTACTAAATCAATTGCAATTCTCTTGTTTATTCAATCGCCTACTCGCCAAAGATACAAAGCACACCACATCCTTGCTCCAGCATGCAGAACCTCCACGAAGCTGCACTTCACATCCACCAAGCTCATACTGCATCTGCCACCTCGCATAGCAGTACAGCATAAATAACAATAAAACACACATTACATAAAAAGGAGAAAGCATGATGCTTAATCTCCCAGGTAAAAAATTATGTGGCAGGCTCAACGCCCACGCAGACATCCGTTACTCCATTTTGTGTGGTGAGAATCAAATGCCCGGAATACATGTAGCAGGAGCGCTACTGTATATCCACACGGTAAGTAGGGGTTCATGCTTTTCTACTTTTATTCCTGCGCGTGCCCCATCCATCATTTCAGACTTACCAAAGCACACAGATACAGAATGGCATATTTGAATTACATGCAGTATCCCCAGAAACAAATGTATACAAAGAAGCATACAGTGGATGAAAAAAACGAAAAATATGCTGGCCAGTTCTACTCTCTCGGCCCTAGCACACTTCCAAACCCATCACAGATACCAGTGGTTGGTATTGCAAAGCAGGCACAAGAAGATAAACAAAACATTCCATCAAGCAAACATCAGAGATAACACAAGTATCACCATCTTTAATTATTTAATTACGAATGCATTCGTAGCAAATGTAAACATCACAGCGGGTGTGTAAGAATAGACTCAGAACTCCACATCAAAAATAAACTAAATTCACAAAAGAAAATGCAACTGGAGATTTAATACTCGCGCTTGGGCTTCAAAAGTCTCACATCACTTGGAGGCATGCCTTGAAGAATGCTTTTTTCCTCAGATATCTTCTTGTCCAATTCAGATATCTTTGCTGCAATCTCCTCCCTCTTGCCAACAACCTGGCTAGCAAAGTTCTCCTTCTGGACTCGCAATGCAGAAATCGTAGACTCAAGCTGCTCCGCACTAGACGGAATCGGTATCTTGAACTGACTCAAATACAGCGCAAGATCAACCGGAAGACTCACACTCCCGCTAGACACATCAATGGCACGCATTCGGAATATCACCGAGTCAAACTTCGACGGGTCAAGCGTGCACTCTTCACTTGAAAAAACATTCTTCTTCTCCTCTAACTTCTGAATCCTTTGCTTGACATCGTCTCGCTGCTTCTCAACCGCCTGTGCAAGAGCTAACTGCTCCAGAAACTTGTCATGCTCAATCTCCTTCTTCCTTATCTCCTCCTGCTGCATCTTTATCTTCTCGGATATTTCATTCCTCTTTACCTTCAGTGCCTTTATACTCTTCTCGTGCCCTTCAACAATGGGGTTCTTGATTGTGCTTTGGCTGTCGTTGATCTCCTTAATCGTTACCTTCAAGTCATTAATCGTCGCCTGCTTTTGGTTTATTCTCTTCGTCAAATCCTTGATCTCTGCATTGAGACCGTCAAGATTTCCTCGGATCTCAATCAGCGTCCTGCTCTTCTGCTCCATCATCCCAATATTCTTCTTCTGCCTCCTAAGCTCCTCAATCTCGCTCTCAAACATCTTCTCGGTCTTCGAATCGTGCTTACTGCTTATCAGCTTCATGTTAATCTCCTTCATACGCGCATCAATATCAGTCGCACTCAGCATCTTTACCTTTCCTTTCTCAGGCTGCATGTCGCCTTTAAACTTCTCATACACATCAAGTGCTTTCGCCTTATGCTCAAACGCATTCTGCCTCTGCTCCTTCAGCTCACTGATCTCCTTGCCAAGAACTTCAATCTTGTCATACAGCCCGCGCTTGACCTCATTCTCAGAATCGTTCTTGTACACCGCAGATATCTTCTCTCGAAGCTCAACCACAGATGCATTCACTCGCCCAAGCTCCTGCCTCAGCTCATTAATCGCTGCTACATGTGCATGAATACCTGGAACCCGCTTCTTTCTATTCTCATTCTGCATCTTAGTAGGGGCGAAAAAATTTACTTTATAAGCCGCTCTCTTCATATCCCGCCTCTCCTCATTGCTTTACATCATACTCATTAATGTTCTATATTGCCATCCAGGCATCCGCCTTGCCAAGCTGCACCGCCATTCTTCAATTATCTTCCTACACTCCTTTATGAAGACCAACCAAACCACCGAGCACACATCCTGCAGTATGCTGCCACCATGCATCTATAAACTTACCAATCAATCATCTCCGAATCATCAGCATACTCAATATTCCTATTCCTACAGATTCAAAAAGAAACGAAAACATTATTATCTTCTGCACTACCACAGATATCTTCTTTGCAACCCTCTGTATCATGTGCATGCATCCAATTCCATCACGGCATTCCTCCCCTGCTCTATCATCGGCATCTCCAAATCCACAGCACCTGAACTTCGACTGAATGAGCCCTCGCTGGCTCTCGTCCATTAGCCCCCATCTTTTGCTCCCCCACTCCCCAGACCTTTCATAAATAACCACACTCTTGGCAACTCCTATTGCTTGAATGTTCATTAGCACAAGAGTCACACACACATATGCAAACACCCGTACTCTCTTCTTCGATGACAACGCCATGTATCCAAAAACAGCAGACAGAATCTTCAGCATTCCAAATGCATATAAAAGCATCAGTATGCTCTTGGTTATTCCAAGAAGCTTGTACGACTTGATATACACCGTTGTGCTTACTATCAGCATTCCGATCCCAGAGGTCAGGAGCATGCCTTGGATGAACAGAAAGAAGACCTTGAAGACCCTCTTGATAGTGCTCTTACGATGCATGTGTTTGCTCTTTGCATTTCTTTTACAATCAAATCTCATGCAGCGTTTCAGTGCATCTGTATATGCATTTTATGTCTATTCATCTCAAAACAATATGATGAAAAAAAGATCCATCAAAGAGCTTTACAGTATCAATAAGGTCACAGAGGAGGTTTTTTGCACCAACGAGTATGGATTCGTGATGGATGCATTCGGAAATCAAGCTGAAGATTGCAATTCAAGCATAAAAAGCGAATGGTATGCTCTTATTACAGAGTTCAATGGCGATCGAGACAAGCTACGCAACAGCAAGCGGGCAAAGTATCTGGTGTATAGAGGAATCCCTTTGTCCTTGAAGTACAAGCTGTGGAGTGTTCTGACAAAGAGATGTGTGCAGGCTGACTATGAAGACCTGATTGCAATGAAAAGCGGATATGAACATCAGATCCATGTTGACGTGCAGAGAACATTTAGAAGGCACTTTCTATTCAACAAGGAGTACGGCAGGGGGCAATGCGAACTCTTCAATGTTCTTGCTGCATACTCAAACTACAATCCAGACGTTGGATACTGCCAAGGAATGTCAAGCGCAACAGCGCTTCTATTGATGTACTTTCCGGAGGAAGAAGCATTCGAGATGCTTGTTGGCATCATCAGCAGCAACTGCCTTGAGACGCTGTTTGACAAGAAGCTGAGCAAGGTTCCTAGCCTACAGAAAGCACAGAACCAGGTGTTTGAAAAGCTGATTCCAGAAATACACAGGCATCTGCGCATGCAAGGCGTTGATATGGGTGTTTACGCAATTGGGTGGTATCTGACACTGTTCACAAGATTTGACATCAAGCTTGTGCTAAGAATGTGGGATTTCTTTATTTTCTTTGACTTTTCTGTGTTTGTGCTATTCGCAGCAGCAATACTGAGGTTCTTTTCAAAGCGGATCCTGGGCCTTGATGGAGAGCAACTGATTGAATTTATTGGCGTGCTGGATGCCGAACCTGTGGAAGTTGATGAGATAGTTTCGTATGTTGTAGAGTCTCTTGAGATGCAGGGCATAAGCATTGTTGAGAATGTGCTTAGGTAGCGATTGCTATTGATAAAGCAGACAAGGATGCTTAGAATGCATGAGATATATGCTATCTATAGTAGAGCTTGTATGTATATTTGAATCGATGCCGAGAATGAGCATATACCGTATCGTATCGATCTACCTCTGCAGATATGAATGAATATGCCTGTGCATTGGTAATTACAGTATATTAGGCCATAATATGAGATGGCGGGTAAATATGTGGTGAATTATTTATTGGAGGGAAATCAATTATAGATATAATGGGCATAGCCGAGATATAAGGTATTTGTGAAAATTGTGAAATTCATTAATATGAGTGTTGATTAAATCGGAGTGGATTGTGCCAAATATATCACCAATTTAATTTTGAAAACAAAAGATATAAGGAGACGATCCCCGAGCATGCATGGCTTCTTTTGACCGTGCTATCAGTACTGCAGAGCCAAGTGGAAGGCTAATCAAGGGCCCGTGGAGGCATGAGGAGGATGAGAAGCTTGTTAAGCTTGTGAGTGAGTACTCGGCGAAGAACTGGTCGTTCATTGCAAAGAAGCTGGGCAGCCGTGTGGGAAAGCAATGCAGAGAAAGGTGGCACAACCACCTGAATCCACACATTACAAAGAAGCCATTCAGTGTAGAGGAGGAGGGGCTGATTATTGAGCTGCATCTGAAATACGGGAACAGATGGTCGGAGATAGCAAAGTATCTTCCTGGAAGGACGGACAATGCAATCAAGAACTACTGGAACTCGTCTATACAGAGGAGGAGTGAAAAGATGAGGCATGGGAGCATGTTCTGCACGATTGACGATTTCCATAGAAGCCGTGTGGTGGAGAAGAAGTGTATCGGAGGAGTAATGGTATCTGGCAAGGAAGGCGAAAGAGCAATGAAAACAAAGCGAAGCAGCAGTGTGCAGAATGTTGCTGGATACAGCAAATGCGATGCGGACGATGAGGATGAGTTTGACGAGGCCGATGAGCTCGCAAGCAGGGCGCTTCTGAGAATATGTATGTCTTTTTAAATAAATGTGTAATGATATGATACTTGTGTGCAGAAGCCCCGGGATGATTATATATAGAGTGATTGATCTGATTGTGCGCGAGGACACATTTAAGCTGTTTACAAGCAGGTCTGGATCGAGTGTGTTTGATGCGCTTGAAGAGGCCCCGAGGATCAAGACTGTGGAGGATTTTGAGAGCAGGGTCAGGGGGTACTTCAACAGGATCTTACAGATAGCAAGCGAGGACTCGCTGTATTTCAATGAGGCATGTAGAATGCTGAATTTTGCAGAAAGAGTGTTTAAGGAGCTAAGGGAGATGAGTGACTTTGTGATGGATAGCGGAATTAAAAACCCGATGGATGATGTGGTTAGGATGTATGAAGAGTCATTGAAGCGGTTTGTGGAAGATGTGGATGCACCTGTTGTTAGAGAGCATGCGAAGTTTATTATCTCATGAAAGCGGTTGCGGGTGTGAATGCATATGATTGGTATGGCTTCAAGAGCATGGCGCATGGCTGTATGGAGGACTTGGCAATAAAGATGGTATAATGTTTAGGTGTTTAAACCCCAAGCAAGATGGGATCTCAGGCAAGGTACAATATGTTTAAGATATTCAGCCCGGAAGGACGGATCAAGCAGCTTGATTACATTCAGCAGACAACAGAGCTTGGAAGCACAGTGATGGGGCTGAGAAACGCAAGGGCCGGGGTGTTGATAGCACACAATGAAAAAAGGTCCAAGCTGGCTGAGGTGCAGAAGAAGGTGTTTAGGATTGATTCGAAGACATTGTTTACGTTTTCTGGGATAACAAATGATGGGATGCAGATTGTCGATTACTTGATTGATGAGAGTGTCAAGGAGGATGTTATTAAAGGCAGAAAGCCGCATTTCATCAATGTGTTTGATGAGCTTCTCAAGGACACGTTTGAAAGAACAGTGATTGATGGAAGACGGCTTTATGGAGTTGCGGGGCTGTACATGACGGAATATGAGGGGACGATCAAGCTGGTTGAATTTAATCCACAAGGAAGTGCTAAGGAGGTGCATGGGATGAGTATAGGATGCAGGTGCCAATCGTCCAGAACGGTGTTGGAAGCGCACTGTGGAGAATACGAAAGCATGGGAGTTGAGGAGCTTGTACGGACAGGGATAATGGCGCTGAGGAACGCACATCCCGACGAGGATGCTCTCAATAATGAGAATGTTGAAATCTGGGTTATTGAGGTTGGAAAGGAAGCATATACTGTTGATTCTGGGATGTTTTTAAACTGAAAAGTAGATGTGCAGATGCGTGGATGCTTTGGTGCATGCATTGTGGCGTTGATTTTAAGTGTGTCCTTGAGAGAGTATGTGAATGCAGTAATAAACACAGTGAAATGATTTATACAGCATTGTTGGCGTCGAATGCATGTTGGCTATCTGTATGCACTTGCAGAAAATCTGCAAAACGTGCACTGAGATATGCGATATGGACAGCTAAATTTTTCAAAGGCATATATCCCTGATGATACCAAAAGATATACAGGCACAAGCACCTGATACATCCCCAAGCTTTTCAAGCGTAAGAGTTGTGCAGAAGAATCTTGTGTACATAATATGCATTCCACAGAAGTATGCATATGAAGATATTCTGTGTAGGAATGAATTCTTTGGGCAGTTTGGGATCATCAAGAAGATAGTTGTGAACAAGCGTGCATCTTCGCTGGAGTCAACAGCCAGTGCATATATTACATACAGCACAAACCAGGAGGCAAGGACATGCATACAAGAAGTTGATGAAAGCTTGCTGGATGGAAAGGTTCTGAAGTGCACATACGGGACAACGAAGTACTGCACATTTTACTTGAAGAATTCAATATGCCAGAATGGAGATTGCATGTATCTGCATGAGAACAAGCCGCAGAAGGATCTATTGACAAAGGATGAGATGTGCAATTCAAAGCATAAGCTTCATGAATTCGAAGCGAAGAACAAGAACAAAAAGAGAATAGGAAGGAAGTATGACCTTGACATCCTCAACGAGCTGTTTAAACACAAAACATCAAGAGTGTTTAAAGCACCGGACAAGATTCTGTTTGAGCCACTAGACTTCACAAATTGACTAATAAAAGAAGTATAATATTCTGCTGTTAGCTTTCAGATAAAAAGACATGGCCGCTCCTAAGCACTACACAAGGCCGCTGCTTAATTTACACGCCAAAACATGCTCCTTACGTCTGAAATGCTATCATACTTCAAAATTCCAAAAGATTATTTAATCAACGCCTCCGGCATTTATACACTCTGCGGCATACACAAATCAAAATTATTGCACTCAGCTAATCTTTCCGTTCATCTCCACTTTGCATCCCTTGATATATTTCTTCAGTGAACTGACAAGCCCTGTGCTGGTTGTTTTATCTCCTTGAAGCTGAATCGACAGCTTGTCATCAAGCACAATTCCTCCGCATCCCATTTCCTTCCTTAATGAGCAAAGAACACTCTCTCTCACATCCAAAGGAATATTCTCAATAATAGTCACCTTCTTGGCGCCTTTTTTCTGCTGGACTTTCACACGAACAATGTTTCTTTCTTCCTGCAGAATCCCTATCTCCCCATGTGCAGATATACTTCCGCACTCAAATTCGTTCATTCTCTTTGCATGGTCATTCACCTCGCATTCATTCTGCTCAGCAACGACATGTGGATCCATCCAGGGGTCGTCAATCATAACTTTAACTCTTACACAAAAACATTTCAAATCTGTTTATTCGGCTCAGTCCTCCTTAATCCTTTTGCTTTTCTGCTCCTCGCCTTTCTCCTTGACCTCCTTCGCCGACTCGGCCTTCTTGAACAGCATGTTCAGATCAAACGGCCTCAACACATTCCTATTCCATACATGTGCCATGTACAGAGGATTCAGGAAAAGACTCCTGATCGGCGTAAACGACTGCACAAACAATGGCTGCACAGCTTTGAACTTAAGATGTAGCGCACATACGACCAAAAATTGTATCATTGTAGACTTCTTCATCTTGTTAAGCTCAAGCATATCATACTGCCCATACGTCATCTCCTCCTCCTCAACATCATTCTCCTCCTGGAAAAGTGACACCTCCTTCCTGATCTTCACCATCCTGCTATCATTTGTCTTCTTGATCTTCTGCATTATGTACACAAAAAACAAAAGCTGTATCACATTCGACACCACATACACCACTCTCAGTGTAAATATCGCCTTTTCGCTCTGCAGCTGCGACTTCTGAAATATCCTCATAGACACTAGCGACAGCCCAAAGTTCAGAAACTGGTCTACCGATGCCATACTCATACTCATTTGGGGGTAAATATTTTATTGGTATATGTGCTCTTTGCTTCAATTAATCTCTCCTGTCCTTCATGGCCACAACAATTCGCATCTTATCATTCATCATGCAATCTCGCTATCATACACAATCGTTCCTTCCTGCATATCTTTGCTACACACCGTCTTGAGCACACTATCAATCACATTGTAGTTGTGTATAGTTATATACCCCATCACACTCATCTCTTTAATGCTCCACAAATACTCCAGATACCCCTCACTTCCCTCTCCACAGCACTTGCAATCAAAAATTCCTCCTTCCCTCACAATCCCTTCGTCAAATCTCAGCATCCGCCCCTCATCAACAGCTCTGTTGACAAACTCAGTTCCAAAAAGCATATTTCCATCATTCAGCATGCTAACAAACTCTCCAACACTTGCTGGCTCAACAAGTTCATTTCCATCAATAATCACCTTTCCATCAGCATATCTTGCATAAAAGTCAGGCTGGAGCGTATCAATAAGCCTTTCATACTGCTCTTTTCCAAGCTTGTAGTTTCCTCTCTTCGACACCAACGTCTTCGGCTTTCCTCGAAATCCAACACACACTCTTTCACTGCCGATCGAGCAAAACTCTCGTATTGTTTGGCCAAGCCCCTTATCATATGCAGAATCCTTGTACAGGATATCATCGGCATAGACCTTAATGCCCTTGCAAAGTGGCGGGAGTTTCCATGGCCAGATCACATGCGGAATCACACATTGCCTAGTGGTTATGAAATATGATGCCTGCACAGGGGATCTCCGCCCATCCATAATTGCTGCTTTTTGACATCCAGAAAAAATTACCCCAAGATGATTGCAGAGATCCATGAGGTTAGGCCAGAGAGGTTCAACAGTGCACTCAAGTCACATCTCAAGTCATCGTTCAGCAATAAGATAATTCCCATCAAGGACCACGACATCATGAAGACAGGCACAGGCAAACAGCAGGCGCCCAGTGAGGACACCTGGTACTTAACAAGAGTTGCATCCGTTATGAGAAAGATCTCTATAATGGGATCAGTGACATCCGAACAGCTTGCACAGATATACGGCTGCATGAAAAACAGAGGATGCAGGCCAGACAAGTTTGCCCCGGCATTCAAGGAGATAGGAGACTCAGTCCTTGAAAACTTGAAAAACATAGGATGGATTGCCTTCAACAATAATTCAGAGGCTGTACTGACTGAGCAAGGGAAAACTGTTGTCAAGGAGATCATTCAAAAGGTCCGTGAATAAACATTTTACTTATTTTCCAGGTTTACAAGTATCGGCTTATTTCAGAATTTCAAAGCACTTTTTGTATCTCTTATTAATTCTACAATGGCTTATTCACTATATAAATCTCTCCATCCATAGATGATCCAGCACAACTGTGCTCAAATCTTAAGACTGCTATTTTGCACCTGGCTCGGATCTCTTTCGCCTGCCGATCAAACAGTACCTTGCAGCGTGGATCCACGATAAACTGTAGCTCCTCCGGATAGATTGCATTGCAAAACACTAGAGGATAAGGTTCTTCTACGCCGATCCGCTTCTCATCGTATGCTTCTCCTCGTCCATCCTTCAGAACCACCCACATTATCTTCCTAACCATGTTATGCAAAAACGCGCGTGCCTTGATATCTAGATAATACATGTCGCCATCATCAACAATCCGGCATTCATCTATGCTTCGTTCATACAAAGCATTCTTGTCGGAATGCTTGCACAAGTAGTAGAAATTCGTCATCCCCTTGATTCTATGTGCTGAATCCTGCATCTTGCACATATCAAGGCCATCTTTGTGAAAATAATACCTGTACTGCCGCTGTATGCATGTAAACCTTGCACTGAAGTCATCAGGGACCGGCGCCCATCCAATCACACGAATGTCTTCAGGAAGATATGAATTCAAAATCAAGTCGTATCTGTATTCCTTGTGATCTTCATCGCCAAGCACATAGCTTCTGCTTGGATCAGCAATCCTCGACACAACCTGCACTGATGCAATCATTCCCACCGCACTCACCCCTGCATCTGTTCTTCCTGCATACACAAGCTTGCTTCCAAGCCCTGTTATTTCAAGTGCATTCAAAAGATATCCATCAATTGTCTGCTTTCCAAACTGCCTCGCCACACCGCTGTATCTCCTTCCGTCATACGATATCTTTAAAGCAATCATTCGCATGCAAACACCTGGAAACGCTTTTTTATGTGTTCGTGGCTGGTACAAAATTTCAATCAACTCGTCTTTGCCCAATCTCTGCAGATATTCGTAATAGTCACTTTTCATTCAGGGATACATCGCACATCTTTACAAAAACGATTGGCAAGCAGCAGATCTCACTTATAAATCGCATTCTTTGCAAGCCCTCACACAGATGCTTTTGTGGACAACTAGGCTGTACCAATACTTTACATTCAAGTCATTTACCCCGTTTCTCTCATTCATGGTTCCGTATCTTGTTGAGAAGAAGGGATTTTCAATTGATGAAATGCACAACAGCTTCAGCCCGCTGTTTTTCATCTCATCGACGGCCGTTTCGCTTGTCTCGTTCCTGATCATAGAGCTTCTGGGCAACAGGATGAGTCTTTTCGTCGACACTCTGCTTGAGATAATTGTGTACCTGATATTCATATTCATGCCGTTCAGAAGCACATTTCTTGTTTCGACTGCATATGTGCTTCACGGAGCAACCACGTCGTTTGGTGTTGTCATGAAGTCCATCCTCAGCTCCACGGCCGGCAAGAACGAAGACAAGAATGTCATTCTTTCAACAGCCACCAGCATCAAGACATTTGTGAGCGTCATTTCGTCTTGGCTTGGCCAGGACATCATCATGTGCGGAGGAACTCATCTTGTAAACATGTGTGTGTCTCTTTCAGGGCTATCCCTTGCACTGCTAACTACATTGACTCTTCCAGGCACCGGCCATAGAGTAGAGAAGGCAAAGTTTGTGGATAGCATCAAGGCACCGACACAAATGTGGAGCATGATGAAAGATGCATATGCAAAGGATGTGATTGTTGCATCAACACTGTCGTCGTCTGCAGGCATTCTTTACATATGCCTGTCCTTTTATTCAGCAGGGATCTTTCTTGAGAAAAGAAGCGGCATCGAAAGCAACACGAGGATAAACAGAATGATGTTTTTGATTGCAAAGCCAGTCCGCCTTCTTTCTTACACAATAATCAAGCTATTTTCGCTTATGGACAATTCTATTGTTTATGAACTGAATCCAAGCAAGGCCGTGATAATCCATGGATACATTGATGGGTGCTCGAAGATTCTGTCGTCTCTCATAGGCCTTCAGGTATCGAGGGTCGTTTCGAAAGGCATGTGCATTCCACTTGGGTTTCTGGCATCGGTAATCGCCATGGCATTTGCTTTTCTTCTTTGGATGTCATCTTCCATGTCGTGCTCATACATGTTCTACATTCTTTCGTTTATCGCGTCATCTATATGCAAAACAATAGCAAACATGGGCTTACAGAATGTGTGTGATGCAACCCAGTATAAGTTTGTTCTGAGCTTCAACCTGTTTTTGTCGTCGATCATACACATTTCAATCACGTGCTATTCCAAACGGCAACTCCTAACTCTGAGGTCTAAACTTATGGTTTATTTCTATGTAAATGTGTTTTTTATTGCGATTGCGCTTGTTTTATGGATGCATTGATGGCTTGTGCCAAGAATCGTATGAATTGCCTGTTTGGATTTATGCTAGATATTATGAATTCTAAAGCAGATCAAAAATTGCTGGGATACATGGGCTGATGAGCAAGAAAGATTCGTCAAGAATGTCGAGGAGCATTGGGATTGACTCAACGTTTGATGCTGATGAGTATGGAACGATGATGATGGATACTCCTGTGTGGAAATGCAGAGAGAGCAAAGACGTAAAGAAGGTTGAGCATGCAATCGCCAATGCAAATATTCAAAGAGTGCAATCGAGAGGATGGTGCCTATATGCATCTATTGTGATTCCATATGTCTTAATACTTGCTCTTTTTGTGAAAAAGCCTGCAGACTCTATGATGATGATTGGCTTGATGGAAGAGATTGATATTCTGAAAGCTGAGAATGCTGTTATAAATCAGCTCATAAAAGGCCTAAAGGAAACTAGGGAAGCCAACTATGCGAAGATTGAAGAAGGTGCAAGAGTAAGAGTTGATGAGCCTTCACAGCTGTATTCGTATGGATTCATTGGGCTCAGGAAGCATGCAAGTCCTGATGTGATACTTGGCGAAAGGTTTGATGAGGGAGAATGCTTGGCGTTCAGGGGCAGTAATGCCAGGTTTTCAATCGATTTTGGAGCCGAGATTGAGATAAGCAAGGTTGGGATATACCATCCGCTGACAAAAGATACAAGCAGTGCGGTACGTGAGTTTGAGGTCTTTATTAAGAATAATGAAGAATATCGCAGCATAGGTGTGTATGAATACGATACACATGTATGTGGCCTTCAAAAGTTCGATGTTGGCAGCCACAAGGCACTGTCGGTTGACTTCGTTGCCAAAAGCAATGGGGGAAACAAGAACTTTACCTGTTTTTACAAAGTGTATCTTATTGGAAATAAATGAGCATGGACTTATATTGAGAGTGTTGTTTATGCAACGCCAGATGTGTGCAATAATGCCAAACAGAATTTTGTACTTATAATTTAATGTGTGTGGCAACGAGGATTAGATTTACAGTGAGAGTATACGAAGTACTGTACGGACTTTGATAACCCATAAGATGGCAAAGAATGATGAAAAGACAAGTGTTACCCGACTGGCAATAGTTAATCCTGAGTTGTGTAAGCCTTCACAGTGTGCTTCTGAATGCAAGAAGGCATGCCCTGTAAATAAAACAGGGCGAGAATGTATTAGGATAGCACGAAAGTCTGAGATATCCGAAATCCTGTGTATTGGATGCTCAGCATGCCAGAAAAAGTGTCCTTTCAAAGCAATCACAATAATAAATCTTCCCACAAGCCTAGATAAGGAAATATCGCATAGATATGGAGAGAATGGCTTCAAAGTGCACAGGCTTCCGATTCCAAAGCCTGGAAAGGTTCTCGGACTTGTTGGGACAAACGGAATTGGAAAGAGCAGTGCATTGAAGATCCTCTCTGGAGAGATAAAGCCAAATCTTGGAGATTACAAGAATGTGCCCTCATGGGAGCGGATTCTCAACCACTACAAAGGTTCCGAGCTGCAAGGATACTTCAACAAAGTAATTGAGGGACAGCTGAAGATAACATCAAAAATCCAATACATAGACCGGCTTCCAAAGCTATTGAAGAGGAAGTTTGGAGTGGAAATCAAAGGCAAGCTGGAAAAGCTTACGCTGAGCGAGGATGTGAATGGAAGTGCAAAAGGCGAGCCAGATATGCCCGAAAGTAAACTACTTGTTATTGACGTAATAAATGAAATGGACCAGCGAGGCAAAAAGGAGCACTACATCGATGCAATGTGCCTCCGGAACATCCTCCACAGGGATGTTGAAGAACTGAGCGGGGGAGAATTGCAAAGGTTTTCTTTGGCTCTGGCATTTATGCAAGAAAGTGATGTTTATATATTTGACGAGCCGTCCAGCTATCTTGATGTCAAGCAGAGGCTGTCTGCAGCAAAGGAGATCAGAGGGCTCTGCGAAGAAAACAAGTATGTGATCGTTGTTGAGCACGACCTTGCGATCTTGGACCTTATGAGCGATCTTGGATGTGTGCTGTATGGGCAGCCGGGAGCATATGGAGTGATTACAACACCATACTCAATCAAGTCTGCAATTAACATCTTCCTAGACGGATACATTCCAACAGAAAACATGAGGTTCAGACCTTCGGAACTCAAGTTCGACATTTCTGAACGGCCCACGGATTCACTGGACAGGAAGAACCAGTACTTCTATGAAGCAATGAAAAAGACATATGGCGAGTTTTCGCTCCATGTCAGTGCTGGGGCATTCAATGACTCCGAAATAATTGTGTTTCTAGGTGAGAATGGCATGGGGAAGAGCACACTGGTGGGCTTGATAGCAGGTATTCTAAAGCCAGACAACGGTGAGGAATTTTCAAAGCTCAGCTGCAGTCTCAAACCACAGAAAATCCTTCCAAAGTTCAGAGGAACTGTCCGAGAGCTGTTATCTGCAAAAATCAGGTCGTCGTTCATCAAGCCATCGTTCATCAACGACGTCATCAAGCCACTGTGCATTGAGTACACATACGACCAGCAAGTGCAGAATCTTAGCGGAGGAGAGCTGCAGAGAATTGCAATTGCAATATGCCTTGGCAAGGAAGCAAATATATATTTGATTGACGAGCCCTCTGCATTCCTCGACTCTGATCAGCGGATAGCAATATCAAAGGTTATAAAACGGTTCATCTACTCAAACAACAAGATCGCATTTGTTGTTGAGCACGACTTGATAGTCGGGACGTATCTTGCAGACAAGGTGATAGTATTCGAGGGCGAGCCAGGGGTTTCCAGCACAGCAACACCTCCCATGGATCTTTTGAACGGGATGAACGCATTTCTTAAGAGCCTGGATGTTACATTCCGTAGAGATCCGGCAAATCTTAGGCCAAGAGTCAACAAGCCAGGATCTGCAAAGGACAGAGCACAGAAAGAGAGCAGCCAGTACTTCTTCTCCTGAATTAAATGCTTTTATTATTTGCTGTACTTCTTCTTATCCTTCTTGCTCATGGTGGCTTTATTTCTACTTCCCTTGCCACCTTCCCAGAACGTGGTTGATCTGTTCATTTTCATTCCGCAGGCACACTCCTTAGTAACGCCCTGCTCCTTTGAGCACAGCCCACACACCATCTTGTTTGCCATCTCATGGACGTGCTGATTGCCTTCATCATGGCATACATCACACGGATACAGCGAGTTGCAGCATGGAAACCGGAACCATCTGTAAGATCTCTTGTAATGCTTGCATGCACCGTCATTTGGAAGGGGATGTCCTGGCCTGACCATGTCGCCTTTCTTATTCTCAATCAGCATCATTTTTGTAATCTTTATGTACAGGCTTGAAAAGCATTCGTAGCACTTCATGCTAAACACATCGCCAACACCTAACTCGTTGGTTTCGTAGTTCATCTGGCAATTATCACAACTAAATTGGTATTTGCTTGTATCAAGCAGTATCAAGCTACATCCCCCTAGCTTCAGAAACCCTACAAATTCAGTGCAAAGCGTGGGAATGTATAACACATCTAGTCTCTTCATGCATCCAGCACAGTCCACCGACTCGTGTGCCCTAACCTTCCTTTTGCATCTATTGCACTCAACCTGAATATTAAGCCTTTCACACACTACAAAGCTCATGTTCTTATCAAACTCAATCCTTACATTTGGCACAACATTACGGTTCATTACAAAGCGATGACTCCTCGGTAGCTCAAACGGCCTTAGTACAACAGCATTGCCATTCTCTGCATCTTCGCATATCTCAGGACATTCTCCTTTGAAAAAAGTCTCAAGATTGTATTCTAAAAGCTGCACATACTTCTCAATGTCTCCTTTGAAGTACATCTCCATATTGCCTCGTATCGATGCAGGTATCATCTCGCTTATTATCCGAACCTTGTTCTGCACTTCGTCATACTCAACCACCACTTCATTTATGTCGTATATAAAGCTGTCCGGTATGTTCAGATACACATCGATTTTTCCTTCCTTTCTAGCTATCCTGTTCCCACTCATGCATCCCATCCAGGCCCATCAAAATTCACATTATATCCCTTCCCACAGGCACATTTCTGCTTCCATATCAAATACAATATTCGTTTATTTACCAAGTATCTCTGCAATGCACACCTCCTCCTCACTCTAATTATTGTTGCTGAACGCGCCAAAAAAATTGGTCCTCAGTGCAATAAACACAATAAACACTGCAATAACTATCAGCAGCCCGTAGAAAATCATCCTTTTTATCCGAGTGGCCCGGATCTGATATACCAGTGCAGACTCAAGATCCGCATTTGCTGCTGTTGTGTTTTCTCGTGCTGCAATCAGCTCGTCGTTGATCGAGTCAACAACACTTGTCCGCTTCGACACCTCCTGGCTGATCAGATTGAGTAGATCCACAATCTCTTGCACCATCTCCTCAATCTTCTTGATATTCTTCTTTCTGCTTTCTGCCTCCTCAAGAATACCTCGTGCCGAGTTTGCACCAAGCGCAAATGCTGATTCAATCTTCGAGCCATCGTCATCTCCAATAAACTCCTCTATTTCTCTTTCTGTTGCATCCGGCTTTGCAATGATGTACTGCATCCGAAACTTGTCTACCTCGTCTTCTCGGTGCTTTATCTGTGCCTCTCTATATCTATTGATCGCCTCAGTAAGCTTCTTCGACTGTGCATGCAGATGGAGATTCCGTGTCTCGCAATAAAATCCATTGCTCTTCGCCTCTCTTTCCATCGACGCAGTCTCATCTGCAAAATCATCTATCTTCTCCTTGATCCTCCTCGAAAGCGTCCTGAACCGCTCGTTAAGAACATCAATCTGGCTGTTGAGTGCTTTCTCCTCCTCTTTGCTCAGCACCGAACTGTTCTTCTGAGAACTCAAGTAATCTATGCTGTTTGTATACGAATTCAGTGTTTCTATGTCGTTCAGGATCCTTTTGGACTCCTTGACAAACTCCTGCATCTCCAGCAAGGCAGTACCAACATTTATTTTTAAACATTTCTTTAGCACATGCGTTCTTCCCATGCCAAAGATAATTGGTGCACACCTGTCAATAAGCAATGGAATCCATACTGTCCAAGAACAAATGGACTTGCTTGAGCTGGACACCTGTGCAATATTCCTCAAGAACCAAAAGCGGTATTCTTCCGCTCCACTCAGCGATGCAGCTGCACAGATGTTCCGTCAAAGCATTCGCCATCCAGAGATTATTCTGCCGCATTCTTCATACCTTGTGAATCTCGCTGTGGATTCGGCTCAAAAAGGTATGGAATGCTTTATCGATGATCTCAAAAGGTGCAATTCGCTGGGAATCAAGATGTACAACATCCATCCCGGAAGTAGTAAAGGAAAATGCATTCAGGCTGCGCTCGCCACCATCAGCAAAAACATAAACATAGCCCTGGCTGCTGTTCCAGATGTTATTGTTCTAATAGAAAATATGGCGGGGCAAGGCAATGTTGTTGCAAGCAATTTCGAACAGATAAGAGATATAATTGATGCTGTCGATGACAAGCAGCGTGTGGGCGTATGCCTTGATACATGCCATCTGTTTGGTGCAGGATTCGATATACGCACCGAAGAGCAGTTTGCAGAGATCATAAGGAGGTTCGATCAGACAGTTGGCATGCAATACCTTAAGGCAATGCATATCAACGACAGCAAACAGCCGCTTGGCTCTCGTAAAGACAGGCATGAGTCAATAGGAAAAGGGCTGATCGGATGCAATGCATTCAGATTCATCATGAATAGTAATTTTTCTGATGATATTCCACTAATTCTGGAAACACCAGACCAAGACATGTACAAGCATGAAGCAAATCTTTTAAGAGGCTTTATAAACATCTGATGATAAATACTACGGTTTCATGCCCACCACAGATTCGCTCATGGCATATGCCAATCAATACATCAAAGACTCTCTATCATTAAAATTTATTCTTCAGTAGCATCCGGTTCATATTCATGAACTCCACTTCAACACCGGATATGCTTATCCATGTGCGATCAGATCAATAAATCGCATTCATATCTCTGCCAAGGATGCTCTCGCATTGCCTTTTTATCTCTTCAGAAATCTGTCTTTCCGACTTTGTGCAGTCATTCAAGTACAAGCTCAACACATTCATTGCTTCGCTTCTTTCTTCGTCGCTTATTATCAAACTCAGGCGTTTGTAATCATCTACAGATAGGCTCTTTTTTATCCAGATGTCCTTTTTATCCGGAAACATCTTTGCAAACCGCGCCTCAAATGCCTTGCTATACGGCAATTCACTCGATGCTTTCGATGTGTACATAAACAATGTGCTTTCACTTATGCTAAATGCTGCAATAAACACATTCAGATTCGTCCTTGCCCTCATAAACACATTCGCAAGAGCCTGGTTAATCTCAAGATCAAAAAGAAACATCCGGTTGCTCTCGTTGACTATCACCAGCATCTGCTCATATAACAGAACAAGCTTGTCCGTTAGGCTTTCCCTCAGCATCAGATATGCAAGCGTCTTCACTATTTTCTTTTCAAATGTCTTTTTTGCAGAATAGAGGTTGTCCAATGACAGAACCATTTCTAATGGCGACAGATTCTTATTAGGTATCTTGTTTAATCTGAATATGTAGTCAGGAATCGGCGATTGCGTTCGTATAAACACACAGCAAGCCTCCTCATCAATCTGAACATTCAGCCATGCTTTGCCCTCTTTGCATACCTGATGCATTGCCTGTGTTATTGGAGACCCGCTTGGAATGCTGTTCATGCTGATCCTTTCTGCTCGTCCACTTCTGTCATAAAGCACCATACTTTCACCCATCGGCTTGGCTAAAAAACTCAAGTCCCGCACTGTTCTGTTCCCTTCAAAATACCCTGCATTCTTCACAGACGTCGTGATCATCTCTGGAAACAGCATAAACGAGAAAGTGCCGAGAAACAGCATCAGCATAAACTCCACAACCGGCCTGTCGTCTCCCATCAGGGCCTTCCCCAAAAAAGTATTTCAAAAGGAGCTTTCCAATCACTCCTGGCTATTCTAACAAAGGAGTGTCTCCGCTATTCCTCCTTAGAAACCCAATCATTCTTTATTCACCTCAAACACTCTTGAAAACACCCTTCCCGATTTCGCTCCTGCCCTGCCTGCCTCGTCTGTATCTCGGGAAATCATGCCAAACATCTCATCGAGGCTTGCCTCATCATCCGAAAGAGGTCTGAACATCCGGCTTGAAACAATCGTCTCATCCATGTATCTAAACAATTCCTCAACATCTGTGGATATATAAAGTCTGCCCCCTTTCATTAGCAAGTGCTCATACACCTCCATCATCTGAGGAGACACTACACGCCCCTTCCACTTTCTTTTCTTGAAGTGAGGATCGGGAAACAGCACGAAAACCTTCGACAGCTGCCTTGCCTCAAACACATTCGGAAGAAATATCATTGCGTTTGTCTTCATCACTCCTGCATTACATACCTTCAAACTGCTTATCATCGTCTTTACATAGCTGTACACCTTATCTCTTAGTTCTATTCCCAAAATACAATGCTCAGGTTTCTTTTCGGCAACCTTCAAAAGAAACTTTCCATATCCACAGCCTATGTCTACAAACTCAGGCTTCCTGGTAGCATTCTCCAGCTTTGTAGCATCATCGGATGCATCACAGCAAAAATACTTCTTCCAGTCTACAGATTGCGGATCTGGTGGAATGTCGATGTTGCTGTCCTTGAATGGATTTGCATGTGCTCTCTGCCTGTAGTCTCGTTTCCTGACGCTTCGTTGCATTCAGGGTGCATTGCAGCGCCGCTTCTTCCACTTCCATACAGCACAAGCATGTGTAATGCATGTGTCGGCATCATTTAATGTTTAGTGTGTGTACATCACCGGTAATCCCTTATATCGTTACACTCCGCTTGTACAAATCCTTCACACTTGTGCACACTGCAATAATCTCAAACACATCATAGCAATCATTTATTATTCCATCACTCCTTTCTACGACTCTATAGCATTTGGGATCTCTGATATCGATGGCTTCAGATCAATCGCCATGCCATCAACAGTAAATCCACCCTCTCCATAGAACGTGTTCGGTGTGTCGATCTGAATCGTCGCAATACTCACCTGATACTTCTCCTTCACTATCCGCCCTATTTCCGATAGAATGCTTTCATAGTCATTGATTAGCAAATCATCGGCAAGCACCCTCATCGAAACGGCCTTTTTGTTCATCGATATCGACCATGCATACAGCTCGACCACCCTATACACATTCTCAATCTCCAAGACATCCGTTTTAAGTGCTTCGGTATCAAGATCCAACGGTGCGCCCTCTGCAAGAATGTAGACTGCGTCCTTGCAAACAAACCCAGTTGATATCAAAACAATCACAGAGAAAAACAGCGTGCAGATCACATCCACGACCGCTTTCTCCGGATAGAAGTACGCCACCATTCCTGCAATTATTACTCCCACCGACTGTATGAGGTCCCCAATCACATGCACATATGTTGCACGGATGTTCAGGTTCTTGTGCTTGAGCCTGTGCTGGTACTCCTCATAGTGCAATACATATACACATGCACAATTCACAAAGAATCCCACAACGGCTATGCCAAAAAACATCCCTCCATCTATCTCTTCGGGATGAATGTACTTGTGGAATGACTCAATCACCAGGTATCCAACAGCAGCCCAGATGAGCCCAATCGACACCAGGGCGCCAATGATCTCAATCCTATGGTATCCAAATGTCATTCGTTTGTCTGAAGGCCACTTTGCCCACCTTAGCGAAAGCAAGCTTACGATAAACCCTAGAATGTCAACCATCAGGTGCAGTGAGTCTGCAAGAAGTGACAGGCTATTTGTTTTCCAATGTCCCCAGACCTCAAGCATCATAAATATCAGGATGATGACCAGTACCTTTGAAATCTTGCGGATGTCTGCATCGTTTGAGCATGTTGTGTGAGAGCAGTGTATCGAGTGCTTTTTGTTATGCATATTGGTTTTGTACTCATCCTGACTTTTATTCGTGGTCTGAAACCAAGATGATACTCCTGTAGGAGTTATGTGAATGCATGGAGTGGCTATAAGTACAGGCAATCGCAATTGCATTGCATTTATACACATTCGTGGCTGGTATGAAGTTCAGAGTCGAGTTTCTGGAGATGCAACCTCAGGTTTTTGTTTCTGCAAAGTGTTTGTATCGATATTCTGTTAGTTTTCATGAGGCATTTTCTAATGAGAGTCTCAAGATTTTTGTCACAGCATATGCTACTTGGCTGGAGCTTCGCCCGTAGGATTGACTTGTACAGCTCGTCTTTGGAATTGCCATGGAACGGCTTGCCTAGTACAGATAACTCATACAGTGAAACGCCTAGTCCCCAAACATCAACACTGTTGCTGTATACTTCTCCAGAGATGACCTCTGGCGCCATGTAGTACGGGGTTCCGACCACTTCGCCAGATGAGATGTGCTCACACATCTTTGCAAGGCCAAAGTCGCCAAGCTTGAATTCAAGCACTCGTTGGCTGCCAATCGGAATCATGTTGACGAATATGTTTGAAGGCTTAATGTCTCTGTGTGCAACTTGCATGTGGTGCAGATATAGCAATGCATCAGCTATTTGTGACATTACAGACCATAGTAGATAGCTTGTGGCTTTGTGCCGTCTGCTAAGCAGGTAGCTGATTGTCTCTGCAAGAGTGCCGTGGTTGAGGTATTCCAGGATGATTGAAACGCCCGAATGTGTTGAGAATGACTCGATGAGCCTTGTTATTCTGATGTGCGAGAGCATGGCCAGCATTTTTATTTCTTGCTCTGCATATCCTTTGCATGCTGCTGACACTGACTTGCACACAAGCATCTGATTTGTGCCATCTGTTGAGCTGAGCAGGTATGCCGTGCCATGTGTGCCTCTGTCGAGCTTTCTTACGAAACAGAACCTTTCCATCACGCATGACTTTGAGGATTCTTTATGCATTCTGCATCTGTAGAGTAAAGAGTAGTAATCTTATACATAATGGCATTTGATGCATGCCTTGATGTGTGCAAGGAAAGTAGACAGAGAATATTTGTTTGTATATTCAAACCATTTACATTCAAAACCTGTGTGCAAGAGGCAACGCAAGAAAACAGAAATACTGCATAGATACCAAGAGCTGAAGCTTGTAGTGCCATACCCAAGCATATTTGAGATTGAGGATGTGGCTTGTTTTGATCCTATTGCATACAATCGAGTAAAGGGACGCTGTGGAGTGGTTGCTGTTCCAGAATACTGGAAGTTGGGCTTGAAGAGAATGTTTCCACGTGAATACATGAAACCGAAGTATCTGGTTCCGGCAAGCATTGTAAGAACGGGGATTCCCGAACTGCGAAGCCTTATGAAGGAGCGCGAAGCTGGGATGAGTCTACGAGAAAGAGTGAGGGAAAAGCTGTATCCAAAGCTTGGGAAGTCCTCAGTTAATCAGCAATTGCTCCATGATGCGTTTTTCAAGGAGGAGGTGGTTGCAAGAACAACAAGATACGGATGTGTGTTTGATCCCAGGACCGATTACTTTGTACACATGTGTAGGCCTGGAAGAATAAGCCAAGAGTTGATGGATGCATTGGGAATGGACGATAAAACGCCGCCACCATGGCTCCTGGCCATGCAGAGGTATGGAATGCCGCCTTCATATCCGGATATATTGATACCAGGACTGAATTCACCGATTCCAGATGGATGCCTGTATGGATACCAACCGAATGGATGGGGAGAGCCCTTGCATAAAGCTGAAGAAAACGGTGTATGCCATGATGCTGAATATGTCTATGATCCAAACAATCAATATACAAAGCTAGAATACGTAGAATGTCCCGAAGAAAGAATCAAAGTGGATAAAACAACGCACATACAAGCAGATACATGCCTGAATACTGAAGAAAGTGGAACCACAATTGATACACCAGAGCATAGAGTAGCAAAGAATCACATGGATCATGAAACGAATGAGGAAGATGCAAATGCAATCCGAGCCAAACAATCAGACAATGCTAATAGTGTATCTGAAGCCACGGATGAAAGCGCTATTCAAGAACAGATCAAAACTAGAAATGAACAACAACACACAGATGCAAAGAAAGGCTCCAAGAATAAGAAACTTTATAAGAATATCAGATTCTGATTTGCGGTTCTAACACTCAGACATTACTCAGCTTCTGAATCCGAATCACATAGAGGAGTAACCTGTGCATGTTTTTCTTGGATCTTAAGGAAAAACTCAGACTTGCCATCTGCAAGCTCTTCATAAACAAATAAAATAGCCATTGCAATTCCATCAACATCATCATCAAGCTCTATACCTGAACGCTCTAGCTCATCCTCAATAAGCTCAGAAATGTAATCAAGCGACTTTTCTCTGCAATACTTTCCACATATCAAGTGGGCTGTGATTGTGCTTACGAGATGCTCAACAGTGTTTTGCTCTATTACGTTTTCAATCAATCTGAATAGAGCAGAGTTTTTGACAGTCACTGATACTCTGCTATGCAAGACATCGTTGTCCATGCAGGACTCCCGTAATGCAAAAATATTGTTCACAAAGAAGATTTGCATGGAATGTGGGTGGCCAGCATTGGTATGTCTTAAAACCTTGTGGTCGGAGGGGTAAACAATGGCGAAGCAGGACGCGCAGAAAAAAAAACTAACACGATTCCCAATATCCAGACTGAAGAGAATCATGCAGATGAATGAAGACATAGGCAAAATAGGCGCATCCGTCCCTGTTGTTGCAAGCAAGGCAATCGAGATGTTTCTTTCTGAAGTTGTAGAGCTTGTACTCAAAGAAGCAAAATCAAAGAACACATCCAGGATGTCATCTGAGTTCATCCTCAATGCAATAAGCACAGACCCGAAGTTTGACTTTCTCAGAGGAACAGACCAGCTCAAAGGTAAAGAGTAGATGGAATGCATAAGCATGCCAAGATAGCTGAGCAAGCATGTATTGCTATGCAAGTAACATACACAGTGCTGAATAATACGCAAAATGTCTCAAATACAAATAAACCGGAACCAACCTTTATTAATTAAAGCTTATCGAAGAAATCATCGGTTGTTGGCAGGATTTCATTCATCTTCTTGAGCTTCCTGACCTTCTCGACCGTCTTGAACATCAGAGAGTTGGGATCATTCAGTGACCCAGGAAGAATATCGTAATGCGAGAACGAAAGAGATGCACCAGCCTTTCCTCTTGTACCTGATTTGAGATCCTCATTGAAGTTGAACGATTCCCTCACAGGTAATGTTCCAACTATCATTGTTGTTACGTTTCCAGGAAGACTTATGAAATCCTCAGCAATCCCTCTCTTCGATGTAAGCACTGATGTCACTGCTCCCGAATATTCATCGGGCACTGTTATTTCAACCTTGAAAATCGGCTCATACAGCACAGGAGATGCTATAAACAGAAGCCCCCTACAAAGCTCCTTCACCGGCTGTATCAACTGGTTTGCTCCTCGATGGATTGCATCTGCATGCAATACTGCATCCTTCAACTCAAACTTCAGCCCACGCATCTTCTCGCCAATCAAGGGCCCTTCCTGAACAGCCTCCCTGAATGCACTGTTGATGTGCTCCTTGATCTCGTTGATGATCGAGATTCCTTTTGTCCCATCAATCATCAAGTTCTCAGGCGCCGTCTCCGGTGCATAGTACCATATCTTCTTGATCCAGTCATCCCTCATCTCCATCTTCTCTCGGAAGTTCGTCACTATGCTCTTGATCTGGTCTATCTTCATATTCCTCAAAAACTCAACCACCTTGTCCTCAATAGGCTCCACAGTCATGTATATCCTGTTGTGCTTGTTTGCAGACTTCTTCATCTTTGGCTCCGTCACTGCCTCTGTAATCCCTTCAAAGTACGTCACAAGCGGCTCATCGGCAATAATCGGCACCTTTGCATACTGCTCCTCAAGATCCTTCAGGCATATCTCAAGATGCAATGCTCCTGCACATGCTATTGTGTTCTGCCCCTTCTCGTTCCTCTCAATCAGGCACAGCGGATCAGATTGTGCAAGCTTCTTCAGTCCTTCACTCAGCTTTCCAAGATCCTCTGCTCTCTTGACAAACACTGCAACCTTCACCACCGGTGACACCGAAAACTTCATTGACTTGATATTGTATGCATCGGCTCTGTTCGTTATTGTCCCTGTCTTCTTCAGGCAGTCGTCAATCCCAACTATCCCAATAATGTTCCCTGCTGGACAGTCAGGCACATCCTTGTATCCCCTTCCCATCATCACCACCGTCCTAAGAACAGACTTGTTGTGCAGCAACGATGTGTTTGATAAATCATCAGACGTAGGTGCATAGCCAGGCTCCTGCACACGTATCTTCATCCCCGGGTATATCTTCCCTGAAAACACTCTCCCAAACGCCACAAATCGGTTGTCGTTCGACGGTATCATCTTCGACACATACATCATCACCGGTGCCTCATCTCCTCCATTGCAATCCCTGATCGCTATTGCCATCTCGTCATCAACGGGCCCTTCGTACAAATGGTCGTACTTCAGCTTCTGGCTCTGCAACGGCGACGGCAACTTCAATGCTATCTGCTCAAGAATGCAGTCCGCTGCCGGAAGCCATGTCCTCATCACGTCCTTGAACAGTGGCTTGCCGCTTCCGCTCAGTATAACCCCCTTGAAATCAACCTTGAAAAATTTCAGGTACTCCTTGATCCCCTCAATATCCCCACTGTTGCACATGTCCTTCACCTTGTATATCGGGTTCAGTACATACACAACAAACGGGCTCCTTGCCGGATCGGTCTTCATCACATGCTTCATCTCCGGATCAAACGGATCGTCAGATGTGCATGCAACATTGTGTGACCACAGAAACTTCGTGAGCTTCCTCTCTCCCTCAAATCCGCTCATCTTAAACTTGTCAATATAAAACTTTGCAAAAGACCTCAGTGTAAATCCCCATCCCTGTAGCCCCGAGCAGAACGAAATCTCATTCTTCTCAGGCAGCAGCGACTCAACCTTGAAGTTGTATCCCAACGAGCTCATCTTTGCATTGAACCCCTCAATCCGCCTCCTCAGAATCTCTCCAAGCTTGTCTTGCGGATACTCAAGCTCCAAAATCGCCCTGTCAAGCTTGTTAAGAACCAGTGTCGGCAGAATTCTCTCGTTCATTGCCTGCCCAAGAACCGTTTCTGTCTGCACACAAATCCCATCCACGCAATCAACCACAACCAATGCTCCGTCAGTCACCCGCAGCGCCGCAGTCACCTCACTGCTGAAGTCCACATGCCCTGGGCTGTCAATCAGATTGATCAGAAACTCAGTTCCATTTGTATCCCCCTTTACGGTGTACTCCTCAAGCACCTCCTTCTCAACCTGGAAATGCAGCGATATTGCTGAGCTTTTGATCGTTATTCCTCTCTGCTGCTCGTCTTCTCTCGAGTCCATGTACCTTCCTCCTCCTGAATCCTTCGACACTATCTTTGCCTTAATCACAAGGCAGTCCGTCAACGTACTCTTTCCGTGGTCGACATGTGCTATCACAGAAATATTCCTGATGTTCTTTTGGTTCGTCATAAGCTCGTGAACTTTATTGATATGAAAGTCCCCCATCGTGGGGTAATTTTTTTTTGTTCTGAAAACCTGTGCCATACTCCAAGCATCACAGGCACTTGCACATGCCACCGAGATATACATGCTACACCCACACGCTATACATGGATCACATGCAAACCGCATGCACAGCAGTGTGCTATGGATATCTATCATAGATGCGCACTAGTGGATGATTTCTCTGTGCTGGCTCATTGCCTGCTGCCTGCCGGTTTATCAATTATCAATGCATATGCCGTACCACTGGCATTGTTTATCGCAATGTACTGCTGTTACACCATGGCCATTTGTTTTGGCAAACGCTGCACCCCATGGACATACATAAGGACACAATACACAGCATTGAAGCCGACTTTAGCCAGAGGAGAATCGTGACAGCATCATCTGACGGCCTGGTTCGTGTGTTTTCAAAGGGCTCATCCGATGGATCTGACAGCCTGGCTCTTGATGCAGAGCTCAATGCATGCCTGGGCCCTGCTACAAAGGCAGTCTTTCTGGGCAACGGAGAGCTGATTGCATCTGCATACTTCTGCGGGAAGGTCATTGTTTGGAAGTCGGAAGGAGGCAAGTTTGTGAAAAAACTAGAGAAGCAGCTTCTTGATGGATCTGTGAATGATCTGGATGCAAGTTGTGCAGATGGGATGTTTGTATTATACTGTGCATGTTCTGACGGCAATGTTAGAATTATGAAGATTGGGAATGCACAGGGCAGCACTGATGTGGAAGAGGTGCTGTGCCACAGGTTCGGGGTTTCGTCCATCAGCGCAACAGAAAATGGGTTTGTGAGTGGCGGGATGGATTATTCGGTGGCTGTTTGGGAAAACGGCAAAGAAGTGGCAAGGATGAGAGATCACAAGGCTTTTGTCAGGGATGTAGCTGTTTGCCCAGCAAATGCATTCAAGATGTTTTGCATGGCTAGCTGCTCAGAAGATGGGAATGTGATCATCTACACTGGCAAGGAGGGTGGATATGCCATGCAAACAATAAACCTGAACGAGCCGTGCTATAGCCTCTCATGGAGCTCATCAGGATTCAGTTTGAGTGTGGGATATGGAGAGGCAAAGTTCAAGTGCTTTGTTCCTGATGCAAGTGGAAAGTTTAAGGAGGTTGGGCTAAGACGAGTTGAGGAATAATAAAGATATTTTCTGTGCATGCTTGCATATTATGATATCCATGCTTTTGCATACAGCAAGGCTTTGAAATAGGCATGATTTACAGCAATAAGTACAATGGAATACATGTTATCTTCTCAGTGTGGAAGGGATTCGATCAATGCAGAACACATTGGAAGCGTGAAAAGCGTTTCGAAAATGGTCAATCACAGCATGTTTCGTATGAGGTTAGAGAATCTTTTGAATGTGCTTGCGGCGATTGGGCATGGAGTGTGCATGTCCGAAACATTTTTGAGGAAATGTTTTATGAAAAGTATTTAAATATCCAGTTGTGTTTCTTCACGACTACATGCTACTATTTCTGCTTTGTCTTTGCAGTATGGCAGCAGGTAATGGACTAGACTTTGGAAACAGGGCTGAAAGGCGCGAAAGGTTGAATTCCATGCACCATCATGACGACAACGACCACAGAGAGCACAAAATGCATGAGTATAGAGACAGACCCCATAAGGGTGAAAGCATTGTGGTTACAAATGAATATCCTGGAACTATGCATCATGATGATTCAAATTTGCATGACGAGGACTCTGTGCAAGACCATCCAAAGGTGGTCATTGGCACGTCTGATACAGGCAATACATATGAAGATGCTATTGACGACGATCTTTCGTTCCATAATGGCCATGAAGGCATACTCAGCCAGCTTATGGCTAATGAGTCATCTAGATTTGCGGAGGTGCCGACTGAGATCAAAGGCACGCCTCCAAACTATGCATATCCGAATGAAACATATGTTTCTGGTGACAACACAATGAGTGGGAGAACAAACATTCAACAGGTCAAGATCAATCAGCTACTGGAAGATGGAAAGCCAATAGACAATGCAAATCCTTCGAACATGTACAACGCTCTTGTGTCAATTGGCCACTCGAAGCCTGTGGCAAGTGGTGTTGCCGACGAGATCAGAAATGCAAATATCGACAAGGAAATGAGGTTGAAGAGAGTGCGTGAGCTATCTGAGCCTGAAATAAGCCCGTCGTATGTTTCTCAGCTCGATCTTGCAAGATTCAAGAACTCGAAGGATGCTATTTCGGGCTTCGAGAGGGACATGTTTGTGCGGATGGCTTTTGAGTCTCGTCTTGCAAAGATGGATTCAGTAGAGAGGTCGAAGTTTGAAGCGTTTCTAGCAAGCAAGTACACGTCTAGCTACAATGCGGGGCTTGCAAGAGGGCTGCCTGCAAAGGTGGCTCATGATGAGGCAATGAACGATGTTGATCTAGCATACCAGCATGCAGCAAGGGCAGCAGCGATTTCTGGTGGCGGGCAGCGGGTTGCAAAGCTTGCAGCAGACAAGATACAGATCGAGGAGGAAAGTGCAAACAAGATTGCAAACTCGCCTCCTGGCATCCGCTCTGAGCTGATTAGTGAGAAGATAAAGGAGATGAATGCCAAGAGTCTTGAGAGCACTGTGGACTTCAGCAATGACCTGAAGAAGATGCATATTGAAGAGCCGATCGAAAGGGCGCATCAGAAGCTCGAGAGAGCAAGTGCGTTGAAGGAGGAGGCATATGAGGAGGCAATAATGCATCCGGTTGTGAGCGAAAAGATCCTGAGGGACATTGCTGATGTTGGGATGATGGACCTCAGTAAGGCACAGAGCGATCTGAAGATCATCGAGGATCATCGCTCGAGGATTAGCAACGGGGTGAATGCGCTTGATTTACTGTACAACGTGAACAATCAGAAAGCAATTGACCAAGTGAACAAGATCAACGAGCTGAAGGAGAAGAATGCGATTGCAGCACAGAGAGATGCTGATGAGAAGAACGCACTGAAGGCGGCAGAGGAGAGGCTTGCGCTGGCCAAGGAGAGCCAAATAATCAGCCAAGACGGGGAGAAGAAGTTCAAGGAAGTGTTTAGGAGGACGGGCGATGTGATCGAGGCAGGAAGAGCAAGGGATGAGGCAGAGAGAGAAACAAGAAACAGGCTGTCGAAGGAAAGAGAGCTCAGAAGAAGGGAGGTTGAGAAGATGTTTTCAAGCAGGAACATTGAAATGAGCTCATCGATCAAGGAGGCGATTGAGCACATGGCAACTGCACATGCAGGGTTGAATGAGGTTGGCGACAGCCTTGAGGATCTGAACAAGAAGTACATTGAGGCCGAGAAGCGCAAGACGAACATTGAGGAGCTACAGAAGGAAACACTGACACCTGTGAAGGTCAAGGAGGTTATTCCATCGAATGTAAGCAGTGTTGGGATACTGGATGGGCGAATGGAGCTTCCATTGAAGGGATTCAGCAGCGAGGAGCCGAAGACAGAAGAGGAGGCGATTGTGCAACGGATACAGATGAAGAGGAGAGATCAGGCAAGGAACAGGGTGATTGAAACACCGATTGAGACGGGTCTGAATGTAATTGAGACTGAGGATGGGTACACGCATATTTCTGAAGCGGCAGAGAAGATGGATATAAGCAAGGGGAAGGTATTCTATCCGAAGAATGCAAAGGGATTGATGGAGAAGCAAGGGCTTGACACATCACTGCTGAATCACAGATTCAACACTGGAGAAAGAACAGACATTGACAAAGGAGTCGAGTACTATGAAGCGGATGCAAGCGGGTTCAGCCTTGATCTTCCGTCTCCGTTGGATCCGATTCCGACATCTGTGATTACAAATGGAAAGACAAGCCTAGACATTGGCCATGCGTCTGAGATCCAGATAGACGAGGGGGTGCTGATACAAAAGCCCTGGGATGAGTTTGTGAAGGATGTCCGGCCATCAGTCAACGAGGGGCATTTACAAGAGGCACAGGCAATGGATACTATGCATAGGAAGTCAGTGATTGAGCAGGAGAACAAGAAGAAGAACCTTGAGGAGATAGATGTGAGTGTGATTACAAATCCCGATGGTGCCGAGTATGTCGAGGTTGTTCCACCATATGGAGTGGCTGAGATCCTGCCGATGAGCCAAGCAGTTGCGAGTCTTAAGAGCATTGGGACTCAGTCTGTTGAAGCAGTAAGCGAGGAGACAAAGAGGCACAACCAGAGCATCCTGCTTGACATGGCATCGAACAAATCGCAAACTGATGTGGAGACTGAGTTTGTTCTTGATGTTCTCAGCGACATGGAAAAGTCCGGAAGCATAGACAATCTTTCGAAGAAGAATCCATTCAATGGACAGATTGATGAGAAGAAAGCAAAGATTGTTGATAAGCGTGTGAGTGAAATGATTGAGGAGAGTATCTCCACATCAAAAACGATTGAGAGCAATGTTAGGAACAATATCCTTAGGAATGCCGAACAGTATTCAAAGCAGCTAGGAATCAGCACACAGTCGTTCATTGAGATGGTCTCCAAGGTCTTTGACAGTGTTATTACGCAGATGAATGTGTACAACCAGTCGTCAATCAAGAACAGGAAAGAGGTCACAAACACTCAATTCTACAAGTACATCACAACCATTCTACCGAGTGGCACTAATGTAGATTCAAAAAAGGTAGTCAAGATATTCTTGTCCAGCATAGCAAAGGAGACGAACAGGCCTGATACAGTTGATGGAGAGGTGATAAGCACTACTACGGTTAAAAGCGACCAGCCGATCATCGCAACACGGAGCATACCTACGCCTGATGGGATAAGGAATATGGTGTATAACTTGACGCCGAAGAACAATGCTCCTAAACCTGCTCCTGGTGATCAACCAAAGGCCAGCATTCCGGATAATTCACAGATTCTTACAAAGTTCAATTTGAACGATCCGAACAAGCCGCTTACAATCCCAAGAGCCAAACCGAACACTCCTAGCACACCGCCCACTAGTACGACCACTACTGCACCTAATACACCAGGGAGTAATCCACCAAGCAGCACAACAACCATTAATACGAATAAGCCACGAGGTACACCCAATAATCTGGTTAATATTTTTAGCATTCCTGGTGTGCCAAAGCCTAACACTACCACGCCAGAGGAATCTGGCAATCCACCTGCCGCCAATGCTCCTCCACAAGGTACACCAAGTAATCCAGCTGGCAATCCACCTACGGTTAATGCCCCAGGTAGTGCCCAAGGAACACCCAGCAGCAATCAGCCGAGTAATGCACCTAATGCTCCAAGCACAAATACTACACCAAGTACTTTGCCAAGCACAGGCACACCTAACACCACACATCCGGGCACTGGCACTGGCACTAATCTTGCTCCTAATGCACCCAATACACCGCCGGAAGGATCAGGTAATGGAGAGAAAGAGCGCAAACATCCATTAACTTTCATTTCCTCTCGGAATCCTTAATTGAAGCAAGCATCAATAAATAATGATCGAAGTCCAATTGTGAGAAGGAATTGATAATTCGACTTAATAAATTGTTGTAATTACTTTGGTGCTTTATTCATCAAGAGCATTAGAGCCACTGCTTGGATTCAGCAATTCAACAAACTCCTGCTCGATCCGATCCAGTCCTCCAGGAATGATGAGTGAGTGAAGTGGTTTCCCGAAATCCCTTTTGCGCGCATCATCCATCGTGCAATAAGTTACCTGTTCTGTGGGAGATCCAAACCTGCAGACCGCAAATATTTTTGTGCCACTGGTTAGTGCTGAGGACTTACAGATGGCTGCAGCCTCAAGAATGTGCGACACTGCCTCGTTCACACTCATGAAGCGCTCTTCGTCTGTTTTTATGTCCAACAGGCACAGGGTGTGGAGCTTGTTTTCGATGTTTTGAGCAATGTTTGTGTAGAAGCTTGTTGGCTTCCATGTGTCCGTGAAGTATGGGACTGTGACCACTCGTCCGAACGAGTATGAGTAAAGCCCACAGCATCCCATGACATTCATTATTGATGCGTTGTGGACTATCTCAACATGCACGCCTTGTTCCTTAGACCTTATCAGTATGTCTGTGTGTGTTGTTGCGAACAGTGGCGTTCCCACAACAAGCAAAGATACATTGCATTCTGCAGCCTGCCTGATTATTTGATCAGTCTGCTCAACAGTCTCTCTGCTTGCAATTTGTATTTTCTTGCCAAGTATGGACTCAAGGCCATTGATTGGCTCGTTCAGGATTGAGGTGTAGCCCTCCAGATATGTGTATGAGCTGTTCTTGACAGCATCGAGTCCCCTAAGAGATATGTCCTTGTATGAATGCAGTCCAAGTCCAATTAGGTAGAGCATGGGCTATATTGGCGGGCTGGTTTATAAGCCCTGGAATGAGCGGAAGGATGCATCAGGCTGCAAATGATAGATATGCAAAGTGCATCGATGGAGTGCCATTTATGATGTACTCGACGCTGGCGATTGTGGTTATTGTGATGTCTGTGTATGTGTCGCAATCTTTGGTTGTTTTCAGCCTTATTCCGATGTATATGGCTATGTCGATTGGGTCGAAGAGGCCGGTGGTTACTCTGATTGTGATGCTGAGCTTGCTGGCAATGCTTGCGCTGCTGAGCTTGAGCAAGAAGCGAATACAATAAATGTTTGTGCAAATTATGTATGTGATGATAGGGAGGAGGATGGAGCATCCAGCGATGTGGGTGGTGTATGCTGATGCAAGTAAGGTTTTGAAGCGATCCTTGGCATGTATCTGACGATGTTTATTATTTGTGCTTTTTTTATGCATAGTAGTGTAGATTAGCATTTGTGTAGTTGGGAAGCATGTGCTTTCTGGAATTCAACAGAAAAACACAGTGGAGTCTAGAAAAACAAGGCTATTTATTGGATTGTGATTGTTGCAGCATGGGTGCAAAGAAATACACAGAGAAAGCACAGAGCCTGTTGAAAGGATGCCTAGATGAGGCGCTTGCAAACAATAACAATACTGTTGAACCTGAGCATCTTCTGAAGGCTATTCTGAATGATTCAGAGAATGTATTGTGTAGTGTTTTGAGTCCTGACGAGCGGAACGAGATCAGAGCAGCAGTTGCGCGTAGAATAGGCGGATTTGCCAAGCAATACAGTTGTACTGAGCCTAGGGTTGGAGAGGCACTTGGAAGGATTGTGCTGGCGGCAGAAGGAGTGAACGACGAGTATGTTTCTGCAAATGTGCTTGTGCTGAAACTGCTTGAGGCACGGAGCATATGCGAGCTGATTAAGAATGTTGATGATGTGAGGAAAAGAGTTGAGGAGCAAACGAGAGGCAAGAGGTTTGATTCGAGAAATTCTGATGAGATGGAGGATGCAATATCGAAGTTTGCTGTGGACATGGTTGAGCAAGCAAGGCAGAATGTGTTTGACCCTGTGATTGGAAGGGATGAGGAGATAAGGCAGGTGGTCGAGATTCTGTCCAAAAAGACGAAAAGCAATGCGATTTTAGTTGGCAAGCCAGGAGTGGGCAAAACGGCGATAGTGAATGGTATTGCACAGATGATAGCGAATGGAGAAGCGCCTACGCTGCAGGGTGTTAGGATATACAATGTTGATGTTGGGTCGATGGTTGCAGGGACGTCTCATCGAGGGGATTTTGAGGAGAGGCTGAAGAAGCTTGTGAAGGAAGCGGAGAGTACGCCTGGGGTTGTTCTTTTTATTGATGAGATTCATATTGTTCTTGGAGCAGGCAAAACGGACGGGGCGATGGATGCAGCGAACATGCTGAAGCCGGGACTTGCAGCAGGAACAATCAAGTGTATTGGTGCAACAACACATGACGAGTATAGAAAGTATGTTGAGAAGGATCCTGCGTTTGAGAGAAGGTTTGTGCAAGTGGTTGTGCGGGAGCCGTGCATTGAGGATTCGGTGACGATGCTGCGAGGGCTTAAGGAGAGGCTGGAGGCGTATCATGGGGTGAAGATAGCGGACAGTGCGCTTGTGTATGCAGCCACTGCTTCGAAGAAGTACATATCGAATAGGAGGCTGCCTGATGTGGCGATTGATTTGATTGATACAGCATGTGCAAGTGCAGTGATTGCGCTTGAGAGCGAGCCGCAGGAGATTTTGAATGCAAGGGCGAAGGCATGGTCGCTTGAGCTTGAGAAGACAAGCCTGGAGATTGATCTGGGCAGAGAGAAGGATGAGCAGACGATGCGCAGGCTTGAGAACGTGAAGGAGAGGATCGAGGAGGTGAAGAGGAGCCTGCAGCCGATGGAGGACGCATATGTAAAGGATAAAAGCTATATAATTGAGGTGAAGCAGCTGAAGAAGAAGCTTGAGGACACGAAGCTTAGGCTAGCGCAGGCGGAAAGGGATAGAAACACATACCTGGCGTATGATCTAAAGACGAATGTGATTCCTGTGATTGAGAGCGAGATTAAGCGGGTTGAGACGGTTGAGGTGATACTTCCTGTGAATGTTGCAGAGGTGATAAGCCGATGGACAGGAATACCGGTGAAGAGGCTTACGCTGAAGGAGAATGAAAGGCTGCTGGAGATGCCTCAAAGGATAAAGCAGCGGATATTTGGGCAAGACCATGCCGTCGACAGCATTGTTGACTCGATTCTGCAGTCGAGGGTTGGGCTGAGCAGGGATGACAAGCCAATTGGCGCGTTTCTTCTTCTTGGGCCCACGGGAGTAGGGAAGACCGAGCTTGCAAAGGCGATTGCGACGGAGCTGTTTGACGACGAAAAGAACATGCTTGTGCTTGACATGAGCGACTATGGAAACGAAATGAGCATTACGAAGCTGATTGGGGCGTCTGCAGGATATGTTGGATACAATGAGGGAGGAGCGCTTACTGAGCCGATCAAGAGCAGGCCATACAGTGTGATTTTGCTGGACGAAGTTGATCTTGCACACCAGACAGTGTTGAATGTGCTATACCAGCTGCTGGATGAAGGAAGGGTTACCGATGGGAAGGGATCTACCGTTGACTTCAGAAACTGTGTGCTGATTATGACGTCTAATCTTGGGCAAGAGGTGATAATGAGATCGGATGTGATGACTGACGAGGACAAGAGCGAGATGGAAAGGATTGTGCTGCACAGGTTTGGGCCGCCGCTTGTGAACCGGATTGATGATGTGATTTACTTCAACAAGCTCGGCAAAGACAGCATGTATATGATTCTTGAGTATCAGATCAGCCAGCTCAACAAGAGGCTAGGCGAGAAGGGAATGGTGCTTAGTATTTCTGATGCGGTTAAAGATGATGTGGTTGAGAAAGCTCATTCGTCGATGTATGGAGCACGCCTACTGAAGAGGTTTATCCAATCGAACTTTGTGCATGCACTGACGAAGATTATGCTGATGAGAGTCAACGAGGATTTGATTTCTGTTGAATGCACGCATCCGTCTGAGATGGCTGAAGGGATGCGGATAGCAGACTATGTGTATAAGGTGATTCCGAAGTGATGAATGATGCCTAGCTGTGTGAGAAGCAGATGCATGTTGTCTGGAGACGTGCTTGGAATAAAACTGTTTGGAATGTGTGCTTTTGTGAGTGTGTTTTGCAGGCTGAGGAGGAGTTTTGTGCGAATGCGATGAAAATTGCCGATCGAGAAGATCCCGGATGGTGGTGTTTCTGAGGGATCCCTGGATAGAAAAGAGCATTAATGAGCAGCTTCACGGATGGATGGGGCCTATGTCAGTGAGGCAACGGATGTCATTTAATGCTCAGATGATCGATGTGTATGGGAAGCGAAGCGACGGATCGATTAACGTGTGTATTTCTGATGCAAGGCGTTTTATTGCAGCAGTGCTGAGCTGCGAGGCAGTTGCTGAGTTTGGCAAGGATGTGGCCTGTAGCATTGAGGATGTGAGAGGATGCTATATGACGGTGGATGTGTTCTGGTATGAGTACTGCAGCAAGAGGAAGATGTTTGTTGCATTTGTTCAAGAGTTTACATACTGTGGAGGAGAATGTGATGTATGGGGCGAGCCCACGGACATGAATGGCTCGGAGCAGCTGCGAAGCATAGGGATGTCATGGATGTATGCGACGTTTAGAGCTGATGAGTTGTATATCCACAGAGCAGCAGTGCATGGATGTGATGAGATAGCAAAGATGCTTGATTCAGGCGATGATTATTGTGGAGAGCAATGCGAAAGATGCTGGCGATTTGCCGAAGGCAAGCGTCCTGGAATGGAAGGCAATACTGGATGTGCATTGGGCAACTCCAAAGCATATGCAGGCACAGAGCAAGCAGATAAAATGCACGTGGATGTAGAATATGCAGACATACATGTAAAAAGTAGAAACGACATTGCGTTGGAAAAGTGCTTTATTGACATATGTTCAGATAGTGATGATGCACTGGATGCGGCGTGCATTATACAGAGCCAGCAAAGCAGGTCATGTCCATAAATGATTGCATTTGCAGCATAGATAAAAAATACTTAACGCAACGTCGTCTTCATTGTCTCTTGATTGGAAGTAGATTCCCTTGTTGAAGCCGCATCTTGTGCAGTCGATCATAACATGTGGGAGTGTTGGGTCTTGCAGCAAGTCCTTTGCATACACCTCCATTGCTTTGTGCTTAGTTCGAAAGCTTTTTGAGTACAAGCAGTGCGACTTTGTTTCTTGGATGTGTTCGCAGTTCTTACATGCCATCAGAAGAGTGTTTTCCTGCGAGTCTTCCTTTGGATAGAGCAGATTGTTGCATTCTCTGCAGAACCGGTCTGATGGTACGGTTTCCATGCGGGGGCTGGAGATAAATGTGTTGAATGCGAAGCGTGGAGCGGATTTGATGAAAGTTGCCGACCCCTGAGATGCAGAACGACGAGGAGTTCTTTGTTGGGGATGAAGGGTCGTCTGACACGTCTTCTGATCTTGAGCTGGTGATCAACAAGGTGCCTGAGAGGGGGGAGGAGCATAAAGAGGATGCGGAAGGACAGAGTATATTGGATTATGACATAGATATTTTTACAGACAAGCCATGGAACAAGCCAGGAGCGGACATTACGGACTACTTCAACTATGGGTTTAATGAGATGACGTGGAAGGAGTATTGCAACATGCAGAGGAGAAAGAGCGAGTTTACGCTTGGTGGGGATGATTGGGCTGATGGCCGATACAGCGGGGTGCAGAGGGGATTCAGTGAGATCAAGAGGGAAACGGAAGGGGGGCGGAAGGAGAAGGGCAAGAAGTCGAAACGGGAGGGGCGAGATGGACGATCACGGGCAGATAGACAGAGAAGGAGTAGGGGATGGGGAGGAGGCAAAAACGAGAAGGAAGAGCGAGGTGAAAGGCGAAGGGAGGTGCCGAGGGAGAATGGAAGGCGTATGTAGCCAGGCAGAATTAGGCTGTATGAATGCATGGCAATGTGTATGCTTGAGCTATGGAAGGCGGTAGTATTTGTGTGGGATTGGCGAGAACAAATAGGTAAATTTTTGCACCCCGAGAGATGGGAGCAGTTAACTATCTGATGGAGATCCACAGGCGCAAGCAGTCTGACGTGATGAGGTATTTGCTGAGGATAAGGGTGTGTGAGTACAGGCAGCGAGGAGAGTGTTTCCGGGTGGATAAGCCGACTTTTCTTGACAGAGCAAGGAGTCTTGGATACAAGGCGAAGCAGGGATATGTGCTGTATATCGCAAGAGTGAAGAAGGGGAACTTGAAGAGGACCTACCACAACGGAAACACACGAGGAAAGTGTGTGAATGCAGGGATTGCGCAGATCAAGCCGTCGCAAAGGAAGCAGGTGACAGCAGAGATGGTGGCAGGAAAGAAATGCTCGAATCTTAGGGTGTTGAACTCGTACTGGGTTGGGCAGGATGCAGCGTATAAGTACTATGAGGTGATAATGGTGAACAAGGACCACATGGCAATAAGGAATGATCCGAAGATCAATTGGATGTGCAGGCCAACAATGAAGCATAGGGAGTGCCGAGGGCTTACATCTGCAGCGAAGAAGAGCCGAGGGCTTGGGAAGGGAGTTCGATACAACAAGTCGAACGGAGGCTCTATACGTGCGTGCTGGAGAAGAAAGAACACGTTGGTTCTACAGAAGTATCGTTGATAATTAAACCTTGGTGCTTTGAGTGTGTGTTTTGAGATGTTTATGAGGAGGGACTTGAAACAAACTTTTTTGATGGCTGAAGCAGAAATTTTATGCAGCAGCAGGGGCCATTTGAGGCAATGGAGGAGGGAACACAAAGGCATGAATTGAAGGAATTGTTTGAGAAGGTCGATCCGAAGAGCCTGAACAGAAGATTTGTGGATGAGGAGATACAGAGGATGAAGAAGAGAAGCATGATTGAGCCTGTAGAGATTGCAAGGGCGATACTGTATCTTATGGATTTTCCGGAGAAGGAGTGGAACTTGAGTGAGATAGTTGGATCTATTCGGAGCAATCTTGAAGAGATTAACTGGCGGGAAGTGTATTCGTGTTTTCTTGATCTGGGCTTGAGCGTGTGGAAGCATGAATCGCTTTATCTGATTATTGATTGCTGGATGCATGTGAGTGGGGCCAACACGATGCCTTATGAGATATTTTTTGGGAGATGGAAGGATGAGAAGGCACAGGTGAATTTTCTGCGGCTGATTATCGAAGGGGACGATAAGCGATTGCAGCTGTATTCGAATGTGTTTTTCCGACGGATAGTTACGCCCGAAGAGTCTCGGAACCATCGGTTTAAGAATGTGGTGGGGTATGAGAGTACGTTTAATTGCGTGGAGTTGTTTGAGTGCATTGGGATGCTTGAGTCTGTGGTGCTGGTTGAGCTGATAGCGAGGAAGTCGCCTGAGTGGTGTGTGATGGGGCTTGGATACATACAGCCGATGTTTTTGAAGATTTTTGACGATCTTGTGCTAGGGTTTGCACGCGGGGCGCCGAATAGCTTTGTGCTGCATGTGTTGTTTAAGAACCATGGGAGTCTAATGCTGCAGAAGGCGGTGATGCTGCAGAGGGAGGGAGTTGCGATATCGAAGATACTGGATGTGTTTCTTGAGAATAAGATGCTGCCCGTTGTTTCTGAACTGCTTGAGCCTGTGGAGCTTTGCTTTGACGTTATTGTGCTGAGCTCTATCAGAGACCACTTGAATCTGACGATATGGCTATCGAACAACCTGACGACGCGGAGGGATGAGTTTGTGAAGGTGCTAGTGAAGTATCTTGGGATGAAGGTTGCAAGGCCCAGGGAGGCGGAGAAGATGTTTCCGCTGACGGCAGAGATATTTGGGACATTTATGAGGATAGTAGAGCAATTTCTGAAGATTCTGAAGCCGGAGACGGTGATGATGTACAATGAGTTTAAGCAAGGGCTACCTCAGGGATTGAGGATGCAGAAGACAAGGGATATGAAGATTGAAGAGGAGGCAAGCAATTTTATTTCGCAGATAATCAATTCGCAGAGAGGGATTGAGAGCAGCATCTGCCAGATCAAGGAGTTTTTGAAGGAGGAGGGAGTAAACAAGGAGCTTGCATCGAAGATTTTCTGTGCGCTGCTTGAGAACTACAGTTCGTTGTATAAGCTTCCGAATTCCGACTTGATTGCGCAGCTGTATGGAGGCCTGATCAAGGAGGAGATATTTCCGAAGCCGTATAGAAGGGTTGCTGTAGAGTATACTAAGGGGTCGCTGAAGTATCCTGAGAATGATCGAGAGTATTCGTTTGGATTTAAGTGCTTGGAGGTGTTTCTGCCGCAGCACCCGTCGGTTCTTGGGGAGATTGAGGAGATTGAGAGTGTGAGGAGCAATTTGGTGAAGAAGGAGCTTGTGCTGATTGATTCTGAGATTCATCCTACGATTGGGTTTGATGATGTAATGAAGCTGGTGTTTAAGGAGAGATGCAAGACGAATGGAGGAGTGGGAGGGATTGTTGATGCGATGGAGGAGAGGAGAAGGAAGGCAGAGCTTGGCAAGGAGTGGATGGTTGGAATGATGGGGGAGCATGATGCTGATGAGGAGCAGGTGGTGCAGGCAATGATGTGTGAGATTGGAGGCAAGAGAAGGAAGGGGGTAGAAAGGATGTTCTGTGAAGTGGCAGAGAGGATGGGGAATGAGTTTATGATGCATTTTGTGAAGAGGGCGTTGGAAGTGGTGAAGATTTTGCTGGACTACAGATGTGAAGGGGAGATAGAGATATCGAAGGTAGTTGGGGAGGTTCTTGGGAGGATGCTGCTTGAGAGGAACCGAATAGTGACGCTTGAGCAGTTTGATTTCAAGAGGTTTGTTGTGAAGAGTGTTGAATGTCGTCGGATACTGTTTGGAGTTACGTTTGTGACCAGTTTTTTGAGGCAGGGAAGAGGAGGGCTTGTTTTCCGGCCGATGAATCCGTGGATGATGGGTATATTTGGGCTGCTGAGCGAGGTGTACAGCTGCACGCTGCGGCCGGTGCGAGAGGAGATCCGGGGGCTGTTTGAGCATTTTGGGGTTGAGCTGAGCCCGAAGCCATTCAAGAGTTTTGGGCTGAGGTCGAAGAAATATTTGGCGGAGTATGTGGTTGAAGAAGGGGATCTTGTGATGAGGCATGTGTTGTTCCTTGCGCTTGACTTGAGTGTGCGAGAGATATCGCAGCCGATAATTGAGAAGGCGTGTTCTGTGGCGATAAGGACGGGGATGGAGTTGTTTAAGAGTACTGTGGTTGAGAAGGGGAGTGAGTATGTGCTGTTCAGGAACATGGTTGTGAATCTTACTAGGTTTCTGTGCTTTGTGTCGGCGCAGGAGCCGATGAAAGCGTGCATATCTGGGAATGTTTCGTATTTTATGAAGCTGTGCTCGCTGGAGTTTTCGACGGAGAAGGTGTTTAAGATAGCGACGGAGAATCAGGAGGTGTGCTGTGAGCTGATACAAAAGGCAGGGGTGTCGCGAGTCAATGAATCGATCAATGCATGTTACAACGAGCTGGAGTATAGTACGGGACGGCAACAGCATGTGTGGTTTGAGCTGCTGCAGGATCCTGGGCATATTGAGAAGGTTGTGATCAAGCCTGTTGAGAACGGGGAGTATCAAGAGATCAAGACGCATCTGGTGCAGCTGAGTAAGAAGATTCCGTACTCGAAGAAGAATGTGATTGCGGATGAATGGCATGGACTGGTGGGGGAAAACAGGGAGGCGGTGTTTAGTAGGATAGTGAGGAGCATTGATGAGTGTGAAGACAAGGACGAGGAGTGCACGAGGCTGTGCAGGTACATTACGGGGCACTTGATCAAGAGCGGAAGCAAGGATGATTTTTTATTTGAGTGTATGGAGAAGATGTTTAAGGTATCGCACAAGACGCAGAAGGAGGTGATAGGATGGCTTATTTATTCGAACGACCCGCGGAAGTTCAGTGTGAATCTTGTTAGCAAGTTTATTGAGCACAACCTGATCAATGTTGTTGAGTATGACCAGGCACTGTCCAAGATTCCTAGCACAGAAGCGAATCTTGACTTTGTGATAAGTTTGCTGACGTCTCTGATAACTGCGGAGGTGCATGTGTGCACGGTGTATGATTTTATCTGCACGCTTGAGATGCTTGCGGGGCACAGTGACAATGGGAAGGTTTTTGATTTTTTCCAGAGGATTGGAAACTTTATGATGCATATTGATGGAAAGGGAGTGCCTGAGTATGAAGAGTATGTGAGGATAAGCAGGTTTAGTGCGGTGCCTGAGCAGCACCTTCCTGAGTTTATGGAGCGTGTTGGGTATCCGGAATCATTGGATGTGAGGTCTGCATTTAAGGTATCGTGGGATCATTTTATCAGGTACAACCGGATTCCGACGCTATACTGCTATCTGAAGATTGATCTGCTGCCTGTGCTTGTGAAGGGCAGACTTTATGAATGCCTGAAGGAGAGCCTTTGTGTTTTTGTTGAGGCGTATCGGAAGAGGAATTATCTGTTTTTCAAGATGTACACACGATTTGTGCTGAAGATGCTTGATGAGGTTGAGGAGAATGGAGTGAGCAGGAGCCTGGTGTATTCGTTTCTTGAGGTGTTGTATCCTTCGAAGGTGCCGGCATTTACGTCATTTTTTGTGGAGATTGTGAACCACAGGTATGTATTGAGGTACTTTGAGTGTGAGGAAGGGCTATGGATTGCGATGGAGATGCTGAGATGTGGAGTGTACAGTGGAAGGCTTGCGCATCGTATCAGCCAAGCGATGAGTTTTTTGAAGACGGCCGGATGGGTGAGGATGTATTCGTCGTATCTGTCGTACAGTTGCCCACCGGAGTACCCGCATCTGAAGAATCTGATAAATGCAAGCAGGGACCGGGTGGTTGCGGTGGAGAACCAGAATTCGTTTTTCAGGCTGCGAACGGCGCTGCAGAACAAGACGTCGGTGAAGCTGACTGATCTTGGGATAGGGAAGAATCTGTGGATGTACTTGATTGACAACCTGAACGAGATGGATGAGATATCGATGATGGCGGTTGAGAGCATTAAGTTTATGGTGGAGAGGAAGATGCATGCCGAGGAGATTCTGACGATGCTTTGGATTCGTATCAAGGCCGGGGATGTGCCTGAGGCGCTTTCTGCGTGCTACAATGAGCTGCAGATGCTTGACAGTAGCCGGGTGTTTTTAAGGGCTCTTGAGAGTCATGGACAATAAAACTGTAGAGTAGATGAGGATGAGTGTTAGCCAATAATTTGGCTGTTTTGAAGCCCATGGAGCAGTCTGACGAGCTGATCCGTAGAATACTTGATGAGAGAGCGCTGGAGGCGCTTGGGACACTGAAGCATGTGAGTAAGGAAAGGGGGGTGCAGCTGCAGAGGGCACTGGTGCAGCACTTTTATGTGGTGCGTCGGCCGATATGCTATGAGGAATATGTTGATATTGCAAAGAGAATTGGAGATGAGTGTACGAGGGCGTCGGTTGACATCCGAAGAAAGGGGAGTTTTTTTGATCTGGAAGAGCTGTGAAGTAAATCTTGGTGATGAGTGGAGTTATTAAAAGCATTAAAGATATTCTCTTTATTGAAGGTTGATGTACACTTTTCTGGAACGACCAGAGCATGCTGTGTCCTTTATACTTAAATGGTTTTGATGGATTATGCACATGACCAGTTGTGTTATGCACATGAAGTTTTGATACGCCCTGCTACATCTCAAGAGATTTGTGGTATGCCAGTATTTTTGAATGATTTTTGTAATGGAACGTGATTCCAAATTTAATTTCAAGTGCGGCCTTGAGCTCGTTGATGATCTGTACGCATTCTGAGTTTGAAGGGAGGTTTTTTGACCAGATGCTGAGCTTGAACTTGTTATCCTTGTGGATCACGACCATTCCTGTTGGGGTGAATTTCTTGAAGTATCCGATGCACAGGCATATCAGCATTCTTTCGAAGTATCTTTGTGCAACCTCCTTTTTGAGCATCAAGCTCCAGTCGCATCCGTTCATGTTGTTTTCGTCCTCCCAGACAGGATTGATGCCGTCCTTGAAGATATTTATGTAGAACTGTTTGTCGGCAGTGTCGAAGTTTTTCAGGTGATGAAGAAGGTACGAGATGTGTTCCTGTGTTTCCAGAGTGCATATGCTCTTGAAGTTTTTTTCGTATGTATCTTTTGAAACGCCGTCGCCCGAGCCGTCGATGACTTTTAGTGTGATGCGGAACTTTGAAGCCAGCCTGTTCATGGGGCGACTGAAGTCTGAAAATTTAACCAGTGCAAGGCAGAGTATGCCAGATGAGATTTGTGTTTACCAGCACGATGCGATTGATGGATTTGCCGTAGGCTTGCTGTCTATTGGCGGCTGCCATTGGCTTGATGGATATATTAATGCAATGCACAGTATATAACCTTTATTTAGCACAGTTACATATAATGACGGCTAGTGCGTTAACCCATCAATGAGTTACACAAATGCTGTTAACCGATATTAAAAATCAAATGACTGATGAGTTAGAAGATGAAGAGCAAGGGAAGATTGCTAAAGCACCAGGCAAAGCGGAAGAAATGGTTGCAATTGAGATGAATAGGATTGAGGAGACGTATGAGCTTAGGAATGTGTATGCTCGGGATGGGCAGAAGCCGGCGCATCTTGTTGATGGATATGTGTTTGTAAGCCGTGGAGATGTGAATGCAATAATGGGGCCGAGTGGAAGGAAGTGGAAAGACCACGCTGATGTCTATGGCAGGGTGTAAATGTGAGGAGAGCATAACGACGTATGGCGAGGCACGGTTTAATGGGCGGAGGAAGCATAAGCTGGATCATATGCAAGATATTGCATATATGCCTCAGCATGAGAATCTGGAAACAATTTCTGAGATGACGGGAAGGGATTTTATTGCTTTGTCTATTAAGAAGAGCATAACGGAAGAGAATCGCAATGGGGAAACGGATGAAGAGATTTCGAATGACATAATCAAAGTATGTGGACTAGGCAGGTTTGTAGACCGGCCTCTCAGGAAATTGTCTGGAGGGCAGCGGCAAAGGATCAGGATTGCAGAGGTGCTTGTGCGACGGATGCCGTATACATTCCTTGACGAGTCGACCACTGGATTGGATGCAAACACAGCGCCTGCTATTATTGACTCGATTAAGAGGTATGCGAAGAAGCACAACCTGGGAGTAGTGGTATCTATACATCAGCTGTCGAATAGTATAGTATGTGCAAAGCATTTGACAATGTTTTTATTATGACTGAGGGAGTCACGGTGTATGGAGGGCCATACAGAGACGTTCTTTTTGAGTGTCTTGATAGGGAAGGAATGGAGTTACAGGAGCATGAGGCGAATGATGATCCGGTTAGAATTGCATATACTGAGAGCATAAGCAAAACTGGAATTGCTATGCCTGATTATATTACATCGATTACGTCTAAGGATGAGTCGCATTATCAGAATGAGGATCTGCAAAGGCAGAAGGATGTGATACAAAAGGTGATTAATGCCAAGAGGAAGAAAGAAAATAAAAGAGCAGAAGAGTATGCGACAGTAAGCAATACAAAGGATTATAACTATGACATGATGCCTAGGATATCACATATTTGGAGCAATGCTGTGTATGGGACGAAGACATATTTGATTAATGCAACAGCAGGGATAAGGTGATGCTTACGTTTTCTTTTGTTCTTGGAATTGTGATCATTGCGTATGCAGTGTTTAAACAGAAAGCCAAATGCATAAATGAAACTGAAGTGGTGGGAGACATTCAAATTATAAGCAAATTTATGGGCATGGAAAGGTTAATTTTTGACTCTTATGAGCCAAGCTTCAAACTAAGCAAAATTGGGAGTAGTCTGTGCTTACTACTTGGGTTTATCAAAGCGGTCAACATGAAAGTATTGTTTTACATAATGATGTTTGTAGTGAATTCCAGCTATCTTTATAAGATGCTTGAGTATATTTCAAGAGATGGAAGGCAGGGTATAACAAGTCCTACGAGCACGTATCTATCGATGGTGCTTTTGCATGGATGTACGGTAGGATTGTTTATGGCGGTGGTTTTGTTTTTGATTGCTGTGATTTACACGAAAAGAACATCCATAGAGCTTAGTGTGGCAGATTATGCCAAGATTTTTGGATGGATATATGGATTGGTGATGCTGAATTTTTATGAGATGTTGTTCGTGGCTAGTGCTGTTAGATCTGGCACCAGTACATGTGTTGCTGCCACTGTTATTATCTTTACTATGGGCTTTTTCATGGCTATTCTTGATTCGTATAATGGGGGACAGTTTATTGCTGATATTTTGAAGGCACTGCGGAGTTTATTATTTAATAAGCTCATAATGAATGATACTCAGCAGCAGCCGAAGATGGATTTCAAGAAGATGATCGTTGGCTTATACAATTATTCCTTTGGGATTAACAGCGTAGTGCATAAAAACACAGATACGGCATCGATTTCGCAGAATCTGATTTGTTCCGTGAAGGTTGAGCATATTCCATCCTGGATGTCGCAGATTTTACGATTTATTTGGATGTTTTTGACGCCGATAAGTACGTTCCTGAACTATGCTCGGTACAGCTTGCTGCCTAGTGTTCTTCAAGACGAGATCATAAGGAACTCTGGAACGGTTTACGGGACGAGGTATCCGAACAAAACCTCGATAAGGTATGCGTTTTTTCGAAGTTTGGTTTTGCAATTTTCATGATTGGGGCGGCTGTGCACATCGACGTTTTTTATAATACGGATGCTGCTGGCTGATTACACACGGAACCAAAGGATTGAGCTCTCCAAGAATGATAGCAAGAAGAAAGTGAATGCAGATGAGGACGAGAAGGATGAAGTTGAGCCAAGCAAGAAGTCGTGGCTGTCGTCCACAGGGCCATGGATTGCAAGCACTGTTGTTATGCTGCTGTTTCTAGCAGTGATAGCTATGATTGTTATTAACCTGGGCATGAACAAGATTGTATATGGAGATGAGAGCAATGCCAAGAAGTACATGCATGATCAATTTAAGGAGCTGGTTGATGGTAATCTTAAGAAGACGGAAAGCGTAGCATCAAAGTACAATGAAATGATTGATAAAGTGTTTGAAGAAAAAGTGAACGTGTAAATAGACAAGCAAAGAATCAATCAAGTAAATCTAAATCAGATGAAGATATTGGCAGATTATGGAAAAATGCTGAAACATTGTATTTCTGAAATTTTAATTAATAAGAATCGAATGCCAGGCTTTAAAATGGAAGCCTTTACTCATTTCAAGCATAATATGACTGCTAATGATGCATTGAATTTGAAAATTAGTCAATCGAATCTATCAAAAAGTACCTATCAGAAAATATATAACGTTGATACTACAAACATAAATGGCCAAACTCACCAATCACAACTAGAATCTGATCCCGATAGTATATACAATATGGGAGCAGACGTGGATAAACTTGAACAGAATCTTAAAGAGAGTGGGAAAGCATACGATAAATCAATGTTTGATGATATTAGAAAGATTATAAAAAAGTATGAAGTTGTTAGTGAGATTATTGATGCAATTAGAAGCAAAGAAGCCTCTATTCTTGGTATAAACCAATCTGAGTATGATATATTAAATCTGTAATTGATAGGATCACAAATAGTATCTACGAGCGTAGTGAGTATACCATAATTCATATGACGACGAAGATCGATTTAGAGGAAGAAATTAAGAAATTGTTATTCATGAGTAGTAGTCTTTGTAATCTTGATATGAAGAATCGAATATTTGTGATCATGAAGATGTTTAAAGGGATGTGTGACATAGAAGAAATAGCTTATATAATCCGAAAACAGAAGCATATAAATGTTAATGAACGTATAATTGAGGACGCCAAAAAGATGTTTAAAAAGCAAAGGATGATTGATATATCTATAGATGAGATTAGCAAGCAAGAAACAATTGAGGATGAAGCATCATTCAAAAAGATTTTTTTGAAAATCAAGAATAGAATAATAAGCTGCGAGATTGAAGAGCAGATCAAGGAAGAAAAAAGAAAAGCAAGAGAAGTTGAACTTAGCAAGATTCGATTAAAGATTATAAGGCATATGATTATGGATAGGGTTAGAAAAGAAGCAACGAGGAGGGGTATGGATATTATTGATAATAATACATTTAATAATATTTGTCAGTCGATCTATGAAGATAAGAGTGATGGAGAAATTAAAATTGATAAAAGTATGCGCGGTATACTTAATGGCATAGTGGATGAAGAAATCAAAACACATAATCAAATTAAAATGTTTAAGGGACGTCAGGCAAAACAAAAAAGAATTAGCAGAATTGTTGTTGATACGATGAAGTATCGACTAATTTGTTTTCTACAAAATAATTCCGGGAGGAGAGATATTATTAGTTTTATTCAAGCATATAACGTATCTGACGCAACGCCTTTTGAATTTAATGGCACATCTAAAAATTCTTGGAAAGATTTTTTAATGAAACAAGAATTATCAGAAGCAAATGAGAAGATCATAGAAGCAATGGGGTCAGAAAATATAGATTTTATTAATAAAGTACAGAAAAAGCTTAATAATGGTGTAAAGACGAAGCTTCAAGAAAGATGCAATGATCTGGATAATATCAGTACAGAAACTATATGTGCGATGTTTGAAGAAAAGATAAGAAGTATAGGAAATGAGATTCTAGAAGAATGGTGTAAAGATCAAGGAATAGATATGGCAAAGGTTAATCAATATACCCAGGAGGAAGAAATGATTGATGATAAAAAGATGCTTGATATAATTAGAGGAAGGATTGATAAGGACAGGCCGGATGATCTAGTAGAGATACAGAATACAGTGGCTGAAATAATATCCAAAGATGATTCTGCAGCAGACAAAGATAGTCTTGAAAATAAGATTGTGCCAGACAAAATAATATATGGATATGGTAGTGAAGAGCAAGTCGATGAAGAGATAATTAAAAGCATAGTTGATGAAACGATTGCGGAGTGGGAGTGCAAATCGAAGGTAACTGATACGAAACGAATAGTTGCAACAATAGTGCAAAGGATAAAGAGTCAAAAGGTAACTAATGCTGAAATTGAAAGTGTGATAGAGCCATCAATAAAGGAAATGCTTAGAGAAAAGATCAAGAGCATGAATAAGGATGTTGATTTGATTATGAAACAGATCGAAAAACAAAAAGTGGAAAATATTACTACGAGCTTAATGCATAATTCAGAACATAATTCTGGCAGTTATACGATTACGATGGCGTTATTGCATGCAATACAACGTAATAAAATAACGAATGATGAAGAGTTATGTAATGTTGTAATTAGGGAAGATCATAGATACATAAATTTCTTTCTAGATGTTTTCCGCAGCAATTCACCATTATACATGGATGCATGCAATAAAGTGCTTAGAGATTACGATTACATGGACATTGAGAGTGCCAAATTGATTTTTGACGAAATTAAAAAAGTTAAGAAAGAGTTTAGAAACAAGATGAACAAGGAGAGAATAATTGATGCAATCAGAGGAGTAATGCAAGAATATGAAATAATGAAAGAGATCGAGGGTAAATTAGAAGCAAGAACAAGCCCATGTGACAATAAAATTCTTGATGCAGTTAGAAAAGACATTCGTGAGTATGAAATAGTTGCTGCGCTTGGTCGAGCTAAAGATGAGTTTATTGATAAATTACCATACTTTGTTGTTGGGTCGATGATTGCACTGAAGAGTGGAAGGACGAAAATTGATATGCAAGAGATTGAAGATTACATCAAGAATAAATCGCCAAAGTATAACGGGGATTATGAAAATGTTTTTCAGCTAGGAATACTTGGGTTGCAAGGAAAATATAAGGCAGGAGGTTATGCTATGTCTTATGATAAGTACTTTGCTAATAGAAATCTTTCTGCTCTGTCAAACGAGTTGGATAAAATACTAAAGCAGTATTCTAATGAAGTTGAGTTAGTACAACTTCTAAAGAAAAATCACATTCGTTTTAATCCGAGAACGCAGCAATCGATGAAAGAAATGATTGATGGCATGCAGAGGGTTTATGAAACTCTAACTAATCCTCAGCATAAAGATGCATATGCTTTGATACAAAGAAAGAATGTGTTTGATAAAGATACGATTATGATTGATGGGTTGGATGAGCAGGCAATAAATGCCACGAAGGAGAAGATTAAGTTTTACCATGCTCTATGGATGTTTTTTAACGAAGCAAACAAGGGTACAAATATTACATTCGCTGGAAATAAGAATCTTGATGGCGTAATTGGCATTCATGTGGATTATGTTTTTGAAAACTTGGTGAGTCTAACCAATCAATGGTATGCTGTCCATGCTAATAGTTTGCTTATAAAAAATTGAAAACTGCTTTTATCAAATTATATGCGGAAGTATTGAAAAACTTAAACGAGAAGAAAATTCCTATGGATGCCGTTGAATTAATGGCAAGCAGTTATGAGAATGATGATAAGAATGGTGCCGGTTTTAAAGAACTACAAGATGAATATGTGGCTTAAAGATGATAGTATCACTGTGGATCATCTGCATTGTGAGCATCATCTATCTATCCTGATAAATATTGTTCAGCAAGTTTAATGAAGAAGAGGGTGTAAGCAATATTATGGAAATGAGGAGGGAAAAGGATACAATTCTGATGGGCTGTATAGCCATGGCTGTGAAATTACCACAGTGGTATGAAATAAATTATTGGAGTTAATGATGTTTTTGATGTGCTTGGTTAGGCAATATGTAGATTTGAGAGATATCAGAAGATGTGTGTGAAATTGGAATTAGTGTAATTTTAATAAATGAGAAATATTATATATTTGAGATTGAGTAGAAGATCTGAGGATGATCCTGGAGTGTGTAGAGGATGGTTTCGGTCGAGATGCGATGGGTGGCATAGAATGTGTGATGGATGGATGTGGTGAATGCAAAGGAACAGAGGCGCCTGAGTTTCCATGCTTGATGGATGTATATGATGATGATGAGATATGCAGGGTTTATATGCGGTGCATTGAGAATAGTAAAAGACCGATTAGTCCAGAAATGTGTATTGATCCAAGGCACTTTTATGAAAGGAAGAGCGAAGTGTGTGCGAGCAAAGACGACATATGCAATGAGCAGGAGGAGGTGAGTGATGTAAAGATGGATGTAAGATCAAAGCCATCGTTTTCGTATGCACAGATAATAACACAGGCAATAGTGACCAGTGAGAATGGTAAGCTTACACTGAACGAGATATATCAATGGATTGAGAATTCGTTTGAGTATTACAGGTATGCAAATCCTGTATGGAAAAACTCAATTAGACACAACTTGTCATTGAACAAATGCTTCAAGAAGGTTCCTAGAGACCCTGGTGCACGAGGAAAGGGGGGTAGATGGACGCTTGATCATGAGGTTCTCACAAACGAAGATGCATTCAAGAAGAAAAAGGCGCCTAGATGTGATGGCACAATTGATGAATCGGCTCAGGCACAATCCAAACAATGCATCGAGCCGGAATATGGCCTTTCAGACGAGCAGGATGATGAAGCAAATCGTGCTTTTGGAATAATGACGCCTGAGAACTTGATGAGGCAGATGAGTAAGTTGATTGTGCCCAGCATTGGCTCAGGCAGTAGTGTAAAATAAACGAGTGTATATAGCATACTGACTTTATTTCACCTGATGCATTGCTTTACAAAATGGCGCTATTTCAAGCAGCTTATCTGAAACACAATTCTGTTCGGATATCTTTCAGTAGGGCTTGGAAACACAACAACATTTGCTTGATGCCCAGATGCTGCAAACGCTGCTTCTACAAACCCACAAACAACAGAATCTGCGGAAAATCCATCCCAGCTCTGCGGCACAGACATGAACCTTGAAAAAGCACCGTCCATATCCATTAGTAGATATACTCCATCGCTGGGATTGCTTTTCTCAATCCTTCTGTCGCTAGTGTTGACATGTGGAAGCAAATCAAATGCAATCCGATACAGAAGGGTTGGAACATACACTTCCCTCTCAAATCCGTGTACCTCAAGCATTCTTATGCCAACTTCATATCCAATTTCTTTGAGCCTTTCCTCTGTGTCACCAGCATTTTCCATGAAATATTCAACCATGCCGCAAACCAAATACGAGACCGTCGACAGAGGAATCACTTTCGGCATCTGCTTATTCAAGGGCACTCTCAGCTGATCATACAAACACTCTTACTATTATGCATGCTGACTCAATAGCATGCAAAAGCCTCATTCACATCGTACTGCTTTCCTTCAATTTCTGATTGTTCATATTCATCTGGTCAATGTGCATCACTGCAAGAAGCGCATCCCTCATCACTGCATCCACATTTCCTCTTGCATGCTTTGCCCATCCAATACGGAACATTGGCTTCTTATTCATCATCTTGTGTACTTGTGCATTCTCAAACCCCATGCAGCATACAACTGAATCAAAAACCTCACTAGATCCCACGCCATCCCTTTCAAGCACTACTCGGTACCCATCGTCATCCTTCGCTATTGATGTAATCAACGTGTTGAATCTCATATGAAGCTTCCTGCTTCCATTTCTATTCTCTGTTAGCATCTTCTTCCGTCGTTCCCACCATTTACGATTGGTTCCATCAAATATCTTTGCCTTGATGCATTTAATCCATTCAAATACTCTTTTTATGTTTAAGCTCTGTAATCCATTGCATTCGCCTAGGCTGCTGTTCTTTCCCTCCGAGCACATAATCTTCAGGTCATCTATTTCAAGCACACTTCTAAGCTCTGAATTCGAAAAAGAACCGTTGTATGCATTGCCTCGAGATACAATCGTGACATGCTCTGCACCTACACCAACGCTCCTGTTTCTGCCAATGCATGCGTCAATCCTGCGTTCTGAATGACGGCCTGCCCATCCAAAAACAACTTTTACAACATCCATCGACACGTTTCCCATTCCAACTATCAGCACTTTCTTTCCAACTCGATGCTTTGCATCTTCTCCATTCCAGAATGCCTTAATCACATCCAGCCCGCTGATGCAATGCTCTGCTCCGAAAATATCTGGCATCCTTGGGCCTCCTGCGCCTGTGGCAATCACAAAAACATCAAAGCCATCCTCAAGCTGCTCAAGGCGCACAGTATCTACAGGGCTATTCAGTTTGATATCAAACTTCGGATCACTTAGGAGCCTCGCAAACGGCGCCATCTTCGACACAGGCAACAGCGAGTATCTGTAAAGCCCGCCAATCTCGGCCTCCTTTTCATATAGCGTGGTGCGAATGCCTCGGTCAACAAGGAACTTTGCTGCATACAGCCCTGCAGGCCCTCCCCCAACCACACATGCTTTCATGGGAATATTAAAACCTGGTTTTGCATCAGGTTGAAACGGCATGAAACACTGCTTCAGATTCAGTATAAATCGCCTGCATGTATTTGATGTAAATATGAAGAGCCAGAAAACAGCGCTTCTTCTTGGATCAATGACTGTGGGAATCGTGATGGTCCTGCTTGTGATAGACTTTGTTACTCCTAGCAGGAGCACGCTGAAGCCATCTGGCCTTGTTGCAAAGGGCAGGATGTCTTTGTTTGGCGAAAAGACAACGCCGGGCAGATTCATGAGCCTATCAAGCACGGACAAGCTCGACATCATCAAGGAAAGAATGAATACTGTCAACAGAAAGCTGGATAGAACACTCGATATACTCAGGGATATCAGGTTCTCAAGAGACACAGCGATGCCAATGGGCATGCATGAAGGCCTTCCCATGTACACTGGGAATGCAATTGAAAGTCATCCATACTACGCTATCAGTAGGCCATACCAGGCAAAGCCTGCGCCGAATCGGATGAACGGCTTCAATGGTGAGAGAGAAGACGTGCTTGGAATGCTTGATAGGCCGGACATATATGCCTCGCCATCAAGCACTGAACATTACAGACGTGTAGGTGCTGTTCCAAGCACATCGATCAAAGGATTTGAAAACATTATTGGGCATGACAAGTCTGAAGATGAGAGTGGAACGCCGAGCGATGAAAACTTCGAAAAGCTTATAGGAGAGCTGTTTGGCGGCAATGTCACTGGAATAGCATCCAAGCCAAAACAATCAAGCACGAATGATCCAAATGTCACTGCAGATCAGAGCATTAGCATTGCAAGCAAAAATGATGAAACAGTAGACACAAGTACGAATGGTTCACAGGGCATTACCGCAAAGAATGCTGATGCTGCAGACACAGATAATATAAATGGTACTAAGGTGATTGGCGCGGCAGAAGGCAAGAATGAGGCAACAGCCAATGAATCTGACAGTGCAAAGCTAGCAGATAGCACAGATGCAACGGCAAACAAGCAAAGCCAGCCCGTGGGAGAAAATTTGAAGAGTGATGCAGAAGGCAGCAATGTGGCTGTGAATACTGGTATTCCTGGAAATGAGTTGAATGTGTTACCGCCTGTATCTTCCTTGGGTGCCCTAGCTAGCGTATCAATATAAGCGCTGAGTCTACATGCGGTGCATATTGGCATGAGATGTGCGAGTATATGAGCAAGAATAATCACTAGAATGTGCAAATACTTTGGTAGATGCCATGCACAATGGCAGCCACTATTTGGTGCAGATACCAAACTTCTGAATAAAACCGGTTCTAGTAACTATCTGTAAGCAACCACGAGGTGAATCGAATCCTAGCATCTGATGTATTGATGCTTCAATGCTATATCAAACAGGCGAGTCTATCCCGGGATGGGGCTTATGCAGACTGTAGGAAGATGCAGAAGCATATCGGCGTATGAAAAGATAAGCAGGATATGCTCAGGAAGTTTTGGGAGTGTATACAAGGTGAGATGCAAGGAAAGCACGAGCATCTTCGCAATAAAGAGGATGAATCCGTCAATGTGCTACGACACAAATGGGTTTTCTACTCTATACATCAGAGAAGTTATGATTCTAAGGCATCTGCAGCACAATAACATCATGAGGATTAGTGAAGTCGTTGAAGGAACAGCAATTAACGACTTTTTTATAGTAATGGAGTACTGTGACACTGATCTGAAGACATTCATTCAGAAGAGCGGCCCCATGGATGCATCAATGGCAAGATTTTTTGCGAGCCAACTCTTGCAGGGCCTTGAGTTTTTGCACGGCATCAAGGTAGTGCACAGGGACCTGAAGCCATCGAACATTCTTCTTATGAAAGACGGATGCCTGAAAATAGCAGATTTTGGACTGGCAAGGCGGACGAGCTCTCAGATGACGAACCTTGTTGTCACACTGTGGTACAGACCGATCGAGGTACTCCTTGGTTCCGAATCATATGACGAATCAGTGGACATGTGGTCTGTTGGATGCATTGTTGGTGAAATGATGGTGGGAGAGCCAATAATGCCTGGAGAGGGAGAGATTGACCAGCTGCGCAGAGTGTTTGAACTTCTAGGTTATCCTGATGATGGGGATTTTCAAGGGTTGGAGCTGCCTCACCTGAAAAGCATTCGAGTTCCTGATATGTTTGATGCGGAGTTTGACAAACGCTTTGAGGGCATTGATGGAGATGTAGTAGGACTTATCAGGAACATGCTGAGCTTTGATCCAAGAAGACGAGACAGTGCGCGTGTGGTGCTTTCAAAGGGGAATTTAAAGGAGGGCGCGATATGCGAGCGTGGAGTAGTCGAATGTGCGATTGCCAAATGCATGGATTGAGCGGCATAACGACAGCATTACAGGAAGAGTTGTGTTGAGTTTAATGGATTGCATCAGCAAATGCATGATCTGGCATGGGTGATTAATTCAAGGCACAGTGCAAGGCAAATCGACAAATAAAAAGTTGTGAGGCAAGGGTGATGATGAATGTTGTGCAACAAACATTTGCTGAGTTAAGCATTGATGAGCCAAAGAAGGGGATGGAAGGAAAGGTGTACTCGGTGAGCGGACCTGTTGTGATTGGATGTGACCTTATTGGATGTGCGATGTATGAGCTTGTTAAGGTTGGAAGCGAGGGTCTTGTTGGTGAGATTATCAAGATCGACAGGGATCGTGCAACAATACAGGTTTACGAAGACACAAGTGGGTTGTGTGTTGGCGATGCGATTGTGCGGATGGGGCAGCCATTGTGTGTTGAGCTTGGGCCTGGGCTGTTTGAGAGCATCTACGATGGGATCCAGAGGCCGCTCAGGGAGATCAGGGAGACAACAGGAGGGATTTTTATTCCTAAGGGAGTGGATATTCCTGCGCTTGATCGGAGAAGGGAGTATGAGTTTGTTCCGAGCGTGAGTGTTGGAGATTATGTTGTTGGAGGCGACATCTTTGGAAAGGTGTATGAGAACAGCCTGATTGAGACGAAGATTCTCGTCCCACCGAAGGAGAACGGAAAGGTTGTGTTTGTGGCAAGCCGGGGAAACTACACGCTTGAGGATGTGGTGATGGAGATTGAGGGGGCTAAAGGGAAGAAGAATATGTATCTGTACCACACATGGCCGGTAAGGATTCCAAGGCCTGTTGAGGAGAAAAGAAACGCCACGCATCCGCTGTTTACGGGACAGAGGATTCTTGACTCACTGTTTCCGTGTGTTCAGGGCGGAACCACTGCGGTTCCCGGTGCGTTTGGATGCGGAAAGACGGTGATTTCGCAGTCGCTGTCGAAGTACTCGAACTCCGATGCGATTGTGTATGTAGGGTGTGGAGAGAGGGGAAACGAGATGAGCGAGGTTCTGATGGAGTTTCCGAAGCTGACGGTGGCAGGAAAGGAGGACAGTATTATGAAGAGGACCGTTCTTGTTGCAAACACATCGAACATGCCGGTTGCAGCGCGAGAAGCATCCATATACACGGGAATAACGATATCTGAGTATCTTCGGGACCAGGGCATGAATGTATCGATGATGGCAGACTCGACGTCGCGATGGGCAGAGGCGCTGCGAGAGATAAGTGGAAGGCTTGCTGAGATGCCGGCAGACAGCGGATATCCTGCGTATCTTGGAGCAAAGCTTGCGTTTTTCTACGAGAGGGCGGGATCTGTGGTGTGTCTTGGATCGCCGAAGCGAAAGGGATCTGTGACCATAGTTGGAGCGGTGTCACCGCCTGGAGGAGACTTTTCGGATCCTGTGACATCAGCAACTCTTGGGATAGTCCAGGTTTTCTGGGGGCTTGATAAGAAGCTTGCACAGAGGAAGCACTTTCCATCGATCAACTGGAATCTGAGCTATTCGAAGTATTTTTCGAACCTGGAAGCATACTATGAGAGCGTCGATGCAGGATTTACTGTTAACAGGACGAAGTGTAGAGAGATTCTGCAGCTAGACGATGATCTGTCTGAGATTGTGCAGCTTGTGGGGAAGAATGCGCTCTCTGAGACAGAGAAGCTTATTCTTGATGTGTCGAAGATGATAAAGGAGGACTTTCTGCAGCAGAATGGATATTCGAACTACGACAACTACTGCCCGTTTACAAAGACCAGGCTGATGCTGAGGAACATCATATGGTATTTCGACAGGTGCAAGGATGCAATTACAAACCGCAGGCTGAGCTGGCTGACGGTTAGGAAGGAGAGCGAGGAGGTGTTTTATGGGCTGATGAAGATGAAGTTTGAGATTGCAGATGAAGGAATGGAAAGCAGGCTGAACAGGCTGTACAAGGAGATAGAGGAGGTGTTTTCAAGGATGCTGGGATAATAAATTGTTTTGCAGAGTTGGTTGGGACAAATATTTGCTGGAGAATGCCCCGATGGAGGTCCGAGACGTGAAGACGATGAACAGGATCGATGTGCACTCGCACATAACTGGGCTTGGATGTGATGCGAATGGAGATGGGCTTGGATATGATTGTGACGGGCTTGTTGGGCAGCAGGCAGCGAGAAAGGCGATGGTGCTGGTGAAGAAGATGGTTGAATGCAACGGCGGGGGCAGAGTTGTGCTGATAAAGGGCGAGCGAGGAACAGGAAAGACGGCGCTGGCAATAGCACTTTCGAGAAGCCTTGGCGGCGTGTGCATGAACTCGATCAGTGGAACAGAGATATACAGCCTTGGGATGAGCAAGTCTGAGGCAATTATCCAAGCGCTGAGAAAGGCGGTCGGGCTAAGGATCAAGGAGTATGTGAAGGTGATCGAGGGGGAGGTTGTGAGCCTAAGCGGGCAGCGAATAGTGCTGAAGACAACAGACATGGAGTCGTCGTTTGATATTGGCGAGAAGATGAGAGCAGAGCTTGACAGAGAAAGAATAAGCACTGGAGATGTCATAAGGATAGTGAAAGAGCAAGGGCGAGTGTACAAGATTGGAACAAGCACAGTGAGGAAAGGCGAGGCTGTTGGGATCGACACAAGGTTTGTGCCGTGCCCGGATGGTGAGCTAATGAAGATCAGAGAAGAGGTGCAGGATATATCGCTGCATGATGTCGATGTTGTCAACAGCAAGGCCGAGGGATATCTTGCGCTTTTTAGCGGGGAGACAGGCGAGATCAAGCCTGAAACACGAGATGAGGTGAATAGAAAGGTGTGGGGATGGGTGAACGAGGGCAAGGCCGAGATAGTACGTGGAGTGCTGTTTATTGATGAGGTTCATATGCTTGATATCGAGAGTTTTTCGTTTCTGAACAGGGCGATTGAGGAAGACTTCTGTCCTGTGATCCTGGTGTCCACGAATAAGAAGGAAAGCATAGTCCGAGGCAGTAGTGAGAAGTGTCCTTACGGCATTCCAAGAGACTTTGTTGACCGTGCACTGATTATTTCTACAGAGAGCCACACAGTAGCAGATCTTGCTGCAATTATCAAGCACAGGATGATCGAGGAAGATGTTTCTGTTGATGAGGATGCATTTGACAAGATTGTTCATATATCTGGCGTGTCTGGGCTCAGGCATGCAATGAACCTACTGACCATTTCTGGGTTGAGAGCAGCAAAGCGAGGAGGAAAGGTGGGCATCAATGATGTGAATAGGGTTGCTGAGCTATTCCCTGCGCTTTGTATGACTGAGTAAATAAAACACTGCTTTATTGTTGGTATGCACTGAGTTCACGTCTCCAAGCACTCATTGAGGATCATAAACGTTGGTCTTCCATGCGGACATTTCCATGGCCTTTCCAAGTATGCAAGATTGTTCACAACCCTCTTCATATCACTTGCCGAGAGTGTGTCGCCTATCATTATGCTTGTTCTGCATGACTTTGATGCAACTATTTCCTGAATCTTCCAGAACTCATTCTCCCCATCTTTTATGTCCTCAATAAACCTAAAAAACTCATCAACACCAAACACCTCGTTCTTATATGCTGGAGCTGCTTGTAATGCCCCGTCGCCTATGATGAATCCATTCTTTGCAAGAATGTCCAGGTTTTCGTTCACAATGATCTGATCCAATGCATTGAGATGCAGATCAATAGGAACAAGCAGCTTCTGTGTCTTCAGAGTAAAAGATGTCTTTATTCTTTCGTAGTTGCTAATTTCATCTGCTGCATGCTGATCCACTGCAACAAGATATGTCTTATCGGTTTTGTCTAGCTTTGCAATGATAAACCCGTGGTTGAACTGCCCTATGACCTCTAACTTCCCAAAGTCTTCTTTTGAAAAGCACAGTCTTGGCTGCACTGCCTCATCGTGCTTGAAAAACATATATGCGCCTGCTGTAGGCTTTTCGCTTTCGTATGCATTAATGCCCAGGTCACTGCTAAAGCCTCTTGCACTACCTGCGATATGCTCTGGAATATCCCGAGTGTTATGCTTTTCAGACTTATTCACATGTGTGTGCTTGTCAAGAACACTCATTCTGTGTGCATTATTCGCATCTGCGCATGCATCATCCTGATATGAATATATGGCAGTCTCCGGTAGAATCATGAACTCCAAGTCGTCAGTTTCGACTTTTTTATTGCTTCGATTACCAGCCTGATCTATTTCTGATGAATTACAGGCATTCTCTGCCGTGCTAGGTTCTTTTATTATTGAAGGCATATGTTCTTTACCTGAGGCCTCACACTCACTAGAAACATCACTTCTTGACCTGATTTGCCTGCTTACCTCTTCCAAATCTCTTGGCATGCATTTGCCTGGAATACTTCCATCAGTGCTGCTTGCAACAGCCTTTCCAGGCACAACAACAATCGATGCCGAAAAAAACCTGCCGATCTCTGATCGTAGAAGACTTATAATTCCCTCTTCATCATCAAGAATCACTTCGCTCTTGTCAACAGCCACATTTACATCTCCAGAACACTTAATCACCAGCACAAACGCTGGTCTTCCATCAAAATACATTCCAAACTCCTTCCTTATTGCATTCAGGATCCTCTTGCTTTCAATTGGCCTCTTTTCCAAGAAAATCATCTGTTTAGGATTCTTGGCTGCCACAGGAAGCATAATCAGATCAAACACACCTGTGTATATCTCCATATACTGCCCTGCATACTGCGCATACTGCAATTCAAAGTACTTACGAGGCACTCCGCATCCCTTCAGGCTCATCAGCACCTTTCTGTCATGGAACAGAATAAACTCCACATCATTTACACAGCTGTAATGCTCGAGAAGACTGCATATCCTGCCAAGATATGTACGGATGCTGCTTCGGCTCGACAGCCTTCTTACAGGATTGTTCTTGAACAGGTTCTTGACCTCCACAGTTGTTCCTCGCTCTCTTGCACATCTGGACGTCGTGTTGGTGCTGAAGCATTTGCAAATGGCAAACGGTTTTGTTGACCTCGATGTGACCTCCAGGTCACTCATGCTTGCGATCGACCATAGCGCCTGTCCTCTGAATCCATAGAAGAACCTTGCTGTTGTTTGCACACATCCAAGCACATAGTAGGACATTGACTCCTTGGATGTAGAGCCTTCAACTGCAATTGCATCCAGGTCTTCGATGCCGCATCCGTTGTCCTCGACAGTTATGCAATCATCAAATGTTATTTTGATGCGTGTTGCACCTGAATCTATCGAATTTTCTATCAGCTCTTTTGCAACCACATAATGATCTGCCACATACTGTTGTGTCTTGATTCTCTTGCTGGCATGATCAGCAAGCCTTTGTATTTTTGGCATGATGCGATGGCTAGCACGTCGATGCAGATGTTTTGATCGAAGTGGCGGGAGATGTTCCCGGCAAGCGCACAAAGTAAAAACAGCATGTGGGAGCCTCGTGCGCTAAATGCACAAAATGCATTGACCGGGAATCGAACCCAGGCCGTGAACTTGGGAAGCTCACATAATAACCACTATACTATCAATGCCCCGTCACAAAACTCACTCCTCAGACACAACCCACCAGCACATGCAGGCTGTACTCGCGCACACTTTCAATTTCGCATCTATGGCACTTATGTACATTACATCTGCACATGCATGCACACACTTCTCATTCAGCCCGTACTCATTCAAAATCACACTAGATCTCATTTATTCGGTTCATCATCCTTCCTCAATACAGAAAATTGATAAATGGCGGAAGTGACTCAGACGCCTTAATCAGCTTCAGTAGATTACCCTCCGCCCGTAGACTCTGCTCCAGCCTGCTCTTCACATTTGCCGACTTGTTGCTCTTGCAGTTTGGCTTTGTGATCGTCTGCCTAAACGCATGAATCGCAGGGAAGCTAGGCATAAAATCATATATGTGTATGTACTTCTCAATACTCGACGACAATGGACTGTTGAACTTCTCCTCTTCCTCAGCTACCTCGTTCTCATACTCAACTCTTGCCTCTCCAACGCTTCCACAATCAAATCGCTTGCCATCAACCAGACACAGCAGATCAAGCAGTGTCGAGTGCGACTTCATCCCGTGCCTTGATAATGAACTTATTGTCCTCAGATACGCAAGCATGTACGTCTCCAGCCCTGTCACATACACCTCAAGCGCCTTCCTCTCAACCACCTCATACCCAACTTCCTTCAAAATCCTCAGAAGCCTGTCCTCAAGAACACGTCTCATCAGGGCCACAATCTTTCTTCCAAAAACTCGTGCTTCTGCACACCCACTTGCTAAATTGATTTATTTCTTCAAAAACACATACTTCTCTCCATTCGTCTCGTCAACCTCAAACCCACAGCTTTCTCCAATAAACTCCTTCAAGAGCTCTTTCTCCCCCTCTTCAAGCCCATACTGTGCTTTGATTCCCTTCAGAAGATCACGGAGTGCAATCCTCCTCCCACGCAGCATCTCATACAGCTCTGCCTTTGTAAGAGCCTTTGCCTGCTGGCCATTGCTATTTGCATCCCCTTCTGCTGATTCAGACTCGCTTTCCTTCTCCTCATAGCTCTCCATAATGTTCCTCATCTTGTGCCCTGCACTATTCAGCCGCTTCTCCCTCACAACAAACACATTTGCTTCTTCTCCATCATCGTCATCAAAATCATCCTCAAAGTCAATGTCCTCCCGTTCATCTTCTGAGCTGATGTCCCGCTCAACTCTCATCATCTCCCCTTCATTTGCTTCTCCCTCGCTGTCCTGTATAATGTCCTGTTGCATCCTCTGGCTGAACCTGTACCACTTCCTCACAGAAACCACCTTCAGATACGTCCCCATGTTGATAAACACAAAATAGCATGATCCGCTCGCACCTAGGTCCTGCATCTTCCCAGAGTACACCCTGTTCTCGCTGTCCTCCACAACAAGCAAGCATCCCTCCTTCTCCTTCAGCTTTCTGTATCCATCGTCCTCATACTCAATCTGTTCGCTCTTCTTCTTCGTGTTGAACACGACCTCCTCTTTCACAGGTTTCTCCCTCGATATCAGCACCGGCACCGCCAGCTCACTAATGCTCACATTCGTAAACAAAAACCTCTTCTCATTCGGCTCCGGGCTGTACACCAGTCTGTAGCTCTTCATGGGTCGCTAACTTCGATTCTTTAACACATGCATCACTTCCTCTCTCACCGTTGCCAAACAGTTCGTCAAAACACCACTTTATTCAAAGCCTTCAGAATCACACATGCACAGCCACTACTCACACTCAGTACCCACACAAGAAACACCCATCATGGCTGCATCCTCGTGTACTCCTTCCTAAACTCCCTTCTCACTGCACTAAGAAAGTCATGGAAATTCCCATGCACTCTAAACATTGCATTCATCCGCTCAACACTGTCAATCCTCGGAAACATGTCAATAACAGGCATGTCTATAGACAAGTCAAGCATCACAAAACACTCCACAGATTCATCTGCACACATCTTCCCAAACACAATCTTAATCACATTCTCTCTTATCGGAACTATGTCCATCCCAAGGCACTTCCTAAACAGCCCCACCTTCGTTTCCATCTGCTTCTCCCTCAATTTATTTCTCTCAGAAACCATCTCCATCTTCCGTACAAGTGCTCCAGACATGCCTTTCTTCTCCTTGGATACTTCGCTCAACCCAAAGCTGCTCATCTCCAACTCCTTGATTTGGTTCAGCAGCTCATGTCGCTCGTTATCCGACATCCTCATGTCCTCGCTATCTTGCTCAATTTTCGCCTTCAGCGCATTCCTCTCTGAAACCAGCATCTCGTTCTTCTCCTTCATCTCGTTCAGAGTAGAAGCCACCGTCTGCAGCAGAACCTCGCCCTCCTGCTTGTCTCTGCATATCATCCCTCTTGCATGCATCACATAACTCCTATATCTCTCAAGATACCCATCGGTATCCCTCAGAATCCCATCCATCATCTCTCGGATCCTCTCAACATTTGCAGCCACTGATTCCGCCGTCATAAGTATCAAGGGTCGAAGCCCACGCTCAATTCATCCATGGATCCTGCTGCGTGCCACGTGAAGTGCTCGCTGTGCCATGGCATACCGTCGATCAGAATAAACAACCTGGAATACTGCAACGCTTGTTTCGAACGGCAGCTGCTGCGTAGGATTCTCAGGTGCCTCAGAGGACTCCGTCCAAAAACAAAAATAATGCTATACTTCGATGGAACACTGCAGTCTCTCACGATTGCTCATGCAGTCGGCAGATTCAAAAACAAAGCACTGCATGAATTTGTTGTTGCCGTCAGAAAAGGCACTGAGTGCGAGTTTCTTAGCATTCTTAGCGGTCTTGGCTTCAACAAACACGTCATGCTTTCTGCAAGCAATACAAGCAGTGGCATCGATCCATTGCCAAATGATGTAGTGTATGCAGCACGAGAATCAGGATCGCACATGCTGATATTCCAGATGTGTGCCGAAGTTGAGTCCGTGATTGCGTTGAGGTCAATATGTAATGGGTGCGGAGTGGATGCATACAGCCAAATATACTCAAATGCTAGCAATCCGGTGGCTGTAAATGCACTCGAAAAAACAAAAGCAAAGGAAATAGCATACTATGCATACCTGAATAACATAACATACACATGCACCATGCACACGCCGCGCACAACAGAAACCGAGGCAGTGCTCCTAAGATTTGTCAAGAAGATGGACAATAGAAACAGCCTTTCTGTTTTCAACATCTTAAACACAATCAGGAAACTTGTGTCAGACAGCCAGGCTGCTGTTTCCAAAGACAGATTGGTATATGGATGCAGTAAAGAAACAGCGCCAGACTAAAACACTCGTTTCAAACAAAATATTTATATCAACTGATCTAAGCGCGGCAAAACTATGTTTGCTACAGCATTGGCGATCATTCCACTGCTTATGCTTGTTGGTGCTTTTACATCGTCAAATGAAGACGTCTATTATACGTGCACAAATGATCCGAAGATATACGACATCAACCTGTATGCACATCTAGACAAAATGACGATGGATGCAATCAAGGACGCCGCAGGTAAAGGTAAAGATGAAAAAGATGCCGCCTATCATTATCTGTATGATCAAGTCCTGGCGCCATACAACGACTTTCTAAGTGATTATAAAGTCAGAATTACTCTGAATTTGGTCGATCGCGATTCAAACTCGATACCGGGAATGGCATTTGACCGCTCGTGCGAGCGTCAAGATCCTTTGGAAAGGGTTAAGCAGATGCATGATTACGAGACCAACATGTACAAAGGGAATATAGGTGTGCATCTGTTCCTGTGGAGTTGCCCAAGCAGGACAGAAGCGATGTCTGGCAATGTAGCGGTTTATGGCGATCCAAAAGGGTGTGGGCGAGCCATTGGGGTCATCTGGGATGGTACAAGGCCAACAGTCAACTACATCATGCAGGGAATATCGGAGGCGATTTCTGGAGTGCGAGAAATGTTCGTAGATGGGATGGAGCTTACAGCAAAGCAGATGAAAGATTTTCAGATAGTCTGCAATTATGTTTACCACTGTATAACTGTAAACAAGTCCATCAATGGAAGCATTCGTTATAATGATGAATTGAGTAGCAATGATAATGCAGAAAATATTTACTCGCAGTACACGTAAAAATCAAAGCTGTAATGTTATGTATGTGAGCATGACCAATAGGGCAGATATTGTCTGTGCTGATTGGCTGGGCATTCAGGTGTACGTATGCATACTTTGAAATGATAGCATAACCAAAATTAAATAATTTTTCTTGGCATGGTGTTGTGTAAGGCTTGCATGCAATGAATGTGCTTGAAGTGCAGGGTAGTTAGTGGCAATGGTGTTGGGCATGCCCCTGCAGATGTGCCTGGATGAAAAGTTTGCTTTGATGAAGGACATGATAGTGGAATGCGACGGTGCATTGAGAGAGCTGGAAAGAAAGTGTACAATCATCTCGCTGGACTTGCGTGTGTCTGCAATGATGGCGGATGCAAAGGAAGAAGGAAGTGCCTGACAGCTGCACGAGTTCTGTGCATGTGCTTACAGCAGTGAATGTGGTTGTCTTACATATGAAACAGATGTTGTGCAGCTGTTGACGATGCAGATGACACTTCCAAAACACTTGGCATTCAATAACAATAAATATTTTTGAAAACATCTGGGCATGGGCATGAAGAACAAGATTGGAGAATGCCGAACGATTGGATGGATTCTGGGGAAATATGTGTTTGTAGTGCCCCAAGTGAGGGTAGTTCTGTTTCCTGTGGTTCTGAGCATATGCGTGGGGAAGTATTTTGAGACACGGCTTGCAGGGTGCATCACGAGTATCTCTGATGGCCTGGGCAGCGAGGCTGTTCCATACGGAAGCATTGTTATGTTTCTTGCGGTTTCGCTGATGGACATAATGTTCAGTGAGCTGCAGGGTTTTTTTTTTGCAGGCACTGTGCAGAGGGTGTATAGGAGCACGCTGCGGACCACTTTTGAGCACTTCATACGCCTGGAGACAGAGGAGTTTGAAGGCTATGGAACAGGAACGATACAGAGCATTGTGGGCAGGAAGAGCAAGGCGGTGAGTGATCTTGTGGAAGTGTTTGTGCAGAACATTCTGCCGATGGTTGTGTCGATTGTGCTTATCTGGTGCTCTGTGTATTGGAATCTTGGAGTGATTGCGCTTGGGATAGTTGTGTTTGCAGTGGTGTTGTATGCAATGGTGACGATATCGATAGCGCTGTCGAGAAACGTGGTTAGGAGGATGCTGAACAAAGCAGAAAACAGTGCGTCGAACCTTATGTATGACACGCTGAGCAATCACGAGGCTGTGGTTTCGTTTGATGGATATGATGTAGAGGTAAGCAGGTACGATAGAAGGCTGATGGACATTGAGAGGCACGGAACAGCACTGTTCAGAGGACTGTATCTGCTGAACATGCTTCAGAAGCTGATATTTGCATTTATGAATTCGTCTGTGATAGCTCTTGGCGCATATGGGATTCTGTGGGGCAAGATGGACAAAGGAGTGCTGCTGTTCTATGTGACGATGAGCAGGATGTTGCTGGCCAACCTAAGCAATCTTGGATACACATACTGCAGGCTTTCTGAGGCAATGCTGAGCATCAAAGAGGTTGTTTTTAGCGATGGAGATATGAAGGGCGGAGTCGGGCTATGCCTGGGAAAGCTCAAGACAAGTATTGTGTTCAGGAATGTCAGCTGCTATTATAAAGACAAGCGGGTGCTTGATAGAGTGGATCTAGAGATCAATAAAGGAGACCGTGTTGCGGTTGTTGGATCGAACGGATCGGGGAAGTCGACGATTCTCAAGGCATTGCTAAAGCTTAATAGAATGCAAGGAGTTATTCTTGTCGATGAGGTCAACATTATGGCAATAGAGGAAAGGGCGTTTAGCAGGATGATGGGATATGTTCCACAGAACTCGCTGCTTTTCAACGAGACAGTGATGTACAACATCAAGTATGGGTGCCCCAGTGTGTCTGATTATGCAGTTGTGGAGCTTGCAAAGAGGTTTAATGTGCATGACAGCATAATGAGACTTGAGAAGGGATACTTTACAAATGTTGGAGAGTCTGGAAAGCACATCAGCGGAGGGGAGAGGCAGAAGATTGTGATCCTGAGGGCACTTTTGAAGAATCCGGAGGTGCTTGTGATGGATGAACCAACATCGAGCCTTGACAAAGAAGCAGAGAAGAGCATTATCGACATGATTGTGAATTTGTGTAGCAGCATGACGGTAATAGCAATTGTTCACAACCTTGAGCTTCTTTCGTTTTTCAACAAGGTTTGTGTGGTTAGCAATGGGAACGCAACGATCCTGGAGAGCACGTCGAAAGCATTCGAGGTGGCCATAAGCAAGCTGAGCAGTCAAGATTGTGCAATGAACACTGTAAACGAAGTAGTACAGGGAGTTGCTAAACTTCAGCATAAGGATTAAACAATAATATAGTTCAATTTAGAGGAAGCCGTATACAAGCAAAGTATGAGTGCATAGCTAATACTAAATGCATCGCTGTGCATATATATTATTTATAGCTTATAATTGTTGCTGAACAATGCTGCTGCAGGCTGTAAAGCACTTAAGAACTGCTTTTTGCTGTTTGATTGCTTTCTAGACACGTTGATACAATTATGTATGCCAATTTGCGGAAAATCTCCTCCTGCACAGGCATTCCGAGATCAGACTGTTTTGCAATGCTTTGCTTCAAGCCAATAGATCCAATATACTCAAGCCCGCATTCTATGCAGTACTTCTGCACATCAACACTGTTGAACACCTCTGCCTCATGATTACACGATGCACACACAAATCTTCTCATGTTTTCAACGACCCCAATGATTCGTATTCCTGTCTTTCTGCAGAATCCAATCTGCCGCACTACATCTTGCAATGAAAACCTCTGTGGCGTAGATACAAGTATTGCATGCCGTGGCTTGATGAACTCAACCATTCCCAAATGCTCGTCTGTGACATTTGGAGGCGTATCTATCAGTAGCACCTCTATATCTTTGTAATCACAGCACTTCAGCAGCTTTTTCACTATGCCTGTTTTCAAGTTAGAGCTGAATACTGTTCCTTGATCTTCACTCTCTTCCAGATATGCAATCGAGACAATACTGAGGAACTCGTTGACTCTGATTGGCCTGATTGAGCTGTTTACTTCACACATTACCTGATCGTTTGTTCCGGTAAGCTTCGGGATGTTTGGACCCGACAGATCCAGATCCAATACACATGTCCTGATACTCATCAATGAAAGCGCCTCCGCTATGTTTCTGGTGATTGTGCTTTTTCCAACTCCACCTTTTCCGCTCATCACTGCAACTACTGCCTTTACATCATGCAGTCTTTGCTGAATAAACAGTATATCTGGGTCCAGCTGTCTTGGCTGTGCACATTGCGAGGCATTTGGGCACTCTTTGCATCCATCGAGTTTTCCGGCATCTCTGCTGCTTGTCCCTGGACACGAGTGTTTTGATGTATCGCTGTAACTCTTGTCCATCTGGGCTGGGTGCTTTGGTGTTTAACCAATGGATTGATGAGTGTGTATTGATGAGCAGCATGATTTATTTATTTATTTATTTGTCATGCCATGCAATGCATTATACTAGCATCACAAAGATAAGAAGTACAGACAGCTCTCCAGCTTAGTTGTATGCAGCGGCTAATCTTTGACGACGGGATACCTTTCAAGTTCGTCTGCATATGCAGTTTTTGGATGTTGCCTTGGTGGGGTCAGCGATGCAGCGATGTCAATGCACTTGTCTGTCAATATGGCCTGGTCTTGTTGTTGAACCGATGTGTTTTCGTGGTGTTTCTTTGATGCGATGTATGTATTCAGCAGGCGAATTGCTTCGTTTGCATCGACATCGTCACCTGTGTATTTGTAGTTATTTTGCTGGTGTGCAAGCCCCATATGGTGTACTTCAGAAGCAAGAATTTTGGGATAATGGATTTTTCACGCGAATGCTTCGAGACGGTCTATCAGAATAAGCATGAAGTTGCTTGCATGTGCATTACAAAGAGCGGAGTACTGCTTGGATCTGAAAAGAATGCAATCATGGTGAGAAATGTATATGGCGAGCAAGATACAAAGATAGTTGCCAAGTTTGATAGGAACGTAGCATGCATAGCGACAGATGGAGATGTGATTGCGTGTGGAGACGATTCTGGCCAGGTGAGAGTGGTTGTTAACAGAAGAAACACATTGAGAAGATATTTCGAGCACACAGCAAGAGTAAATGAGTTGAAAGTAGATGGACGGATAGTGGTGAGCTGCAGTGATGACATGACAGTCAAGGTGTTTGACATAGGGAAGCAGGAGAGTGTTTGGACTGTTTCTGATAGCAGGGACTATGTGAAAGGGATTGATGTGGTGGAGGGAATTCTGTATTCTGGATCTTATGATGGATATGTGAATGGATACAGGCTGGATAGGCAAGAAAGGATGTTTTCGTATGATTCGAGATGCAAAGTGTCGAAGGTATGTGGGCTTGGGGGGCTTAAGGTAGCATTTGCATGTTTGAACGAAGTTCGTGTGATTGAAGTGAATGGCAATGGCGAAGTTGAAGAGGTCGGCAAGAGCATGCATATCAAGGAGGTTACGGGAATGAAGTATTATGAGGGAAGGTTGTACACATCGTCGCTTGATGCAAGCATACGTGTGTTTACTAAGGATCTTGTGATGATATCGAGGGTAAGGACGAGGTGCGGGATACAGAGCCTGGACATACTGGACGATGTATTATGGGTAGTACTAGAGGATGGAGAGATTCAGAAGCTGCAGAAGGAAAAAGAAGAGGCCAAGCGAAGCAGAAAGGCACATAAGAGGCAGGTTGACGATCTGGAGGACGAAATAGATGTTGAGGTGGTGAAGTCGCTGAGAAAGAGATACAGTGCAGTTGAAGGCAAGCTGAACAGGTTTGAGTATAAGAGGTCGATGATGGGAGCAATCAGGAAGAGAGATATGCAGGAGATTTTTGCAGTGATGAGCTATATACAGGAGAAAGGGGAGCTTGAGCATGCATTTCTTGATCTTGATAGAGGGGCATTGGGGGAGGTGATTGATGCGATGACGGAGTTTTTCAGTATCAAGGAGTTTATTCCTATATTTATAGAATGTTTTGAAGAGATATGCAGGCAGTACGAAAGAGAGATCTGCGACTACGAGAGATTGAGCAATAAGATGGATGTGCTAGCTGGGGTGATTGAGGACGAGATGTTTTTCCAGGAGGAGAACCTGCGCACGATTTCGTTTCTTGAGTGTTTTCAGGTCGATGTGTGCTGAATACTGGCAGGGATAGGCAGTGCAGTGTACGAGATGAGAATAAATGGAGCAATTGATTATTTTTAGTGTATGGATTGAAATGAAGGATGCAGAGTGCCCCAAATGAGCGCGATGGATTTGATGACCAGTAGGATACTGAAGTCGATTAGATACAGGAACTATGAGACAGGGATTTTTGCCTGTGCATGCATGCTTCCGTACGGAGACGAATTCAAGATTCTGATGGGGATACTGCTGTATATGAATGAAGAGTATTCGAGGGCGCTTTTTCATCTGCAGAGCATAAACACATACACTTCGAAGTACTATGAGTGTCTATGCTACAAGAAACGGAAGGAGTACAAGAAAGCGATTGGCTGCATTGAAGATATTTTTGAGAAGAAGCCTGGGGATGATCCTGAAGCTGCCGAGTGGATTCGGGAGATGTTTATTGATGCAGGGGATGCAGAGTATTTGTACTCGCTGCTCGGGGATCTCTACACGTTTTGCGGTAGCAGAGAAGATGCAATTGAGAGTTACCAGAGGTCTTTGGGCAAAGGGTATGTGTTTTCATCACTGGAGAACCTTTTGGAAGAGAACAAGGCACAATCGTGTGTGATGAGGATGAATGAGCAATGTGCAGGCTTGAAGGATGTGGTTGAGGAGTATTTGCATGATAGTGTTGATAAGAGAGACGGTGCACTGAATAAGTATATGAAGAAGTATCTGGAGAAGGTGCCTGGAATTGGATCGTATTTCATCAGCAATGCAGCAAGGATGTATTTCAATCTTGGGATGAACGAGAAGAGCAAGATGTGCTTCGAGCTGGTTAGAAGGAAGGACCCGATGTTTGTGAGGAACATGGACTATTACTCGACTGTTCTTTGGCACAGCAAGGATGCAGCAGAACTTGGGAGCCTGTGCAAGGGCTTTATCAAGCACATGCCATGGTCTGCAAATACATGGAAAGCACTTGGGAACTTCTACAGCCACGAGGGAGACTACCAAAGAAGTGTTGTGTGCTTCAAACGGAGCTTGTGCATTGAAGAGGATGCATACACATACACGCTTCTCGGATATGAGTCTATCCAAAGGAACGAGTATGACAATGCGATGAAGTATTTCAACATGTCACTGCGCATGCATGAAGACAACTACAGGGCGATGTTTGGCAGCGGACTTGTATACATGAAGACGGAGAAGCTTGACAATGCGGAGTATTTTCTGAGGAAGGCGGTGGAGACGAATCCTGGGAATCTGCAGATCAAGGTGCACGTGATGAAATTCTACACAAAGAGAGGACGTGCGGATGAATCTGTGAAGGTGTTTGCGGATGCATTTGGAATGAGCGATACGGATTTGCATCAGATTGTAAGATGGGTTGTGGATAAGAAGGGGCGATTCAGAGAAGTAGAGGAGTTCCTGGTGCTTGAGCTTGTTGAGGCTCTTGTGCTGTTGAGCTTGGCAAAGCCTGCGATGGATGTCTTGGAGTGTGTTGAGTACAGAGGAGAGTCTTACGGTAAGAAGAAGGAGATGGTCATGGAGATGATGGAATAAGGATGCTCAGGTCTGATGTGTGATATGTGTTTATTTGATATGTGATCTATTTGCTGATACTGAGCATGCGCTTTAGATGCATGAATCCGAACTTTGGGATTATCACAAGGGCCAGAGATGCGATGCATGCATAAAGAAAAGCAGTACGCCAGTAGACAACGAGGCTGATTGTGAAGAATGCAATGATTGGAAAGATAGATATGAATATGAGGCCTGGGGATGATTCAAGCTGCTCAGAAAGCTGTTCCCAGAAGGTGTGAGTTGAGTATCTGTTGTTGAATGGAATGCCGGGGATCATATGGAAGAGTATGAATGTTGAGATGTTGTAAATGATCAATGCAAGCTGTAAACTGGTGTTTGGATCGATTGCGATGGAGAGTGTGAGGTGGATAAGAGCGAGTGCTAGTGGATGGATGAGCCAGCTGCTTTTGTGCGGAGTCCATGCGATGCTTTGAGAGATGTCTACGTTTTTTGGTCGATTGCTAGCCATGATGGCAAGCAGTGGCGAAGCAAAATATAGAGTGAACTGGATTGATGAATAAAATGTAGAGCAGCGCCATGCTGATTGGTGACGATGGGATGCTCGAGTGGTTGGCATGCTTATGATTAGTGCGGAATACGAATGGCCGTGCATTGATGAGGAGAGCATGATATGATATCCAAAAGAGCCATGCGTGTAAGAGATACGGTTTTGCATGCATAGCAAGAGCTCTGACGGTTATTCATTAATGGATAGAACGGATATCCCATGGAAATAGATGGGTTTTTGAAGAACCTTAATGAGTATCATGAGATGGGAAGCAGTCATGGCATGCATGGAGACTTAGATGCAGAGTCTGGAGTGCAATATGAAGCAGGGCAGTATGCATGCAGTATATGCTATTTGTCTCCTGAAGATCCAGTAGTGACGTTCTGTGGGCATCTTTATTGTTGGGGATGCATATATGCATGGTCGCAATCTGTTGGCGGATGCAGGCTCTGCCCAGTGTGTAGATCAAAAATGTCAATTGAGGAAGTCATACCTGTTTTGTCTGTGAGTAGCAAGAGAAGATGCGGAAGAATTCCTCCAAAGCCTGTGAATGGAAGAAGGCTTACCAAGGTGATTGTGCCTGGATGGAAGGCAAACGATAGAAGGTTTGTTGGAAGCATTGTACTGCAGGAATATAATCCCGAGGTGCTTTCGTACAGAACAGTGATGGGAACATTTGTATTTGTATGCATTTTTGTTGCAATAACCTTGAAGTCGTATCTGCTTGGTGGGTAGTGAATATAGAATCTTTTTGATATCGGTTTATTTCTTGTGTGTTCGTTGCTTAGACGCCTCTTGCACAATCTTTTCTTCAGTCATCATTCCCTTCTTCTTTCTTATTTCATCAATATACTTGCTGAACATGGCATCTTGCACACATATGTGTCCTTTTTCCTTCAGAAGCATATATCCTGTTCCCTTGGTTCTGATCTTAATGTCCTCTAGAAACACAGAGTACTGCATTTGTGGAACAAGTGCAACAATCACGCAGAATCCAGTGCATTCCTCGTATTCCTCCCTCTGTACAATGCAGCAGTGCCTGGAAAGAGACTTGTATGTCTCTCCAACAAACTCCTCCTGCACAGATACCGTGCACTCATAGAATGATGGAGATATCATTGGCCTACATGAAAGATACACAGACGAAATAGACTGCCTTACAAACGAGTACAATGCGTCTGTCTCAATACCCTCGGTACTCCCTTGCAAATCAATAACGAATCTTGTCTGGTGGATCCTCTCCATGATCAGTGGGCCGCACGAAACAAAAGTTTCAAGAACACTGCTGATTGTTTGTAGAAGCACATCCGATGCCACCACAAACTCGTTTCCATCCCGATCTCTCCATCCCTTATATTGGCTGGAGCAATTGTCCTCTCCGATCGACTTGCACACTTCAACCTTGAGCACAAGCTTCTCTATCTCAAACACACCACTAGAGCATTCAATTGCATACTCACAGAAGCGATCGTCTAAACCCATTACACAAAATTCAAGTCCCGAATGCACCAGGTCCGTGATGATTTTTTCAGATTGCACCTTTCCTGTGCACGAGACCTCCACCTCTCCATACTTGTTGACCTTTGCCTTGAGAAATTGCTCAGTGCATGACATCACACGCAGAACACTCTTCAGCTCATCTAGTAACTCAGGATCTTCAAGAACAACCTTGAATTTGTAGAAAGGCGTAACCTTGCTTTGGAAGTCCATCCAATGTGTGGGAACATCCGTAATCAACGAATTCTTCATCACATTTCCTTGGATACACACTAATGCAGGCCCTGATGCCTCTTTAACCTCAATCAATTCATTTATGCCAAAGCAATACAAGCCTTCAATCACAAACTCAGCAATGCTTTCGCTGTTGACAGAAAACAAAGACTGGCCCGTCTTTATTGTGCCATGGAAGATTCTTGTTACAAAAAGCAACGAGTCTCTTGAATACACCCCGCAGTTCTTCAGAACCGAGTATACCGTTACACCCATCACAGAGGGCGAGTGTGCCCCACACAACGGCATTGCTCTTAGACTTACAGCATCAGACTGTAGAAACAGCTTCCATTCATCAATGCCATCATACTTGACCGAACTGAATATTGCATCAGACAGTGGAAGAATCGTCGAGAGTATGCTTTTCTTGCTTCTGCCGCATATGATGAACCTTTCCTGCAGCTTGCTTATATCGCCATCATCAATCTGTTTGTGCAAATGGAAAATAAACCTGATTGCATCCTTGATTGTTCCTTTTGCTTGCACAGCGCTCTCAAAGCCCATGCTGCTGATTCCATAACACATCGTTGCACAGCATAGTATAACATTGTTTCGTTTCCATTCAAACACATCACTGCCAACTAGCCCGTTGATTGCCGACACAACAGCCGTGGCCTTGCCATACATCTCTTCTGGCGAGCTGATCTTGTCTATTTTGTTAATCATCAGCACGCACCGCTTTCCCTTTGTGTACTTGACAAGCGAAAGCGTCCGGGGCGTTATTCCCTCGTTGATGTCTATAAGAATCAGAAAGCTGTTTGACAGTATCGAGCTCACTTGAATTAGTGCCTCAAAGTCAACGTGCCCTGGCGTGTCAATGAATACATGCTGCTGCCCATTATGCATCAACGAGATCGCACTCAGCTTCAGGGTTATTCCTCTTGCCTGCTCGTCCTCTCTTGTGTCGAGAAACCTGATCGAGCCTGCAAGTGTCTTTGAGATTCGTCCCTGAGAAGCAATCAGGCTGTCGATAACCGATGTCTTTCCGTGATCGATGTGTGCAACTATGCTAGTTATCGCCAGAGTTTTATCCGAGTTCATATCAAGGGCTGCCTGTTGCTGTGTGATTGTGCGGCGCAAATTGCAGAATAATTGTTGCTTGATGCTTTGATTTGGCTTTGCATTGCTCCCATGCAGTTTGCAAAGGTATTTGATGAAGAGCATGCAAGCACTCAAAAAACACATTCTGCATATCTGTCTGGTAAAGATCAAACTACAGGCACACTAAGGTCTCCAAGCACATCGCAGCAGTTGGGAAAGTACATTGCAAACGGACTCGACATTCTTTCGCTTTCTGACATGAGGATTTCAATTGATAAGCATCAGTGCACGGATGAAGATGCAAGCACTGAGGACCTGAGGAGTGAAGAGCTGTTTGGCTGTGGAGATTTTTCTACTGAGAATGCAGATACGGGAGACAATGTGTATCTTAGCAGTATTTATGAGATATATTCAAAGCTGAACATGAAGGTTGAGAAGTTGCTTGCAAGGGAGTATTTTGACAAGACATTTATGAAGCAGATATTGGAAGAGGCATGCATTGGAAATGCTGCAAGGATAAGGGACATGGTTTGCAAGGAGATGCGTGACAGAGACTCGTTATTTCCTGTGGATAAGTATAGGGCACAAAGGATGGAGCATAGGCAAGTAGAATGCAAGCAGATGCACGGGATGGTAGATGTATGCAGCATGATTAAGGATGTACAGGAAATGATGGATGATGTTGAATGTGTTGTTGTGATTGGTAAGAAGCTGAGAAGGATGTATGCAGAGACAAGGAGGGAGGTGCTTGAGGTGGAGCTGAATTTGTCAAGAGCATGCAGCGACCTGACAAGACAACTTGATGCATGCTCACGAGAGCTTACAAGTCGAGAGAAGGAAATTGAGGCATTGAGAGCGAATGAAGAATTGATTGTGAATGGTATGAAACAGATAAGCAGCGATGCATGCAATGGAGAGAAAATGATCATTGAGAATGGAGGCCTGAGTGAGCTGCAGCCAGTTGTAATGATGCAAATATTGAATAATGCTAAAAACGAGTATATGAGCATGAAACAGAGCATTGAAAGAATGAAGCAAAAAGTGAATGAGATGCATGAAGAAAACCTTGGCATGAAAGAGGCAATTGAGAATTACAAGCAACAGATCAGAAAGAATGAAGAGACCGAAAGGGAGCTTGGAATACTGATGAATGAAAACATCCGGTTTTCTGAGGCAATAACAAAGCTGTGCAGCAAGAACTCAAGAGCAAAGAACGATCTGAATACTACAAGAGATATGCTGAAGCAAGCAAACGAGGCAATAAAATGCAAGAATGCAACAATAAGCAAGCAGAGAAAGATAATAGATGTCCTCCAATCTCGGGTTGGAGAAGAATACTTGCTGCCAATGAACGAACTCCAAGAGAAAGTGGATGATCTGAAAGCACAAATCAGCCAAGAATGCAACATGCATGAAAGGGATAGGCTAAGCCAGCAGATCGATGATTACGAAAGAAGAATAGCCGACTTTCTTTGCCTCATAAAACGAAACTAAACAGGGAATGATAAGCTAAAGCACAATTCTCTCGAGGAAACCATTTAATAAAACAAACTCATTATATATTATGCCTTGCAATATGATTTCCATCATCAATCTGATCAGTGTCTCTTGTAGAGACGGACACGATACACAGACTGATTGTATTCATATGTGCCTTCACCCGCTAGAATACCCAAGTCACCAAATGATATTCCAAAATGCTTCGAAACAATTTCTTTAAGCTCAGCACACTCAACATCCACATCCACAGCATCACTCACTCTCAGCCCTGCGTGCTTCCGGAGCTTCTGAATGTAGCTGTGGAATTCCCTTGCTGCCTTCATCTCAATAACCTTGCTATTCATTGTGTTATCAATAATAATGCCAAACCCGTCAAATGCTTGAGATATTCCAGACTCGCATAAGATCTTCTTACTAATAAGCACATCGCCCGGCAGAATCTCCACTCCATCAACATCCAGTGATGTATTCATCAGCACAACAATCTGTTCCTTCGACAGGCCTCGTATAGTTTCCATTTTCTTCTTCATACATCCATTACTGTTTTTTAAACTCTGAAAGTTCGGCTTTACGCCAATCTCAAGCATGCTCAAATCATCCTCCTTGTGAATCACATCCAGCGCATTGCACTCTTTTATGATGACATCAAGGTACTCTTTTACTTGGCCATAAAAGTCATTGGTACTCAACAGCATCACGCTTTTAAGCGGCGTCTTCAACGATATTGCATTTGCCTCCCTGAGCCGTCTCACTGCACATATCACCTTCTTTGCCTCCTCAAACACGTGTCTTCCTCCTCTACATTCAGGATACTTCTGGAAGTGTACGCTTTCTCCAGGCATCACTGACTGGTACGAATACTCACTGAAAAACGGAGTGAATGGCGCCATTGCAATCGAAAACATTGCCAGCACCTCTCCAAGCACTCCATGATGTCCTGCTTTAATCTCCTTTCTATGCATCCTGATGTACCAGTTCGATAAATCATCCAAAAATCCAAGCGCTAGATTCAGCACTCCAGAAAGCTCATATCTTCTCATTCTTATCTCCACAGCCTCAACAAAGTTTCCCAGCGATCTCTTGATCCATTCATCAAGTGCAAGTGCTCCACTGTGCAACTCCGCATCATGCAGCAGCTCTGCACTCTTCAATCCATCCCTGCTCTCAATATAAAATCCTAGAGAGTTGTACCACGGAATAATCAATGTCTTCAGCACATCCTTCACGCCGTTCTCATTGAATCTTAGATTCTCAGCCTCAACAACAGGACTGGATATCAGGTACATCCTTAAAGAGTCTGCTCCATATGTATTCAGTATATGGCACGGGTCTGGATAGTTCTTCAATCTCTTGCTCATCTTCAGCCCATCCTCTGCAAGCACTATTCCATTCACTATCACATTCAGAAACGCTGGCTGATCAAACAAAAGCGACGATATCACATGCAGCGTATAGAACCATCCCCGTGTCTGGTCAAGGCCTTCCCCAATGAAGTTCGCTGGAAACCCCTTCTTCACCAGGCTGCCATCTCCACTCATCCCCATCTTCCTAACTCTATCCTCCACACACTCTCCGCCACTACTTCCTTCTGCACCTCTCTTAGACTCACTGAAAGGCCAGTGGTCTTGTGCATATGGCATACTTCCGCTTTCAAACCAACAATCAAGAACCTCATCCACCCTCCTGTACTCCCTTCCATCAATAACTATCACAATGTCGTCAATGCTCTCCCGATGTATATCCACAATCGTCTTCCCACTCAGCTCCTCAAGCTCAGCAACTGATCCAATGCAAATCACATCTTCATAGTCTCCCGTAACCCATAGAGGTATCGGTGTGCCCCAAAACCTGTTCCGAGAAATCGACCAATCCCTTGCATTCTCCAGCCAGTTATGAAACCTCTTGTACTTGATCCCTTCAGGCACCCAGTTGATCTTTTCATTATTACGCAAAAGCCTGCCGACATGGTCCTTAACTTTAACAAACCAATTCGGAACAAGCTTATATAGAAGAGGCGTATCAGACCTCCAGCAGAACGGATACTTGTGCACTATCCTGCTGTTCATCATTACTTTGCATTTTATAGCATCCAGAATCTTCTTATCGCAGTCCTTCACATACATTTTTGCATATTCCTTCACCTCTTCCGTGTACCTTCCATTCTCATCAACAGGGCACGGCACAAGATCGTTTTCACGTATCAATCCCTTCTCAACAAACACATTGTAGTCGCTCTCTCCAAATCCCGGCGCACAGTGCACTACTCCAGTTCCATCTGTGCTCGTAACAAATCCAGACCCAAGCACCCTGAAAAACCCCTTCTGCCTGTACTCCTCAAAATACCCAAACGGCGGCTCATATTCCAAACCCTCTAGCACACTTCCACTCATCCTCTTGACCACTCTTACATCCTTGAAATACTCCCCGACTCGTTGCTCGCACATCAAATAGTATCCTGCCTTGTGCTCAAACATCACATAAACAAGCTCTGGATTTACCACAAGCGCACAGTTGGCCGGCAACGTCCATGGTGTAGTTGTCCATGCAACCATGCTCACCTTCTGCCCCTCAAGTTGCTCAAGCAGCGGAAAGGCAATCAGAACAGACGGATCGCTCACATCCTTGTAATTCTGATTCGACTCAAAATTACTCAGCGGCGTGGAACATGCTGTTGAAAACGGCATCACTCGGAACCCTCTGTATACCATCCCTCTCTCAAAAAGCTTCTTAAACACATTCCACACACTCTCCATAAAGTCCAAATCCATCGTCTTGTATCCATTCTCAAAGCTTATCCATCGCCCAAGTCTCTCGACCACTGCCTCCCATTCCTTACTATATTTCATCACAATTCCTCTGCATTCCGTATTGTATTTTGCTATTCCCATCCTTAATACCTCCTCCCTGCTGCTTATTCCAAGGCTCTTGTCAATCTCATACTCAACAGGAAGCCCATGGCAGTCCCATCCAAACCTGCGGTCCACATCAAATCCTTGCTGGTAGAAAAACCTTGTCACTGTGTCTTTGACTGTTCCACTAAGAATGTGTCCATAATGCGGCAGTCCTGTTGCAAAAGGCGGGCCATCGTAGAAAGTAAACTTCGGCCTCCCCTTGCTTATATCGCAGCTTCTTTCAAAGCACCTGTTCTCCTTCCAGTACTTCAGCACCTGATGTTCGCACTCCACAAAATCCGCATTTTTCTTGTACATTTTGAAGGATGCATATTTCTGACTCATTTCACGCTTTTAATGAGTGCATTTATCCATACGCACACTAACAAAATGATCAATGCAATGCATAGGCCAGCACAAAATAAGCATAAGAAGCGAGAACAGTATAGCGCCGGCATCATCTCAGCTCCAGCTCCAGCTCGATGTATTGATGAATGCCAGGATGCAGGATGCATATTCCGCAGCTCTTCAGATACAGGTTAGCACACTCAAGATATGCATCGACTGCGTCAAATACGCTTTTACGACGGCCAATCAACAGTGGAAATACAAGAACAGTCTTCAGGAACGACAAAAAAGACACAGGCTCGGCATCCTGCAGTATCTTGTTTAGTTCAGAAACAATTTTGGCCCAAGTATCACCGTCAACTCTGCCAGCAAGCATCTTGGGCATCTCACTCACAAATGCGATTTTCTTTGTTCTTGGATCTCTAGGAACCTGTACACAGATCACATTCTCTTTCATTTATCTATTGGCTATCAAGGGCTCTTATATGCATTCTAGCACAACAATGCAGTATGGCACACAGTAGCGCATTGAGACTCATAATAATGCATCCATGGCTGCACCGATGCACAAATAATGTAAACAATCGATAACCCATCATGCTGACGCTGCCTGCACTTGAGTATCCATATGATGCGCTTGAGCCTGTGATTGATGAAGAGACGATGCGGATCCATCATACCAAGCATCATCAAGCATATATCACCAACCTGCAGAATGTGATTGAAAGCAACAACCTTGAAGAATCGGAGCTGATGCATTATGTAAAGAACAGTCGTGGAATCAAAAGTGTCCGAACAAGCATAAGGAAGTCGATAGCCAACTTTGCAGGAGGACACTACAACCATAGCTTGTTCTGGAAGATGATGTGTCCATCGGGCAAAAGCAAACCCATAAGCCGTGCGCTTGGTGAGATGATTAATAAGTCATTTGGATCGCACAAAAGTATGGTTGATCAGTTTAATGAGAGTGCAGCCGCGCTTTTTGGATCTGGATGGGTCTGGCTTTGCTACAGGCCTGAAGAGGATGGGCTTGTGGTGCGAAAGACATACAACCAGGATACAATATGCATGAGCAACTCAAGAATGATCCCGATACTTGGATTGGATGTGTGGGAGCATGCATACTATCTGAAGTACAAAAGCTCGAGAATTGAGTACATAAGGAGCTGGTGGACTGTTGTGAATTGGGGATTTGCCAGCGATTTGTTTGAGCAGACTGTTTTGAATGGTAAGAAGATGATTGTTGAGTCGAATGGTTCTATTAAATTTGTTTGAGTTGAGCTGTGATGAAGGGATGTATGGGATATACATGAGTGTTGATAAGTGCAATGAATTTACACTGTTTATACTCTTCTGAATCTCCATTTACAAAATGCTTTTGATGCACAAACCACGACTACAGCAACTGGAAAGAGAAGGTAGTCAATCATGCATTCGCAGTCGTGCCTGATCTGGCATAGATATGTGAATGTATCTGATGGAACAGCCCTTCTTGTGTGCATGGCATTCAGGAACGTCATGGCTCTCTGCTCTGCAGAACACGGAACCGACATTTCCTCGATTGACCTTGTGTAAGACGGCTTTGTTGCATTTTCTCTGATGTATCCAGGCGTCAGAATGGATGCTGTGTTGTATATGTAAAGATAGATGCCCAGTTTTTCCATTTCATCCCGAACAGTGTAAAACAGAGACACGAGTGCAGCTTTGGATGGCGAATACGATCCGAATCCAGGAAATGTAAACAGCGACAAAGTGGAGCTTACCATGATGAACGCAAACGGCCTTTTGTTGACTCTGGCATAATGACTCAGAACTGCAACAGTGCCCAGGTAGTTTGTGCTGATAGATTCTTGAAAACGATCAAACGGTTGGTCGATGAAATATGATGGATGTGCAATCCCTGCACAACAGAATATGTATTCGTATGCCGTGGAGTCAAGGCATGTGCCTATGCAGCCGACATCCATCATCTTGGTCCTGAATCCCCACTCTTTCTCCAGCGCAGCAAGCTTCTCGATGCTTCGCGATGTTATTGTAACTGTATTGCCTGCCTTCTTCAGTATCTTTGCAAAGGCAAGCCCAAGCCCGCTACTTCCCCCAACAATCAGAACATGCTTGTCTTTTATGGAATGCCTTCTGAAAAATGCACGTGCAATGCTCAGTCCTAGCATGCCAAGCGAAAGTGCTATTGCAAGCATGTGTTTGTGTACATCCATAGCATAATCAAGACGTGATTAATTGATCATTTGCAATAAATGAAATGCAATTATGCAAAGTGGTAATTTACGAGCTTTGCCGTAATTAAACGTTATGGTCGAATGTGGCAGTTAATATCGTTGAGTACTTACTGGCTTTGTGCATAGTTGTGGTATTGAAACGCGCATACACCTGAAACACAAAGTATAAATAAATGATTTATTTTTTCTCTGATGACCGCCAACTTTCTGAGGCTAGGCATGCATTCGCCGCAATCAAGGCTTGTCTTGGAAGACTTTGGTATCAAGGAGGAAAGGTACAGGATGAACATCGGTAAAAAGATCAGACACCTTGTGAGGGAAATGGGAATGAACACACTTAGCGGAGTGGTGTGTGACAACACAAGGTATCGTAGCATCCTGTCCAAGATTAAAAGCAGAATTGATGACAAGATACAGGCCTGACTATGTCTATGCCCTTGTTTAATTAGCACAATAAACTCTTGTATATCCTTTTTGCTATTGATTGGGAATGCCATGAATTGCATGTGCATCTTTGCAGCTCTGGTTCTGTGTGTGCCTTCTATGCTAGCTGGCTCTGTGCTAGAGTGCATATTCGGACATTCTTTCGGTCTTGTCGATGTGCTCCTGGATATTTCTTCGCTGTTGCGATCCAAACAGATCTGGGTGTATTGAGTATATGATAACAAGCTTGGCGATCTAAAATTAATGCATTCACTTACCTGTAACGCAAATATACCAACTATCATCAGCAGGATTGCATCTATGCTCAGAAGCTTGTCGATGTTCGTGGCCACGGCTGGCATAAGAAATGCAATGTGGAAAGCCATGGCAGTAAACACAAGGATCCACTGCACCTTCAGCTTTGTCTCTACACCTCTTGATGAGCGGCTTCTTCGCAAAAACAAGTCGTTCAAGTTCTGTACAATCACAAACGTAAACACAACAAGCCCTGTGTTTGCAAGCAGTAGTAGATATGTGAACTGCTCGTTCATATTGCGATAAGCATCCTCAAAGTTGTCTATGGATGTAAGGAGCGTCCCAAGAACACAGCAGCTCATCAGCATAAGAATGTTGGCAAGCAGTAGAAATAGTGTTTTTAATGTTGTTCGTATCATATGGCATGGGTCTGCCACGCTCTGTATAATGGCTAGTCGTGCGAATGCATGTATAGGCGCTTTGCACTGCATTATGGATTAGGACATATACAAAGACCTGCTGCTATTGCTATTTACTGGCCGGCTTTCTTGCCAAGAACATTCTGATCGATGCAAACAGACCTATGACACCGTAGAGTATGAAGCTGCTGGTATCATGATGTGGAATAGACAGCAAAGCAATCACATCAACAAGCGAAAGAAGCATAACAACGATGTTTCCTGCTGCCACAGTTAACAGCCACATTGATAGCGATAACGAGTTCATTGACTCGGGTGCTTCAGAGTAGACATACTCCAAGCCTGTTATGTTCAGCATTACTTCTCCGGCAGTCAGCAAAACATATTGAGGTAACTGCCATAGGATGGACAACTGCTGGTGATTGTATGCAAGCACATCTACTTTGTGCTGTATGAATGCGGACATGAAGAAACTGATTGACACCAGTCCGATTCCTACACTCATTCTCTCTACTGGTGGAAGAGAAATGCCTATTGCAGCAAGCATTGGATAGACTGCCTTTGAGAAGGTTGGAATAAATGCCAAGGTAAATATCGAATTGAATGCCTGCATCTGTGAGGGAACAATGTCAATCTGCATGCCAAGTATAGTTGCATGTGTGCTCATCTTAGAGCCTTGCTCGACCCACGACGACGATTGCTGGTCGTACAGCATCCAGAAGAATATAGCAGGCAAAAGCACCTTGGAAATCTGCACGAGCTTCTGTTGGTCATCTGCTGAGACCAAATAATGTGCTTTTTCAGATGCAGTGGATATTCCGGCGGTTTTGTCTCGGCCTACCGCCTGTTTTTTCCTGACAATCGTCTTTATTGCTGCGCCAACCATTCTAAATGTATCTGCAAGCTGCTGCTTCCTTACAGGCTTTATTATATAAGAGCCTTTGCCAGAAATAAACAGAAGCATGGACACTCCGAGTAGCGTGCTTGATGCTCCGAATGCCAGCGGATAGCACGTTGGCTTTCCAAGGCATCCAACATCGGATAGAATCGGCGACAGAATCATTGAGGCCATGCTTCCGATGTTGATTGCGAAATAGAAGAGATCAAAGAACCGTTTTCTGCCTGATAAGCTAGCCTGTCCAAGCTGATCTCCACCAAATGCAGCAACGCATGGCTTAATGCCTCCTGTTCCGAGCGATATCAGCATTAGACTTGCTAGAATCAGCACCTGAGATGCATATTGCACGGATGCATATGTAAGGAAGAAAGTGCCTACCAGATATACAGAGCCCAGAGTGACTATCGTGTTGTACTTTCCCAGTACCATGTCAGACACAATACCGCCTAGCAGTGTAAACAAGTAGCTCATTGAAATGAATAAGTGGAGGAATGCAGTTGAACTCCTAACAGAGAGCAGGTATTCTGCTCGCAGGAACGAGAATAGAAGTGATCGCAGTCCATAAAAGCAGAATCTTTCGCATAACTCGTTTGATACAATCAGCAGAAGTGTTTTTGTATTCATTGTTTTTGCTGTGCATTGTTGTTATCAACCCTTAAACCTGTTTTACCATGCACAATAGAAGTGGCAATATGCCCAACAGCATGGCAGGGACGAATCTAGCGGAGAATATGCGTGGTAATCTATATCATCGGTGCATCAATATAAAGTATAGCATTAATGATCATAAAAGCACTGTGATGTATGATGTCCTGTATGAATGCGGGCCTGAAGTGCTAGTAATCCACAGTAGCGCAGGCTTTCCATTTTCGCTGAAGCATTTGAGGAGGCTGAAAGGACGAGTAAGAATATCTATCGAAGAGCATCATGCATTTAATGTAATAACAAGCAGAATTGATGATTTCTGTGTATTTGTAGTGTTCTCATGCGAGTTCAATGATTTTGAGCATGAGTTCATGCGGCAGATATGCATTGCTAAACAGAAAACAATTCTATTACTATCTGAGCGCTTCAATAGCAGCTCAGACGAAAGCATACCCGTAAGTCTACATGAGTTCAAGAATCTATACGTGGTTGGCCAACCGCTTTAGCCTGTTGATGTGTAATTGTTTATTGATGATGCTCTTTATTGTATTTGCGATAAGCATTTAGCTGCCGTAGCACAAATGCTTTAATGCATCACGACGATGCCTATGAATATATTAGGGCACAGAGCCAAACTTTGAGTTCCAGTCAAGATATGTCTCTAGATCTCCTTCTGAGACACTTTTTCTGATCTGCCTCGTTGCCTTTCTGAAGTCCTCCAGATTGATAGGCCTTGTGTCGTCACTCTTGAAGTCATTTATGTCATCGATTTCCCTCAGAGGCTCCAGTGATGCTTCTCTGCACAAATTAAATATGTCTGATCCAGAGTATCCTTCGGTTATTTGTGCAATCTTGTCCATATCTGCATCGCCAAGGATGTTGTTATATTCCCTGATCAGATGCTCCACCATTTTTCTTCTGCCTAGAGGCTCAGGTAGTGGAACGTATATTCTCTTGACCAGCCTTCGTCTTGCAGCCTCGTCTATCTCATGCGGCCTGTTTGTTGCACCGATTACCAGTATTCTGTCGTTTCCAGAGGTTGATGCACCATCAAACTGCACAAGAAACTCGGTTTTTATTCTTCTGCTGCCCTCGTTCTCGTTGTCTGATCTCTGAGACAGCAGTGAGTCTATCTCGTCGATAAACACCACGGACGGTTGCATTGTCCTTGCAAGGTAGAACAATGCTCTTACCATCTTCTCACCCTCTCCAACCCATTTCGATGTAAGCGATGACGCACTGATCGAAAAGAATGTTGCCTTGCACTGGCTTGCAATGCACTTTCCTATCATTGTTTTTCCTGTTCCTGGCGGCCCAAACAAAAGCAATCCCCTTGGCGGGCCTCTAAGCCCTGTAAACAAGTCTGGGCGTAGCATTGGCCACAGTACTATTTCATTAATTGCTTTTTTTACGTTTTCCAGGCCTATTATGTCATCCCAGGCAACGTTTACAGCCGCTTCGAGTATTTCGTTTCTGATTCTGTCAAGTATGTAGCTTTCGATGTTTGATTCGTTATCGACGTCCTCTTTGCCTTTTTGATCTTTCCTGGCGATCTTTGCGCCAGCAGCCGTTGAGAATCCTGGATACTCGCTCTTCACTGGAGTAGAAGATGCTGAGCAGTGTGCTTCAGGTGCAAAGAAGTCGCCCTTGGCAGGCCTATGCCCAGCTAGCAGTGTCTCCACTTCATTGATGTCCAGCTCCTCAGGAACTGTGGTAAATGATGCAAGAAGCGGAAGCATGTCATTGTTGCTGGCCACCTCGGCAATCACATCTGCATACAGTGGCTGCAGGTATTTTACAACCTCATCGCTTCTCAACTCGTTAGGCAGAAGCGTCGGAAACTCGGGGATACTATGCCTCTCAAGCACAGCCTGTAGGGCATAGAAGCTATCATCCATCGAGGGTCACAGGCAAGCGCATATGCATACGCACTGATGCAGAAATATTTAAACATCTGGCAAGCAGCCCCTAGAGCAATGAACAGCTACAGGATAGCAATATGTCTCAAGAACAACCCAAGCAGAATGATAGGGACGTTTTTTGCGAACGAGGACGGGATGGTGAAGCTTGAGAATGCGTTTTTTGAGTCGAACTCGAAGATTGTGTTTCCTACGATTGTGATTTCCGAGAGTGATATTGCAGGGGTGGCAAGGGTTGAGGATGGCGAAGCGAGAGGTGCGGCTGAGGATGATGGTGACGGGAGCACAGGCATTCATGGGTCTGAGCATGTGGAGGGAGAGTTTAGAATTGATTCTGAGATTTCGAATGCAAGAAGATCAAGTGCAGGTGGGGCAAGAGGAAGTATGGTAGAAGATTGTGGAGAAATGCAGAGCCATGCTGAAGCATCGCAGGAGGGAAAAGACTGGAACCAGTTTGAAGCAAATTCCAAGCTTTTCAATATAGACGGGAGGTTTGAAGAGCAAGAGTACATGGAGGTGATTGACCGGACATGTGAAGTTTATAAGGCAAAGGTGTCGATGGCGAAAAAGATCGAGAGTGAAATAATGCACTCGACAACGAATGATCAGCACAGGCTTGAGGAGAGAGGAATGAAAGTAAATAAGGAAGAAGATACATACTCAAGCGTGATTGGAGGCAAGGCAGAGGCCATGGAGGATGTAATAGATACTGAAACACCGTTTGAAAGACGAAAAGACAAAGCAATGAAGCAGAAGAGTAATACAGCTAGAAGAAGGATGGTGATAGAGATTGAGGGACTGCCGCAGGACAGAGGCACAGAAAACTCAGGGTCGATAGATGAATGCAGCAGAGCAGATAAAGGAATGGGAGAGGTAGGTAGAAGCACCAGGGTGACGGATGACAGGAAGGCAAATGGATCTGTATCGAAGGGTGTGACATATGGGTGGATGAATACACAGTTTGAGTCGATTGATCGAATGCTCAATGCGATCAAGTCTAAGTTTGCTGGAAAGCTTACAAACGTAGAGGATCAGAAATGGGGAGCTGGGCCTAGCTGGAAGATTGGAGCAAAGAACATAATTTCAAGGTCGATGAAGATGAACAAGACGCAGTTGTCTGGCAATAAGCAAATGATTAAGAAAGGATCTATTATGAAGTAAGTACCTGAATTTCTATTAAATTTATGTTGATCTAACACAATTGCTTGTATTTACTTGATGCATGAATGAAATTGATGGTTATTTGTGGATTTCAAAGAAGATAAGAATGTTTTGGTGTACACAAATATCGATATGACGCATGTTTATGTAAAATGTGGATCTCAGAATATTTGATGGCACATGCTTCTGTAGCAAATCTTCCGTGCCCAGATGCAATGGAGGCGAGTCTTGTTTCCCTTAAGCCTTCCGTACATCTGGTATCTTCTTCCTGGGCACAGCTTTGCTATAGATACAACTACACAGCCACTAGAAGAATCATATCCATAATATATTCCGTTTCGCATAGCATGCGTGATTGTAATAAAGAAAAGCTTGACTACATTTGCTTCTGCTGTTGCAATAAAGCTGAATGTAAGCCTTGGTCTAGGCTTTGGATACTTGGTACCCAATAGCACAACGGATGCCTCATGTGTCAGGCTTAGATCGCCTTGCTTTGTATCTGCTTGTTGTGGCAATGCATCCTGTTGCATTAGTGTATCTATGGCGCCAGCCTCCTTGAACTCATTATAATTGTGGCTGTCATATAGAATGTTGTATTTTCCACATTTCATGCACTCAAGGGAGATCAGGGCAAGCACTCAACTGCTTACCATCTGTCTACAATATGGGCAATTTTTTCTTTCCTCTAGCCACAGCTCGATACACTTCGAGTGGAACCGATGGCCGCATGCAAGAAAAATAAGCCCGCCTGCCATTCTATCAAGACACACACTGCACACTGCATCCTCTTGGCATGGATAGGCAAGAGATACACTGGCAGCATAACCATACTCTTCGACATCAAAAAGATCGTTCAATATTTTAACCAGATACTCATCATCTACAAGCACATCATTCATCTTTGTCATGCATATGCAACTCTTTTAAGCCTCTATGATTGTTGCATGCCTGTCACAAAATGCAATACAAACTCCATCTCGACACATCACATCATTCATAGCTCGCAAGCTCTAAATGCCACTGCAAAAATATAACAATAAACACATACTTTATTGCCTAAGGCTTGTGATAGTTCGAATGCAGTGCAAGCTTCCGGCCTTCATCGAATCCCTTTCCGCACACAGAGCAAATATATGTCTTGGCAGACTCGCCAGGCTTCTTGTGAACACTCTTAATGTGTGCTTCCAGTTTTTTAGATGTATCAAACACATTGTCACACACCTCACAATCAAACGTGCTCTTGCGAGATTCTAACTGCCTCTTCCTATGGACAGGCTTGCTTTCCGTAGCCCACATCATAAAAACCAACGGCTCGCCTCCAAGCGTCTCCACCTCCACTGGAACTTTGGTGAACCGCCTAATCTCCTCCTTGCTGCACTCCCTGACTGCTTCTGCCTGAGAAATCAGCACCTGCGAGTAATCTACGCTCTTATTCTTCTTCATCACAGAATCCATCTTCTTCTCTGGCATCTCTGCATCATTAGCTCCATCCTCAGCAAGCTGCTCTGGCTCGTCCCCACTCTCATTCATTCAAGGGATGCTTTGCATCATTTGTCCACATCCATCATCACTCTGCTACTCATTTATATTAGAACAACACACAAACTTATCAAACTAACATTTAATATGCTACATAGTACAGAAACATCACCATAAGCACAGCCAACGCCACATATATCCAGTATTCATTGAGCATACTCTTAAGATGCATCCTGTGTATGTTCTTCTGCATCATCTTTGCCTCATCAGCCATCTTGCTAACAAGCTTGTTCAGGTTGTTGATGTTCTCACCTCGCTTTGTTATCATGTTCAGAGACTCAGCAAGCGCCCCTTTTGTTTCTTTGACAACAGTCATTCCCTGCTCATAGCTCGAGTCCCTGTTGAACTTATCAGAAACACTCTTGATCGTCGGATCAAACGCATAGTATGTGGCCTTTGCATCATCACTGTACATCTTCGCAAACATCCCGATCACTTGCTCCATGTACCCGCTCTCAAGCTTGGATGATGCATACCGATCTCCTATCACTGCAATCACCAATCCAGAGGCCGTCTTAAAATAGAACATAAATCTGTTATCCGAACAGCTCACCGTGTGCATCTGCTTGCTTTCGCTCGGAACAGACTTCACTGCATCCCTTAGCTCCTTCACTACATCATTGCCCGGCTTCAAAGAGTTGCTCTGTGGAGAGTATTCTCCAGAAAGTATCCTATAATCGCTCTTCCTCATTATCTGTGTATACAGAATCGTCATCTAGGGATCACAAATATTGCTAATTTTGTATCCTCTGCTTCGTATCATGCATCTATTGTGTCCGTGTGTATTCATGCATTTCATTTATCCATGCCATTCATTCTTCTATATCATGCCTGTTGAGTGGCTTCTGCTCCACTATTAACTGCTCTTTCTTCAAATGGCTCATGATTTCCTTCGGGCACTCACTAGTCTTGAACCAAAGCCCATATATCCCTCCTCCATCTCCATTGCTCAGCGTCATCAAGCTTTCCCCCATCCCCAGCTTGGTGTCTTCACTGAACTCAAACACAAAGTCGTCCAGACTCTTTCTGTTCAGCACACGGATAACAATAAATGGCATGCTCTTTCTTCTGTACATCACAAGTGTCCCTTCAACATTCATCTTGAGCCACCTATCCCCGCCATAATGATATACAGACGTAAAGTTCGCCACATACTCAATCTCATCAAGCATGCTGTCAATGCTCTCAATGGCCGACCTCAACACCTGGCTCTCCCTTGCATTCATCACGAGGGCGCTGCATGCAATAAAACTTATTGGATGCTCCCTGCCATGCTTCAGCCAGAGGAAGGCGAGATACTTGCCTCCCAAAAATTCACACAAACAACCATGGAGTATGAAATAATCAGGACAGTGGGCGAAGGCACGTTTGGGCAGGTACTCCTTGCAAAAAGAAACAGACGACGATATGCATTGAAGAAAGTCAACAGGGTAGAGGACGGAATACCAATAACAACAATAAGGGAAATCCAGGCACTGAGGGATATGCGCCATCCAAACATCATCAGGCTGATTGAGCTCGTGGTGCACTCAGGAAAAATATACATGGTGTTTCCATATGTGCATTATGACCTCAACAAGTTTATCAGGAGCAAAAAGATGGATACTGCCGATATCAGGCATGTGTTCCTGCAGATAGCAAGAGGAATATGCTACATGCACAGCAAAGGAATAATGCACAGAGACCTGAAAAGTGCAAACATTCTGGTGGATCAGAGCTTGAATGTGAGCATAGCGGACTTCGGAATGGCAAGGCATGCAACAAATTCAGGAATGTATACGCCGGGAATGGTGACTCTTTGGTACCGGGCACCTGAGATTCTGCTGGGACTCCCAAACTACACATATGCAGTGGATGTGTGGTCGATGGGGTGTGTTCTGGTCGAGATGTACCTAGGGAGTATGCTTTTCCAGGGAAGCACCGAGATTGCTCAGCTCGAGATGATCATCCATGCATGCGGATCAATAAACGAAAAGACATACCCAGGAATCAAGGGCATTGCAGGAATCCACAGCTTCAAGCTGCCGCAATCGCCGAGGCGAATAGAAAGCATAATGGAAAAGCACGATGCATCAGCAGTAGAAATAGTCAGCAGAATGCTATGCGTTGATCCGTGCAAACGAATAACGGCGGACGAAGTCCTTGGGAACAAATACTTGAGCTCTGAGCACCTGAGAGAACGCTTCGATGATGAAAAAGAGCAGGATGCCGAACATAAACGAAGAGCCACAAATAGAACAAATAAATAGTGTATCATATTCATAATCACACATAAGACTCATTATATCACAAGGTTTATTTGAATCAGATACAAATCACACGGGTATCTCTTGTATCTCCTCTATTCCAATTCCTATTGCATCCAAGAATAGTTTTACATGGCACTCCTCTGGTTCATTGTACTTGCTAACTGCTTCAATGATACATGGCTTCAAAAGCCTGACAATCTCCGTCTGCTTCGCTGCATCCACCAACGAGACAAGCACCGAAAAGAACTGCCAGCTGTATCTGTCGCTTGGATATGACTCAGTCGACTTACTAATTGCCGACTCATACATAGCATCGCAAAGCTCATTGTTCTGCAGGAGAAACAGCGTTGCTAGAATGACTCCGCTTGGGAAGAACAGAAATGTAGATACAAATCCAGAGTCAAGGCACTCGCAAGACATCTTCGGGATGTCATCTACCAATGATCCAATAAGCTCATAAAAATCAGGCACATCTTTCACATGCTGAAACGTCTTCTGCAAGTGATTAAGAATCTCATGCTTTTCATTCTCGTCTGCATATTTAAAATATCCCTTAAGAAACCAGAAAAACTTTCGGTTCGTAACAAATACGCCAAAGCTAGACTGCATTCTTGATGACATCAGCCTTCTGTTCTCTTCAAAGTCGCTTTCGTTTATCTTGCAATACCTGTTGATTGTGTACAGGTCAATTACCTCTTCAAGCATGAGTGCATTTCGGAGCTCTGCCCTGGCACACTCAGGCTCAATTCCAAATGAAATCCTGGACGCCTTCGACGACTTCTTCCCCCTCTTTCCAAAAACCAAGCACACACTCTTGCGGAGCTCTCCTTCATCTTCCCTGACCTCGATTTTTCCAGCATTCAGATCAAATAGAGCAGAACAGTCAATGTTTGACCGGAAGTACCTCACGTTTTTCCTTAGACACTCAGCAACATAATCCTTTTCCTTTGTGGTCATGAAGTTGTTGATAGACATTCAACCAGAGGGATGCCAGAAACACATTTATTGCCTGCATAGGCATTTCGATTTAACTGCATTCAAATTTTGCCCAGAATGATTCCAATTGCACATCCTCTTGCTAAGGGCACAACAGAGCAAATGATAGCCGCTCTGGCCAATGAATATGCAGACAAGGCCATGCTGGTGACAGGAATAAAGAAGTGCCTAAGGCATATAGAGCAGGAGTCGGAAGGCCTGCTGGTGCTGACTGCTGACACAACACCCATGGACCTAATTACACATCTCCCTTCACTTTGCGAAGAACGGGGAATCAAGTACGTGTTTGTTAATGACAAGGCATGCATTCCAAACAGATTCACCTGTGTGTTTTTTGGAATGCAAGAGCGACAGAAGGTTGAGGCCATAACCGCAGCGCTTGACCAGCAGTAGAAGCATGAGGAAAGGCAGCGGCAAGCTCATGCCACGGCATCACCAATCATGCTTTGATCTCGGTGCTCTTTCAGATACATTCAATAAATGGCTGATTCTGATCTTGCTCTGCAGCATCTCCTGGCTAAACTCCTGTCGTCCACTTGCCACATCCGCTCCATAGTCAAACATGATTCCTCTGAATTCACAAATATCTTCAAGAAACTCTATAACACCATGCATCATCATCTTGTTATCCATTGGGGCTATGCAACTCATGTATGCTGTACTGCCATGTTCATCAGAGCATATTGTGAAAAGTACATTCTGAATCGGGTAAGATAAACAGTTATTTATTCTTCAGAATCTTCCTCGTCATTGTCTGAATCTTCGCCAGACAGCGGTTTCTCTTCATCTTCAAAGTTCAGCAGGCTATGCCTTGTCTTCTCTCCATACAGCTTTGCCTGGCTCACCACTGTCGCCGTGCCTCCTTCTCTAGCAATCCTCTGCACTAGGGCTTCGCATGCCCTGCTCACAGACTCATATGCCCTGTCCTTGCTGCTGGACACACGTGTGATCGAATACGTCGGTGTCTTTGTAAGACTGAACTCCAGCTTCGGATCAATCGACATTGCATCCTCAAATGCATTCTTTATTGCTTTCACGCCTCCCTTCGCTGCACACAGCACATCAACATCTGCACGCACTTTGTATGTAGATGCCTGGAATTGTTCCTTTATCAGATCCTTGATCGTCATTCCAATCTCATCGTCAGCAAGAATCCCCTCGTTGTCCTTGGCCTTTGCAAAAAAACAATACAGCGATCCGTACTCGTCCTCCTTACCGTATCCCATCTTCTCATACAGCTCAGAGGTAGGGATTCCCAGCCTTCTTGACGCCTTCGCCATAATATAATATGCCAGCTTATTTCTTGCGCTTGCTTCCTTGCACGACGCCTTCTCGCTGTCTGTAACCTTTGACATGCTCAAGTCTATATGCCCCTTCTTCTCGTCCACCTTTGTCACAAGGCATACCTCAACACACCCAACCTTTGTTACCTGTTGGATTGTTCTTACCCTCTTCTTCGACAGCTCGCCCAGCAGCACAAGCCCTTGCACATCTCCATACTCCAGCAGATCCAAGGTAAGCCCATCGGTATCGATCGACGAAACCCTTGCTATCACAAGCTCCCCTTCCGCAGGATACACTCTTGAATGGAGCCTGCATTCATACTTCAGCATGGACAAACATTTTGAAAATATTTTATTGGCATCTCACAGAAAGAACACTCTGAAGCTCTGAAATGTTTTTCTGGCCTGCACTATCAGCCGCCTTTCTGTCATCTCAAGCTTCCATACATCATCCTCTGAGAAGGCATCTTTGAGGATGAGTGGCGAATAATCGCCTATTCGCTCGTAGAAGAACTCAGCAAGCAGGGCATGGCTGCCGGCAAGCATCGAATGCAAGTAGAAAAAGTATGGGCACACAGACCTCAGATCAACTGCAGAGGGTTTTGCACGGATGTCTTCCACCACCTTTTCGCTGTGGAACTCTCTTGACATCTTGCAGTGCCCGTTTCTGAGCAAAAAGCCAACAAGGAAGTAAGGTGCGTCTACCTTCTTGCCTGCAGGAATTGTTCTGCATGTGTCTGACCCAAGTAGCCCAAAGTTCAGCACAGTGTGATTGAATGTAACAGGAATCTTCTGCTCGCTAAGCATGATATCATCGACATCATAATAAACCATGCTTGGACACATTGGGATTTTATGCACAACAGTATTTATGCACGCATCATAGCGATTGCGTATATGCATGGCATGCATCAGAGCCATGCTCAGACATATGTACAAAGCACATCATTTGAGCTACAGAAAAGCCCATGGTGGATAGCAAAATAACAATCGCAGATCTCGTGCAGCTCGAGAAAGGGCAGTTTGCTGATGAAGTGCATACAGAAAACGGCACCGACGGTGTGTATACTGTTGTGAGAGAAGAGATGTTTGCGGCGTTGGAGCAGGCAAAGAGAAAGAAAAGCGGCAGTAGTGACGAGAACTTCTACAAGATAGTCCCGAAGACGGCGCTTGAGAAGACAATGGCAAGAGTGCTTGACAGCGAAAAAATGATTGATGTTGAGAAGGTAAGGTATGAAAGAAGCTTCAAGGATGAGTTTGATAGGAAAATGAAGCGGATCAAGCGAATTAAGAGCAAGGCATACAGGAAGATCAGGAGGATGAAGAAGCTTGCGAACGAATTACATGAGTCTGCGGACATTCAGAGTGCATACCAAGAAAATGATGCACACGAAAAGTCTCATGATTCACAAAAAAGATACACCCGGGTTCCTGATGCGTTGCTAAGAGAAATAGACACGGAAGAAGACGGTAAAGAGGCTGAGAGGAGTGAAAGGAATGAAATGCCGATATTCAGCTTTGATGGAGAATACGGAGGTGCAGAATGCGTGCACAAGCAGGAGGAGCTTGTAAGGCTTGCATTCAAGGAAAGCGAGGATGGGATTGCAAATGAGTTTGTGGATGAAAAGCAACGGATTGTGAACGAAGAGGCACCAAGGATAGAGGATACGGTGCTTCCTGGATGGGGAGACTGGGCTGGGCCAGGACTGGAGGTTATCAAGACGGAATACAACACAGTGAGGAATGTGATTGAAGGTGTGAAATATTGCAACAGGAAGGATTTCAACAAGTCGCATGTGATAATCAATGAAAAGTCGCAATGCATTGACAAGAAGTTTCTGGCGCAGCTTCCGTTTGGATACACAGAAAAAGAATATGAGCAGAAGATCGGCATGTGTGTGTCGAAAGAAAAGAATACGCTGAGAGTATTTAGAAAGCTGGTGAAATCCAGGACTACACATACCAACGGAGAGGCAATCCAGCCGTTCCACTATGTGCCTGAATAAACTGCATTATACAAACCAATACACCGTGATTAATTTATTATGTGTCTGCTATATGTGCATTAAAAAGTCATCTTCTATAAGATATGATTGCGAAAGGCTTGTGCTATCGAAATGCTCTAGTATTGCAAGCACTGCACCGTATCTCTGCCGGACTATGCCTGAGGGATGCAAAAGACCTCCCATGACATACTTATACAAAAGTCTTGATGAAAGCACAGTGGAGAATGCCTCGATGCATTCATCAAACGATGATTTCACTATTGGTGTGCTGTCCAGAATGTTTATCCACACCATATTCAGCAGATGTGTGACAAACACCACATCCGTGCTGCTTTTTGTGTGGTTCAGCACAACATGCTTCACAAGTGTGATTCCTGCACTTCTGTACACCGGGTCTCTGTCCATCAATGCATCTTCAATCACAGCAATAGCCGAAAACATGTATTCCCATGGCACATCAGGCACCCTTTGCAAAAAACACTGTATAGCCTTCATTATCCCTTGCTGCACAGACACACTTGGTATTCGGTAATCAGCCAGCAGAGTCGGCAGAACAGAGCACAATCCATTATGCTCCCCCACGATTCCAATTGCAATAGACGCACCGGTCCTTTGGAATCTGTTTTCAGATTCAAGCCCGTCCATCAATATGTTCAGAATCTCCTGCGGCCCTACAATTCTTGATATGCATCCAAGACAGCCAATAACGCCTCTTCTTGTTCTTCTGCTCCATGAGGAAAGTACATCAGTCAGCTCATATGATATCCTGAGCCATTCTTTGCTGGAGACCGTTGCACACTCGTCAGGTGCATTCACACAGATGGCATGGAGCAGCTCAACAGCAGATTCAGTCACTCCATGCTCTTTTGTCCTGATAACAGGTAGAATCCCCAGGATCAAATCGGAAGCATGCCTAAACCTGTGGCAGCTGTATACAGCACATGTGGCCCTCAGCACATTCGATAATACATCCTGGTTTTCCTCCATCATGTTCTCCATCAGAAAATTTCCACACAGCACAAGCTCATCTTTGCTCAGCATGCTTGCAATGCTTTTCAACATGCAGAGCCCTCTAGTCCTTGTGTCTGCTACAGGATCCTTCAGCATCCCAATAAACTCTGAAACAAGCATTCCCGTATGCCTTTTCTGAAGAAAGCGCTTACCGACCAGCAATCGAACAAGCTTAACACTAACAGCGCCATGTCTGATTGCATTGCAAACACATCTGTAATACTTGTCTGCATCATCGCCATCAAGCTCCAGACCTTCTACATTGCTGAAAATCTTCGAAACCAGTCTTGCATTCCAGGCATCACTGTAGCATGCAAGAATCATCTTTGCAGCTCTGGAATCCACACACATCTTCACACACATCGCACTCATGGCATTTTCATACTCCCTTGCATCCGTACCAAACACAACAGGTTGCAGCCTGCAAAAATACTCAAATGCATCTTCCTTATCAATCATAAGGCACACCTTATCAAATATCCTGGCACTCCCTGCATCGATTGCTCCAGATGCTCTCAGGAATTCAAACACAACTCTAGAATGCTCCACACTGTCATAGCACAAATGGGACATTGCCCTTAGCAACGCCTCAGACTCAATGCTTCTTGAGTTGACGAATTCATTGCTGAGCAGGCAGAATATGCTGTCGGCGCTAGGTATTTGAGAACTTACTGTGCTGAACATGTAAGACATTGCATTTGCCGCATCCATCTTCACAAATCTGTTTCCATCCTGAACCAGCATGCAAATAACATCCAGCAGCATCTCCAAATACAAAGAAGCTTCACTTCCAAGCATATCGCAAATGCCCAGCACTGCTCTAACACAACACTTCCTGACATCTGCTGTCTGGCTAGATCCCATGCTATTCAGAAGCTTAAACACTTCATCCACTTTAAAGAATCGTATAAATGTGCCTATTACCTTGCCAACCACTTCTCTGATATGGAAATCCTTGCTTGAAAAGTCGTATTGAATTCTACTTATTACAAACTCAATTCCATTTGCATAAATCATCGTCAGAGCCGGTATCAACAGCTTTCTTGGCAAGTCAATCCAGCAATACGATCCCAGCACAAACAGAATCTCTCGCAAGCATTTTACTCCATGCATATCTACACTCTCAAGTAGCGCCTTGAGCATCTCGACCAATTTCATCTTGCCTCCATCATCAAGCTCCAACGACATCCCCATCAGAACCACGGCCTCTAATGCCAGACCCGCATCAGCCTTCTTAAGAATCGCCAGTCCACGTGCACGCATGGCTTTACTTCCATTCTTCACAAGCAGTATTCCTTTGTACACATTAACTTCAGCCTCACTCCCTGAGTTGAAAATCGGCATGAAAAAGTCCTTCTCATCAGCAGGTATCTCAGGCAGTCCTGCCTTATCAATGCCATCATATACATCTCTGCCAGCATCAGCCACATCATATCTCTTGTATCCCTTGCTCGGAAGACACATGTTGATTTCTCTGGCTGACATCTCTGAGTACACAGCATTCACTGCCTTTGTATCATCTGTATCCCACCTTGCACTCATTCTGCTTACACCGCCACTCCATACATCATCCTCCATCTTGATGTATCCTAATGGAGTTTGATCCCATTTCAACCTCTTTGATTGTGTTGCTGTCCTAGGCGTAATCTCCCACCTACTTATTTTTCTTGTGCTTGGCTCATCCTTTTCGTCCCACTCAAGCATTTCGTTCTTGATCTTATTGCATTTACCTGCATACATATGCTCATCATTGCCATCACCATGATCCAGCATTTCGCTCGGCATTCCAAGGACATCAAATCGCTAACCTTCAAATAATCTTCTCGACAGCACATATTTCACAAAACATTTAATATTCAAGCACACGCTCATCATTCACCCATGCCTCGCCATCTCCTCAATTTGCTCCGGACTAAAGTTCTCAAACAACGGCTCAATATCATCACCTAACGAATGCTCATAAAACACTTTCATCTTCATATCCATCTTAAGCTCGGCCTCCTCAACTCCACACATCTTCAGCATCCTCAGGGAACTATCAGGAATAAACGGATGCACCATCTTGGCCATAAGCACCACAAGGCTGAATCCAAAACAAAAACAATGGCTCCTTCTTGCCCCATCACTAACCCCTCCTTGCACATACTCATTACCAATCCCTGAGATTTCAAACACCATTTGCAAGCCGTCCCTCAACCTTATCTCATCCATTCTTTCCTTGTACCTTTCAAACAGCTCGTTCACCACATCCACACACTTCATGTCCCTTTCATCAAGCCCTTCAATCTGTACGTGCCCTCCGCACTTCTGCTTGATGTACTTCAGCACCCTGTTGACAAAGTTCCCCAAGTTATTGATCAGGTCTCCAGACACAGACTTCTGGAAGTCATAGAACGAAAAGTTTGCATCCTTTGTTCCCTCAGGACGGATCTTCATCAGATAATATCTCCAAATGCATGCCTTCCCAAGCTTCCCATCAACTAGATCAAGCCCGAAAATCCCGTGTCGCCGGCTCTTCGAAAACTTCTTGTTTTCAAACTGTAGATACTCCGTTGCAGAAAGCCTGCTGACCAACGGAAGCCTGTCTCCAGTTGCACTCAGCATTGCTGGGAAAATCACTGTGTGGAAACACACATTGTCTTTTCCCATAAACTGCACAAGCTCGGCCTGCCTGCACCAATCGTCAAAACTCTCCCCAACAAGGTCCTTCAGAAACGTAAGATACCCTATTGGCGCATCAAACCATACATAGAACACCTTTTCCTTGAATGCCTCCAGCGGCACTGGAACCCCCCATTGGAATTTCAGATCCCTTGTCATGCATCTTGGGTACAGATCAATCGCCATCCATTGATTGAATATGTTCTGTGCATTCTGGCTCCACAGATGCCCGTTTTCCTTGTACAACTCTTCAAGTCGAGGCTTAAACCTCCCAAGCTCAAAAAACAGGTGCTTGCTCTTCTTGACAACAGGGCTGCTGCTGCAGATCGAGCACTGCGGACTCAGCAGATCTGTTGGCTTGTAAGAGTGCCCGCATGCATCGCACTGGTCGCCCTTTGCCTGGCATTCTCCACAGAACTTGCATTCTCCAACAACATATCTGTCTGCAAGAAATAATCTGCAGCACTCACAATAGAATTGCTCGACCTCCTCCTCCTTGAAGTATCCATTATTGTACATCTTCATAAACAGCTGCTGTACCAGCTGTGTGTGACTTGGCGACGATGTGTGTCCGAAGTAGTCAAACCCGATTCCAAACCATTCATAGACACGCTTGTGGATCTCCCTGTTTTTCTTGCATATCTCCTCGGGCGTTGTGCCCTGCGCTATTGCCTCCATTTCAATTGCAGTCCCGTACTCATCTGTTCCGCAGATGTACAAAGACTCTTCGCCTTTCATTCTGCAGTATCTGTTGTACACATCACCACTCAAGACACTACCAACAATGTTTCCAAGATGAGGCTGGTTGTTGACATACGGCAATGCACTTGTTATCAATTTTTTCATTATGTGGGGTTTGTGAAAATATTTAACCGCATGGCTCAGCGCAAATACTCAGCTGCTGTGCTCTCCCGCATCACTGGTAAAACATATGCATTGGGCCTGAGCATGTAGTGATGTGCAAGAATATAAATCCAAAAGGCAGCGAACCCATGGGCATCCGAAGAACAGCGTTGGAGTGGAAAGGCACTCCATGGAAAGTCCTCGGAAGCAGCCGAAAGGCAGTCTTAATTGACGTGTTTATCATTTCGATAGATTAATGCTGTTAGGTATGGGTCTACTGAACGGAATGAGGCTTACTCTTGGATGCCCATCATTTTAATTGTAATTTGTTGTTTGTTTTTATTGTCGTGCAATCCCTGCTGGATGGCATTTGGAGAAAAGAGGGTAGTGTGGACCGATGGATGCTTTGACGTGTTTCATTACGGGCATGCAAATGCACTGTGTCAGTCGAAGAAGCTTGGGGGGTACCTGATAGCAGGCGTGCATTCGTCAGAGAGTATTTGCAGGGATAAAGGGCTTCCTGTAATGAAGAATGAAGAACGATATGAGATGGTTGAGGGATGCAGATATGTTGACGAGGTTGCAAAGGATGTGCCGTTTGTTACACAGCTGAGCATGATGAGGAAGTACGGAGTTGACATAGTTTGTCATGGGAACGATATAGTGTTTGACTCTAATAACCAGGACTCTTATCACCAGGTCAGGGACATAGGAATGTTTAGGGAGGTGGAGAGGACAGTTGGGATATCCACCACAGAGTTGGTTGGAAGAATGTTACTAAACATAGGAGGAGAACAGCTTACGCTGAACAAGAACGGGCTGGAGCACACTGACTACCACGATGAGCTGTTGAAAGTGTTTGAGGCAGATATGAAGAGGGAAAGGAAAGGTAAAGTTATTTTTATTGATGGGAACTTTGATTTGTTTCATGCAGGACACGTAGTGTCGTTGAGAATAGCAAGGATGATGGGCGACTACTTGGTGGTGGGGCTTCATGATAACGAGACCACAAAAGAGTATACGAAGAGTAATCCTGTTATGAGCCTGAAGGAGAGGATGCTTACGCTGATGTCTTGCAAGTATGTTGATGAGATTGTTGTTTCGCCGTATTGCATTAACCAGGAGTTTGTCTCTATGAATGGGATTGATGTGGTTGCGCCTTCGTTTGACTCCAAGGATCTTTCAAGATATGATGCAATTAGGGAGATTGTGGAGCATAGCTATGCGGAGAACAAGTTCAATTACCTGTCTGCAGAGCATATAGTCAATAGGATAATACTGAACTATCAGAATTATGTGGATAGGCAGAAGAAAAGGCTTGCGAGGGATGTCTGAATAAATGCTGTGTTGTGATTGTTTGTGGTAGTGGAGATGTTGAAGTTAAGCCGAGTAATCGGCAATCCAAAGATTTGAATGGGCAGCTCTCAGATCATGGGAGTCTTTAGTAAAAGGCAAAAGACTCGTGCTTATCGACCTGAGTGACCAGGGGTGTTGAGGAGTAAAGTTTATGTGATTGAGTGCACATGATGTGTGGAATGGATGTGCATGATGCAAGTTTATGCATTTGAGATTAATGTGAGTTATGTAGAAGGAAGCTTATGCAGAAGATAGAATAACAGTATGGAGTGGAGCAGTAATTGTGTAGAGAACTGGGATGGCAAGATACCCTTTGATGGGCATGCGCTTAATGAAGGAGCAGGAGATGGGAGAATATTCAGACACAGGGATTGAGATGAATCTTGATGTGCCGGAAGGGATATTTCCAGAAGAGGCAAAAGTTGATTGGGACGAAGAGATTGGAAAGGGAGAGATATTGGATTTGCTTGGAGAGGCTGAGGAAGGCAGCACACTTGATGTGGAGGAGAGCGTGGAGGAGAAGATGGAGGAAATATTTGAGAAGTTGGAAACGAATCAGGTGATCCTTGTGCAGGGAAACACAGGGTGTGGGAAAACAACGAAGATTCCTAGATATCTTTTGCAGCGGTATGGGAAGATAGTATGTTCGCAGCCAAGAAAGATAGCAGCAATAAGTGTTGCCAAGAAAGTGGCTAAGGACATGAATGTGTGTGTTGGGCATGAGGTTGGATATTCCGTAAGGTTTGATGACATGAGTGGCAAGAGGACAAGGCTGAAGTATGTAACTGATGGGATTCTGCTGAGGGAGATCAACAGCAACAAGGATCTGAACGGATATGATGTGGTGATAATTGATGAAGCACATGAGCGGAGTATGAATATTGATGTGCTGCTTGGGTATTTGAAGATGATTCTGAGGAAGAGGAAGGATCTTCGGGTGATTGTGATGAGTGCGACTCTAAGCAGTGAAAAGTTTGTTTCGTTTTTTGGATGCCAGAGGATTGAGATACGGCACAGGATGTTTCCACTTGAGATTTTTTTCACGAAGAAGGGATGCGATGGAGACTACTTGCGCGAGGGATTGAAGACAGTGATGCAGATCCACAAGAGCGAAGGACCAGGAGATATACTAATGTTTCTGACGGGGAAGGACGAGATCAATAATGCCCAGGCGGTGTTGTCAAGCATGATGCCTGCTAACGAGGTTGAGATATGCTGCATATACAGTACGCTTGCACCTGAGCAGCAAGAGCGTGTTTTCAAGGCGTCGAAGAAGCGGAAGGTGGTTCTTGCGACGAATATAGCAGAGACATCGATAACGATAGAGGGGATGAAGTATATTGTTGATTGTGGGCGGTGCAAGCAGATGCGGTACTCTGCATTGCTTGGGATGAGCATATTGGAAGTTGGATGGATATCCAGGTCGCAAGCGAAGCAGAGAGCAGGACGAGCAGGGCGCACGGGATCAGGAAAGGTCTTCAGGATATATACGAAGGAAGACTACAAACGGATGAGCATGGACACGATGCCTGAGATTCTTAGCAGTAATCTTGCGAACACAATACTGCTGCTGAAGTCTATAGGGATATTGGACATTACGAGCTTTGAGATGCTTGACAGGCCTGATGTGTCGAATGTGAAGAAGGCGCTTGAGCTTTTGTATTTTTTGAGAACGATAGAGGAGAATGGAAAGATAACGGCGCTTGGGAGGAAGGCGGCAAGGATTCCTGTGGAACCTGAGCTTGCGGTGTCGCTGCTTGCATCGTGCGAGCTTGGATGCCTTGAGGATGTGAGCATTATTGCAGCAATGCTGAGTGTTGAGAATGCGTGGATAGATGTTGCGAAGAGCAGTGCTGAGTATCCTAAGTATGTGGAGGCAAGAACGAAGTATTTTGATGTACGAGGAGACTATTTTTCGCTTCTGCGTGTGTATAAAGGATGCGAGGCAGCGAGGTTTGCAGCATCGTATATGCGGAAGAAGTACTTGAACATACGGGCTATGCATCAGGCACAGAGGATAAAGAAGCAATTGGTGGCGATGCTTAATGTGCGCAGCATGTCTGACGAGAGCAAGGTGGTGCAGTCGTTCTGTGCAGGGTATTTTATGAATATTGCAAAAATTGCTGATGGAAGGTATGTGTCGGTGTTTCATGGAACCCAATGCTATGTGCACAGCAGCAGCAGCATGTTTAACAGGAGGGCGAAGTATATACTCTACCACTGTGTGTTTAAGACTGGAAGGGAGTATGTGAAGCATTGTGTGGAGGTGAGCGAGGAGGATCTTGTGAAGGGAGCGAACCACATATTTGTGAAGAAAAGGAAGTGAGGATGGAAGAGGAGCGGCAGGATTGGTATGAGCACAGGAGGAGAAAGGGATGATGAGAGTGGTGATATGCAGAATGAAGCGATTGGTGCAGATTAGGAAAGAGGGATAGGGATATAGTAAAGATCAGAATGAACCCCTATCTGAGGATGAACGGAAATCGAGAAGTAGAAATGGAAAGAAGCAAGCAAATAAAGGAAGGCGAGATGGAGATTGAGGAGTACACAGAGGAGGAGAAGGCAAGGGTGGAGGATGCAACATCTGGATTTAGTAACAGCGGGTCGAGGATAGGTGGATCGAAGGATGTGTCGTTTGAAATAATGGCAGCAGCGATGTATCAGCGAATGATGCGACACTTTGGAGTGAAGAATGGGAAGAAGAGTGAGAAGAGCAAGAGCAGTAGAGAGAAGGGAGCAAGGAATACGGCAGTAAGTAGCGGGGCGGGGAAGAAGAGCAATCGAACGGATGTGAAGTCGCTGGTGTATTTTTTGATTGGGATAGTGATTATATCGTATGTGATATACAAGCTAATAAGCATGCAGGGAGGAGAGTTTGGAGGAGAATCAAGCAGCAGTATGTCTAGTTCTGACAAGGAAAGGGCAAAGATATTGTCGTTTAAGGAAGGAAGCACTTTTAACGAGGTGACGTATTTTGGAAAGACAGACATGATGGTGAAGGTTGTGTCGCACATGACGCGGATGGTGAACATGATGCGAACGCTTAATCTGAAGGATCTTGAGAGGAGCATTGAGACTACGCAGAGGAACTTTCTGTTCCATGGACCGCCGGGGACTGGAAAGACGCATTTTATGAAGAAGCTGGTGTATCTGGTTGATCTGAACATGAAGATGCTGCAGATGAAGGACCATATTGGGAGTGAGCGTTTTAAGCAGATGGAGTTCAACGAGAAGATGATAAAGGCGAAGGAGATGAGCTCTCTGGTGAGGATTGTGTTTGTGACGCCGTCGATTTTGAACGACAAGTATGTTGGGGAGACGGAGAAGAACATCCGAGTGATGTTTAATGCATCCAAGAATGAGAACTACTGGGCGAACATAGTGTTTATAGACGAGATAGACGCGTTCTTTTCGAAGAGGAACGAGAATTCGCAGGAGTACTCGATCAAGGCACAGACGGAGTTTCTGAACCAGATTGGAGGAGCCTGCGACGACCTAAGAGGAAATGTGTTTTTGTTTGGAGCAACTAACCACTTTGATAAGCTCGACCCGGCATTCAAGAGGAGGTTTTCGACGATATATGAGTTTTCACCACCGAACGATGACGAGAGGCTTGAGATTTTGGAGCAGTATCTGTGCGACAACACACAGGGTGTGACTGATAGATACACGGATCTCTTGAAGCTTACGAATGGCATGCCGCAGTCGAAGATAGTGGACATTCTGAAGAAGGTAGCATTTTCTAACGATGGAAAAATCAATGAGGTCAAGTGGGATGTCCTTAGGAAGGAGTTTGAAGAGGCTGATCCGAATAAGAAAGGGTCTGACGGGAGCAAGATTGATGTGAATAAGTCTCTGAGGGACTATTACTTCTTGGAGCCAAGGTTTGAGGAACCAAAGAAAGACACGAAGGACAATCAGCCGGCCAGGAAGAGTATTCATAAGATCCGTAGTCGTTAGATAGACGCAGTCAAGATTATGCATTGCTTTATTTATATGTCTTGATTGCATGGATGATTTGCACAGATATAATAAATGATTGATAAATGAATTTTTGCAAGCTTTGCTTTATTGTAACTGAGTAATTTGAAGTGCCATGAAGTATCATGCCTGTGTACTACATGTAATAATGTGGCCTGGAGATGTTTATTCCGACTTCCTCTAGGGCACTTTCAAGGTCTGCCAGCTGGAACGTGGTTTTTTTTTCGTTTGCGAATCGTTTGTCCTTCTGTGCGGCCTTCTGGTTGATTTTGTGATACTGCCTGGACGAAATTGCAACATCGGTGATAAACTTGTGTGCCAAGAGTGAGACAAGCTTCTTCATGTTTGGATCAGATGTGGCTACTCCTGCTTTCTCCATGTAATGGTCTATGACAGACTCAGGAAGTAGCGGAATATAGCTTTCAAGGTTATGCTTGAGCTCGTTGAATTCGTCTTCTTTCATGGGGCGAGTGGCATTGGGTTTTTAGTGGCTAATGTCTCATATTTCATGCATATGATCGTGGAGTGTACTATAATATCAATGCAAATGAGTGTGGCTAGAATGCTAATGGATGGTGAATAAGCAATGCCTGTGCTGGCATGCATGTTGAATATGTATGCATTAATGCAGAAACAAAAAAACGCCCATGAGTGAGCTTTTTCAAGATGCAGAGTATCAGTCGGAGAGCATTTCGATCTCTGAGCTGAAGAACGGAGGGATTCTTGCAGGAGACATTGCAAAGCTGCTTGAGGCTGGATTCACGACGGTTGAATCGTTGGCGTTTGCACCGAAGAGACAGCTGCTGTCGATTAAGGGGTTTTCAGATGTAAAGGTGGACAAGCTGATCAAGGAGGCAGCAAGGCTAGTTCCCATGGGGTTTACAACTGCTTCTGAGTATCACCAGAGGAGATCTGAGCTTGTGTATCTGACGACTGGGTCTTCGGAGGTTGACAAGCTGATGAATGGAGGGTTTGAGTCAGGAAGCATAACTGAGATATTTGGGGAGTTTAGAACAGGAAAGACACAGATATGCCATACACTTGCCGTGACGTGCCAACTGCCGGTGGAGCAAGGAGGAGCAGGAGGAAAGGCAATGTACATAGACACCGAAGGAACGTTCCGATCTGAAAGGCTGTTTCCAATTGCAGAGCGGTTTGGATTGGACCCAAACGAAGTGCTGGATAACATATCGTATGCGCGTGCATACAACTCTGACCACCAGTCCCAGCTTCTGATCAAGGCATCTGCAATGATGTCTGAGTCGAAGTATGCCGTCCTGATAGTTGACTCTGCAACAGCACTATACAGAACGGACTTTAGTGGCAGGGGAGAGCTTGGAGCAAGACAGCTACATCTTGCAAAGTATCTTCGCAGCCTTGTGAACCTTGCAGAGACGTTCCGTGTGGCCGTTGTCATTACAAATCAGGTTGTATCGAATGTCGATGGAGCAGCAGCAATGTTTGCAGGCGACATGAAGAAGCCGATTGGAGGAAACATAATGGCTCATGCAAGTACCACCAGGCTGTACCTACGCAAAGGACGAGGAGAAACAAGAATATGCAAGATATACAACTCGCCTTGCTGCCCAGAAAACGAAGCCACGTTTACAATTGCTCCCGAAGGTGTGACTGACACAGATGATTAAAGCCGAGGAGTTATGCAGCGCAACCCAATAAAGCAGTTCAAAATACTTGTTGAAGTTTTTATTCTTTTGGAATGTCATGCATAGTGTCACACTCTTTGCAGATGATCCACGAGCTATGCTACTTACTATGCATTCTGTAAGCACAACAACATAATCTGCTGTGCTTTGCAGGCAATATCTACGAAAGAAGGACTGCATTCACACACCCGTCGTTTTCCGGTTTATTCGTTATCTGAGCATACTTTCCCCAAATGATCTTGCCTGCTCCATTGACTAGGCCAAGAGGACTTACATCGACCTCCACAATCGTCCCTTTCGTCAAAATGCCAAGCCCTGTATACACTTCCGAGTGTGGATTGCTCTTTACTCCAAGTATCTTCAGGTTGAATGTGGAGTTCAGCTCCTGGTAGTTCACATGTGCCGTTTTGAATCTCATTGCCATGGGCCTTATGAATCGTTCATACTTCGGCGGCTTCCTCGTGAAACCGTCCCCAACAAAGCATGGCTTTGTAACCATCCTCTTCCAATGCTTCGAATTACGCTTTCCACTTGCAACAACCCCAAACACCTCCTTCTCAGGAAGTGCGTGCACTTTTGGTATCGGGACCGAGTACTTCGATCCCTTTTCCTGGCGCTGCTGCTTGATCTTGTCATTGATGCTCCTCGCCTTTTCATTCATTTCTCTGTCCAACAAGAAATGTGGTAGCGGCTCGTACTCTGCCTTGGCCTCCACACTCTTCTGCTTCGATGCCTTCATCTTCAGATCCTTCTTCAGCTGGATTTTCTCTGCATGCTGCTTCTTTGCAAACATCTTCGCCTTCAGCCCAATCAACGTTCTCGCCTTCTTTTGAACGCTCTTCTCCTCCCTTCTGCCTTTCTTGTACTTCTTCAGCTCGTAGTCAAGCCGCCTGCCGTGCTTCTTCATGTATTTTTCAACAAAGTCATTCTGCGGCATCCATAGGGGCAAAAAATAGGCATTTGTATGCAACATCTCCTCAGCATGCATAGCAGCAGCACTTACTCTGTGCACATGGCTGTACACATGCTGCAAAAATGCATACTCAATTTAATCAAAGCATACCTTTCCATCTGCACATACTTTCACTGCTGCACTCATTGAATGTTTTGTGTAGTATTTCCAGTCGTGCAGACCCCGAGCCATGCACATTCAGGCATGGGCCGTGTATTTTCCAGAGGAGGAGCTAACGGCATTCAACGAGCTTGTTCAGATTGTGGCAGACACAAAAGAGAAGCTGAAGCCTATGCTCTCTCAGCAGAACATTGAAGACATTGCTGGATCAAAGGTGTACGAGCTATCCATACAGACGCTGGAGATGCTTGTGCCCAAAGAGCATCTTGACTCAGATGCAGGAAGCATGCTTTCATGCATATGCTGTGCGCTTTCTGAGATTTTGTACGATGCAGGGCATTTATGCATTAAGGTGCATGCCAGGATAACAACATTCCGGTATCAGAGCAGATTTGTGGATGTAGATGGTACAAGCCTTGGAAAGCTTGTGTTCATATCTGGAACTGTTTGCAGAGTGGGATTCCGAAGGATTGTGTGCATTAAGATGGAGTTTGAGTGTACGAAGTGTGGGGAGGTGCTGACAGTGAGCATGAAAGACAACATCTTTAGGCCACCTAGGGGATGCAAGGCGATGTGCAATTCGAAGGTATTTGTGCCATTGAAAGCAACGCCTGGAATGCATTGCATGGACACACAAGACATCAAGATACAGGAGCTTTATGGAGGAGAGGGAGATGCTGGCAATAGAATGCCCAGAATGATGGAATGCATACTCAATGACGATTTTGTAGGTACAATGGCGCCTGGAGACATAGTGCAGGTTGTTGGTGTTCTTGGAGTTGAGCTTGAGAGCGAGAGTCTATACAAGCTGGTTATAAGGGTCAACAACATTCAGATAGTGAAGAATAAAGGGCTGTTTGTTGAAAGCTTGGAGTGCCAGGGAGCAGACTTTATGGAATTTAGAAGAATAGCAAAGAGCGAAGGGATACTGAATCTGTTTATTGAAGGCTTCTACTCGACGGTTTATGGCAACGAGCTGATCAAAGCAGGGCTGGTGCTTGCGCTTTTTGGAGGGACACGGAAAAGCATAAGGCAACACTTGGTGCGATCTGAAATACATGTGCTGATAATCGGAGATCCTGGGCTTGGAAAGAGTAGGCTGCTTCTGAGCACATGTGTGGCTCTTCCGAAAAGCAGTTATGTCAGTGGTAGCTTTGCAACGGCAGCAGGATTGACGGTGTCACTGACACATGACCCGATTTCTGGGGAGTATATGGCTGATGCCGGGGCACTTGTTGTTACTGACAATGGAGTATGCTGCTTGGACGAGTTTGACAAGATAGACGACCATGCGGTCCTGTTTGAGGCGATGGAAGACCAGAGGGTCAGTGTTGCAAAGGGAGGCGTGATATGCAGTATCCCTACGAGGAGCACGGTGGTAGCAGCAACGAATCCCAGGCATGGGCATTTTGACCGAACGAAGGGGATGGAGGAGAATGTAAGGTTTGACAGTGGATTGCTTTCGAGGTTTGACTTGGTTTTTGTTCTTTTGGACGACCTGGCCGAGGACGAGTGCCAGGGAATATCAACAAGGATTCTCAGGAAGAGGCAGGGAGCAAATGTGCCTGAGGAGCATATTGATGAGCTAGTTAAGTCGATCAGAAGCGATGTATTTATTGAGGATCTGAAGAGGAAAGGGAACGATGTGTATGCATGCGATGCATTGAGGAAGTACATACTGTATGCAAGAGGAAATGTGTTTCCGACGCTTAGCAAATCTGCAAAGGATGCTTTGAAGGAGTATTATTTGGAAATAAGAAAGGAGTTTGGGGCGGGTACAAGGGATCTTGAGGCGTTGGTGAGGCTTACCGAGGCGAGGGCAAAGATGGAGCTAAGGAGCATAGCCACGAAGGCGGATGCGATGTTTAGTGTGGAGCTGTACAGAAGAGCAAAGTCTTACAAGAAGAAGATGGCAGTGGATAGGAGAAAAAGCAAAGACTTCAACGAGATGCTCAGGGAGTATAAGCATAAGAGTGGAGATGGACTGATCAGCAGGGAGATACTTTGCGAGATGGTAAGTGGATTTGATTGCGAAAAGAATGCGGAGGAGTTTATAGAGATGCTGAATCACAATGGTGCACTGATCAGGAAAGGAAAGGATATGTACAAGATATTAATCTGACGATGCAAGGAGGTGTATTTAGATATGTGTGCAAGGAAGAGATGCTGTTGTGCTTTGAGAAGGTAGAACGAGGTGTGCTGAACTACAGGGCGACGAAGGAGATCTGATCGAAGGATGTTTATGGAAATTTTTGTTAGCCCTTTATGGAGCGGGAGATCAGAAACATAGAGAAGAGTGATGGGATCCGACTGACATGGAATGGGTGGCCAGTAAGAGGGGATATGATGGGTAAGGTTCCGTTGGTTTGTATGTACAATATCCATCAAGAAGCCGGGGTTCTTGAGTGTGAGCCTATATACTGTATGAGTTGTGGGAGTGTTTTGAATCCGTACTGTAGTATTGACTTTGCAAGGCAAAGTTGGAACTGTGTGATATGCAAAGGAAACACGACGTTTCCAAGCCATGCACGAGGGATATCGCCTGAAAATCTGCTGCCTGAGCTATTAGGACACAACTCGACGGTTGAGTATGTGCTGAGTAGGGAGAGTGTGTTTCCTGGTGTTTTTTTGTTTATTGTTGATACATGCACGTTTGATGATGAAAGGCATGCGCTGCTTATTGATGCGCTGAGGACAGTGATGGAAGGGATACCTGGCGATTGTTTTGTTGGGTTTATCAAGTATGGGACGAATGTGGAGCTGCTTGAGCTGAGTGGAGAGAGGCCCAGAAGAGTGCATCTGTTTTCTGGGAAGAAGGAGTATACGGCGGAGGTAGTAAAGCTGTTGAATATGCCTGGGAAGCCTGAGAGTATGCATGAAGGGAAGTTTATTAGAAGGAAGTCTGAGTGCAGTGAGTTTTTGTATGAAGTGATAGATGGGCTTGAGAGGGATCCGTTTCCAGTGTTGAATGCATATAAGCCGGTGAGGTGTACGGGATCTGCAGTGTCATTGGGGGTTTCATTGATGGAGGGATGTTTTCCAAACATGGGGGTAAAGCACATGCTGTTTACGCAGGGGCCGTGTACTTTTGGGCCAGGGACTGTCACGTCGATAAGATACAAGGTGAAGGGAAGAGGAGATGAGTCTGTGGAGAGCGACTCTGTCTATGCATCGTCATCCAAGAAGTTCTACGAGGGGCTTGGCGAAAGGATGAGCAATGTTGGGCACAGCCTTGATATTTTAGCGGCAACTATTGATGATATTGGGATATGCCATATGGAGAGGATGACGGGGATTACAGGAGGCATGCTAATAATGGCACAGGATTTTGACAGGGAGATATATATATCGTCATGCAGGAAGATTATGAGCAGGGACGAGGAAGGGTGGCTAGAGCAGGGGTTTAATGCAAAGCTGCAGGTGAAAACAAGCAAGAATCTTGAGTATAAGGGGGTGATTGGCCAGGGAAAGATGGTTGGAGGGAACTGGAGGATGGGAAGCATGTTCCGTACAAGCAACATATCTGTGCTGTTGGATAGGAAATCGGATACAAAGTCTGAGATAAAGAGTGGGGAGTTTGGGTATGTGCAGCTAATTACGCAATATCAGAGGAGTGACAGGAAGCTGCTAGTGCGTGTGACGACGTTTTCCAGGATGTTTATGGAATTCCGGGAGGATGTGGTATGCAGATTTGATCAGGAGGCAGCAACTGTTTTCCAAGCAAGATTTTTGCTAATGAATAAGCATGAGGAGATAAAGGATTGCGAGCGAATGATTGATAAGAGTCTCATAAGGTTTGTGAAGACGTTTGCTAGGTACGACAAGGGAGATCCAAATACGCTTGTGCTTCCTGATGCAATGGCATACTATCCGAACTTTATGTTTTTTTTCAGAAGGAGCCTACTAGTGCAAACAGAAAACAACTCAGCAGATGAGACAACGTATTACTTCAGTTTACTGTATAACCAGAAGGTGAATGACGCATTGAAGCTGATCAAGCCGACGCTTGTTTCCTATCACTATCAGAGGGGAGTGGAGGCTGTTGAGGTTGATAGCAAGTCCCTTGAGCCGGATGTGATTCTTGTTATGGATACTTTTCATAATGTTGTTGTTTGGAGAGGGGAGTATGTTGCGGAGTGGGTGAATGAGGGGTACCATGAAGAGCCTGAGTATGAGTCGCTTAAGCATGCATTGAACAGAAGTGAGGGGATGGCAAGGGGTTTGTGCAAGTACCGGCTTCCATCTCCTCAGTTCTGTATTACAGAGCATAACAAATCTCAGCAGAGGATTATCCATCACTATGTGAATCCCAGCGGAGGGAGTTCGATTATTACAGAGAACATCAACTATGAGAAGTTTGAGGAGGCGTTGCGAAGGGTAGTTGTTTCGAATAACGAATAAAGAGATTGTGTTTTGTATGTGTGTTGAGGTGTTGATAGCACTGGATTGGAGGGATGAATGGGAAGAATCCCGAGATTGCTGGCGAAGTGGGTGATGAATACGAGTGCATTGAATGTGCACTGGGCGAGATGAAGAGCCGTGATAATTGAATGTACTACAGGTATGTTGAAAAACTGAAATTTTTTTACCCTGTAGATGAGCAAGCAGACAGAGACTGAGGCAAAGGTTGCGGAGATAGTAAAGAAGCAGATTGGAAATAATGGAATCAAGCAAGAGATGTATGAGATGATATCGATACAGACTGTGGTGTGTGATGCAGGAGAGAATGTGTTGGTTGTGAAGGTTCCGAAGGTGATACTAAAAGAAGTGCATATGAGCTATGGAAATGTGGTGAAGGCAATCAAGCAGCAGTTCCATGACTACTTTGTTATGTTTATTAGAAACTTTGAAGCAGAGTGCAAGAATGGCGAGGCAATTAAGCAGGGGTATTCGGAGAGAGAAAGCAACTGGATTGCAAATGCATGTTTTCCGTACCTGCTTACTGGGATACGTACAGATGTGTATAGCATCAACGAGTCTGTTACAAACATTCTTCTTGAGGCCCGAGCTGCGTTTAGCAAGGCTGAGATGGACACTATAGGAGCAGTGCTGAGCGAACTGCTTAAGAAGAGATTTGTTGTTGATGTCAATCACCATACGAAGAATTAAAGTATTTGGAGCTTGAGATGTTTGTCTTGTATTTGTTAGGGCAATTGCCGGGAGGAGTGAAGAAAGCATCATGCTGAACCCTTGGAGATGAATGAAGAGCCAGCGCTGCAAGCAAGAAAACCATGTTTGAAGAAATCAAAAGAGGATGTGGACGGATGGACACATCTGGACCTGAGTTCTCAAGGAATAAGGAATATATCCAAGGCGCTGTTTGATCTTACGTTTATTCGAACGCTGAATCTGATGGGCAACGAAATAGAAGTGGTTCCGAAGGAGATATGGAAACTAAAGAATCTTGAGTCGTTGAATCTCAGCAAGAACAAGATCAGATGCATTCCTGTGGAAATGGGCAAGATGGTGAACCTGAGGGAGTTGGATCTTAGTGACAATCTGATTTCGAATGTGCCGATGGAGATAGGCACGCTATACAATCTTGAGGTTTTTGAGATGTCGAACAATCCGTTGATAGTGCCTTTCAGTACGCTTGCTAAGGAGAAGAAGTTATTGGCGTTCTGTAGGGAGCACAACACAGGATATTCGTCACCAAGCGATAGGTCATGGATGGAGTGTTCCAGTAGGAATGCCTTGCATGGGGATACCGTCAGTGTTGGGGTTTTTAACATTCTTTCGAATGTGTATGCATCTAGGCTTACGTATGCACCGTCATGGGTGATCAATCCTGAGTTCAGACGAGAGGGTGTTCTGCAGGAGATTGTGCTGTACAATGTGGACATACTGTGCTTGCAAGAGATTGAGCTGTACAGCTTTTTTGACTTCTACAAGGAGCAGCTTGAGATGAGATGCAGCTATGATTCAATTATATATCCGCGAGGAAGAGTAAAGAATGTTGCTGAGAAGAAGAGCGTCGATGGATGCGCAATATTCTGGAGGCGAAGCAAGTTCCGGCTGATTGCGCAGTTTCCGATTGACTTCTACCAAAAAATGGCACAGGATGCTAAGTTTGAAGAAAACCGAATGCTTCTTGACAGGTACGGAAAGAAGGATAATGTTGCAATTGCTGCGCTTTTAGAGAAGACAAACGGGCAGCAGGTGCTGGTTGTGAATACGCACATATTCTGGGATCCTGAGTATCCAGACATTAAGCTGTTGCAGACGATACTGCTGATAGAGGAGATCCAAAGGATCAAATCAAGGTATCCAAATGCATTTGTAATTATGCAGGGCGATTTTAACTCTCTTAGGTGCTCATCTGTGTACAAATCTGTAACAACTCAGCAAATCGATACTGCTGACTTTGGAGACATGAAATGCTACCAAGATATATGCAAGGATGCTACGGGCTTAGGCATGAAAGATGCATATGCGAGCCAAGATCTGGAGTTTACGAACTTTACTCCTCAGTTTAAGGATGTAATAGACTATATATTCTATGGCGATGGGTTGACATTAACATCCGTGTTGTCGCCCGTGGACAACGAATATACAGAAAAGGTTGTGGGCCTTCCAAGCATTCACTTTCCTTCGGATCACGTTTTCCTAGGTGCAAAGCTTGCATTCCCAAATAAGATGTCTGTATCAAGCATGTTTAATAAGTCCCTGGCAAAGTAGCTGGGCACACTACAAGTACTGTAACAAATGATAATAAACCATTAGTATTTGAATGCATCGCCAGTTACAAAAAGTGCATAGATATTACCCCTGAGAACATGATGATTAAAGTTATCCCTGGCTGATGCTACTGATGAATTCTTTGTTCTGATTCTCCTTGATTATTGTTAATGTATTGTTCAACTGCTGAAGTATGGGGATTGTGTGTTCGTGTCCGCCATTGTCCTTATTTTTATTCTCTTGAATTCAGATTGCTCTGCTATGCTCATTGCTTGTTTTTTAACGATAGGCATGAAATGCCTCTTGAGTTTGATTGTTTTTGTACCGTGTATTAGGCTCAAAACTGATCTTTGGGTGTTTCTATCTGTGCCGTGTGTGCTTTTACCTCCTTCGGCTGTACACTCGTCTTCTTCAAAAGAGCCCAAAAACAACAGGTTTTCATTTGTGTCGTGCAAATGCCTCCTCCTTCCTAGGACGGGATCATAAACAACCTGATGCAGAAAGGTCTTTTTTGCACGTGCAAAGTCATCTAAGTATGTGCTAGAAACAGGCTTCTTGCTCCGTAGATGCTCAACCACCCTTTCGACTGTTTTCTCTCTGGAAAGTAGCTTATGGGCAGTCACCACGCCAACTCCCTGCACAGAACTCAGGTAGTCACACCCACTTAGGATTGCAATGTCAAGTATATTTTCTTTGAATTGCCTGTCCTTTGCTTGCTCAAGACATACTCTGTTGAACTCGTAAACAAACGCACCATCAAATTTATAGAGCACATTTTCAGATCCATATGCAATCAAGTCGCTATCCTCTGTCATTATGTAATCTACATATCCTATTTTCTGTAGATAGCAGAGCTGCGCATCAGATTCATAGGGAGAAATGATATACTCCACATTTATCCTCTCTAGCATACTTGTGATGTCCAATACGATCTCCTTAGTAACCGAAATGCACTGCCTCATGCATGCCTTTGCTTTAGTCGGGTTGTTCTTCATCAGCCATATTTCCGCCTCCTTTCTGCTGTGCTCCTTCTTTACTTTTCTTCTCATGTTGGTCTCCTCTTTGCTCAGCAGGCTGTCTCCATCAAGCACAACCACCGGCGTTATCCCCTGCTTCTCAAGATGCCTGATCTTCGCCTCAAACAGGCTTATGTGCTGTCTTGTGGGGATCTTGAAAAACAGCTCTTCAGCAACACATGGAAGAACTTGATACATCCATCCGTGCCCATCTATCCCCACTCTGTGCGACCTATAGCTAGATATGTGCTTCTTCACTAGCTTTGGCAAAACTATAGGAAGCAGGCCAGATATTCCCATACAGGGAGTGTGTCTCACAAAAATCAAAATGGCGCCAAATCTTTTATTAATCCTGAGCACTTATTTCCTAAGATGATCCTCATATACTGTCTGGAGTCCTCCATACTTCTCCTTCAGCCTTGAGTTGATGATTCGCAGCCTGTTGAAAACACTTCCAGGCTTCGACCCCATTATCAGCCTACAAACAGCATCTTTTGCAATCCTGATGTCCTCCACCACTCCAAGAAGATGCACATTCTGATCCTTTACAAGCACCTTTGCCTTGCTAAACTCCTCGATTGCGCCTTTTGTCTTTCCCTCTCGCCCTATGATCCTTCCAATCGCTCTTTCTGCATGAAGACCTCTGAGCGTCTTTACCTCTGAAATCTCAAGATGGTCCAGAAACACATCATTGAACTTGAGGATTGCCATGGAGTCTTCGATTGAAAACCCCAGATTGATCGCTTTAATGTACTGCACTGATCTTTCCAAGTACGACGGGTCTTCGGTATGCTCGCATGTTCTCATCTCTATTGTTCGTGCCTTGATATTCATACGGATCTGAATCTTGCATATCTCAACTATTGGCGTGTATATCTTCATCCACTCATCCTTGATGCTCTTCATCTTTCCCATCCGGATCGGCACCGACCTGCTCTGGACATCCATCATGGGCGATGCATGCGTACGATTAATTGGCCCAAGCATCCGCTTCATATTTCATTCTCAATCTCACTAAAAAACCAGGCATACGGACTGCTGGGATTCTCAGCCAATGCATCAATTGCATTGCTAGCATCTTTGCTGTTGGCATTTATACCATTCTCAGCTGTGCCATTAGCAGCTACATTACTACTAATTCCATTACTGCTTGCAATATTGTGTGCATCAATGGAATCGCTCTGGCTTTCAATATGAATGCATGGTTCTTGACTGCTTTCCATTGCCGAGTGCACAGCAGACACTTCCTTCTTCATACTCATTGCAATCGCCCTGATATCAGCTTTCATCTCCTGCATCTCATGCAGTATCTTTGAATACGAGACGACCACTGCACTTATCAGCTCAATGTCCATTTGTATGCATCAACACACTCTGGATTAAACCATTATGCAGAATGCACTCCAACATATGCTGATATACACATCGGCATTCATATTTCTATATCCAATCATGCAGCATCGATTGAATATCGTGCAATCACTTTGACTTTGTGTGCACTGCTGCTTCTACGCACCACTGCGCTCTGCTCATTCCTCTATCTTCCATTAATGGTGTTGCTCATATGACAAATTCCAAAACCATAAATACCTTTATCTAGCAGAATCTCAATGAACACAGAAAGACCAGAAGAAGAAAACATGCTACCCAAGGCAACTGTGGACAGGATGGTTGCATCAATCCTTCCAAAAAGCTCGATTGTTCCAAAGGAATCAAAAGAGATGTTTCAGAACGGATGCATCTGCTTCCTGAACATGTTGACACTGGAGGCAAACAAAGTCTGTGAGGAGGAGAAGAAAAAAACCATGAGCCATGAGCACATCTACAAGGCATTGAAAAACCTTGGGTTTGAAAGCTACATTGAAGAATGCATAAAGGAGCATCGGAACTATGAAAACTATATCAAGCAGAAGCCTTCAAAGATTGACAAGCTCAAGGATTCAGGCTTGAGCATGGAGGAGCTGCATGACCAGCAGGAAAAGCTCTTCAAAATTGCAAAGATCGAGCTTGCAAAGTCGTTTGAGGATGATCCGTGTAATGACAGCAACGGCAGCGAGAGGGAGGATGATATCGAATAGAACTGGTGTGGATAATTGCCAAAACACATCTAAATAAACCGGACGAATCACTCAATCAACTTTAATTCTGAATGCTCAGGTTGATTTCAACATGTGGAAAGTTCTTCAAGAATTGGACAACCCTTTCCAGTTGCTTGTGGGTTGCATCCAGCTGGAACTTCCTGAGAAATACAATCATCTTATACCTACTCCATGTCTTTGTGCCCTGGCCAGAGGTATTCCTTAGTGTTGTTATTTTTTTGATCTTCTTTGGAAGAACTACAGCAGGCTGAAGGTTGGTAATGAATGATTTCCCATAGTCATAAAACTCCCTGCATACCCTTTCGATTTGCTTTTCCTCAAGGCTTGCCATGTCGATGTTGACTGTCATTGCGTCTGCCTGATCGGCCACTTCTATGTCCTGTTTCTTAATGATTTCTGTGCTCATGCGAGGGATTGGCTTTGCAATTTTTTTCAACAGGTGCAAGGATCGGGCTGATTGGCTGGTGTGTAGCAGCGTGTTGTTTTTGCACACCCCTCGACAATACATCCTGTGGATGGAGCATTGGGTGATGAATTTCTTGAATATCAACCAGGACCATGTGGATGTGTCTGATTATGAGAGGTTTTTTGTGCACTTCAGGAGGTACTTGAATGAAAATCCTTACAGCCACAGCAAAGTGGCGGGCATTCTTGTGAAGTCGTTAGGAGTGTTCAAGAACAAAGCTCTTCTCTCAATCTCGTACCGTCTTCTTTGCGATGTTGATGCGAAGATACGCATCCGGAGTGCCGTGATGCAGAGGCATTTCAGAAACAAGATGCTGAGAAGCCACATGCTGATGCTGATATCGAAGCTGGATATGCGTGTATTTGATCAGAAGCTGAAGAAGCTACTGCATGACCCGTGGTATGAGTGCAGGACGTTTTTTGAGGTGATGAAAGCAAGGAAGGGATGGGTGATGGAGTTTTTGGAGTGCAAGAGCAGAGAGTTGGCTAGGAAGCAGATGCTGGCAATGATACACACAGGAATATTCCATAACCTTGATTACTTTATTACTTACATTGGAGATGCCGACAGAAGCTTGTCGTTTTTAGGGTTTGAGGTATTTAGTTTGTTTACCTCTGGGCTGTATGAAAGTAAGCGAGTGGAAGCTAGCATGGATAGAGATGCAGATGTGGTTTTGCATGAGAGCGAGATGTTTGATGTGAGATGTGGTCGGAAGGGAGTGTGGATATGCCTTAGGCAGCCAATTAAGGCGGGATGCCCGATCAACTTTCTGATGCATTTTATTGAGTTTACAGCAGAAAGGAAGGAAATGCATGAGTGGATTGCAAGAAGAGAAGTGGATGCTGTGGAGAGAGTCGTTAGAAAATATGCCGAATTCGAAGGATGTTTTCGACTTCCTGACGATGTGTGGCTTGTACCTTCAAGAAAATGCCCAGGAAGGCAGGTCTGTGATGAACAGAATGAGGATGTGTGCTTTGAGTATCTTTTTGATGGAAAGTCACACAAAGAGGCTATGGACTGCATTGAGATATAACTGCTGAGTGTGTGCAGTGCAAGATGAAAGCACTGCAATCCAAATGCCCATATGATGGAGTCGGTGGGAGTGGTACTTGTGCGGGAAGGAATCAGAGTGATAGGAAGATCTATTCTGGCCACAGCTTGCGACATCATGTTTAGAGGCCGGATGTCTAAGAAAGAGGCAGAGATGATTCTACGGATTGAGTCAGGCTCGAATCACAGTGAAGTGCAAGAAGTGTTTGCCAGGATGTATAATGCAAATTCGAAGGAAAACAAGGGATCAGCATATCTACAATCGAGGATTCTTGCAGCATACAGTGTCTTAATGGATCAGCCAGTGACCAGTGCTTAAGCATGTATTTATACAAATGCCAGAATGCTATGCAGGTGGATGGCGGAATACAATTTGGAGTAAATTACATGTTTATTAGAGAACTTATGGTATTACCATGGAAGATGAGTTTGTTCAGCTGTGCAGATGCAGATCTGCTATGGGTAGCAGCTATATCTGTTGATGCCCGTGTCTGATGGCATTTTGACTGACTCCAGCGTTGTAGACTTTTGAACAGTAGAGGCGTATCCAAGAACACTGAAGCCTATGACGGAAGCATCCTCGCCGATTTTTGTGCACCACCCGATGATGCTGTCTTTTATGGTGACGTTGTCTCCTATTTCCACGCTGTCAAAGACAGTGCTGTTGACAATTGTCACGTTTCTTCCTATTTTAACATTCTTTCCAATCACCACGTTATTCTCGATCGAGATGTAGTATCCGAGATCCTCAGCTGCATTACTGTTCTGTATGTGCCTGAGATATAGTCCTTGTGCCTTTATGTAATCTGCAGGCTGCCCTATATCCATCCAGAATCCCTTAAGGTCAAACACCTGGAGCTCGTTCTCTGCAGCCATTGCAGGAAACACCTCTCGCTCGATCGAGCACTCCTTCAGCTCTATTCTATCCAGCACAGAGGACTCCAATATGTATATGCCTGCATTTACTCTGCTTGTGAGAGAATCTTTTGGTTTTTCAAGAAACGACTTGACACTTGCTGTGCTTTGCTCAAGAATTATTGCTCCGTACCTGCTTGGATCATCAACATTTGTTGAGAGGATTGTTCCCTGCTTCCCATGCATGCGGTGGAAGGCAAGCATCTCCTGGAGTGGAAACCTGCATATAACATCTGAGTTGAGAACAAAAAACGTGCATCCATCAAGATGCTTTCTGGCAAGTGCCAACGGTCCTGCAGTTCCAAGCGGGTCCTGCTCTTTAGAGTATGTGATGGTGATGCCAAACTCCTCTGAGTAATCCCTCACCTCTTGTATTATGAGTTCTGAGTAGTAGTTTAGTGCCAGGATAATTTCTGTAATGCCTGCTTCTACAAGAGCTTCTATTTGGTGCCGCAGAATCGGCTTGTTTGCGAACGGAACCAGAGGCTTGGGCACAGTGTATGTCAACGGTCGCAGCCTGCTCCCGTATCCTCCAACCAGAATCACCGCCTTTGTTTTTTCCTCAACATGGACCATTCCCTTGCTGTAAACAATTGAAGCATGATTAATATATAAAGCTAATTGCATAGGCACTGCATAAGGTACTCATGAAATTGGCTATCAAATCATGTAATATGCATGCGCATGTGTTTGGCATAGCATACATGCAGAGCCAGAGATACGCCAAAGTGAATGTATGGGTAAATTTTGGTAGTTTGGGCACCCTGATGGACATATACGAGCTTGTCAGAAACAATGAGCATGAGCAAATATGTGCTGTTGAGCATCCCGGGCTTGCACACTTCAGGGCAGTGGCATGCATATTTCTTGGGAGGTATGAAGAGGCACTGAGGCATGCAGAGAAGAATTCTTTTGAGGCAGCATATGCACTATACAAGCTGAAGAAGTACAAGAAGGCGCTTAGGATTCTGAAAGGGATTGATGGCGAAGGAAGCAGAGTTCTTAGCTCACAGTGTATGTTCTTCCTGGGATACTATGGAAGTGCATACAAGATGCTTTCGAAGATAAAGATGGACGACGACGTAGCGGTGAATCTACAGGCAATGAAGTCGATGGCTATTCTAGCAAGCAAGAATATGTATGAGTATGGAAATAGATTCCAGGTAAGGAAGATGGATGATGTCGATGGATTTGGCGATCTGCAAGGATATGGGATGAAGAGTGCAGAAGGACGAGTAGACTTGGTGTTTAATGAGTCATTTGAGTATCTTTTTGACGAGAGGAGGTTCGTTGAGTTTTTGGCGATGCAAGCAGGGAAGGCAGAGATGAAAGGAACGATAGTAGAGGAGCAGCTGAAGAATGTGCGTGGGCAGGAAGTGTGCATGCCCGTGCTATCTAAGAGTCAAAAGGAGACTGTGGAGTATAACAAAGGGGTGATTGATGCGATTTCTGTGCCGATGCATTTCCAAAAGAACTTTGCCAGGTGTGATGGCTTGGAGAAGAAACGGAAGAGCAATGAATGCACATGGATTGATATGGTTTACAGTAAGGATGTGAAAGGCGAGTACAGGATGAATGAAGATGTAAGCATTGCAAAGATACCTGTTTTTTCTGCAAAGATGGCGCTGTTAAGGATTCTTGTGATGTGGAAGAATAAGAAAAGTAACAGAAGAATGGTAAGCGAGATGAAGAGGCTACCCGAGGAAATTGCAGGCAAGTATCTTAGTGTATTTGAGCCAGGGAAGGTGATCGATAAGAATACATATGCCAGGATATCGAAGGAACTGATGAATTAAACATTATCTGAGGATTTGGTTATTTGTACTGTACTATTTGCTGGCAGTGAAGTTTTTGGTGGATTGACAGTTTTGGCGAAGACCCTTAATGCCTATTGCAGCACATTGCGAAAAAGGATTAAGCTTTGATGTGTTCAAAAGAGATGCGCCATGGATTGAATGCGATTGTTATTGCATAGAGTCAAGCAAGGTGGCATGGAGCAGTGGGAACAGTGTAAAGTACTATGACTTGAAGAAGCATGAAATGATTTTTGAGATGGATGTGGATATGCCGAGGGAGATTAAGATATCTGAAGATGGAGAGAATGTAGGCATACTAGCCAGCAAAGGAGATCTTGTGCTTTTTGGATGCCACGGGGTCAAGATGAAGGCATTTGGCGTAAGCAAGTTCAGGCTTTCGAATGATATTTTGGCGTATGCATCAAATGGATCTTTCCTAATCCATAAGATTGGAGAAGGAGCAAGTAAGGAGGCATTCCACAACTCAAAGGTATCTCTGCTTGACTTTTATATCAGTGGGGAGTATGTATTTCTTGCTACAAAGAAGTTGGAGAAAGATGGATGCCATAAGATTCTGAGGATCGGAGAGAATGTGCTTGATGTTCTATACAGCCTTCCGGTGCTTCAAGGATTTTCGTTGAAGTCGAGTAGGACGAAGGAGCAGATGCTGTTTCTACTGATGACGTCGTATGTGAACAACAGCTACTTTCCTGAGTCTGATTTGTTTTTGTATGACGGAGGCAGGAACAGATTTGCGAGCCTTGGATATGCAGATGTTCACTCTTATGTTTTTCTGTCTGATGGGTTTGCAGTGTGCCACGGATCTCAGCCAAGCGATGTGTGTGTGCATGAGCTTGATGGAAGATTGAAATACAAGTTTCCGGAGGGAGTGCGGAACAGGATGTTTTTTAACCACCACGAGAACCTGGTGGTTTTTGCAGGGTTTGACAACCTGTCTGGAGACATTGAGGTGTTCTGTGTTTCATCACGAAGGCTGATATCGAAGTTCAATGTTCTGGGCGCGTCAGTAGTGAACTGGAGCGAGAATGGATCGTATTTTTATGTATCGACGACGAGCTACTTCCAAGAGGATAACCGGACCACTCTGTATGATTATTTTGGAAGGATTATTGATGAGAGGAGCTTTGATGCGCTGATTTCTGTGAGTATGTATGGTGATGCAGAAGTGTTTGTGAAGCTAACCCAGCCAAGTAAATTGGCGATTGAGGTTGAAAAGAAGTATGTTCCGCCGTCGATTCATGAATTTAGAAGCAAAGGGGCAGCAAGGGAAACGAGAGATAGGAGGGATCCAAGAAAAAGGGATTCCCACGACGCAAAGAATGTGCCAAGAAGCATCGCGAAGCCAAAGGAATGCACCAAGGAAAGCATTTTGAATGATCTTGATGAGATTATGTGTCTTAAAGCGAAGATGAAGAATGGGGAGGAGCTATCGACAAAGGAGTTGAACTTGATATTGAAGGAGGCGAAGCTAAGGAGTGATTTGAAGAAGATTCAAGAATGAGGAGGTAAATATAAATGATGGGAATGCAAGAGATAGCTGTGTGATTGTTATAGGGAATTGCATTAAATTTGTGTTTCTATTGGGTTTTGGTGTCTGTTGGGGAATGAAAGCTGCATACAGAATGCGTGTGCATGTTAGTAAGGTCACGTATTTATGAGTGCTCTTGAGTGTGATTGTATTGCAGATAATTGATAATATGCATGGCCGATGTGGGAACGGAAACAGCATCTGTTTTTTTTTAATTTTTGACGAGGGTGGCCAGATGAGTGAAGAAAGGGCAGATTTGGACAAGATAATAGAAAAGCTTCTTGCTGTGCGGAATAGCAAGTTGGGGAGGCTTGTGCATCTGTCTGAGGCAGAGATAAAGTACCTATGCGAGCGATCTATTGGTGTGTTCAAGCAACAGCCAACACTAATTGAGGTGAAGGCACCGATCAAAATTTGCGGAGACGTGCACGGGCAGTACTATGATCTATTGAAGCTGTTTGAGCACGGAGGGTATCCGCCCGAAAGCAGCTACTTGTTTCTCGGGGACTATGTTGACCGTGGAAAGCAGTCGCTGGAGACGATTTGCCTTCTGCTCGCATACAAGATAAAGTATCCGCACAACTTTTTCCTACTGCGTGGAAATCATGAGTGTGCCAGCATCAACAGGATATATGGGTTTTATGATGAGTGTAAGAGACGGTATGACACGACTATATGGAAGATGTTTACCGAGTGCTTCAACTGGATTCCGATATGTGCGCTTATTGATGGAAGGATACTGTGTATGCATGGAGGAATATCGCCGGACTTGAAGAGCATGGACCAGATACGTGCGATAGGAAGGCCCACAGACATTCCTGACGAAGGATTGCTGTGTGACTTGCTGTGGAGCGATCCTGATGCAAGCGTAAAGGGATGGGGTGAGAATGATAGAGGAGTATCTGTGACGTTTGGGCCTGATGTTGTTGAGAAGTTTCTTGACATGCACAATCTGGACTTGATATGCAGGGCACACCAGGTTGTGGAGGACGGATATGAGTTTTTTGCGAACAGGTCGTTGGTTACTGTGTTTTCTGCACCGAACTACTGTGGAGAGTTTGAGAATTCAGGAGCAATAATGGACGTGGACAAGGATCTTGTGTGTTCGTTCCAGGTGCTCAAACCCACAGACTTTGCCTGTGGCGATGACGGAAGGAAGAAAAATGCAGGAGGAAGCCGGAAAAGATAAAGTGTATATTGATGTGCAATTGACGAACTCTGTTGGCATTGACTGAGAAGCAAACCTGTGCTTTGTAGTGGCATCTTGAAGATTGAATAAACATTTATTTTTATAGCATGCGCTTTAGATCATGCAGCATGAAATGCTGGCTGAGGCTATTGGACATCGATATGCAAACTGATTGCTGGACTGCTTAATTGTGATTTGCTTGTTTACGCAGATAAGAGATTAATCAAGTGCATTATGTGCTGCCCTTGAAATGCTCGACATCAAGATAGTGCCACAGACAGCCATACGTGTCAAGAAGAGCAAGAAGACATCCACACTGACGATCCAGAACAATTCGATGGAAAGCATGGGCTATAAAATCAAGACGACAAGGCCGAGAGACTACATTGTAAGGCCAAACATGGGCTTGATCATGCCGATGCAATATGCAGAGGTCGAAGTGACGTTGTCTGAAGGTACGATGCCAGATAGCGATCACAAGTTCCTAGTAGAAGTCCACAGATTTGATTGGAGACGATCGCTCAATGATTTCAAACAGTATCTTAGAGCCTCGTCGCCAAAGCCATGCTGGACATCAAGGATAGGGATAATGTACGAAGAGGAAGAGGCGAATGCTTGCACCATTAAGCTTAAGGGAGACAGAGGAGTGGTAAGTTTGGCAATACAAACATGCTTTGTAATAGGCATTCTCTGTTTATTTTATAGATTTTTTGAGTAAAGCTATTAAACTTTTTAAATATCAACAGCAGAACTGGCACATACACATGTACACATGCTTGCTTCAGAAAACGTCGGCTTGTGTTTTAGATATTTTATTATTCAATGGCATCCTTCTATAAACGGATGCACGCACTGTCAAAGCTGTGCCACACTCTTTGGCAGATAGTATGATTATTCTGTGCTATAGAACATGCGGAGTGCCCATGCACACCAGCACTATGCTTCGCCCCAAGCACACCACCGATTCTCCATACACCCACTCTCCGCATTTCTTCAATACACAGTTTCCAACCTCATCAAATGAAGCAAGCCTACCAGTCAGTGACTTTCCGTCGATAAACGTCAGTGTTATTTTCTTTCCCTTGAACCGTCCCAAATCATTGAGCAGCTGAATCCTTTTGTTCTTATCCTTATGGTTCATCAGGGTCCACACATCTTTCAAATTAACCTGCAAATATTTCCTGTGCCTTACGCCCATGCCATTAGAGCACCACTCATCAGAAACAATTGTAATACAGACTGTTCTCCTGGTCAAATCCCTTCTTGTGGTCAACAACAACTTCCTTTGGCCTGTCATTCATGACAAGACTTCTGATCTGCAAATTGACCTTTTTAAGCCTATTGAGCAATGTTGTGTGGAATTCCCCAGACATTCTCTTTATGATGTTCTCCTGCTCCTCAAAAAGCTTCCTAAGATCACTTTTCGTGTTGGCATCCACAATATGATAAAATTTCTTGATTGAAACGTCATTCAGGACAGGCTCAGGCGACCGGACAAACTCATCTGCTGAATTCAGTGACTCAAAAACAACAATGTATCTGTCAGACGCCATTTTCCTGCACCCAATTACCTTTCCATATCTCGTTGCATACGCCTTGAGATCATCTACGCTATGCCTCCCCTCGTTGATCTTGCTTACAATCACTTCTATGCACTCCGAAGCCTTTCTTCTTTTAGTTCCTTCCTTACCATCGCTTTCTGAATTTCTTCTTTGGCTTCTATGAATGTTACTACCTGCTTGTGCAGATGTGCCTTCATCGTGCAAGGAAGCACGCTTCTTTGACATTAGCATTGTTTCATCTTTGCAGTCTCCTCTTATGTATCCGATAATTCGCTCCACAAGCATCTTTGCCTTTTCATCAACAACTGGTGCTAGAATATCCAACAACTCACTCGATGCGTTCTCATACGACAACGTTGACGACACTCCTTCCAGAACATCTATCACCACGCCAGCTTTCTCTCCAACCTCATCCTGGATCATCTCTTTCAGCTCGGTCGGCAACGGCATCGGAACAATGCATGGCTGCCTACGTAGATTTCTTCTATCATTCTGCATGGGCATCTTGACTTTCAGGGGTAGCAGTTCGTTGCAAATCCATTTATACCAAAATGATTTGCTCAATGCCTTCACAAGCTCTTCAGCGCATATGCATCTCTGCCATGCTTGCATCTCCATCACAATAGAAATATATGTCGAAGTATACACAAATAGGCATAATCACCGGCATGCATTTGTATCTTATTGGATTTACTGTATGTACAAGCACACCCATACAAACTACAGCAGTGCCATCCACATCCATAAAGCAATTCAGCGGTATGGATCCCCTGAATGAACAGTAAATCATTGCTCAGGATGAAGCTGAGGCCTGACGAAATATCAAACATGAAAAGCCACCAATTTGTAGGAATAGACAATTCTATTCTATCGAAGTATGTCATAAGACATTACACAAGATGGCTTGTCAACAAGATACCTGCATCGATTGCGCCAAACATGCTTACACTGATAGGATTTGCAATGATGGGACTAAGTCTAGGGCTTACACTGATGTTTGATCCATATCTGAACAATGCACCGAGATTTCTAGCATTTGCAAATTTTTTATTGATGCTTGGATACTTCACATGCGACAACCTGGATGGAGCACAGGCTCGGAGAACAGGGTCTGGGTCTCCGCTAGGACAGCTGTTTGACCATGGGGTGGATTCATTCAGCGCACTTATTTCAAGCATAGCGCTGTCGTCCTCGCTTGGGCTTGGAATATCACAGAACTTCTTGGTGCTGCTATTGGCAATAATGATACAATTCTACATTGTAGGGCTTGAGGAGAAGTTTACAGGGCAGTTTGTGCTTGGAAAAATCAACGGTGCATCAGAAGGAATTGCACTTGCATTGCTTCTGCATTTGACTTCGTTTGTATTTGGGCAGAGAGTTTTCCAAATCATGTTTTCTGATGTTTTTCTACAGTCCATCAAGAAGGTGTACATGACTGTGTTTAGAGCAGAGAGCTTCCAGGCGGTTTCTGTGGTAATGATGACGATCCTGATATTCAACTTTTTTTCGACATTGTATTCGATTGAGTCGAAGATGAAGCCGCAGAGACGGATTCTTCTGTATGCGACGCTCACTAGAGTTATTGTGTTTGCTGCGTCTTTTATTGTGCTGTTCAACATACTCCGTTCAGAAGGCCTGCGGATGCAGTACCTGAACATTCTGATGTTTGGAGAGGTGTTTTCGATGAAATATATTTGCGAGGTGTATTCGTATGTTGTAAAAAGAGAGTGCATGATGTACATGCCGGTGTATGCGATGTATGTGGGAATGTGTATGGCTTTTGCAGGGAGGCTGATTGGTGTCTATAAGGAGTTGGTGCTAGTGACGATGTTTGGCTTGTGCTCGGTTTATTGCGGAGTAAGTGTTTGCAGGATTGTTGCAACGATGACTGACGCACTGGGGATTGAATTTCTTACGATTGCCCCGAAGAGCAAGAAAGAGTGATAAGCTGGTGTAGCGATGAATAAATGTGGGTTATTCTAGGTTTTGTAGAGATGATGCATGAATTACAGGAGTTTATGCCATGAAGGCCTTGATGAAGAAACGCACGAGCCCCAAATGGGATACTTGTATTCTCAGGAGTGTGTGTGGAACGGTGTGGAAGGATGCTGTGCAGGGCTTTTTGTACCGGAAGTAGAATCTCTGGTGACTTACAACAGGAACACAATCAAGCTCTGGATATGCAGGGGCGGGCTTTTGCTTGTAAAAGAGCATGTGCTGTTTGAGAGGATATGCCGGATTGAGAAATACGAGATTTGCGATGGGCATGATGGAATAGTGATTCTGTTTGATAAGGCGAAGGTTTGTGTTGCCAGATTTGAGCCTTGCACGAATGCATTTGAGACAGTATCGTTGAAGTTTTTTGAAAGAGACGAGTATGATGCCAGGGAGGAGGACACAAGAAATATGCACGTAGCAATGGATGTGGGGATGGTGCAGATCAGCAAGAGGTACTTTGGGGTATTTGGAGTGAGGCAGGGTGTTTTGAATGCAAGGGCATTCAGGTTTGCAGATGTTGATGCGAAGATCAGGAATCCGGTCGATTTTGTGTTCATAGGCAACTACTCGATGCCTACGGTGTGTCTTGTGTATGAGTCATCGCCCAGGAAGTACACCAGTATAAGAAATCGGAATGCGATGATTTTTTCGATTGATTTGAGCACGAGTGGATTCCATGTTGTGGATGAGTTTGATGTCCCGCCAAAGACATTTAAGGTTGTGTATACGGGAACAGCAATATTGTTTATATCGCATAGCTCGATTATGATAAGAACGCCAAGCAGCTCGTACACGCTTCCTGTGAACAGGATGTCTGAGTGCTATGGAAGCGACCGAATTTTTGAAGAAGCCGTTTTGTTTGAAGTGAACTGTTTTGCAAAGGGAAGTGTGTGCCTGCTTTTGAATGGGAATGGAGACAGGTATAAGCTGAGCATTGATATGGATATGAAACGGATTATAGGTGCGTGTTTGAAGTTTGATGGGAAGGACGCAACGATCAGTGGAGTGTGTGAAGTGAATGGCTTTGTGTTTTTTGGCTCTTTGGTGGATGAGTCAAGGCTGTTTGTGGTGGATGAGCACAGCAGGGATGATAATGAGTTGACAGAAGCTGGTGGCGAAGACGACGAGTATGCAAGACTTTTCAGCACCGAGGCAAACAAGAGATTGAAGGATGATTTTGCACTGGAGCTGATAGATGTTATGCCAAATGTTGGAGGGCTGAATGGAATGGCGGTGAAGAGCAATGGGGAGGTGGTTTTTGCAGTGGAGGGGCTGAAGCCATGCCTGTGCATTGTTAGTGGCACGATTCCGTTTGAGATATTGAAGTCTGCCAAGGTGAGAAGATACAGATGCTGCATGAAGGCAATGGAGTATTATATGCTTTCCAAGGATTGTGAGAGTAAGGTATTTCGATGGGATAGCGAGCTTGTTGAGGTTGAAGGAGAATACGAAAGGCATGTGGCTACGATTGGGTTTGGATGTCTTGGAAGGAATATTATTCAAGCAATGGCGGATTCTTGCTTGCTTCTGGATGGAGATCTCAAGTCAGTCTGTAGGTTTGATTTTGATCGAGCCATTGTTGAAAGCAAGATTGTTTGTGGAGGAAAGGTTCTGGTTACGAGGAATACAAAGCGAACGATGATTTGCTATGATGAAGGAATGAATGTTATGATGAGTGTTTGCGAAGTAGTGTGTTTCTGTGATGTGGGAAGAGTATTGTTTGTTGTATTGGATGCAGGAATAAGTGTTTTTGATTTAGAAAGGCACAGGCGATACATGGCTTGCAAGACGAGAGTGGGTGGAGTTATAAGGATGGTACCTGATGCAGGAGTAACAGAGGATGAACGATGCAAAGAGAATAAAGACACAAGTAGCCATGTAGATGCTGTAGAGACGTTTTGCTCGGATGGCATTGTTGAGATTCATGTTAATCGTACAAAAAGAAAGATGTTGATGCTACTAAGAACAGATAGAGGAGAGATGATAGCATATGAAGCATTTGATGATGAGTGCATGCAGCATGAAACAGCACGGGAAGTTGTTTTCAATAGGGTCATCCTTCCAAAGTGTGTTTTTTTCAAGCTGGATGATAATGAGAAAGGATTCTATGGAGTCGGAGAGATGATTTTTATGAAGTCCACGGTCAATATGTTTCTTATGGCAACAGACAAAGGATATTACATGTACAGAAGTAAGCACTCGCTGAATTCGATATGCATGGATGCAGGGCAGGTGATACATCTTTCGAGGGGGCATTTGGTTGTGATGAATGCACCAAAGCCAGAATGCGAGCAGTATGTGTTTGGGAGTGGATATGTAGGCCGAAAGGTACCGGTGCTGAGAACGCCCAAGTATGTTGAGAATGCAAGAGGATACACGATTGTAGGCGCGTGTGAAGAGGCAGAGTTTCTTGCGGATGAAGACAAGGACTATGGTGTTCCAGTGACAACATTCAGGTTCTATATTGATTTGTATTCTGAGAGATATGAATGCATAAGCACATATGGATTGGATGAGAACGAGCATGTGTTTTATGTGAGGTACTTGACGCTGGATGACAGGCAAGGCAATGATGGAAAGTCCCAGTTTTTAGTAATATGCACAACAATGATAGAAGGAGAAGACAAGCCTGCAAAGGGGAGGCTGCATGTGCTGGAGATCATTTCTGTTGTTCCTGAGCCTGAGAACCCGTTCAAGGACTGCAAGATGAAGGTGCTTGGAATTGAGAAGACCAAAGGATCGATTGTCCAATGCGAAGAGATACGTGGAAAGATAGCGCTGTGCCTTGGAACAAAGATAATGATATACAGAATTGATAGGAGCAAAGGGATCATCCCTGTTGGGTTCTATGATCTGCATATATTTACATCATCAATTTCGGTGGCCAAGAACTACATTCTTGCCTCTGACATATACCGAGGGCTCTCATTCTTTTACCTGCAGTCAAGGCCTATTCGGCTGCACCTGATCAGTTCGAGCGGGCCTCTAAGGAATGCTGTGAGCACGGAGTTTCTTGCAGTGGATGGGGAGCTATCGATGCAGTGCATCGATGACAGGGGAACCATTCACATATATACGTACTCACCAAACAGCATCATAAGCATGGACGGCACAAAGCTTGTGAAGCGAGCGGAGATCACAACCAAGCTTGGAAGATTAGTGTCCAATTCTGTTGGATTCAAGAAAAGCGGGACCATGTTCTATTCAAGAACGAATATTTTGATACACATATGTGCAATGGACGAAGGTAAGTACTCCCGGCTCCTAGAGTTGCAGTCATTGATTTTAAGCCGCTTACCGGTTCTGTTTGGACTCAATCCAAGGGATTACCTCAGTGCAGATATTCATCTACATGAACTGTCTCTTAAAGCTCCCATAGTGCATCATGTTCTGAGCATGTTTGAATGCCTTGATACAAATAATCAGCATGAGGTTTCTAGCTTGATGAATTTGAGCAGGATGGAGGTAATTGAGCAGATTGCATCATTAAATAAGTTTTAAGTATTATTGGGTGGATTGCTGCGATACTACAGGTGTTGCTGATGGAGCACAAAATACAATTTTTTACATCCTGATTTAGATGAAAGTCAAAGCAGAGCCTTGTGTGTTTTTTGTTAAAGGGATGACTGCGGACGAGGAGTATGAGCTGGTGAGCATGCAGGCATCAAGGCCCGCAAAGAAGACAGGAGGAAAGATAGGAGGCAACCGTCTCATTGTGTCTGGAAGCAGACTGTTTGAAGAGACTGTGCTTGGAGCTGCTGACCTTGTATATGTGGATTCTGATGAGGGGATTTTCAATATGCTGATGTGCCTCACACGGCTACCACCGTTTTACAACTTTTTAGTGAATTTTGGCGACAGGTGCCAGGAGAAGACGCAGTGCCCAGTGCTGAGCAGGATACTGAAGTTTTTTGAGTTGCTTAAGAGCAGCAAGCATGCAGATGTGGATGATTTACTGATGACTGCAGATAGCGCGGAGTATGAGGACATCTACACAGAGCTGATGAAGGCGATACATGATGAGATGTGTGGATTGTACAACTTTGAGGAGGATGTGTGGAATACATCGAAAAAGGGGCAGATCGTGAGGTCGAAGATGATATACCCAGAGTACTCACCAATAGTGGAGATGTTCCAAGGAAAGGCGATTGTGCATGGCATGCAGCAGGAGGTGTGGTTTGAGAAGATTGGGCTGTGCATTAATGACTCTGGCAGTGTACAAGATGCATTTGATCTGTTTGTAGAGGGCATGAAGTGGAGTATAACCAAGATGCCGCCTGTATTTGTTGTAGTAGTGAAGGAGATGAGGAAGAATAGTGGCAAGCTGGATATGAACCTGAAAGCTGGTAAGCATCTGTACAGTCTTCGTTCGTTTATAACAAAAAGAAATGGGACGAGCCAGTGCTATGTACTTGGTGAGAGTCTATGGTATAGATATGACAGCAGCGGGGTGAGTGCTTTTTCTAGTATTGGTCGTGATGTGTGCAAGGATGTGTGCATGCTGTTTTATTCAGGATATGAATAGTATTTATGCAGAACGCCAAGATGTACTGGTGTTATTTGAATTGCTTTGAATTCTAATATTTTGCTTGCATATGATTACTGCATAAGCACTCTTGGTATGGGGCTGCAGCTCTTTAAATCAGGAACAGAGTAAACATTAAGCAGCATAGCTGAGGTTATCAATAAAGATTTAATGTGTGCAGGTGGTCTGCTGCTTGTTAGAAGCGCTTTCGAATTCTTCGATTTGGGTAAGTAGCTTATTGCCTATGGCTTCCATTGATTGTAGTTCTTGTGCTATTTTGTCAAGAATGGTGTGAGGCTTCTGTATTTCCTCGTTATTGAATTGGACGGAGAGCCTTGCAACGTTATCTGATGGATGTGGAATGGTGTATCCAACAAGCTCAACATTATTTCCAGAGAAATTTCTGCTTATACACCACCTCAGAGGATTCATCATTGTGTGATCTTCACTGTCTATTTCTATTGTGTGATCATTCACAATTCTGATCCGGGAGCCAGTCTCCATTGAAAGGGCATTTTTATACCATACATATGATATTTGCAATAGCTAGCGATACTTGAGATAGCAGGGCGCCAGCAGCTACTTGTTTGGCATCGGGAAGTTTCTGTTGAACATTCTCATCCTGTCATCTACGCATGGCTTCTTTTTATCGACCCTGTTTGATGTATAGTAGTCTACATTTTTTGTAAGTGGAGCACCTTGTGTCATCTCCAAGTATGCGGTTTCTATCCTGAATATTTCTTTTTCAATAGCAAATATTTCTTTTTTTAATCTTTTTTTCTTTGCAAGCAGGCCACGAAACTTCCGCTTCTCTGCTGTAGTATTTGCGTCATTAGTCATGGTGCGATGGGCATGATATTGCCATGGCCATTTATTGGAATTATTCTGTAGCACTATTACAGCGGCTGATCTATGCTTTTCAGGTAGTTGTAAAATCGAATGTGTGGATGCCCAGATGATTCTTGTGTTCCTTGCATTGATAGCGGCGGACAACATTGAAATAAAAAGAAGCGCATTCGATTTTCTGGAGCTTGGAAGCCAAACAGTAGTGTCTTCAGGAAATGGCTCAGGTGCCGAGTGGGACTGGGTCAAAATATCATTTTCTGGAGATCACAGATATGTTCTTGATGAATATGAGCCAAGGAAGTTCAGGCTGATGGATGCCACTGAGTATGCTGAGGAAGCGGAGCAGATGGTGTTCAGGATTGACTTTGAGAAGAAGTATTATGCAATGATATCTTCTGCATGGGCAATGGTTTTTACAATTGTTGTGATCACAGGATGCATGTTCTTGATGCCGATGAAAGGAGTGTGGTATGGTAAGAAATTCTAGGATGTGGCATGCCTGTTTTTGTTTTTGCACTCCTTGTATTTGGATGCAGGGAGTTGAGAAAGTCAGGAAGGTATATGAAAAGTTTATCAAGAATCTTGGAAGCGGAATACGAGCAGGGGATGAGTCGATAGTAGAAGATGTGGAGGAGATAGAAGCCGCAGTTGAGGACTTTGTGGCAGAGCTCGATGATGAGGAACGGAATGGCAACATAAATGGAGATACTTGAAGCCCTGAAATGTTTAATGGATTTATCGGAGGAGATGACGGAGAGCCAACACCAGATACGTCCGAGACTGTGCAGATATCATCGCTTGCACTGCTGAAGATGCTGAAGCATGGAAGGGCAGGGATTCCTTTGGAGGTGATGGGGTTGATGCTTGGGGAGTTTGTTGATGAGTACACGGTGAAGGTTGTAGATGTGTTTGCAATGCCTCAAAGCGGCACGAATGTGACGGTGGAGTCGGTAGACCCCATATTCCAGATGGAGATGATGGAGATTCTGAGTGCAACGGGAAGGCAGGAGATTGTTGTTGGATGGTACCACAGCCACCCAGGATTTGGATGCTGGCTAAGCACGGTTGACATCAGTACGCAGCAGAGCTTTGAAAAGCTGTGCAAAAGAGCCGTGGCTGTTGTGGTTGATCCGATACAGAGTGTGAAGGGGAAGGTTGTTATTGATGCATTTAGACTGATTGACAACCAGATGGGGGTGCTTGGAGTGGAGCCTCGGCAGGTTACGTCGAATATCGGGCATTTGAAGACGCCTACGCTTATTTCTGTGATACATGGATTGAACAAGCACTATTACTCGTTCAACATAACATGCAGGAAGAACGAGCTTGAGCAAAAGATGCTGCTGAACCTGCATAAGAAGACGTGGGCGGACTGCCTCAAGTTCAGAGAAGTTAAGAATGGGGGAGAAGAGATGCTGAGGCGGATTGAGAGCTATGGAAAGGCATGCGAGGAGGAGAAGATGCTTACAGGAAAGGATATGGATGTAGCGAAGGTCGGGAAGATCGACCATAGAAGACGACTTCTGGAGAAGTGCGAGGAGGATATTATGGAGAACACGATCTTTAGCCTTCTTTATTCCATCCATAGGTATGTGTTTAGTCAATAAAGATTCTGATTTGAATGGAGTGTGTAGATCATGAATGGGCAAATAAGCCTGCCCCTATGATGCGATTTGTGGGGAGTTTAGTGTGTCTTGGAGCATCTGCATTGCTAGCAGTGCTTGAGTTCCACAAAATCGATGCGATCCTGGATGCAGAGAATAAACGGGGATCTTCTTATGATGCAAGCAATCGAGTTGAGAAGCTGTCGAAAACAGAGACAAACATACTCGGTGTACTGCTTGCTATGCAACTCCTGAATCCCGGTATTGTGTCATTAGTCATCGTGTTGCTGTTTGTTTACAAGATTCAGAGAAGAGGGTTCGACTGTACAGTCAGTGCATTGAACTTTTTTCAATTGAAACGCAACCTAAAAGTGGAAGTTGCCTGTAAATTAGTTTTTCATGCATTATTGATGTACAGATACTCAAGAGCATTGCTGAGTGCAATCCACAAGTAACTAGCAGGCAACAAACACAAGACTGTATTAAACTTTTTATTCAATGGCCTTATATTAGTTCAATCCCATTTGCTTAGTTGCTCATATGTATTCTGCTTCTTAGGCTCCTTGGGCAAGATCTTCTGTGTCGATTCTGTTGTCTTGAACATTGATGCAAGCGATGACGAGTTGTCCTTGATTATGTTCTTCATAGACATCATTACGAGGCTTCCATGCTCCACTGTTTTGTTTTTTATCGTCCTTGCTCCTGAAAAAATCACATTTCCCATCGTACTCAATGACGATGTAATTGACTCCTGAAGCGAGCCTGTGCTACTGTTATCTCCAGGCCCATCTTCTCCAGCCCTAACCTTGTAGATCGGATCTGATGCCTTTCTAGACGCCATTACTTCCTTCTTTCCTTCATCGCTCCTAGTCTTTCCACCATCAGGCTTATGCATCATCGAATGCCCCATCTCCTGTGCAACAGATTCCTTGATCTCACTAGCATACTTCCTAACTGCATTGCTGCCATATACCTCTCTCACATCCTTTCCTACAAGCTTATGCCTCTCAACATACTTCTTAAACTTCTCATTCGTTCCATTCTTCATACACAGATACTCCCTCCTGTCCCATCCGTCCAGATTCACACTCTTCACAAAGCTCATCTCCACACCAAGCGATCGATGGATGCTTGCACAATCAAAACATATAAACACCCCGTGCGTCACAGACGCCCAAGGTGGACTAGGCGCCGAGCAATCAACACATCTATTATTTCCTTCCTGCAAGCAAAGCTCCTTCACTTCCTTGTTATAATTGTTACCCATAAACACTTTGTTTTCTCAGGGCTCGTCTATTTTATCATATGTTTCTCATATTATCCTTCGTTTCACCTTCATCAGCTGCTCACACAAACAAACCTGGCTCATGCATCATTTTCTCTTCAGGCACTCAAGTTTCCTTTCTGCCTCCTCTAGCTCAAACTCTCCTTGAATCAGCTCTCTAAGCTTCTCAGCTTCCTCCCTAGCGCCTTCCTTCTTGCAATGATGCTCAATATACTCCCTTGCCATCACCACAAACTCTGCTTTCTTCTTCTTCTTCTCATCTGCCTCACAGAAGTCCTTTCCTTCTTTCACCATCCTCTCTATCTCCTCCACAGTTAATCCACTCGATGGAATTATTTCCAGCGACTGCGGCTCCTTTGTAATCCCATCCTGTGCTGTTACCTTGTATATTCCATTCGCATCAGACTCAAAAGTCACCTCAATCTTCGGTGCACCTTTAGGCATTGCACGAATATTCGTAAGCTTAATCTGCCCAAGATACTTGTTGTCTACTGTCATCATCCTCTCTCCTTGGTACACTCTGATGTCCACCTCCGTCTGGTTGTCCTCAGACGTCGAAAACACCTGTGTCTCCTTGAACGGAATCGTCGTGTTTCTGCTCACCACCTTGCTAAATACGCCTCCAAGAAGCTCAATCCCAAGGCTTAGCGGCACAACATCAAGAAGCAACACATCTTCAACTTCCCCACTCAAAACACCCCCCTGTAGTGCCGCTCCTTTGGCAACAGCCTCATCAGGATTGATGTCGACTGACGGATCAATCCCAAATATCTCCTTCACAACCTTTCTCACATACGGCATTCTCGTCATCCCTCCCACAAGAATAACATGCTTAATGTCAGACCTTTCGATCTTTGCATCAGACAATGCTTTCTTACACGGAAGAATCGTTCTCTCAACAATCTTCTTAACAATCGCCTCCATCTCGTCTCTGAAAAAAACCTTGGATAGATGCACAGGCCCATTCTCTCCAATACATATGTATGGAATGTCCACCCGTGAAACATTAGCTGTTGACAAATCCTTCTTGACCTTCTCAGAGCCTTCCTTTATTCTTGCCATTGCATTAATGTCTTCACTCAGGTCAATCCCCTCCTTCCTCTTGAAGTCCTCAAGAATAACCTTTGTTATCTCATTGTCAAAGTCCTCGCCTCCAAGAAACGTGTCTCCATTCGTGGCCTTCACATGGAACACCCCATCGCTAAGCTCAAGTATAGAAATATCAAACGTGCCTCCACCTAGGTCATACACCGCAACATTCCCTCTAGCTGCCTTGTCAAGGCCATATGCCAATGCTGCTGCTGTCGGCTCGTTAATAACCCGGACAACATCCAGCCCAGCTATTCGGCCTGCATCCTTTGTTGCCTGCCGCTGGCTGTCGTTGAAGTATGCAGGAACAGTTATCACAGACCTCGTTACCGGATGATTCAGAAATGCCTCTGCATTCATCTTCAGCTTCGAAAGCACAAAAGCACCCATCTGTGCCGGTGAGTACTTCTTCCCGTCAATTTTGATCCACACATCTCCATTGCAATGCGATACGGTGTCGTATGGCAAACCCCTCACATATTTCTTCATCTCCTCGTCATCAAACTTCCTCCCAATCAGTCTTTTTGCTGCATACACCGTTTGCTTTGGATGCGTCAGCATCTTGCTCTTCGCCTGATCGCCAACAATTATATCATCTCCAGACACATGCACAACCGATGGCGTTGTGCGTCCTCCTTCTGCACTCTCAATGATCACCGGCTCACCACTCCTCATGATGGATACACACGAATTTGTGGTTCCAAGATCTATTCCAAGAATCGCAGGCACAATGCTTCTGCTCTGTATGCTTTTGCTTTCCATCCCCGGTGTATTAGCGGTTATTTTCATGGCATGATATTCGCACTGAATATTTTTATAGCCTGTGTTCTTTGCACCAGCAGATGCATCAAATCAATGAGTGGTACGCCCTGCATGGAAAACCAAAACATCACGCCTTGGAGTGTAGAGGTGGTGTCGACTGGAGAGTCTCCTGTTGGCATTGACTATGGCAAGGTAATCAACCAGTTTGGATGTGAAGAGCTTAGCGATGCACTTGTCGATCACTTGGAGGCACTTACTGGCAAGCCAGCACACTACTTCTTCAGGAGAGGCATTGTTTTTGCCCACAGAGACTTTGGGCTACTGCTCAAGCAGGTAGCAGATGGAAAGCCGTTCTACCTATACACTGGACGAGGCCCTAGTTCGAAGGCAATGCATATTGGGCATGCAATCCCACTGCTTCTGTGCAAGTATCTACAAGACACATTCAGAATAAAGCTTGTGATACAGATGACAGATGACGAGAAGTTCCTGTGGAAAGGAATGAGAATGGAAGACGCCATCTATTACGCAAGAGAAAACATCAAGGACATCATAGCTTTTGGGTTTGATCCTGATCTTACATACATTTTCACAAACATCGAGTCCTCGCACCACTTTGAGCAAAACGTGCTCAAGATCTCAAGATCAATCAACCTAAATGAAGCGTTCAAGGTTTTTGGGTTTGATATGTGCAGTAGCATAGGGCAGGTTGGCTTCCCCCCGAAGGAGATTGCACCGTGCTTTGCAAGCTCTTTCAGATTTATAGAAAAGAATAGCATGTGCTTGATTCCTGCAGCGGTTGACCAGGACCCATACTTCAGGCTTGCAAGAGACAAAGCAAGGGTTCTTGGGGAAAAGAAGCCATCCTCGATTTATGTATCACTTCTGCCCGACCTGAAGGGCGTGAACAAGAAAATGTCTGCAAGCGATCAGAATAGCTCGATATCGCTTGATGACACGCCTGAGAGCATACGAAAGAAAATCACAACATACGCATATTCTGGAGGAAGAAAGACAATGAAGGAGCACAAGGAGAAGGGAGGAGACATCAATGTAGACGTTCCGTTTGAGTACTTGAGATACTTCTTGCAAGATGACGATGAGCTTGAGAAGTACCGCTCTGGATATCTTTCTGGCGATGTTTCCAGTAGGGAAATGAAGGAAAAATGCATCAGCGTGATTCAAGAGTTTGTTGCAAAGTATCAATGCTCGAGGAAGGCAGTGGGCGACAAAGAAATGCAGAGGTTCATGGACATCAATAAATTTGAGTGATTTTGCTGTATTTATTTCATTTGCTACACCATTCATTTATTCTACTGTTTATTAAGCTGAGCATCATTGCCGAGCTGTAAGGCATGGATATTTGCAATCCTTTGCATTTCCTTTCTAATGTCTCTTAGTCTTCGTTTTAGACACCGTATCTTCCACTTGTAGTACTCTTCTTCCAGCGATTCATCTGGTGTTTCGCTCTGTGCTGTTGGCGTCTTCCTACTGTTGATGAATGATTGCCTGATATCCATCGGATGGGTTTGGTGCCATGCTGACTTGCAAAGCAGATACGCATAGCCCTTTATGCAGGGAGCAGATCAGGAAGATTCCAAGAGCCTATGGAAGCCATTGTACATTGAGAATGATGAGATTGCAAAGAAAGTATGCAGTAAGCACATTGGAGGCCATGCGAATCATGAGAAATGTGCATATATAAACACGAGTCCCAAGAATCATAGAACACGTGGATGCACCTCAAGCCATACTGACGATGATTCGGAGTCCATAAGCACAAAAAGCATCGGTCAGGACTCGGATCCTCATGAGAAGAGCAAGAGTTGCTTGAGTGGTACAAAACGCGTCGATCACTTTGAAGCCGTAAAAAGCCGCTGGGCTTTGGAATTTGGGCGTGGGATACATCATTACAGGCATTCAGTTGACGCTATGCATGCAAGGAGTTGCAATGCTGGACTGTGCACAGGCTCAGACACAGGCAATCTTCTTAACGATTTTTTTCTTGCATTGGACAAGTTTGTTTACATCGCGAATCAGTGCCTCAAGAGCACATACATTCAGGACGAGGATTTCAACTTTGCGCTTTCCTGGATAAGAAATGCGTTCCAATCACTGGGCATTGACGGCGCAAGGCACTATGCAAACAATTACTCAGGCCCATATGATGGATGGGCCGTGGACATAGAGTTTTTGATGAACAGATACTTCTTCAGTCCTGAGTTCAACCACGTGAATGGCTTTGGGATCAAGGAGCCGATGTACGAAGGATGCAGGTTTGTAGAGAATCAAGGCAATAATTTCTGTCTTTCTTATGTACCATATCCTGGATACTATGATACCGATGACGGCAGCAAGCAGTTCTGTTCTAAATGCAAGCTAATGCTGCCACCGCATCTAAGCTCATCAAGAGGTGCAAATAATGACGACACAAATGAATGCAGCTGAAAATATCAGAGCAATAGACATTTGTGAATGAATATAAGAAGAATTTTGATCCAAACAGCGATTGCTGATGGTGATTCACTCTACGATGTGTTTGATACTGGCAATGGAATGCAAGGCTTGTGCAGCGCAGAGCTGATACAGTCACGCTTGGTCATTCATGCAAGTATGATGCATTCAAATCAACATCGAGGTTGAACCTGAATAGTTTTAGAACCGATATCTCTATGTGATTGATATCTTTGATTGCAAATCTCCACTTTTCCACAATGAAATCGTTGAATATCCGGGTGTCGTCGATGTACTTTGCAGCAAGCACACAGCATACAAGATATGTCTTGGTAAATGACTCTAACGAGATCGGCTTCTGGACATGGCTGATGTATCGTCTTATGTAGACAGCACCTATAGATAGGATGTGCACAGGAAACATCAAGAATTCTTCAAACCTCATCTGGTTGTGAAGTACAACGGAGCATTTTTTGCCTGTGCATGTGGAGCAAAGCGTGCATATTAAATGAAGGCAATAAGTATCGCTTGTGGCATTCATGCATCCTGAATTCATTGAGTTATAAATGTACAAGCATTTGCACTTGGTGCTATAATGCATGGGCGAAGTAGATTGATGAGACATCATAAGCACTGCTTCAGGGATTGAGCGGCTGCATTGGGCAAGCTCTGAAGATGGGGGTGCGTGATGGCCCTTGCATTTGTAGCACTCTGAATGATTGATCGTATACGAGCCAGCTCTGCCTCCGTGCTGTACAATATTAAGCTGATTGCGCAAATTAACCATTGTGAAGATGTACTATCTGAGATTTATCTTTAGAACAGCTTGAAACCGATTGCAAAAGCTCTAACGCATTGTGTCATTGCTAATCAAACAGGCATGCATGATAAGCAGCAGACCATTTAGAATTTGCAACTGTTCTATAAAGCATATTTATTTACTAGCTTACAAGAGTCTTGCTAACAGCAAAAGAAAAGGCATGAAGCTTGCAATGCTTTCAACACCCTTTCCTCTGAGCTTGAGCTCTGGCTCTCCAGATGCGCCTTTGTATCCTTTGAGGCACTCATCCATATTCACAAATATGTATCCGCTGTCTCTGCCTATCTGCACCATCTGCTCCAAGCGTGACGTATCAGCCTCCATCTCATCATGCATCATGATGATGAACGAGTGGTAGTTTGGGTTTGAGTTATTGATCAAGTCTTCGAACTTTTCGATTGATTGTCCCTCATAGTCGTATGGGCAGAATGTGTATCCAACAGGCAGGACACCATTCTCGGTGAGCACATTGTACATCTCAGAGTTTACTTGCCCTCCATCGACTGGAAGAGTTGCGTATCTGATCTCTGAATGCGAAAGCCCATCAATAGTGTCGAGCTCTTCCTTCACAAGCTGCTCCATAGAATCGCGATCCATTGTGTCATAGCCACTGTCCATGCTTGGATTGAGCCTGAGCCCAACAGTGTGCCCTTCTTCCCATGCCCTCTGATACAGGTTCTTGACATTTCCGGTGACACGCTGGTTCACAGTGAAAGTGAACATGCCCTTTACGTCCAGGTCCTTCATTGTGTTCAGGATCTTGTCAGTGACACCAGCAACAGGCCCGTCCACAAAGTTCAGAACCATGAGGCCAGCTTTTTGGCATACGTCCGGGACCTCCGTACCTCTGACAGCAGTAAGAATGAAGAACAGTTTCAATAGCATAATGTTGCCTGAATGCATCTATTTAAATACAATGTGATAAAGAATCATGTTCTTTTTACTAAAATGAATCTAATTGCCATGGCCGATCAATTAATCATCAATATAGAATGATCAGATTGGTCCGGGCTTCCCTTATGCCATGCGATTCATAAGCATACGATCGATCACTAGTCTGCCTGGCTGTAATCAGACTCACAGTCTATTTCAATTGCATGTAATCCGTTCTCAAATGCATGCTGTAATGCAGCATGAACAAGTCTATGCCTATCTGCTATTTTCTTAAGTTAGTTACGATGATGCAGACTTACCATTCGATTGAATATCTCTGATTTTATTCTTATAGAGAAGTGCGTTTCTTCCATGTGCGCTTCTGAAGAATTCAGGTGGCCCTGATGATCCGGCGACGTGTTCGTGATTTCCAGACACACAGGCCCAAACCTTTTCTGTAATGCATCTCGCATGCTTTTTTCAATGATCCTGCCATCCATGGTGTAGGCTTCTCATTGCAATAAATACTTTATAGACAGTTATGCATACACACATTTAGTACAAAGTTTATTTGCACACCCATATGCATTCAGGTGGCTCGTTGTTCTTTGGCATTATCGTCATCGTACATCGATAGATACTTATACTGCACATTCTTTCTGTCATCAAGAGCCTTCTCTGCGTTCATACACATCTTGCGTATTTCTGACTCTTCATGGAGCCATTTCTGTAGTGCCTCATCAAATCCATTTGAGTTGTTCGCCTGTCCGTAAATCAGTCTGTAGCTTGACAAAAACTTGTTTAGAATGTCTTTGCTTTCAACATCATCCTTATACTTTGCAATTACTGCATTGAGCTTGCGTATTACGCTTTCATTTGCATTTGCCATGTATTCCTGTGCATTCAGCATGCACTCGTTCAATTCTGGATACACAGATATCTTGTCTTGTCCAATGCAAACGCCTGATAGAACTGTATGCATGCATTCGGCCGATGTGCTCTCATAGTAGCCCACAAATGCCCACGTAGATGCATTGCCATTCAGATCGCATCCTCTGTCCAATGTCTTTACTTCACCAAACACAGATAGCATCTCCTTAAGCAGCTCATCATCTAGTGTCTCGGGAATGCCAGTAACAAACATCATCTCGAGCAATGACAGTGGGCGTGATAATAAATGCTTATGTGGCAATCCCTCTGATGGAACGAATAGCCGAGGACTTTGAGCAGGTCAGGTGCCTGGAGGAGTTGTTCATGAAATACAAGCTGTACAAAGAAAAAATAGCAGAGATGGAGGAAGAGATAAAAAGCATGCAGGATGAGCTAAGTGCATCTGATGCACAAGACATACAGAATGAAATCGATGAGACCAGAATGCATTACGATGCTGTTATCAGAGAAATAGAGATGCTTCGACTTGAGTCTTCTAATTGCACCGATGTGAGTGATCTTAGAAATGCATTTTTGAAAATCACAGATCTTGAGGTTTTGAAGAAAAAGTCAACCGACTTACTAAAAGAATTGGTAGAGCATGATGTTATATCTATAAGTGGAGAGTTGGCCGACAATGAGCATATGGAAGATGGAAAGAAATGCATGGTTGTGCTGAGCAAAGACGTGGAGGAAGTGTTTTTGATTACTGGCAAGCATCATGAAATAAGAGCTGTGTGCAGGGAGATATTGAAGTCTTTTTTTTGCAAGTATGCCAGAGAAGTCTTGCCAGCAGAGATGAGTGTATTTGAGTCTGATGAAAAGCTGTACTTTGTATGTGGCAATATGCACGGTGTGGTTAATGGAGCAGATAGCATGCCTGAGCTATTGTTTAATGCGAAGCAAAAGAGCATCAGAGAGATGGAAAGGTTTAAGGAGATATTTAATGTAGTTATTGGATGTTTGAAAGAGAATCTAAGAGCGATGGTTATACAAAGGATGCTTTCTGATGACGAAGTGAGATTGAACAGCAGCATATTTGAAGGCACGGATGCATATGTGCAGAACTGTTCAGAATGGAGGCTTGATATTGTGATGAGAGAAATTATTGATATAGCAAGGCTAAAACTTGGAGAAGATGTGGTGGAAGTTGAAGAGGTAAATGAGAGGCTTCCAAGGCACGTATCTTTAAGATACAGGCGATTTGTTGACTGCTTTGAGATGTTCAGAAGCAGTGGATCGAAACGGCATGGCAAGGGGGCGAAGGTTGTTGACAGAGCAATAATGAAGATGTTTGATGTCAAGTGTGATAGTAAGCCTATACAGCAAAGGTTTTGTGAATTCGCAGACATGAGCCATTTTGTGAGAAAATATCCAGGACATTGCCTTTATGAAGAGCTGACGAAGAGGAAGGAGGAGGTGTTTTTTTGGATCATCAGGGATGCATCAAGAGTGGATATAAGCTTAGGCGATCCGGTGATGTCAGTGAAGATGTACTTGCGAGAGAAGCATGTTGACTTTATGGAGAATGTGAGCATGTTTGTGCCGAAGATCAACAAGTGTTTGTTTGAAATACAATTTTTTGAGACACTGAACTTGTGCATGATGACAAAGATTACAGAGCTTGGCTCTGTTAGTGGAAGGACAAGGAGATCTCTGGCAGAACTGATTGAATATGTTCTTGATTTTTCTTTCCATCTTCCAACTGGAATGGTGGGGAATCGAGAAAAGCTCAAAATGTATGGCTTGGCAGTATCTCTTGGAAAGGAGGAGCTTTTGAGGCAGTATGAGCAGGGGAGCGTGAGGATTTCAGAAGAAGAGCTGGATAGATTGTGTTCACTGTACTAGGCGTACTGCATCTGTATGACAATAAATGGGTGCTTAATAAAGATAAAAGATGGCGATCGAATTATAATTATTTTGAAGTTTTATGCTTGAGGAGATAAGCCCCAAAAATATGAAGTATGTTTTTGTTTCTGGAGGAGTTATTTCTAGGGTTGGGAAGGGGACAGTAAGCAGCAGTGTAGGAGCAATGCTGAGAGCAAGGGGGTATGATGTAACACATATGAAGATTGATTTTTATATGAACTGCAAATTGGATATGAAGGAGATGTGTGAGCATGGAGAGGTGCGTGTATTTGAGGATGCACATGAATGTGACATGGACTTTGGGATATTTATGAGATTAGGAGCAATAGGACTGATGCGGGAGAGTGGAGTGGAGTGCGATGGAATGGCAGATGATCTGGTAAGGAGAGGAGATCCACGGATGGGAAAGGCGCCATATGCCAATCCCGGTGTGATTGATGGAGCAGTCAGGCGGATAGTTAAGGCTGGGGAGAAAGAGATGGATGACTTATCTGGAGGAAAGAAAACTGGGGAGATTGTGGTGGTTGAGTTTGGGGGATTGATTGCAGAGCGCGAGTCGAGTTTGTATCTGGAGATATTTTCAAAGCTACAGACGAGTGTTGGAAAGGAAAACTGTATGCTCGTGGGCGTTGAGTGCATAACGGAGCTTGATGTTGAGCAGCATAAATTAGAAAAGATTGCGATGGGAACTAGAAGGCTGGAAGAGCATGGATTGAGATATAATGTATTGGTTTGCAGGGTAGGCAAAGAGCTGGATGGAGGCTTTGTAAAGAAGATTGAGGAGCAGTGCCTGATTGCAGATGGATGCGTATACAGCCTGCCTGATATGGACAGCATGTATCTTGTGCCAGGATATTTGGAGAAGCGGGGATGTGGAGAGAAGATTGCACATATACTTCGGATTGAGAATAGAGTAGTAAGGATCGAAATGATGAGTGCTATTGAAAGGATCGGAAGAGCTCAGGGAAGTACGGTTAGAATCGGATTGATTGGAAGGGCAACGAACGTGTTTGATAGCTGTGCTTCGGTTATTCATGCTCTTAATTTTTCCGCAGGAATGCTTGGGGTGAGGGCTGAAGTGGTGTGGATTGATGCAGAGGGGATTGAAAAGGGCGTTGGATATGAAGATGTTGATGGATGTGATGGACTTGTTATACCTGGCGGATTTGGGCCAAGAGGAGTGGAAGGAAATATTAAGGTGATTGAGTATGCACGAATCAATGGGATCCCATTGCTTGGAATATGCATGGGATACCAACTTGCCGTGATTGAGATGTCCAGAAACATCCTTGGGATCAAGAATGCAAGTTCTGAGGAGTTGGTTGGAGAAGAAGGCGATTTAGTAATAAGACTCATCGAAGATGAAAATGGAAAAAGAAACGGGATGCTGAGGGTTGGAGGACATGAGATAGTGATAATGGATGGAAGAATAAAACAGATGTATAAAAGAAGCAATGTGAAGGAACGGCATATTCATCGATATGAAGTCTGCAAAGAAGTGGCAGGACGACTTGAGCAGAAAGGAATTAGGTTCGTTGGCAAGAGTTTGAATGGCATGAACATGAAAGCTTTTGAAATGGACGGCCATCCATTTTTTGTTGGTGTACAATACCATCCGGAGCTAAATGCAAAGCCTGACGTTCCTCATCCATTGTTTACGGGGTTTATTTCCGCATGTTATGAAATGCAGAAAGGTAGATGAGCCGATTGTTTGTGTTTTACAGTTGTCGCAGATACATGTGTCTGTGGCATAATAGAGTTAAGTATAAATGATTTTGTTTAATAATGTTCTGATGCGATCTGGCAGATTAGATAGATGAGTTGCTATGTGGCTGTATGATTGAGAAAGTAACACTATATCTATGCATTTTGCTTATTTCCGATCGCTTTACACACTTCGAGTATTTTTTCTAACTGGCGTAAGTCTTCAATAGCCAGTATATTTGAATCAACCTGACTCAATACCTTAATGATATCAGAAACAATTCCTTGATGCTTAGCATTTGATATTTGATTTTGCAGCATGCATTTATCTGCATCCGCACTAGATTTGCAGCCAGGCTTTGGTGATATGAGCAATGGCTGTTTCAAATGCACTGTGGCTTTCTTACCGGGTGACTGCACTACTTTGCTTCCTTGATATGTTCCCTCTTTTATTCTTGCAGCATATCTCAATGTATTTAGCGTATGCTCTACATTGTCAAGGCTTGGCGATATTGTAGCTATCAAGCATGTTCTAGACATGCCAATAAATGAATTCTTCAAAATCTGTGTCAGCTTGCTCTGTCTGAACGGAAGATGTCTTTTGTCCTTCTCCATTCCTCTAATGCACTCCTTAAGCGCTAACAGGCTCTTGTTGATCTCGGCCCCCTCGTTCTTCACATCTGCAGTCATGTCCTTTCTATCGGATCCTCGTTCGCTCCCTGCCAGATCCACAAAAACAATAGATCCGCTGTTATTTCTGTTTGCTGTATCAGCAGCTTGCAATCCTGTGCCTTCAAAAAAGTTCACAAGTACTACTGCATGCGATCTTGACGACTTTGAATTCGCACCTGTAACTCCTGTTTTTCTAAGTGCAATGCCTCTATCTATAATATTCATTGCGCTTTCATACCCATTAAAATCTTCTTCCTTTGAATTTGATAGATGCACAACCCCGTTGACCTCTCGCAGATGGACTTTCTTGCTGCCATCAAGAAGGTCGTAAACCTGCCCCATGTATATTTCACAAAAGGTTATTGTTCCGTGCTGCTTCTTAAGAATAAGATCCTTCATTGCTAGATAAAGCATCCCGGCATTTTTCTCGAGCATTGTGTATGTCTTTCCCGTGCCTGTCTGTCCATATGCTATGACTGTGCCAAATCCTCCCGAGACAACATGGCTCACAATGCTCTTGACACACTCTCTATACAAACCAATGTTTGTTATGCTGCTATCAAATGAGTAATCAAATTCGAACCTATGCTGCTCAACATAAGGCGTTAAATCGATTCTTGTCCTAGATTCGTTTACTGTTATGCCTTGGCCATCAACTTCAACTATATCCGATCTTGTGATATCGCATGGTTTCTTCCGTACACAGACAACTATCTTTTCCTTCTGCATGCCTGTATTCATCATGATTTCATCAGGCAGTATAAGGCACGGATCAGCCATGCTAAGTATAGAATATTCCTTTTCGATGTCCGTGGCCTTTTCATGCTGTATAGCACGCTCTTTTTCAGTAAATGTGCATGAAAACAGCTTCTGCTCTATTGAAACTCCCTCCCCAAATAGCACCTCATGATGGCCATTTTCAAATAAATAACTCGACGATTCAGCAGTGCATGCCGTGGCATCTGCTTCAATACAATCATCGCTTGTACTCTGCACACAATCATTATTGCTTTTGAATTTCTCAGCATTGTCGTATTGCTTTTCAATACCTCGCATAGCAATCGAAAGCTCGGCATCAATTCCACACATTCCTGATTGATTTACACACACATCATAAGCAAGTGAATCCCTGGCACTTACGTTGTGTTCATGCACTTCGTCATTATACATATCCTGATTTATCTCATTTATCACATCAAAAACCTTTCGTCTTTCAATCAGATTCTCAATTCCAATCTTTTCAAGATCAGAGTACTTGAGCTTTGCCAGGAGTTGTGACTCGTCTATTCCAAGCCTTTCAAAAAATTGATACAGATGTCCTATCTTGTTTTCAAGCAGGTATACTTGTAGGTCCTTTATCATATGGCCGAGGGCTATCATTTGTTGTTTTATTGACGGGTATGATGCAGTGGCACATATCGGTGCTGCAACAGCTTTCACACACTCTGCGTTTAGATGCAACGCATGCCAGCCCCTGATGAGCACGGCATACATAAAAGCGCCAAAGAAATTTATTTCGAAAAGCTTGGTCATGAAGAACTTGAAGCTGCAGGACAAGGAGTTTGACAGGCTTGTGACTCTATGCGGAGTTCACCCGTATATACCAAAGGATACGCGGAAGGTGGATGCAGAAAACGGGTTTTACTACAGAGTGTGCGATGCAAACAAGCTGATACACTCGCATGTCTACAAAACCATGCTGAAGAACAAGTCAATAGAAAGCACTAGAAAAAGATATGAGGGAACTGGGGTTGAGTACAAGATAGCAAGTCTACGCTATAGTGAGTACAACTATGTTGATCTTGTTAAAGACAAGTACAAAACATTTGCAGAGTCTGTGGATGGGTTGAATGTGACGATGAGCAGCCTGTATCTGGGAAGAATGCTTGGATTGCACAATGATGCGGACAGTGTTATAAAGAATTTTGAGGATTTTGTGGTGGCCAAAAGGCTGCTTGAATGTTCTTTTATGTCCAGGAGCGGGATTTACAACCAGATGGCAATAGGAAAGATCAGGGTCACGTGGTTTGTTCCATATCCAGGCGCAAGTCTTCAAGAGATCATTGAGGAGAAAAAAGACATTCCTCGGGGGTTTAAATGGAAAGAGTTGAACTTTCTGGACTTTGTATCGTCTTCGGATGATGAGTCTTCTAGTAGCGAGTCTGAAATGGAGGAAATTGCTAATGACGAGAGCAAGATTGATATTTCTCTGCTATCGTACTCTTTGCCTTTATTGGCTATGCATTGCAGGCTAGTTCTGCATAAGCTCGAGAAGTTGTATGAGCCATGTGTGGATTCCTCGGAAGGAGCTTTTGCTGATAAGGCAATATTTGGCGGAATGATGTTCTGGATTGATACGGTTGCTGTTGGAGAATGCCTGAAGTTGATAGTTATGTGCCTTGGCGGAAAAGTTGTTGGTAAAGACGAAAAAGCAGATGTGTGTGTATGTGAAAGTGCTGATGAGGTGAATGAAGGTGTTATATATGTGCAACCTCAGTACGTATTTGATTGCCTGAACTGCAAAGAGAGGCTTGACCATATAGCATACTGTGTTGGCAAAGTGCTGCCAAAGCATGTGTCGCCATTCAAATCGATACGGGATGTTGTTTCGAAGGAGGTTATGATGACAATGTCCAAAACACAAAAGTATAGAATGGAAGATGTCTTGAACAGGTTTGAAGATGTTGAGTATGATATATGAGATATGAATGTTTCTAAGTAGATGTGAGTGCATTTGCCAAAGATAATAAATGGATTTATGATGTTAGTTGTGTTAGGAATGTCAAGATAGATGATTCGGTGTTTGGATGATGAAGTGTGATGGCAATGCAAACCCCATAAACATTGCATAATGGAGAACGAAGCAAAGATTGCAACCAGCACAAGTGAAGTGTGTATACAGCTTGATAGGAAGTGTGGGATAGATGAGATCGAAAGGCTTATAGGTTTTGATGTGCCAGGGCGATGCCTCGATGCTTATGCGATTCTAAGGGAATCTATGGAGTGCCACGAATACTCCAGTAGTTTGTATAAGATGTATATATCGGTGTTTCTGAAGATATTAGATGGCAATGAGAGAGTTGAGGAGATTATGCGTGATATTTCATCGATATCGCTATTCAGAGAGATGGAGTTTGGGCTCATTAACTCCTTTATTGAAGCAGTGGTATGGAAGGTTGGCCATGGCGAATGTGTAGGAAGATATGAGGTGTTTGTGGAAGGACTTTGTGAAAAGATAAAGAGAGGGATGATTAGAGACGTTGCTGATTGGCAAGATGATGATGGACTGATGAATATGAAGCTTGACTTTTTGCTTTTGTCGTTGAAGTTGATTGAAATGTTTGTAGAAGATAAGGTTTGCACTGGCGATCGCATTCCCAAAGAGAAGCAGGAAAGATACAGGTTTTCGAACGAGTGTCTGTATGAGACATTTACGATAATCAGCAAAACAAGTGAATTTGAGGATGACTTTGTGTCTGTGTTCAAGACCGTGCTTTCAATTGATTCACTAGTGGGCGAAAGCGTTCCAGAAAGAATTGAGGAGGTGCTGGCAGTGATTGAGGGACTTCCAATTTCAAAGAAGAATCTTGGAAGGATTATTGCACAGATGGCAAATGTGTGTGCCCATGATGGAGTTGCGTTTAAGGGCCTGATGCTTTCGGTATTTACAACAAACTGCCTGGATGCATTGGATGCATGCCACAGGAATGAACTTATGGATGTGCTGGTGGAGATAGCGAATCGCCAACCAAAAAATGGGGAACTATCCGCAGGAATGCCAGACATGTTTAAAAGGATTTTCTACAGAATCAGAGATTCAGAGTCGAGCCAGAAATACAAGATGATGTGGAACTTCTTGTTGTTTCTGTCGAAGGTGATAATTGAAAGAGATGTCAAAGAAATCAATGGAATTTTTCTGAGGTTTGTTGTGAGACATCCAGAAACGATTGAGCTTTACTCGGAATTTGTTCTCATCAACCGAATTGATTTCCCTGTGCATACGATTCACCAAAGCATCAGGCTTGACTTTATGCAGAAGTTCTATCCTATTTTGTTTGGCAAGGTTCGGACAGAGCAGCACGATATGGGGCATGTTGATGGCCTTGTTTCTGAATTTCTGAAGTTTTTCCTGACGGTCAAGAGTAAGGATCTGATCCATGCTCTTTCGCTGGTGCCTTGCATTCCTGTGAAGAGAGAGATACTGTATGTGCTATATGAGATATATTCGTTTGTTTTTGAAAAGGGCATATTTGGTTGCATAGGAACTTTTCCTCTCAAGACGCCAGCACTTGTTGGAATATCGTCGAGCATATACTATGATGTAAAATATCTTCCTAGGCTTGCAAGAGACCTGGGGGTTTCTGGTGCTGAGCCACGGATGCTGGTGTTTCTTGGCATCATATATCACTGCGAGGCCAGGAAGCTCCATAATTTCAATTTCAGTGGGATTCTTGAGTATATACAGGACGAAGATGGGATAAGAATGGCCGGAGATAGCCTAGTGCATGTAATTAGACACATACACGATGGATATGTAAGTAGATCGCATGCATTTACTCTCTCATATGTAAATTCTCTACTGGAGATTGCTCAAAGGCCAAAAACAATAGAAACAACGCTCGTGATGATTGAAAACATTCTTAGAAAGTTGCTTGAACGAGATGAGAAGATTGTTTTTACAAAGGAGATCCACTGCCGGTTTCAAAGGCTTTTCGAGGTATTTGGGCATAAGAAGTTTTTGAATGTGTGTGTCATTGAGTCGTATAGAGAGCTTTACAAAAAGATTCTAGAAACAATCAAATGCGCATCTAACTTTTACAACTATATTATTCTTTGTATTGCAGATATTTCTTTCTTTGACAAGGAATTTCCTAAAGGTCTGTTCAGGTCGTTCAACGATCTGTATACCTACACACTATCGAGGATGAAGGTGGTGGAAGGATTTCCGGATGTCTTTATTGCTAACCAGAAGCATAAGATGAGCATTGCTGATGGGGCCGAGATAAGCGCAGATAAATCTGAAAGCTGCGTACCGCATATAGATATTGATAGAACTAAAGAAGGAATAGCATTTGGTAGTGCATATAGCGGCATAAAGTATGATGAAAAAGACAATGCTTGTATGAGATCAGGATCATTAGAAAGCATCAGCAATTCGGTGGGAGGTGCTTCTATTTTGCAAGCATTGCCTGGATATGCGATAAGCATAGAAATGCTTGACAAGAGCATCAGGCGTCAAGAGAAATCTGTTATATGGCTTATCGACACTATTTACACAAGAAGAGCACAAAGTACAGTGATAAGGATGGCATTGGATCTGTTGAAGCTAAGGCTAAAGCAAATGTTTGAATATGAAGATCTGTATATTCTCCTAAAGGCTTATAACATCCTGTGCATCCGAGAGAATGATTCTGAGGATTTTCTAAAGCAGGCGTTATACAGAGGATTGGATTTCAGGACGGACTCTATGGTATGCTATAACCTATCCGTTGAAACGAATGGGTTTTACCGGTTTTTCTTTCGTTCATTACATTTTGCAGTGTCTGGGCATGCACCTGCGGATGATCTGATGTTTCCTGAGCGGGCAGGGTTGTTCTTGAAGTTTGATACATCTGATCTGATATACATACAGAATGCATTTCGGCAGAAGATGATTCAAAGGTTGCTTGAAAAGTCCTCTGTGCCATCATACAGGTCGTATTTTTTCAACATGAGTAATCTTGGAGTGATGGATTGCCTTACAATAATACAGAGATTGGAGACTCCACTTGTGATGCATAGTGTGTTTTTGCAGCTGCAGAAGCTCAAAAGCGAGATGTTTTTCTATGTTCCACAGCTAGTGCAAGCACTTAGAAACAGAAATGCATTTGAAAATGTCTCTTCAATAATCAGTATGCTTGCATCGGACGAGTTTGTGTCGCATCAGCTTGTTTGGAACCTGAAGGCCAATCTGTACAGCGATGTGAACATGAAGATCAAGGATGAATGCCATGAAGTATTTTTGCGGTGTATAGAGCAAATACTGAGCAGCATGTCGGCCGAGGCAAAGGAAGTGTTTATGAAGGAAGAGGAGTTCCTTGCGAGCCTATCGAATATCTCATGTAGCATTGCGCCGTATCTTAAGGCATCGAAGGATGAGAAGAGAAGAAGGATTAACGAGTATCTCTCTTGCATAAGCCTGCAGCCTGGGGTTTATGTTCCTTATTCGCCTGAATGGAAGATTATTGAGGTGATCAATGGATCTGCAAGGGTTCTTCAAAGCCACTCGAAGGTGCCTTTTGTGGTGTCCCTGAAGGTTCAGAATGCAAATGGCCATGTTTGTGTGAAGCAGCTGATTTTCAAGCATGGGGATGACTGTAGACAAGACATGCTTGCGCTGCAAGTCATATCGATGTTTGAGCTGATATTTAAACAGGCGAACCTGGACATTTTTCTGTATCCGTACAAAGTGATAGTCACGTCTTGTGGAACAGGCATTATTGAAGTGATACTGAATTCGAAGTCTCGCGACCAGATAGGCAGGGAGAACATCAACAATCTGTCTGAGTATTTTGAATACAAGTTTGGGTTTAAGGAGAGCGAGGGGTATCTGTCTGCACTGTACAACTTTGCATCGAGTCTTGCTGGATACTCATTGGTTGTTTACTTCCTGAATATCAAGGATAGGCACAACGGAAACATAATGATAGACGATAAAGGAAGGATAATTCATATCGACTTTGGGTACATGCTTGAGACATCTCCTGGGAACTTGAATATTGAAGCGCCGATGAAGCTGACCAAGGAGATAGAAGAATTGCTTGGAGGAGTATCTGGCAAGGGGTTTGAGATATACCAGGATCTGATGGTCAAAGGGTTTCTAGCATTGAGAAGAAACAGTAAGGACCTGGTGATGATGATAGATTCGTTCATTGAAAGCAAGCTGCCATGCTATAAAAAGAATGCAGTTGAAAACTTTGTTCTACGGTTCAGGCATGAGCTATCGGACAAGAATGCAAAGAGGTTTATTATGTCATTGATAGCAGAGTCATCGCAGAAGTTCAGGACGTGGATGTATGATCAGTATCAGAATTTGACAAATAACATTTCATTCTGATGCTATGAAGCGCTTGCTAATTTGTAATCAATATATGAAAACTCTTTGAAGTGTAATCCCTGCATGAGAGCCAAGCATCTGCAAGAGCAAGATGTTTTTGGTAGATACTTCGTATTACCGAGTGTTCCTTATCTGCCCAAGCCTCGAAGAAAGGGAATGGCCAGGATATCGGGGGTGTGTGAAATAATCAGCCGCTTGAAGACATTTGAGGCAGAAAACGGTGTAATTGTGCAAGGCACTGCAACAGAATGCGAGCTGAGAGCTGCATTCGAAAAGTACGGGCCTATATTGCAAGTAAGGGTGCTTAGAAGATATGCATTTGTTGTATTTGAAAAGCATGTAGATATAAGTTTAGTATTTGGAAAGTATCATAGCATTGGAAACAGGAGGATGTATGCCGATAGGATAAAGCAATATGATGCAGACTTTATGCCTGTGATGTATAGAAACCGAGTTAATCTATGGCATAACCATATAAATAAATTTGAATGATTTTGTCTTGGATAGATTGCCTGGCTTGAACTAGGCATAGGGAGGGATTATTAAGTGGTTAGGCTTTACTAAAGACGACAGGAACATTCTGAGCTTTAGGGTGGAGTCCTCATCGCCTATTGATGATGCTTTGTAAAAGTGGAAGATTGCCTTGTCGATGTCAACAGCCACGCCGATTCCTCTCTCATAGCATCTACCAATGTTGTAGCTTGATCTTAGGTATCCATTCGCCAGTGCCAGATTATAGTGCTCGAATGCAAGCGCGAGGTTTTTCTCAACAATGATTCCTTTTTCAAAGCAGTAGCCCATTGCATCGATTGCTCTTGGATTCCCAAGATCCTTTGCCTTTTCAAGCAACCTTACGCCCAGATCCCTGTTGATTGGAATTCCACTTCCATTCAGGTGCAAAGAGCTCAGATTGAACAATGCCCAGTGGTTGTCTTTTTTTGAGCTAGCTTCGTACCACTTCTTAGCCATGTGAATGTCTTTCTTCACGCCATATCCTTTTTCGTAGTAGTACCCAAGTGTGTTTTGTGCCGACGAGTTTTCCATCTCTGCAGCTCTCTTCATAAGTTTGAATGACATCTCCGATGATGCACCAATGCCTATGCCAGATCTGTAGCACAATGCAAGGCTCACCAAGGCCTCATCGAAGTTTGCATTTATACCCTGCTGAAAGCATGCAACAGCCATCTCTGGGTTGCTAGGAACGCCATATCCGTTCTGGTAGCAGACACCAAGTGCATGGATAGAGTGATTGTTGTTTTCTGAAGCAGACTCCTTGTACCAGCGGACTGCCTCTTCCATGCATACTGGTGTTCCAAGTCCTTTTTGATGGCAATACCCAATATTGTGTTTTGCCCTAGCTAATCCCTGCTCAGCAGCGCGCTTATACCATTGAAATGCCTTGATCATGTTTTTAGCGACGCCTATTCCCTTCTGGTAGCAAAATGCAAGGTTGCATTGGGCCGAGGGATATCCTTGCAAAGCGCTTTTCTTGTATAGCTCGAATGCCCTTTGATGGTCTTTATCAACGCCCTTTCCCTCTTCATAGCAGTTTGCAAGTGCATTTTGTGCATATGAGTTTTCCATCTCTGCAGAGACTCTATACATCTCAAATGCCTTGAGTATATTTTTTTCGGTGCCTTTCCCTTCTTCGTAGCAATAGCCAAGGTTGTATAGTGCGGTGGGATCTTTGAATTCGGATGCATATCTAAAAAACTCGATGGCTATTTCCTGGTCATTATCTACTCCCACGCCTTTGAGAAAGCAGTATCCGAGTGCGCATATTGAGTGTATGTTTTTTTCATATGCGCTTTCGCTGTAGTATTTGATTGCAAGGAGGGAATCAGCAAGGAGCCCATATCCCTCCTGGTAGCATACACCTATGCAATATTTGGCATGTGAACAGCCGTGCCTACTTGCATGGAATAGCCAATCGGTGGATTTTTTGCCGATTTCTCTTAGCTTATCGCCATATTTTTTTGCAGCCAGCCAGTCTATTGCAGCCGTTGGCCTGCCGAATCTTCTTATAAAGCTCAGCCTTATCAATGCAAGTCCATTATTGCTCAATACAGCCTTTGCATACATCATCTCTGCCATTTTCATGTTTGGCAATGTTCCTATTCCGAACTCGTAGCAGAATCCAGAGACAGCAAGAGAATTTACGTCTCTGGATGAGTTTTCAAGGTGCAGTTTAAAGCCAAGTGTCTCATTCCTTTCGATTCCTATGCCAAGCAATTTCTCATCGGCACTCTTAAACATACTTCCCCAAAGAAGCGAGTGAAGCGAGCTCATTCAAGCAGAGCAGCTTGTTGTTTCTAGAAATATAAGCCACAGGTTTTGCAGCACGGTTTCTTGGCGATTATGGCCGTGTATTGGAAGAATTGATGAAACTGCTGCCTCAGTCTTGCATCTATTACCTCTTGATTAGTGAAACATAATGGGATCAGTAGCACAGACCATGGAATGCATAATAATATGCGCTTATGGCAGTGCATTGCTCCAGATATGCTTTGAATCATGAGCCCTGATGATTGAGGAAGAGATCATCCATATAATGGAAGAAATAGACTGCACCTTTTCATCAATCAACAGAACATTGAGGAAGATGAAAGAGATTCTTGAGCGAGTTGAAAAGGAAAACAAGCAGATTGTTAGCAACTTAGGGCCATGGCAAAGATTTTTTTGCATTGGCTCAACAGAAGAAATCATAACTGAATATCCAAGAAATGTAACAACACAGAATGATATTGATGAAAGCTGTGCCGACGATACGTGCATACAGGATGAAAGCTCGATGTCGATGAAGCTTTCTTCGCCCAGAAATCCATTTGTGGATAACGGATCGTCTGAAACATTGAACAGAACGTTTCTGGGTGATCTCGAAGCCAGGTTCAACTGGAGTAATGCCGAGAACACATCGTCAAGCATTGTTCCGGTGATTGAAGAGAGGGGATTTGAGTTTCAAGAGGAATCAGAATCCTCAGATGCAATTCTGCCATTTAATCCAAGCATGTTGCCGCCTGCATTCCAAACAGATGAAGGAATATTCATAGTGTACAGATATATTGCGGGATGCTCTGGAGCAACAATCGAGGATATATGCAGAGGAGCACCAATGCTAGGAAGAAAAAGAATACAGATATTTGTTGACATGCTGCTTAGGAAGAAGTTTATAGGCAAAAGGGGAGCGAGCTTTCGGACATCATAAGGAAATGCATGTATCTGATGCATTGAAGTATCCACTGAATAAATATTTGTGACATATAAACGGGTATGTTGGTTTTAAAGAGCGAGAATAACTAGCTATAGCTATATGTAAATCAGGAAATGCGAAGTGTATATGAGTTTTGTTGCAGATGCAAAATGCGACATGCGAGAGTCGAACTCGCACCTCTGGATTATGAGACCAACACGCTAACCGCTACGCCAATGTCGCTCTCCCATGACACACCGGGATAATTCTTTTCGCAATGCTGACGAATTAATCCTGATTCATTTGCACCTGTAAATACACATTCCAGAATAAATATTTCGTTTCTCTAGGGTCGCAATGAATAAACAATTGGAGGAAGTTGAGTCTCTATGTCTCAAAGGAATCAAGAAAGGTGACACAAGAACAGTAGAAATGTATTTTGGCCCCTATCTTTCGTTTGTGCCAAGCACACAGCACAGCGCGTTTATAAAAGCATACATGCTTCTGCACTACTTCTCATCAAACCAGAAGGCACTGTTCTACACAACATTGGAAACCGTAACTCCCTCTGAGCTTGAAGACAAAAACATAATGCTTGTTATGGAAGTGGACACATGTGTTAATATAGGAGCGGTTGAAAAGCTCAAAAAAGCAGTTGGGAGCAATACAAGCAAGGAGCTGAATACTCTTCTCAAAAGCATTGTTGATAGCCAGGTGAAGACGATTGAGCTGTCTGAATGCTCGGAAGAGGTAGAAGCGATGGGCCAGGAGATAATCGACAGGCGAGTCATCGAGGTTGCAATGTTTATTGGAAAGAACTCATCTGGGAATTTCTGAAACCGAGAGTGTTACTACAACGATTTGCCGGCGATTGTTTTAAATGAAGCATTTGAATTTATCCAAGCCAAGACGTTTACTTATATTTTTTGGAAAAGTATCCCTGGAAATGATCTCTATCTTTTTCAAGAGTTTGTTCTTAATTCTTGGCTCTGTCGGCGGCATTCTGGCATTTGGAATGGGAATCATCAAGGCAATAGATTACATTGAAGACAGGGCATATGCAGCAAAGAAATACATTGCAACAATAGTGCAGATCAGCATGGGCCTGCATTTTGTTTTCTTGCTACGAGGCGTCTCTATACTCCATATTTTGTTTAGCTTGTCTATACAGTACTCTTTCTACTGCTTACTGGAGCTATATCCTCTTGTAAAAATGGACAACCCATACTTTATATATGGAACAATAGCATCACTGATCAATCACTTTCTTGTGATACGCATGGTTTTTTCGAAGTCCAAGGTATATGGGCTGGAGATCATATTCAGCTTTGCACTGATATGGATAACGCCGTTCTGCTTCTTCCTGAGCTTGAGTGCAAATGACGAGGCATTGATGATCAAGGGGAAAAAAGCATCTCCAACAATGATTGGAAATATCCTGAAGAAGTATCTATTTAAAGAAAGCAAATAGGGTTTGCTTGATCCTGGCTCGAGCTAGGAACAATTAAATATAATTCATAGCATGGCAATATCGACAGTTTTTAATCCTCACGAATTCATCATAACGTGGTCAGTCTTGAAAAGATGGTTTTTTCTTTACTTATAACATCAGTAAAACACTCTTTGAGTCTATCACCGAACTTTCTTTTCTGTTCATCACTGAGATCATCTCTCTTCTTTATAACTGTTCTGATGAAGTTCTTGCTGATGTCCGGATATGTAAACTTCAAGGACTTCACTTCTACGATGAAAAGATCATCATTTCTTGTTTCAATCAGTGGGATGATCTTCAGCAGCGGCTCCAGCGCAGCCTTTACATCTTCTCTATCTCCATATCCTCCAAGCAGGTCTAGCAGTTTTTTGTGGTCGTATCTCAGCATCCTATTGCATGACTCAGTTATGATTGCTCGTTTTCTTCCAAGCTGCTTCATGTATGCAAGCACAATCGATGTTGAAAGCTCGTGGATAAACGTTATGAACGAATATTCACTCATTGTGTTCTTGTAATCGTTCAGAAAGTCCTGAAGCGTCAGCATCATAACCTTCGTTGCATGGCTGTCGTACCATTCATTTGTAAAAATCTTATCAATCGCTGGCTGGCATGAGTATATTATAAACTCAGATAGATACGTGTTTGATGCTTTTAGAATGTCGATGAATATGTCACACAGCTCTTTGATTTCGTCATTGTGGTATGCTGGTAGAGAAGTGATGTATTGAGCTACTCTTAGCCCGCTATTCCCAAACATAATGCAGAAGTCCTCATAACCTACTTTACTGTTCATTTCACAAGATGGCTCAAAATCCTTATCCATCGCATCAATCAGATTTGCCTTAAATATCTCGCAATACTTAGTCACGGTCTTTGTGATATGTGCAAATATTCTTTTGTTGAATCCAATAGGCTCCAGCTGCATCCTAATTATTTGCAGAAGACTAATAAATCCAGGGCTTATTAGCTTATCGTCCTCGTCTCTAGGCAAATCTTCGCTTCTTGCATAAAACTTCTCCACCTCAAGCTTTGTTATGTTTATTATCCACTCTCGTAGCTTTTCCTGCGCAACCTTTGAGTACTTCTCAAGCAGCTCATTTTCATTCTCAATAAGACGCTTACCCAGTGCGTCCGGTATTCTGTTGAATTTCGATTCAATCGTATTGTGGTAGTTCCCAGTATACTCTATAATCGCAAGAATCTCCCCTGCATCCAGCCTGTTCGCAACATCATCCAAAAACAGCTTCAGGTTGCTATGGTACATCACAAGAATCTCATCAAATGCATAAAAGTTAAAGTTCATATTCTCATCAACAAACACAAGATCATCAAGTATGAAATCCATCTTATTAACAAAGATCTCTTCGTTCCTGAGCTTATCAAATTTGTTTTTGACCGACACTCCAATTGCCTTCATCACCCTGCTCTTCAGCATCTTTGGATTCCTTGTAAGATACATTCTATACATCCTGTTCAGTTCTTTCAACACCAAGTCCTCGCTTCCCTCTCCAGCCTGAACCTTCCTTGTTAATTCATCTCTTGCTTCCTCCTTCTCAATTATCTTCTGAAGCTTGCCTATAATCTCATAGTTTTCAATAAACCCCTCGCATGCCTCAAGCACCTTTGCAGTAAAATCCAAGGAGTTCTTCTCAATCGTATTCAATGCCTTGCTCACCTCGATGTAATCGTCATGAGAAACATCAGATTTGTACATCTCAAGCAGACATCCAAAATCCTCGGCATCATAGACATTCTTATGGTACACCATAATGTCTTCTGATTCAACTGGATTATCTATGCTCTTAAGTTTCTCCGAAACCTCAATCACTTTGCTAAGATTAGAATGTGCCAGGCAGATCATCTTCACAGATTTGTATTCTTTGACAAGAGAAAAGAACCCTCTGAGCACATCAGCATTCTTATCTTTGCACTCAACAAACATCTGGAAATGCTGATCAAGCTCAGATATGCTTTTTGATGTGTCGAAAATGCTAGTATAACACCTTGAAATCATTGCTATAAGATTCTGGTTATGGATTTCATACTTTTCCTTGGAATTTCTCTGTACGGTGTCGAGCTTTGCATGCAGATCGCTTGGATGTCTCAATGTTTGCGACAGATTTTCTATGGCCTTTTGCATCATGATGGGCTTTGATTGTTTTGTCATGATTACTTGCTCAGCTGTGCAGTTGAATTGGTGTTTCTAGAGTGCTTTCTGAATGAGCTATTTGTTGATTGATTAGAGTGCATCTGTATGGGATTATCAAAGATATTGCAGCGATCCGATGCAGCCTGTGCATCCATGCATTTATACACACTACCTGATTAATACACTTCCAAATGTGCCTGTGATTCATCAGGCTGTTTGTGGATATTTGTGGCATGAGTTCCACTAATTCATAGACACACAAACTACGTTCCTATGCCATATAAACCATACAATTGGTGGAATTACATCTAATTTTGTTGCGTAGGTGTAATGGCCGAGCGGTCCAAGGCGCTGGAATTAGGCTCCAGTCTCTACGAGGCGGGGGTTCGAATCCCTCTTGCACCATTTTGCACAGCCTCAACAACGCCAAATACTACTCAATGCTTCTTTTATTTCCTGTTTTTCATCGCTATACACTGTGCTCATCCTTTCTCCTATCCCCCTCTCAGCGCCAAAACCATGTGGACCACGTTTTCTGAATACGCCATTCTTTCAGAGCTCACAAGATCGGTGAGCTTAACATCGTCATTCATCAAAATCCTCCCGTTACAAACAAGCCTCTGCTGCTCTGGAGAGATCATCACGAGCTCTTCTATTCTAACCTTCAGATCTCTAATCGACATAGCCAATTCCATATCTATATCCAGGTCCTTTCCCGTCATTGTCTTGATCATCAGCTTCATTACTCAGGGGCAATGCATAAAAAACAAATTGTTTATGCTTCAAGCAGTTTGTGCCGCCACAAATGCCAGCATTTGCTGTACGCTGTGCATCCGTGTATGTAAATTTTTATACCGTCTTCCCCATGAGAGAGGACCAGAGGCTTGAGCTGATAAAGCTCTTCTTCAGGGAAAAGGGGCTGGTCAGGCAGCATATAGAATCATACGACTACTTCGTTAATCACGAAATAAAGGCACTGGTCAAAGCAAACCAGGTGGTGGACTCAGACATCGACCATACATTCTATCTTAAGTATCTGGACATCCGTGTTGGGAAATCAAGCATAGAAGAAAGCATGGTGAAGTACAACGTATTTCCGATTGAATGCAGGCTGAGAGACATTACATATTCTGCAGATATATATGTAGATGTGGAATATGTCCGGAACGGACAGATAGTTGTGAAAAGAGACGTTTGCATTGGAAAGATGCCAGTGATGCTGAGGAGCAGCAAATGCCACCTTAGCACAGAACACACAGGAGTGATAGAGAGCAGAGATACAAAAGCAAAAAAAATCAGGGAGTCACAGGAGTGCCCTTTGGATGTTGGTGGATACTTTGTCATCAGGGGAATCGAACGGGTGATTCTAATACAAGAGCAACTATCTAAAAATAGGATAATTATTGAGTCTGGAGCAAAAGGGCTGTTTGCATCAGTGACTTCTTCTACCGATGAGCATAAGAGCAAAACATCTGTAACCGTTAAGGACGATTGCTACTACCTGAAGAGCTCCATGTTTAATGAAGAGGTGCCTGTTGTGATAGTAATAAAGGCGCTTGGACTTGTACAGGATAGGGAAATAGCAGAATGTGTGGGGAGGGAGTATTTTGATATGATGGTGCCCAGCTTTGGAGAGTGCATGGCAAAAGGCGTATTCACGAATGAGCAGGCACTGCATTACATTGGAAATTGCATAAAGCTGAAGCAAGACGATTGCAAGGTTGATGAGGTTCGCACCATCCTTTCAGAAAAGATCCTGCCGAATGTCCACATTGACGGATGTGATATGAGGAAGAAGGGCATTTATATATCATTTATGATAAGGAGGCTGACACAAACAAGACTAGGCATTCTGAAAGAGGATGACAAGGACTTTGTAGGCAACAAAAGATTTGAGCTTGCGGGCCAGCTACTGTCGATTCTCTTTGAAGACACATTTAAGAGATTCAACTTTGAGCTCAAGAAATCGATTGACAAGATTCTGAGCAAGAGGACGCGGGCACAGGAGTTTGATGCATTGACGTTTTTGAGTCTGCAGGCAAACATGATCACATCGACGCTTTCAAGAGCAATATCTACGGGCAACTGGAATCTTAAAAGGTTTAGAATGGAGAGAAGCGGTGTAACACATGTTCTATTGAGGCACTCATATATATCTGCGCTTGGGATGATGACGAAAATCAACTCACACTTTGAAAAGACACGAAAAGTCAGTGGGCCTCGCTCGTTGCATACATCTTCATGGGGGATGCTTTGCCCCGTCGATACACCTGAAGGAGAGTCATGTGGTCTTGTGAAGAATCTTGCACTGCTTGCAGAAATAACCACGGATTCCGATGTCAAGCCAATAATGGATCTAATATTCAGGCTGGGTGTTGTACAAATAGAAGCAGTGTACACAAGAGAGATACACGCAAATGATGTATACAGTGTATTTATAAACGGAGATATCGTTGGAATAACCAATAGAGTTGATTTTGTTGTTAATCGGTTCAAGCTCTATAGACGAAAGGGATTGATTGGAAGGTTTGTATCAATATATAAAGTAGCATCAGAAAAGATTGTTCATATAGCGTCCGACAATGGAAGGATATGCCGCCCATTGATTGTTGTTGACAAAGAAAGAAAGAATATGGGCATTATTGAAGACTCTATAGAGAATGCTTTTCAGAGGATTGGTGTTGCAGATGGAATGATTGATGCTGTTCCTGAGGATGCTAAGAGGAAGAATAGCGGGTTTTTTGATTACTACCTCAAGCACAAATCTTTTTCTGACCTTCTGGAAGAGGGATTTATCGAGTATCTTGATGCAAACGAGGAGAACGACTGTCTTGTGGCGCTGAAGCCCGAGGACGTTGGAGATGAGACAACGCATCTCGAGATCTCAGAATTTGCAATTCTTGGATATGTTGCAGGGCTTGTCCCATTTCCGCATCATAATCAGAGCCCACGAAACACATATCAGTGTGCAATGGGTAAGCAGGCGATTGGACACATAGCTTTGAACACGAAGAAGAGATTTGACTCGGTGATACTCCAACTGACATATACCCACAAGCCGATGGTTTCCACCAAGATCCTTGATCTGATAAACTACAATGAGATGCCTGCTGGGCAGAACGCAATGGTTGCTGTGATGAGCTATTCTGGATACGATATTGAAGATGCGCTGATCCTTAACAAGGCATCGATAGACCGGGGCATCTTCCGTGTGGAGGTTTATAAAACGAACACTGCTTTTTTGAAGAAGCATGGGAATGGAATGCCGGATATGCTCAATCCGAATCCAAATGAAAGTGTTTTAGATATTGATGGGCTTGGAAAGCCTGGCAAGATGGTTAAGGATGGAAGCGTATACGTTAATAAAACGTCGCCAGTTGATGGGATATACAAGTTTACAGGAAAGATTCACCGAGGAGAGCCTGCATACATAGACAAGGTGCTGATAGCGAAGTCCCAAGACCAGACACTGATAAAGACAATGATGCGGCAGACAAGGCCGCCGGAAATAGGAGACAAGCTGAGCAGTAGGCATGGGCAGAAAGGTGTCATAGGGCTGATTGTAAAGCAGGAAGATATGCCTTTCAATGACCAAGGAATTGTTCCCGATATAATAATGAATCCGCATGGGTTTCCGTCTAGAATGACTGTTGGGAAGATAATAGAGCTAATTTCTGGAAAAGCAGGAGTATTGGAAGGAAAGATTGCAGACAGCACGGCTTTTAAGAAAAACCTGGTTGAGGAGACATGCCAGCTTCTGGTAAGAAACGGATACAGCTATTCGGGAAAAGACTGCTTTACAAGTGGTACAACAGGCGCACCTTTGATGGCGTACATATTTTTTGGGCCTGTGTTTTACCAGAGGCTTAAGCACATGGTTGCAGACAAGATCCACATGAGGGCGCGAGGGCCAAGAGCAATATTGACAAGGCAGCCTACGGAAGGAAGAAGTAAGGATGGAGGGCTGAGGCTGGGAGAAATGGAAAGAGACTGTTTGATAGGATATGGTGCATCATCGCTTATTGTTGAAAGGCTGATGGTGTCGTCTGATGCATTTGAAACATATGTATGCAAGTCGTGCGGAGTGTTGGCATTTAAAGGATGCTGTGTTGCGTGCAAAAGCACAACACCTTCTATTGTGACAATTCCGTATGCTTGCAAGCTCTTGTTTCAGGAGCTTATGTCAATGAATATTCTTCCTCGACTGCATATTGAATGATTTGGATGGATTTGGCTATGCCCATGGCATCAAGGTTTGAAAAGGAGCTTGAGTTTGTACAACTGCTTTGCAACCCGGACTATTTGAGATGGTTACATACCGAAGGATATTTTGAATCAAGCGAGTTCAAGCAGTACCTGAAGTACTTAGAATACTGGAAATCACCTGGATATTCGAAGTTTCTTGTGTATCCGCAATGCCTGGTGGTTTTGCAGTATCTCAATCGAAGTGATGTTGAAGATGTGTTTGCCAGTGGGTTTCTGCAGCATCTTGGAGAGCAACAGCACTTTATCTGGCTGAACAAGCACAAAGAGAATTGGAATAGAAAGTAAATGCTGCTATGCCTAGATGCCTGTGCTTTAGAGATGTGAGGATTTTGTAATATAAATATCGTATATCATTTACTTAGATAGTTGGCAATGCAATGCGTGAACTATTATTTAGTATCAAAAAAGTCTGGTTCGAATGAATATATGGTTTCATAGGAGATGTCCTCAATTATATCCTCATCTTCAATTCCTAAGAACTTTAAGTCGTCATCTGACACGCTTTCTTCACTTTTAGTGATGTATATGAGATACGTTCCTTCTGGGCAGCATTCTGTTTCTGAACTCAATGCAATAATATTCATTAGATGCACTCGTCGTGCAAATGCAAAAAATGTTTTTTCAAGGATGTGCTTCTTTGTGTTGATAGCTCTTATATACCGTCCCGGCATTTTTGCATCTGAAAATACTACTTTCTTGGTCAGCACATCACCATAGCTTGTATGTATCTTGTATGCATAATCATTTGGTATTTTGTGTGTGTCTGCATTGGTATGTGCAGAACTTAAAGCCGATCCATTAACTAAATCCTCACTTGCATGCACCTTTTCCATTCTACTTTCATGTTTATCATCAGTAGACGTTACTGTTACTGATAGCAGGGGATCTAGAACATATCCAACGCCGCACATGGAGTTGCATCTTGAAAACATTTCCGAAATTTCCTTATGCCCGTGACGAGGATACACGAAAGGCACCATGCCGATGTTTTTAGCGTACATATTCATTCTCATGGCAATATTGTCTTCTGCGGCAATCCCATTTATCAAAATCGTTCTTGATGCTTCAGAAAGGGACTGCAAAAACTCCTCGAAGGCCACACGCCTTCTAAGCAGTTTGCCAACAAGATGCTTTTCTTCTAGATTCAGAACACTTGAATCTGCGATTTCCGTCTTAGTGTATGGAATTCTATAGGGCTTACCTGACTCATCTATGTAGAAATGATTTGGTATTTTTATGAACTCAACAAAGGCCATCATGCCTGCCTCGTGCATATGCAGAATAATCTCATCAGTAGGCCTGATGACTGCAGGAAACGCTTCCAGCTGAAGCTCCGATTGAAAGCTGCCCTTGTTAAGAATACAGTTTTTGACATACTTACTTGATTTAAGCTTTGAGTATCCTTTGTATGTGGAGCCATATGTTACATTACTGTCAAAAATAATTGTACTGCTGCTTTTTTCTTTCTGAAGTCGTAAGCAGTCTCGGACTGTTGTTCCTTCAAATCCGACATCAAATAATTCCGGCCTCATGCACCTGGGGATCCCTTTCATCAATTATGGCGAGACAGAACATCACATGAAACATTTTGAATAAAATACACAATGTTGTTGTATAGATCAGATGGCTTGCCAACACTATTCAAACAACAACCTGCTAATATTTGAGTGCTGCAAAAAAGCATATCCATGCCGATTGTGCCACGACATGAATGAGATACACAGGTCGAATAGATACGAGATATCGAAGATGCAGTGCATATTGTGCAACACCAAGCAGCAAGCCTCACAGAGGTGCTTGGCATGCAACACAGAGGTATCTCGGTATTATTGTAATAAATGCAACCTATGGGATAGTTCTGGAGACAGAATTTTCCATTGTGAAGAATGCAAAGTGTGCAGACGAGGAAATGCAGAGGATGCATTTCACTGTGATGCTTGCCAAACATGCCTTCTGATAAACGGATCAAGAGAGCATGTTCATGTGGAGAATGCAACGGGAAGAAATTGCCCGATATGTGCAGAAGGAATGCATGAATGCACAGAAGTTCTTGTGCTTCTCAGATGCGGGCATAGCATGCATGAAAGCTGCCTTCTAGACTATATGAAGAAGGCATACACATGTCCTATATGTTCAAAGCCAATGGGAAATACGTCGATGGTTGATGCAAAGATCAGATGTCTTGTGGACAGCGAAGCGGAATTGTTTAGTGGCGTAGCGGAGCTGTGCTCTATCGAATGTGGTGATTGTGGCAATCCATCTAAGGCTGTCCGTGGGATTGTGTACAATAGATGTCCGTTCTGTGGCTCATGCAACACAATAGCTATGGCGTGTAGAGAGCAACAAGCAGCTTGATATACTGCTTGGCGAATCTAGTAGAGTATGTGCCTGAGGCAGGGAGATTAAAGGCCGAGGAGTGATTAAAGTTTGAATGTGTTTGGAATGTGTTTTTCTACCCTTTATGTTGAGAATTTCGATTGTTCCGGATACGAATGTTTTCATACTGCATTTAGATATGATTAGAAAGCTGTATGAGGATGAGTTTCCGATAGATGTATCAATGTCTATATCGAAGGTTGTTCTACAAGAACTAGATCACAACAAAGGTAAGATGGCAGAGGCCAGAAAGGCCATTAGGTTTCTTGAGAAGGTTTATAATGCGTCAATTACGGAGCTTGAAGGAAAGCTCAAGGACAGCAGCATGGATGTTGTTGATGGAGGCAAGCCTATGCCTGAGGTGCATAACAATGACGACAAGATCCTGAGCTTTGCATCAAAGCAGATCCATCCAGTTGTTTTGACAAGTGACAAGGCGTTTTATCTGAAGTCGAAGTGCTATAATGTTGAGTCGATTCTGATGCAGAGCCTGTCGTATGAACAGCTGAAGATCAAGATTTTAGGGATTTATACGGGAATAGAGCCTATGGACATTGATGAGGAAAACAGTAAGCTGGATGGAGATGAGAAGATAAAAGAACTAATCCGAGACAAGCTGCTGCCAACCATTCTGCTGATAATGGAGAAAAGCATAGGAAGGCCTTATGTTCTTTTTTTCCCGGACGACCTTAAGGCAGTGACTCTTGAGTTTTTGCTGGATCTGATAATCAAGGAGAACGGTTTATTTCATCCGTACTTACCTCGGAAGTCAAGGGAAATAGTGCAGGGGTTGAAGAAGAAGTTCAAGAATGCAAAAGGGGAAGAGCTTTTGCGGCTTGGCTCTGAACTTTTAATGATGTTCAGGATTGTGTACTAAAGCTGTTTATTGGTGCCGCCAAGCCGATGATTCCTTTTGATGCATCAATGCGCGATTAGCGAGGACTTGCAGTTAAGATATGATATGATAAAGGATAATGTGTGATAAGTAGGTCTCCTTTTAGCTTTCGTGTGCTTTTACAGGGAGTAAGCTGATTGAGTATTTTGGTTAGTTGCATCAAGCATAGCATTAAAATAACGATGAATTCTTGTTTTAGGTATCATTATTCAAACCCAATGCACTGGTATGAGGTATCCTTCCCACAAGGTTGTTGCTGCGCCGTATTCACTGTTTCTATTGTAGTTTCGATCGTTATCAGAGGAGCCTCAACGGGTCGATCTTTCTGACGGCACTGCTTATAACAACCTTATATATGGCAATCAAAAAAGTTACAGCGAGATAATTGAAGAATGCTGGTGGATCAACATCCACATCCATAAAGAGATCCTAAAGCTGAGTTCAGGATACAATACCGTTGCTGGTGAAAGAGGGGAGTCGATAAGTGGTCTTAGGCAGAAGGTGTATTGTGCAAGAGAAATGCTGAAGGAATCGTTTATATATCTCTTTGGCGAGCCCATTAGTAGTCTGTACAGCTCATCTGCAGCTCTGCTAATAGACATTACGCTGAGTCCAAAGTTTTCACACAAAACATTTCTGGTTATTTGCAACAATCCAAACATGATTGAGAAGTTTCCGAAGTCTCTTCTCTTGATTAGCATACTGTATTATATCATAAGCACGAGCCAGCCATGGATATAGTCAGTGGCCTGGCACTAAACTCCAATATTGAGCTCAGGTCAATATGAACTACATGGGAGTCTTCTTCAACACATGCCTTTATCTCCAAGTTACTGAGATGTTCAGAACAATATCTACTTATTATGCTTCCATTCGATAGGATTTCTTGTGTTTTCTTGGCATCTACATTTTGATCAGCCAGTCTTATTCTTAGGTCAGGATCGTGCTTAATTGTTATTTCCTTGTTGTTATGCAAATGTAATGCAAGGTAAATAAAATATTTTCCAAAGATATGCACGGCTTGATCATTCGTTTTTGCATTTAGCAAGTATATTGCGTCCAGAATCATGCTAAGTATATCAATGGAGTCATGGCAGCCTTGTATCTCTCTGTACTTAGATATCAATATTTCGCGATTTTGTGCAGGAACACCATACGCAAACATGCAGTCGAGCAACTTTCCCAATGTTTCGATTTCCTGCGGATTACTTCGTTTGATTGCAAGTATGTTGAGATGCCTCTCAAAAATTACATTGTAAAAACTCTCATTCTTTATGTTTGCATGCAGAAGCTGGTATATCAGCGGGAAGTATCTACTATTAACTGTAATGCATATTCTATTGAACAGCTTAAGCATGCAGTCCTTTTGAATGCTCTTATCAAGCGGAGTGCTTAGGCATACCTCGGGGACCTCCTGGTATATCTTTATCAGAAAGTCATCTTTTGCATACTGGGCGATCTTTGAGAACACTGCAGCTATCACGCTGTTTATTCGCTTCCTACTTACTGTGTCTTTCTCCATATGAAATATTATTTCGTCCTTTCTTTTGTATATTGCCTTGTGGTTGCTCTTGCCTATCAATGCCACGAGAGTTTTAAGGCATTCGTGGTTGTGGAGCCCAAGCTTTATACAACGATCAATTGCTATGTCTTTGTGTATTTTGTATGTCCTTGCTATTTGAAGCCCGAAGTGCCTTGAGTTTGGATTTTGGGATTCAATGAGCCTGAAGGCAAATGCCTCTGCCTTTGGCGTGCATTTATTTGTTTTCAGAAGAAGTATCACTGCTTCTATTGAAAGAGCTATTTCGATTTGTAAACGAATCTTGTCCCTTGGAGGAATGATTACTGCATCTATTGAGTTTGTAAATGACTTGTCCATGCAGAGGAGGCCTTTGGAGTGGAGAATGCCGAATATCTCGATGAGCTTGACCTTGAGAAACGGATCATCTGCTTTTGTGAAAATAGAGATCAAAAACAGAATGTCGTTTTCAATAATATCAATGCTTCCTGTTGTCATGAACTTGTCAACAACTATTTGTGCCTTTATATAAACATCAGAATGCTCTTTACTTACTATATTGACTTTTGAGTTTGGATTGAGTTTATGGAATGCAACCAACGCCTTTTTGTGAAACGGATCCTGAATATTGTTTGGACAAACATATCTCATGAGGTTGTCTAGTATGAGGCTCTTGTTATTCAAGTTGCATATGGCAGTCAATGCATTATTTCTTGTTTCCTTGTTGCTTAGATCCTTCATGATTGTGTTAATTGCCATGACTATGCTTTCACTGCCATCTATAGCCATAAGCCCCAAGTACCCTGCGCTTTTGATTCTCTGAATTCCCGAGTCACATGCCTTTACAAAGTCAGCATCGTTGATCTTGTATGCAAGCATTTGCATGTATATCGTCTTTAGGATGTTAGAGTATCTGACATGCGATTCTGATTCGTTTGAGCAGGCAATCTTGCGTCTTTCCTTGATCACAGCATCTTCTTGATCTTTTTCTGAAAGATCTCTGGTTGATGAGATGAACGATGCAAGCAGAGGTTCTATCTTGGCAGACATTTGTTATTTGGTCGGCTTTGTCTTTTGAGTAATCGTTTCATGTTGTTTATTTGCAAATAGAATGATAATCATGGGCAGCAATACAACCGTACTCGGGCAAAGAATGATAAACACACGAAGGCATTAATTGCGTAGCAACAGATAGTAATATGAAAACAGCGGATTTGCATTGTTAAAACCAGGTGAAATTCACGAGCGAATAGGCAGGGCGGTGTATAGAGCTACCAAAGATTTATTCTAGATGTGCAAAGCCCTCAATGGATAAGAGAATTGAGGAAGTGGTCAAGAAGAATTTACAGGTGCAGAGGAAGGATCTAAGAAGTATTCTTAAGCAAGAAAAGCCTGATGAATGCAGCAAGCCTGAGATTAAGATTGTGCATGAGCATGATTTTATACTGAAGGCAGATTCATCAGTATATCCTTGCTGTCCTATAGTAGAGATTGAGGGGGAGTTTTTCTTCTATACGATTGATGGACGAAGCCTGATGTTCGAGCCCAGTCAATCATTCCCGTATATATTTCTTCCATTTCCACTGAAGGAGGCTTTTTTCTACAAAGCCGATGATAAAGTGTATTTTATAACTCTGGACACATGCAACAAGCTGCAGTATTCATTGATGACCAGCAGTAACTATCCTTCTGAAGAGAGATATACGGTTTCAAGGAATGTTGTGCATGTGGTTAAGCATCCAAGTAAGATTCTGTATGTTTCGTCGAAGAATGGCAATTATCATGTGAATATGATTGTCCGCGATGCAGAAGCGCTCAAGGGGCGAATGCTCTTGGCGAATGTCAAGAAGGAGGCAAGCACAAATATTTTCTATGCAAACTCTGTTTTGTTTATGAATGATGGGGATTTGCTGCTGAAAGACAACGGAAAGGCGCTTTGTGTTCAAGGAGACAGTGTGTGTGGTATACAGAAAGGGGTTTTGGTGCTGAATTCGAAGACACGGGTGCTTTATCTGCTGAACGAGAGCCATCTGATTGTTGATCAGATGCATATCCGAAATACGGGCCAGGTTTTTGGAATGCTTCCGATTGGGGAGTATGCAGGAGTATGTGTCGACAACTGGCTGTATGTTTTGAAGGTGATCAGCCAAAAGCTTGTGGTTGTGAGCGAGATGCATATGAAGGGAGATGTGATGTATCTCAGTGCATCAGTTAAGAAGAATGTGATACGGATTGCGTCTATTGTTTCTGAAGATATAAAAGAAGATGGCATGAATGAAAGCATTGGAGTTGTGAAGAGTGATAGTAAGAATGCAGTTCAGTGTAAGGGAGATGAGCAGTTGAGTATTGAGCAGTCTGACGGTAAGGATGCTATGAATAAATGTAAGGAGGAGTGTGTAGAGAAGGATGGAAAAGAAGAAATGGCGATGAACAGCACATCTGATGGCCAAGATGATGTGCAGTGCTTTAGCAAGCATCAGCCTTATGTTATTGACAAGCTGAATGGATCGTATGATTTTCTGAATGAGAAGATGAACGATATTCTCGTGAAGCTGAGAGATGGAGATGAAAAAATGAGTATGATTGAGAAGAACAATGAGGCAAGGTTTAAGATGGTTTTTGAGATGCTCTGCAAGATCAGTGAGGGTGGAGCCAAGGGAGGGGTTCAGGAGTTGTTGAAGAATGAAACAGCACGTGTTTTAGGGGCTGTGAAGGAAATAAAAGCAAAAATGAGGGAATGTGTGCCTGATGATAATAAGACATTGGAGTATGCCAAGAGGATGATTGTTGATGTTATGGTTCCAACGATTGAGGTTGCGATGGATGAGATACGGGTGCAGATGATCAATGAGATACGCCTCATGCACGATGAGGATCATTTGAAGGACATTAGAAAGGCTGTTGGGGAGCTCCATGATTCGTTTACGAAGCAGAATGAGGTAAAGAATCTGATTTCTGAAGGATTGATTGAGAGGGCGGCAGAAGCAGTCATAAACGGATCGAATATAGATTTGGATGCGTTTATATGCTGCAGCGAAGTATCGTTTGTGGAGACGCTGCCGTCATCTCTACTAGTTGCGCTATTTGAAAGAGTTGTGATGGCATCCAAGGAGCTGTTCAGACCAAACTATCAGCATTTTATGTATATGATAATGGTATGCTTGGAGTTGAATGACTTGAACGATGAGGAGATCCAGATGGTCGATATTCTGATGTCATACATCGATGATATTGAAGAGATTGATATTAAAGAGCTTCCTGTGATTCTGAACTTTCAAAGGATCAAGCTGGGCAAAGTTAAGGAGAAAAGAAGAATTAAATGATTTTGTGAGTCTATTAAGCAGCAGCACAGATACTTTAGATAGACAGTTGATGATGAGCTGAGATATCTTGATGCCCTAGCGGATGAGAATTATTGCAATAACAGGAGGAGTGGGCACTGGAAAAACAACCACACTGGAGATATTGAGAGAAAGAGGATTTGCTACAATCAACACAGACAAAGTAACACATCGAATACTAAAAAACAGCGATGTTGAATGCATTCGAAAGAGGTTTTTTACAGATAAGGAGTTTAGGGTGTCTCATACAAGGAGAATCATGCCGAGGATCTTCTTGGAAGTGGCGCTCAATACCTTGTGGCTATTTATTAAGGGACATTCTGTAGTTTTTATAGAGATACCGCTTCTTTTTGAGTTAGGGCTGCATCATTTGTTTTATACAGTGATTGTGGTGTGCAGCGAAAGTTTACAAATTCAAAGAGGAAAGAAGCTAAGCTATCTAAACGAGCGAATGGCAATGCAGATTCCAATTGAAAAGAAGATCATGCTTGCAGAAAGGATCATTTATAACAATTCTACTATAGATTCACTAAGAAAACAGATTAAAGAAATAAGGTTCAACGGATGCAATATTTATTATTGCATAGCTATCTTTTTAACTGTTGTATTTTTGATTATTTGTGAATAGAAAGCCAAGCCACATAAATCTAAAGAATCGCTATTAAATTACGCTCTACACCTTGCAATTCTTTCGTTCTTAAGATCTATTTCCTCCTGTAGATCTTCATCGGTGCCAAACTCATAGACCTTAACCCTGAAGTCTTCTACATGCTCTTTAAATAGATTTTCATCCTCGCATAGCTCAAAAAGACCTACAGAAAACACATTGATCGAGCCATGAGTTATGTTTGGGAATGATTTTGTAAAAAGCCTCACTATGTGTTCGGAAAGCATTTTGGGGTTTGGATTGACTCCGTCAAGGCTAGGAATGTCTTTACTTATCTTAACCATAAATGCCAGAAGCCGGCATTGCTGATCAAAGTTATACCTCATGTCCTTATCAAATATAATCCCAAGAATATTCTCTAGTGTGCAAACATAATTCTGTGTGAAGAAGTGAAAGAGTCTCTGTTCGTAGCACTTCTTGAATATAACCGTAAGGCAGCTCAGCGACATGTCAGAAACATCCCGAATGCATACCAGTGTATACAAAAATGTGTTATATATCTGTCTAAATGATGTAAGGTTGAATATTGATGAGAAAAACGTGTTGAACGAAACAAGCAGCATACTCTCTACCAGAGACAGATATCCTCTTGCTATTTCTAGGTTTTCATCTGCCTTCATAAGAAACGGAATGGACGGCTCCATAAGTGTGGATACCATAAATGCCTCTCTTTGAAGATACATAACTGAGCCGTCATTCTCGGCATTTCTTACGATGCTTGCTGCTAGATTTAGAATCACTGGCTCTTTATACACCGGGTTGCTTTTGTAGTCAAACACAATCTTTTCGCAGAGCATATTTACAAAGTCTATCTGAACAAACTTTGATTCAACAACCGTTGTAAACAACTCTACTATTTCAGCTTTCACAAGCTTGGCGTTTGCAAAAATGACACCCTCGCTCTTCTCAAGTACTATTCTGTTGCATATGTCGAACATGCAGAACAGCCTGGGAAACACGTGTGTACAGCTAGAAGCACATGTTTCTGGAAGAAGCCTGTAAGTTAATGTGTGTGACTTGAGAACATGCGAAACCATTTTGACATCCTCCATGCTTGATAGAATTTCAGGCAATCTATTGATATGCTCATCAGACAGCATATTGAACCCCAGTACTGAGGATAGCAGAAGGTCTGCATAGCTCAGTATTCTTACATTGTAATCTTTTGTTTTAGGCACCTCCTTTATCACTAGAAGAAGCGCTTCATAAACTGTCCTTTTTTGATAGAACTCCAATGTCCTTGTTATTCCAGTAAGGTTTCTTAGAATGTACAGGATAAACACTTCGTCGTTTTCCCTTTGAGTAAGAAACTCAACGGGGCATCTTTCAACTATCTTAAAGAAGTTGTCACATGCCATGTCTTTGATTCCCTCATGCTCCTCATCCATAAACTCAAACAGTTTCTTGACCACTGTCTTCAGGAAACTTTTGTTGTGGAGAAGAAACCGATGGTATTGCCCAATAATAAACATAATGTTTGATGCAATAACCGCCTTGTCCGTCTTAAAGGACTTCATTTCGCACAATGCAAGCAGATACTTCAGGATGTTCACAAAAAACTCCCTTTCATTCACCTCTGAAAACGAGCCTGATATTGATCCAATCGCCCAACACAATTTGTTAAGGTAGTTGCAATCCCATTCCTTGTCGTCCAACTGGAATCCGATCTTGTTAATGAAGTATTTTTTCATGTCTTCTTCAATAAGAAACGCCAGATGATAGAGGCATCCCCTCATCTTTCTGTAGAACTCAATTTGGTCGGTGTCCGTCATCTTCTTCCTGATCACCTCGTTATACTCATCCACTATCACAAACACTTCTTCCGGACGCGGCATCTTGTCCACAAGAGTCCCCACCAGCTGGTTCAGAATCCCTATGTACCCAGACCTTCTCAGCCTCTTCCCCGAATCCTGCGTTGCAAACGGATATTCAGAGTACAAATCAAACACAAACTTATTCCACATTTCAAACGTAGTCGAGAAAACATTCATGCTGTTGATCTTTGACATCTGTATCAGATATACAAGCCCGGCCTTTGCATTAACTGCATCTCTCATCTCAAGCAGCCCCATATGCACTTCATACAGCGAAGAAAGTAGCTGTGAAAACCGCAGCACAAATGTCTTTTCTGCCTTATCCATTCCGCCATACACCTCGTATATCTTCTCTTCATTGAACTTTGCAAAGTACATTCCAAGAAATGCTACACACTGCCCGTGTATCAACAGTATCTTCTCCTTTTCTGCATTCTCAACCTCATAGCTTCTTGCAAGCTTCGTATCCCTTCCAAGATCCACTATCTCAATCAAACACCTCAAGCATGCCGTGCTGTGCATAGAGTTCAGATGCTCCAGAATCAGGCCTATGATCTCCGTCAAGAAAATAAACTCAAGAGGCATGGATCCGCAGAAGCACTGGAATGTTTCCAGAGTTGCTTCAAGAAGGCCTTCATCCATCTCACTACTTCTCGAGTATTCAAGAATCGTCTTTATAAACCCAAATATGTTCGGAAATTCAACCTTCAGTTGGTTTCGCAGCACTCTCTTTCTTACCGTTGTGATGCTGTCCTCGGAAAATATAAAAACCTCCTCATTCAGCCTCTTCAAGATTTTAAGGCTGTTTCTGCACACCTCCATGCTTATGCTTTGGGACACATTGATCAGATCAGATATAAACGTTGGCCACCTTCTTGGCCAATCCTTTTTTGCAATCTCAACCAGGATGGTGTTCAACTCCTGTATCACGTACACCTCCTTGCTCCTAACCTTTGACTTCTCAATCACAAGCTGCAGTACGTACATTCTGAGTCCCTGCTTCATTCCCTCATCAAAGAGTGACCATTTTGTCTTTATCATACTTTCCAGTAGTTGAAGAGCGACATAATGGCTTTCCTGAAGCGAACTGTTGTTCAATATGTAGTCAACCTTTGTCCATGCATTTGGAAGCTCCTTGAATTTCATCAAGATCCTCTCTGCTGCTGCTTTCTTCACACTATCTGAGCAATTTGCATTCTTAACAACCTCGTCAAATGTTGCAACATCAAACTCCTTCTCCAAGTCCAGAATGCGTTCCATTTTGGGCTCGGCCATTGAAAAAATATATTTGATTTTGCAACCTTACGGCTGCATGCATCATGCATTAACACATGCTCACCCACACTGCTTGCTTATTAAAATGTTTGTTGATGCTTCTGCATGGGCAGGAAAAAGCTTCTTGGGGGAAACTGGAAAATGTGTGCCTCGCTGAGGACATTCGATACAGTCAAGGGCTTCAAGCACAATTTCTTTCTGAACAACGACACATTCATTGCTGTTCCTTATGTGTATATCCAGACTGCAAAGCAAAGATTTCCTGCACACATCAAGGTTGGCGCACAGGACTGCAGCATGTTCAATGGTGGAGCATATACAGGTGAGGTCTGCGCATCTATGCTGAAGGAAATGGGCGCAGAGTATGTGATACTAGGGCATTCTGAGAGACGAATGTTTTTGGGAGAGGAATCGCAGGTTATCGCTTCAAAAATAAGGAATGCATGTGATGAGGGCCTGAATGTAGTCCTGTGTGTTGGAGAATGCTTGGATGACAGAGAAAGCGGAAAGTACCTAGATGTGATAAAGCAGCAAATGCATTCCTTAGAAAGGGTGATACAGGGACGCACAAACATTGACATTGCATATGAGCCCGTGTGGGCAATAGGAACAAACAAAACACCTACAAACTCTCAAATCAAGGAAGTTATCTGCAAAATAAAGGCATGGGGAAAAGAAATAGGGTTTGAAGGGCGAGTTGTTTATGGAGGGTCTGTTTCCATGCTAAACTGCCAAACGATTCTTGAGGTTGAGGAAGTGGATGGATTTCTGATTGGAGGCGCATCGCAGAATATGGATTTCTGCATGATATCAAGCGAGCTTTCGTCTGCACAGTGATCGTTGCAGTTCTGTGCTGTGTAGGAGTTATTGAGTGCATGATGGATGCTTCTGCTTTGTTTCTTTATTGCCTATGTTAAGTGCAAAATTATCCATGCCCTGAAAATGGCATTTGAGAGAAGAATATGTTCAATAGGAAAGACGGCGATTTCGTCAGCAGACAAGGGATCTATACAGCTTACGCTGGCAGTAATTGATCAGTATGGACAGATTACTGGGAATGTGAGTATCTATGATATTTCCGGGGCGATCAGGAAGTCTGGCCTTGGAGACGGGCTGATACTTGAGAAGATAAGAGCGGAGGAAGCCGTTTGAATAAATCGTTTGATGTTTTGTGTGTAGGATGAATATGGAATGCAATGTAAATTGTGCAGAGATCAAGCCCTGAATGGAGGATAGGCGATGCCCTGTTTGCAGAAGTGATGTTTATCTCAATCCTGACATAGTGCTGTATGTTAGCCCGTGTTTTCACAAGATGTGTGAATCGTGCATTTTCAGGATATTCAGTAAAGGACAGGCGCCATGTCCTGAATGTGGAACAATGCTTCGTAAAGTAAACTACATCAAGCCGACATTTGAAGATATAGCTGTGGAGAAGGAGTGTAAGATTCGCAGGGCACTCCAGAGAGCATTTTTACGGGACGAAGATGAGTTCCATGGGGATGCCGAGAAGTACAACGACTATCTTGAGGCTTTTGAGGAACTTGTGTTTGAGGTGCTTGGATTTAAGAGCGAGATGCTTGTGAAGGATCGAATAAAGGAGATACAGACAATGGGTTCTAACTGTATTTTGAATCCTTTAGAAAAGGTGGTTTTAGGAAAAGCCAAGGAATGGAAGGATGTAAAGCAGCAGAATGTAGACGTTGGAGAAGATGCAAAGCACAAGATACAGAAGGTTGGGCTCTTTAGCGATTACTTTGACCCATCAGAGCTTAAGGATGTGATTGTGAAGCGGAAAGAGGGTGTATGCTTTCCTGATGGAGTTTTCCGATTGAATACCGCAAGTGGAGTAACAAGTGATTTAATTGCTTCGTTTGCAGTGTACTCTCTGGATGAGCTTAAGATTTGAATAAACAGAATGTGTATTGGAGATCGCAAAGTGTTTTTATGTATGCTCATGATGTACCTGTTTCTGAAGAGCTGATCAACAAATGTATGTATTGCTTAGTGTTTTCAATGATTAGCTTTTTTACTTCCTCGTCAATTGATTTTGTTATGTTTTTTATATTGGAATGGCCAGATGTGTTTAGCTCGAGTGTGGTTTGAAGGAACTTTCCGATGTCAGTGACACAGACCGGCATATTGTCTCCTGAGTTGATGTCTTCTTTATGAGGAAATATGTGTTTTTTTATGTCTTCATTGCTCATGCCTTTGGCTCTCAAGGTATTGAATACTGTGTCAGGACATCCAAAGTGTGCAAATGGATTTTGCTGTGCAATGCCGTCCTGTACTTCAACATGAATATTGTCGAATATGCCAAGTATGTATGATTTTCTGTTTGGCACTATGCATTGGGATTCTGTAGCGATTCCGTACTTCTTTTTAATAAGATTTTTGAGATCGTCTATGCTGCCGAAGTGATCATCTATGTACAAATCCTCGCAGTTTATGGCCTTTACGATCATAGACGGCAAGCCCTGAGCATGGAGAGGAATTATGTAGATAGGGTGCGATGGGCTGTTGAGATTGCGCCCGGAAAGAGTGTTGAGGAAAGGAAGAAATTGGCCAAGAAGAAGACATACAGCCTTGCAGTGGCTGGAAGAACATATCCAATTGAGTGGGACCCGATGTTTTCCACAAACTACAGGATAGTATATCCAAAGGAGTTTACTCGCGGGTTAGATGAATGGATGCTGCCTAAGGAGATGATGGAGACAAGCAAATGGAAGGTGGCAGAAGGCGAAGGGCCTAGTAATGTGTACTACGAAGGTCAGTGCTTTATTATAGCAGAGATGGTTTCGAGGTTTACAGTATCTGGAATGTGTCTTTTGTCGGACTTTGGGGCAATGCTAAAAGGAGGGGATGGAGTATCAGACAGGGTATTTTTTGTAATAGGGAAGTGTCTATATCTCAAGAAGGTTGATGAGGAGTCGATAAGGTTTTCGATGATGCTATTCCAGATGAAGGTGTTTGAGACAAGCGACTGGAATGTTGAGATTAGAAGATGTGTGAATAGCATGACAGAGGAGATATATTTCTATGATGGCAGGTTTTTAGAAGTGATAAGGATATCGAAAATGTTTTTTTGCAGTAGGAGAGCGGATGGATATGCATCGATCAAAAGCCTTGTTGGAAGAGCACAGCTGTGTAAATGCTGTATGAAGAGCAATGCGGTGATAAGGGTGTGGAATGATCCGATTCTGCCTGAGAAGAAGAAGTTTTTGTGCAAAAGATGCTTTGAATTGATATTTTATCTGAACGGGGGCAAGAGCAGATATACAGGAGTTGAGTATGAATACATGTCATGAGGATGATTGATGGAGAGATTGATTGATATGTGCATGAATGATTGGCTGGAATGCAGATATGATCGACTGTGTTATGGAGATAGGCACATGATGTTTTGAAATGCAATGAAATTGACATGCATTGAATAAAGATGAATGCTGATATTGAAAATGTAAGGTGCTATTAATGGTCTAAATGGATAAACAAATTTGTGGAAAAAACAGTGCCCTTCCATGCCAAGGAGCCATGATAAGAGTCTCAGTAACCAGGATGAAGAGCGTTGGAGCGATTCAGGAGTTGTTGATGGGGACGGCGAGGGCTTGGATGGAAGTAAGGAAGACTGGGAGAAACGAGCTCAGGAGGAGGATTGTGAAAGTGTAGGTGAAGCCGACAAGGTGTTGCTTCCAAAGGGATCGCAAGCAGAAGTGGATCTGAACGAGGCGATTTCGTATTTGAACAGAATTCGGGAGGATTATTCTGATAAGATAGATGTTTATGATAACTTTGTGGAGGTGATGAAGGATTTCAAGTTTGGGAAGATTGATGCACAAGAAGCATGTATGAGTGTGAGAGAGATATTGAAAGAGAAGCCGCATCTTATTGTACGTTTTAATGGATATCTTCCGAAGCATCTGAGGAGTGCAGAAGATAGAGCTGAAGGAGAGGCAAACATCAAGCCTGATAAACGAAAAAGATTAACTACACGAAGCAAGCAAGATACAGAGAATGCAATGATTGCGGCATGCATAAATGATGGAATGGCGGAAAGCGATGAGGTGTATGTGAAGTACAGGGTTGATGAAAGTCGGAATGCCAAGGCCCCTGTAATGAGTCGATTGGGTGAAGTGTATGACGGGCAAGGTGGAAAGGAAGTACCTGAAGAAGCAAGCGCGGGGTTTAGGAAGGCAGAGGAGTATGAGAAGATGAAAGCCAAGCAGGCACATGACTTTATACAAAAAGTGAAGAAGCGATATTATCAGAATCCAAGTATATATAGGTCGTTTGTAGAGCTGCTTCAATCGCACCAGGTGAAGAGTGGGATGTTTGACCGAATGAAAGCGGAGGTGAATAGTTTGCTGTGGGAAAGCCCTGATCTTTGCGAGGATTTTGAAAAGAACTTTGTTCCGTTGAAGCGAGCAGGAATGAATGGCGAAAAGGATGTTCTGCAGCGAATCAAGGATGTGCTGAAAGATAAGAATCTTCTGGACGACTTCCTAAAATGCATTAATTATTTTAATCAAAAGTTTATTAGCGAGAGGGATCTGATTGCTCTTGTGGAGCCGTTGCTAAGGAATGAAGAGCTGGTGAGGGGATTTAAGGAGTTTATTAATTATACAGAGGTGGGGAAAGAGGTGCATAGAGCGGAGCGATACAAGAGGGAGGAGGGATCATATAAGATCCTTGCGGAGGAGATCAAGTGCAGCAAGTATCAGGAGGGAGTTGCAAAGGAGGTTCTTAATTTTACATGTATAAGCTGTCCGAAGTTTGAGTCTGAGGATTCGAATTATGTGTTTCTGAAGCGGAATGTGCATGAGGAGGCGCTGTTCCGGATTGAGGACGAGATATCTGAGGCGGATATGGCAATTGAGAGGATACAGTATTTTGTGAGTGTGCTTGAGCAGGTTCTTGCAAGTAACGAGGAGAGTGAGATTGGGATGAAGGATATAAGGATGTCGCCTGGGGTGATGAAGGAGGTTTTGAAGGGGGTGTATGGACGATCTGCGGCGGAAGTGCTTGAAGGGATTTTGATGAAGCCACAGGTGGCTATTCCGATAGTTATAAAGCGACTGTACATGATGAACAAGAAGCTGAGGTTTTGTGTGAGGGAGCGAAGGAAGGTATGGAAGGAGGTGATTGAGCGGAACTATTACAAGGCGCTGGATGCAGTTGGGCCGTCGTATAAAGCAAGCGAGAAAGACATGTTTACGATGAAAAGTATTGCCGAGAGCGCAGGAGAAGGAGTGAGTGTGCATATTAATGATTATGAGGTATTGAATGACGTGAGGCGCTTGTGTGAAGTTTATATTGAAGCAAGTCAAATGGATAATAAGAAGACAGCTGTGGATGATTTGTTGAGCATGCTGAATGAGGTATTTGAGAAGTATGTGCAGAAAGATTTCATGATTGTTTCTGAGTTTCCGCTGTTTTGTATATATAGATTTGTGATTTTTGCTTATGAAAGAATAGCTGAAGTGAAGAGGATGATTTTTGAAGGATTTGCTGGTGAAGAGATGGATAATAAGGAAAAGAAGTTGATTTATATGAAGTTGATGGATTTATGCACTGATTTCATGAAGAAAGAAATCGATGGATATAATTTTGAGGAAGGAGTTCGTGAGATTACGAGGTGCAGGGGATTTAGACTATATAACCTGAAGAAGATGATATCCCGAATAGAGAAGGAGATTGTCTCGCTGGTCGAGAGCAGATATTTGAATTCGTGTGATTGGAAAGGGAATGAGATGAGCAGTGGATTGTATAGTCTTAGGAAGGAGGATAATTTTTTAGAAATCAAAATGATTAAGCATGAGTCGGGCGATAATTGGAAGGAATATGTCAGGAGATTTGAGCACTTGGCGTCTTGCCTAGATGGTAAGGTTGAAGGTCCGTTCATGAAACGAGGTTGTAGAAAGGCACCAATTGTAGGATATCTGGAGCAGAATCTCAAAGTGATTCTCAATCCGGAGACCTACGCTATGAGGTATGTGTTTGGATCTGAGATTTTTTATGTTAACCTGAAATCGTATCTGAAGAAGATGTAAATACTTGCTGTGGTTTTTGATTAAACATCGTATTCATAGATATTTGTTGAGGTGTTTGAGATTAATTGAATGAAGGGCTTTGGCATAAATGTTTAGTATTAAAGTGGCGTTGAAGCCAGGTTCCAAAGATATCACTTACAGATAAGCAGTAAGTGGCCTTGCGCCACGGAAGACACAGGACTGGATTGATGCGATGGTTTGGATTTCCAAACTAGCAATTGCTCTATCTCCGTGTGAACGTCATTGATAGAGACCTCCTGCGTAAGGACAAGGGGGTATGAATTTTTATTTTTAGACAAAATGTATTTGAATAGACACCCGGTACGAATGATTCAAAAACTAATGAAAGCAGAGGAAAGGGCCAAGAATGCCAAGAAGGGAAGACTGGAGATTTCGGTAGACAAGGTTGAAAGTTTGGTGTGCCCATTGAAGTTCAATTCTGACGAATGCATTGAAATAATGTGTGATGGAAGACCAATGAAGCGTGACTAAGCATCTGTGTATGCTGTGCAGTGCATTAGTTGTCGAATATGTGGTAACTGGTTAGGCATAAATGCATTTTGAAGGTTAGGCACCATATCTATATTAGCTATTTGATTAGTGTAGAGGGATTGAAATGCTGGAATGCAGAATAAAGTAATAAAAAATATTGAGAAGTATCCTTTGAATTGGGAGATGAGCAAGAAGATCCTGACGCATCCATCTGAAAAAATAAACCTTACATCAGATAATGTGGAGTTTGATCTTGTAATGGCAAAGGGAGACCATTTGGTGAAAAGCTCGCATGAAAAGTACATGGTGATTGATATGTTAGGCACAGGGACATTTGGACAAGTAGTTAGGTGCATAAGTGATGATGGAGAAGAGGTTGCTATAAAGGTTGTGAAGAATCAGCCGAGGTATTACAATTATGAAATGAATGAGGTTAGAATTCTCCATAAGCTAATGTATAACAATCTGAATGACAGGTTTGTTCTCATTAAGGATGTGTTTATGTATAAGCAACACTTATGTATTGTTGAGGAGCTTCTTGGGCATAATCTGTATACATTCCTGAAGATGACGAAGTTCAAGGGCTTGGATCACAGCACGCTTAGGTTTGTTCTTTTTCAGATACTTGATGGCATTCTACAACTTTCAAGGATGGGAATTGTACATTGCGACCTGAAACCAGAAAACATCTTGATAGTTGACTATACAACGTTCAAGGTGAAGATAATAGATTTTGGTTCAGCAACTGTATCACCTCAAGAATCGCATTTCTATGTGCAGTCAAGATATTACCGTGCACCTGAGGTAATTCTTGGAATTCCATATGGATCTAGCTGTGATATATGGTCTGTTGCGTGTATAGCATATGAACTTTATTCAGGTAGCCCATTGTTTGCAGGAAAGGATAATATGGATCAGATAGGGATGATCCACCGGTTTTTTGGATCTTTACCTGTGTTCATGCTGGAACATGGAAAGAATTCAAATGCTTTTTTTGAGAAAGAGAACGGATACAGGTTTGTAGGAAGTCCAAGCTCTATTTTCACTATAAATGACATGAAGCGGATTATTGATTCAAAGAGCATGGAAACCGAGGAAAACAAAAATCTGATGGATTTTTTGTTGAAAGCATTGCAGCCGAGCCATCTTTTACGGCCTGATGCTAAATCATTGATGAGCCATTCATACATTAAATGCAAAAAGCCAGTGGCTGAAGAGATTCCCAGGGTAGAAAACGATAGAAGCGGAGTTCAGCAAAAGATATTCCCGCCAACCAAAAACCAAAGGCATATGTCCACGACTGGAGTGCTGCTTTCAAGAATTAAGCAAAAGCCTGATGAAAATAGAAGGAAAATATCTGTCTGCAACATTTCTTATGAAAACAGCTTGAATAGAAATCCTTAAATAGTTGCTTAAAGGCAAAAAGTTAATAAATAGGTTTGGCATCAAGTGCAACTAAGTGTCCAATATGCTGCGCTTGCATACAAAGTTGTTTATTTGATTTTGATTTTGTTTTTCTTAGCAAATGATATCCACATGAAATAACGACTGTTGAGGTCTAGTGCATAATAATCGAATATATTCTTTTCAGAACAGTACAACTAGCCTTTTGGTAAGTAATTCTTTGATATTGCTGAGTGATGCAACAAATACATCACCTTTGATCATATTCAATGGCAATCCATCAATAAGTATGTTCCCAACATCAGCCATACAGCAAAACCCTACATATTCATCATAAGAATGAACAGATTGGTTGTTAGTATAAATTCCTCGCTGCTTATTAAGATCCATATACGCAGAATACAAGCGAGCTTCACTATCAGAAAGCAAGGCTGTGTCTATATTGAAATCCGAAACCATTTTTTGCATACGAACATGCACATACTCTTTTGCAATGAACTTGATCCTTTCCAGTTCCAACTCAAGAATGTGTCTGCCCACTCCAGTGCACGATTTTATTGACTCAGACCTTTTTATTAGAACATCCATGACTTCAGGAAGTTCTCGAAGCAGTGGAAGTAATGTCTTTGTTCCTTTTTCATTCTGGTATGCTATTAAAAGTGCATTCAGCATTTATTAAGGGAAAATGTTTGCAATGCGAAATTATTACATGGCCATCAGTAAAATGGAAACATGCATTTCCTTTGTTATTATTGATATGTGTTCTATTGCACACATTTTCAGAACTGTAAATGATTTAAACGCATTTATAACACGAATATCACAGTAATAATTAATTTATTTTGTAACTTTTACATAGAGTCATAAAGTCGATACCTGCTCAATACTATTTGGTTGAAAATGCTTATTATTTGTTTTTGCATCTTAAACTGTATAAGTAATGCTTTGGTTTTTTATTTCAAATATTTTATGATTTGGTATATTTATATGTCTTCTTTTGATTATTTCGTTGGCTTTAGCAGCTTATTTAATTTATTTAGATGTGCTAATCATGACTATCTAATTTCAATAGTTTGCATAGCAATAATACAAGTGCAGCAATAGCCAATCGCATCACATGTAATATACATATGCATATTCTACAGAGTAGATGTTTATTCGTTTATCCATATTGGATAGCTGATGAAAAGTATATAAGTTATTGTGCATGCAAAGCAACATGCTGGTATCACTCAGGACATTTGCAGTATGCATACATACAGATGTACATGGCATATACAGGCTGCTTGGATATAGCCGATACAACAATTAGTAACAGCCCTTTGAAAACAAAAGATGGTGCCGATGTATTAAAGAGTGAAAGTGTCTTTAAGTTCAAAAACTGTACGATCAAAACATTGAATGTTTTAAATGATTACACAGATCTAATAGGACTTTATTTCTATTCTTGCAAACTTTTTGATGAAGCAGGGAACTCAGCAGTTGCAATCCCAGAGCTGCCAGGGCTTTTACATTTCGGTATCACAGATACTGAAGGCATGCAAAAGTTAAAGATAGGTACATCAGCAGATACGAAGTCGATTTATGTTACAAGCAATCCAGATCTAACAACAATAGAATTGCCAAACTCAGCAAAACTAAAATACCTTGACCTTAGTGGCAACAAAAATCTCAATGCAATAGCAAATCCAGAAATACTAAGTAAAATGTCAGAACTAGAGAGTATTAACATCAGAGGCACAGCACTGACATCACTAACATGGTAGATACTGAGCCTAGCCAAAAGTATACGGCAGATCGACATCACAGGCTGCAGTAATTTTATTGAAAATGGTGATGGAGTGCATACGGCAGGATACATGGATTTGGTATCTAAAATTAGCATAGCAAAGATTATTATAGCAAGCACAGCTAACCCTAACCCTAGACCTATACCTAGACGATTACCAGAAAATTAAGAAATATTTTGGTGTCATGGAGACAATAATAAGGAAAATACAAGCTACTTATTACAAATCTAGAATAAATATTCTTATTTATACATTCACAGAAGCTCAAAATTGTTTATGCATGAAATCGCATCTATATACTGTGCTAATGCATTTGTTATGTGTTGCCACTCATGTTTGTGATTATCATCATCTGCTATCACCTTTGTGCAATACCACCATACACAGCCTGCATTGCATATATTGTGCATCCACATCTATCTCATTAAACACCTTACACTCACGCATGCTCCATTTTCTACTGCATGCCATTTGTAATGCAGCATCCACTCTTATTCACAACACATTTATTTATACACTCTCCACACCCATCTCTCAATCATCATCTTTAACTGAATTCAACAATTGCAGGCATTAGCTTTCTGTTATATTCCATGTTTTGATTTATCATGCCTTTACAGATCGATGCCAGCATAAATAGTGTCAATATCATCACACTAATTTTCTTCTGTGCCCCATTATTCAACCCATTGCTTTCGGAATTGTTTATTATCCCTCCAAAATATGGTAATGCTTCAATAGCCTCATCAAAGCTCAACTGGTAATTTATATTAAACAGCTGTTTGTATATGTTTTGCACAACAATACACACTATCCTCCTCAATTGAACAGGCGTCATTTCATTCAGCATCTCATCGACGGACTTACTTTGATCACTTATACTCTTATTCTCACCTCCAGATCCATTAATGTACTCATTATATACCATCTCCATTATTTTATCTATTTCATCAGCAATTAGATTAAAAATATCCAACATTGTTTTTATCAAGTATTTGTATATATTGTTTTCAATCATTCTATCCTTCATATTCATTCTATTTATATTATTTAGACATACATACAGGAATTTAGTACTAGCTTGCCCATATATTTTAAATGTGCCTATCATTTCACTCATAGGCTCTTTCAATCCAGGAATACTCCTGATTATTGCTTGAATTATGGATCTGAAATTCCATTTTTCAACCACTCTATCCAATTTATTTGTCTGAACATCATGAGGATTATGATTTCTGCTCAAATAATCAAGCATTTTTAGCATATGCATCAATTCTTTTATATTTGCTTCTATCTTTTCCAACTCTTCACGATTACTACTATCCAAAATCTTAGGCATATTATATAAAATATATCCACATATATCCAAGATGTATCTAAGAGGTTCTTTGCGTATTGTCCATGATAACTGTGCTTCTTTTATCGCACATTTTATCTTACCAACTAGTTGTGCATCATCAATTCTTCTCAATATTTTATTCTGCTCATACTTCGATTTATCTATCAATTCATTAACAATCTTATTATTGATCATAGGTTCAGCTAGCACAGTTTTCATATCCTCCTCGCTAGCCGCACTTGGCTTAATAATATTGAACAGTCTGTTAAGCTTATCAATATCATTAGCTCCACTGAATATCCTTACAATTAATACAGGATCATCTTTAATACCAGAAATCATGCTTCTCAAGCGATTATCATCAATGCTCAGCAATATATCTGCCAAATACTCATTCCCATGCCAAATTGATATCTGGTCAATCATATCTGCTACCCGGCTCTTGTCTTTAACACCAAGCAACATATATGCTATTTCATTACACTCAACTGGTCCTTTCAGCGCTATCATCAGCGTATTAAATCTATACCTATTAAACCCATTTTCATGAATAAGATCATTCAACAATCCATTCCTCCGTTCATTCTCAATTGCACTAAATATCCTTATTATATCATCCTTCATTCTGGAATACTTCTCATAATTCTTCTCGGTGCCAACATAGATCAAGGCATCAATTTCGTGTCTATGTCCCAGCTGCTTCAGCACCCTCTTTCTTTCGTAGTTACTCATACCCAGCAGCAAGTCATACACACTGTTATCTCCATACACTCGCCATATTTTGTCTATTATTTCTCGCGTGTCTTTGTTTATTTTTTCTTGCTCATGATGCAGATATGCTTCAGTAGACGGCTTAGCTGTGAAAACTGCCATCGAATCGCTTAGCTCAATCAAAAGTGACATCTTTTCATTAGAATTCATCATTACACGCATTATCGTTTTCATTACTTCATCATTAAGATGTTTAAACAGCATCAAAGTCATACGACGGTTCATGCTATCAAACGCCATCCTCAGCTCCTCTATATCATCTGCCCCTATCTTATTTAATTCTTCTGCAAGCCTTATATCTTTTATCATATTGTCTATTGCATCTTTATCCTGCTTTTCCATGCATTCCAATATCGCTGCTGCTAATTCAGATGCACAGCTTAGCATTTCTGCTACACGATAGCCCGCAAAATAGCCCAGCATTTCTGCTGCATCCTTATTTCCCAACAGCCCAGGCTTACCTGATGCACTACACACTCCGTAAATCACAACACTAGCTGTATCATACTCAAGGCAAGAGAGTATCTTTTTATTCATCAGCATTCCTTTCTGATTAATCAATTCCATCATATAGTATACAATCTCCTTGTCCTTAACTTTATTCGCTGTTTGTGCCAATGATGCAGAGTCATTCATATGCACTGCACATTCTTGCACTAAAGTACGTGCTATGTCCTTATTACTAATCACATTCAATACATCCGCTAGCAACGCATTTCCTCCTTTCTCAATAAGTAGCACCAATTCTTTCGTTTTTCTTGTCAATAGCTCCTTATCTGTAATTCCATTCAATACCCTTGCCAACTGAACTGGGTTTTCGATTTTATCCAGTGCCTTTTCCAATCCTTCCATATCTGTTATGGCACTCAGTACATCCTTAACAGCATTATCAGATCGAGAATAGCCAAGCAGTTTCACCAATTTACCGATAATTTCATGTTTTTTGTTGCTAGCATCTTCTTTTTCAACCATGCTTTTCAAAAATTCCCCAGTTATCAATCCCACACATTCAGGCAGATATCCAGACTCTGTCTTCACACCGTTCACTATAACATCCAGGACATCGGGTTTGATGTTTCCTTCGGCAATGTGCACCAGCCCATCTATAATCAGCTCTTTGTGTTTGCTATTATCTGCAAAATCCTTTGCAAATCTCCACAGCATCTTCTTATCCTCAATGTCTTTCAGAATAGATAGATTCATCACCCATTCTATTAAATTACCAAGCGATGGATTATTATACCTCTTCAAAACATACTCAGCATTATATTTATCAAGGCAAGAATAGAAATACATATGCAGCGATGGATGCAGCGCATCAAGTATATCCTTCAACAATTCTTCTTCAATATTACTAAATATTTCATTTACCTTGCTCTTGTATTCATTCCAAGGGATATATTTAAAAATATAGGTCAAAAAATTATTTTGATTTGCCTCATTCTTGCACTTATTCAGAGATATGTATCTAAAAACACGGATCAAAAGAAGATCATTTTCTGTTTTTGATATGTGTTTTACTTTATCTTCATCAGTCATTTCTTCAGATGCATATGCATCTATCCATTTTTCTATTGATTCTTTCCATTCTTCTGTTATTATTGCTTCTTGAGGTTCATAATCATCATCCATTGTAAGGACGTTGCTATTACATCATTACACAACATACACTGTTACTTTTATTTAATTGTTATTGTTATATTAATTCATTCATAATTCCGTTCGTATATTCTCATTCCGATATACTTCATATTTCCACTGCTATATTAATACACATACACTATTAAAATACTCAATTATTCGCTATTAGTTTATTCTCATTCCACATTTCATATCCTATCACTAATACTTATCATTATTAATACTGCTTATTACTGCAGCATTTCATTATTCATGCCACTACTCACATTCATATCCATAATCTGTATCACCCATCCTGTAATTGCCATTACACATGCACTCAGCACAACAATCACACTCTTCGCTATTCCACCTGCATTCTTGCTTGCATCACTAATCTCATCTTCTCGATCATTCTTAGAGTTATTATTCTTACTGTTAATAAACGCTACTACACTCGCTATTGCCATCACCAAACTCATCACTGCCATCACCACATTAATCACTCTCATCACCACCATAATCACTCTCATTCCTCCAAACACACACATCATTACTCTTACCAGCGCCATCACTACACACATCATTACTCTTACCAGCGCCATCACTACACTTCCTCCTATCATCAATCTGTCATACCACACAGGCCTATTTGCGCATTTCACATATACAATCATACTCAGCATCATTAGCATTGCCACTGCTGCCATCGCTATCCTACTTATCACTGCTTCATCACTCATTGAATGTCCATTATTTAGTGCATTATTTATACTCTTTCTTGTAATCACCGCCTCAATCACTATCACCGCTACTGGTATTACTATTGCCGCTATCTTTAGCTTCCTTCTCTCCTTTTCTTGCTCATCTTGCTCATCTTGCTCACTTTTTATTCTTTGTGCTTCTTCGATTTCATACTTTATTTTACCAGCTAGTTGTATATTATCAATTACTTTCAGTATTGCATTCTGCTCTTCCTCCGGCTTATCTATCAACTCACTAACAATATTCTTATTGATCACAAGCTTATCTAACACAGTTTTCATATCTTCCTCGCTAATCCCACTTGACTTAATAATATTTAACGATCTGCTAAGCTTATCAATATCATCAGCTCCACTCAATATGCTTGCAGCTAATGTCGTCCAATATCTAAGATCAGAAATCACGCTTTTCAAATCATCATCATCATCAATGCTCAGCAATATATTCGCCAAATACTCATCTCCATTACACAATGATATATAGTTAATCATAAGTGCTACATAGTCCTTGTCTCTAACACCAAGTAGCATATCTGCTATTTTCTTATACTCAACTGATGCTTCTTTCAGTACTTTCATCAGATTCTTAAACTTATACGAACTAAGCACATCTTCATAAATAGTATCATTCAACAATTCTTTCCTCCGTTCATCATCAATTGCATCAAATATTCTTTTCACATCGTCCTTTCTTTTTTTTGCATTATTATATACCTTCTTAGTGCCAACATAGATCAAGGCATCAATTTCGTGTTTATGACCCAGCTGCTTCAGCACCAACTTTCTTTCTTCGTCACTCATATCCAGCAACAAGTCAGACACACCGCCAACTTCATACACATTCCATATTTTGTCTATTCTCTGTTGCACTCGATCTGCTTTATTTTTATCAGTAGGCTCAGACGTACGCTCTGCCTCCGACTTGCTTAGTTCAATCAAAAACAATTTCTTCTCATTAGACTCCATCCTCCTATTCAGTATACTCTCCAACTCATCATCTTCAGTATTATAAAATTTTTCTACTGTCAGTGTATGTCCACTCCCGTTATCACTCATTCCAAGGGTATTCTTTCTTGTACATTATCACATTGCTATCTATTACTCCCTTATTACCTATAATCATGCTCATATACCATACTC